TTAAAAAGTATTTATTTCTATTTTAAACTAAAAATTAATAAAGATATCTAGATTATAAATAAGTCTTTATAGTATCTAGTTATATTTAGTTAATACCTATTTAGCTTTTATACTTAAATACTTACTTAGACTAGAATTCTACTCTATTATACTTTATAATTCTATTTTCTAGCCTATATATTCTATAGCTTATATACTCGCTTACTATCCTACTATAATAACCTCGATTACTCCTCGGTAGTAATACGTATAGTAGCCTCGATTACGCTCTCGATCTTAATTCTAATTCTATCCTTAAATTATACTATAATACTATAGTATAGCCGTCTCTTACGTAGTCGCATTCCTACCGTTGCTTCGCTCTAATACCGTCGTGTTAGCGCCTCGAGATCGCGAAGGCATCGTAGTGCCGACTCGATAGGAGCCTAGGCAGTTTCGTCGTAGTAACCGTCGGAGGACGAGGTGTCGACGCGAACCCGCTCACAGGTTTTGATGATCTGGATCGCTGACAGAGGGAGGTAGCGCGGCGAACGTTCGCCTTGTTCGAGGATGAGACCGCTGCTGGTGCTCATTTGGGTCGGTCGCGTCTTGCGATGTCGTGTCCGGAGCGCGCCATGTTGAAGGCGCACTCTTCACTGGGCCAAGGTCATGTGGACCTTACCTTCATTCTAGTATTCAGCAATCGATGACTGGAGGCCGAGAGGAGAAGGCTGGAGAATCGGCGGAAGAAGCACTCGAGCGTGAAGTGCGAAGTTTGCCAAGAAGCGACAGCTGGCCGATGCCAAACTCTCTTCTGCACATAAGCCTCCTGTATTTGACTGCACCTGTTGCGGCAGAGCGAATTGCATCGGCTTTTGTTCGGCCCTATGCCTCTTACCATCTCCCTGGATCTCGTGAGGCCTGAGACAGACCATGACCAACCGGGTTCTCGGTCCTGCAAGAATGCACGCCTTTAGCAAGCATTAAGAGAGGGAGCGACCGGCCCATCTCTGCAATTCCGGACACGAAGAACATGGAAGAAGCCCTTCTCCTACAGCGTGTCGGCAGTGCCAGTCAACCTTTCCAGTCAGCTCGAATGACACAGAATGTATGCCGAAGGTTCCATCGGACACGCAGGGACAACGGTCTTCGAAATTCGCGCGCACTATAACAGACAAGGTCCTCGCAATCTCAGGAACCCCAGCTCACACCATGCGAGCATGCCGATAAGCTTTGCTTGGACGCTTGTTAGGGCCGGCAGACGAGAAAAGACAAAAATATCGACTCCTATCCTTCACTGTCTCACAAGGTTGCGGGAGCATCGGATCTGGGTCTTTGGCCTTACACGACTCTCGAATAATCCTAGCTTCGACTGTGACGCTGCTATGCAGCGTAAAATTACAGTCATAGGACTGCCAGAATTCTCGTCCCGGAGCTGAGCTGACCACTTAGCATATCATCTCACCTTATAACTTTTCCAGGTGTAGTAAGGCTTGCGCTGGCCCTCTCAGTGCGTCGTGCATGGGATTGAAGTGTAGTGCGACCGTGGTGTGACGTTCACTGGTATTCTTCATCGAATACGAGTTCGGCCAATTTCTGACATGATCCAGGCTGACATGGTTCACTATAGTGCGATGCTTGTCGATGAAAGTCTATGCCCATGTTCTCGAATTCGAGGTCGCGAAGGGCATGTATAAGTATCACTGGGCACTTCAACACACCAATTCACATCTCAAATCAATCAACAGACTCTCGACCACCCACCTCCCCTTCACAACTTAGACTCTTTACTCTATCATGCATTTCTCCACTGCTCTTACCGCCCTGGCCGGCGTCCTTGCCTACAGCTCGCTTGCTGCGGCCAGTCCACTCGCTGAACCACAGAACGCTGGCAGCGGCAACTCTCCAAGCAACAGATGCAACACCCGGGCTGTGACAGGCAACCAGGTTGTTCAGGGAACCGCACCGACTTGGAACGATTGCTACACCCTTGCGTAAGTGAACGACAGCTCCAGTAGATGCGGATGGGAAGCTGACTCTTCGCAGCGATAAATTCCAGAACGAAGAGTTCTTCAGAAAGAGCATCAAGGTGGAGGGCAACTACAAGCAGACGTACGGAACCTGTGGCTTTTCTATAACAGCCAAGGCAGGAGACTTCCAGCTCGGCAAAGGTAAGACACCTCCTCCCTACCTAGAGCATTCACCATACTGACGCCATGGCAGATGATGCCGCCGACCTTATCAGAAGCACCGCTGGTGACCTTGGTGCCAAGAGTGGAGCATACCAAACTGGCCTTGTGTCATGCGACACTCCTGGAACGGCTGGAGGAGACCGCGGCCGCCAGACAGGATGGACCATCGGCAACTTGGACGCTCCAGGCCCAAAGCAAGGATGATTGCATTGAGATACAGCTACAGAAGACTGAGAGATCGTTGGTTCGGTCGCCTATTCAACTTGTACATTATATTTGCTACTCAGACAATGAACGCGTTCGCAGTGCCGACAATCAGAAAGAATCTCACGGGAGCAGTGAATGCGTTTCTTGAAAGTGATCGAAGAGTCGTGCACAGGGCGTAGGATATTCAAGTCTCCTCCAAATTGTTGGCCACGCCAGTTCTTGAGGCTGGAAGTCGATGCATACGGCTTCCCTCGTGGTCCTGTGGTGAACTGGTCGTGCAACAACTGGAATGCGTCCACGGCTGCGTCTGCGCCAGTCTTCCCGCATGCCTTGCAGGTTTCGCAGTCCTTTCTCAGCCAGTACTGTGACGTTGTGCTAGCATTCGAAGTAGTGGTGATGATGCTGCTTTTTCAGAATGTCAATGGTCGGAGGGTGCTTGCGCGGTGCTTATTCGCGGTGCTGCGTGGAGTGCAGAAAGCTCATCAGGTTGTGGCGACAGCATCTCGTTCTGCAGACCATCGCGATCTACGCCAGTCTGCGCAGCGAACTCGGAGAAGCATTCGCTGCAGCCAGCCGCTGTTCTTGCATCCATCCGAGGTGACCTGAAGACCGCAAGCTCTTGATAAGGATGCCGCAATGGTTGGACGGAACAATTGCTCTCTCGTGAATAACCCGCAATTCTGCCAGCAGGGACATCTCAGACTTGCAGCTTGCACTCTTTCCTCAACGTTTTTGACTTAATATGCCTCCTCCCATCGACTCGTCCACCGCAAGAACGTATCATGGTAACTGTCATTGCAAAGCGATTCAGTTCACAGTAACACTCCCCGAGCCTCTGCATCCCGAAGGACCAGGCAAAGTGACACGTTGCAACTGTTCGATCTGTACACGAAATGGTGTGTATCTTTTCCCACGCCCACATTAGTCGTTGACCAGGCATGGGAAGCTCACAAACAATTCCGCTGCCCAGGCTACTTCTTGGTATATCCACTGCGCGAAGATGTCACATTCTTAAACGGCAGCGACAAGAGAATGAAAATCGATTCTGTCGAGAGTGCAGTAGCAGCATTCTCATCGACTTCCAGCACTCTGATGTAGGTAGGCAGCGGATGTATCTGGCTGTCAATGTACATTCTTCTCTCTGGCACGCGTTCCCCAGTACGCCTCGGCGCAATCGAGAGCAAGACTGACGGTGGTGCTGCGCTGCCCGAGTAGGCAGCGATGTTTCAGGACTTTGATCCGAGTAGCGCGGACCTGAGACTCTTTGATGGGAGAAATCGACTGCAACCAGCATACGAGGCGTAGTCATTGGACGAAGAAAGTCTACCCAGAAGATACAAAACAACAAAAATCACAACTGTCATCAATCATCAATCATCCATCATCTCCTCCATCTTATCACTCGTACTTGTCACTCCGTCTCGCCGCACACTCAGGACTGGAACCAGCCAAATCCTCGAATGCGCAACTCACTGTTGCAGTGCCTCCAAAAGCCAAGCTGGAACGTCCTCAGCTGCAGCATCGCGTTCGATGAGGTAGGGTGCGACTTGCAAAGCATCACCCGCGACTTGCTCGCCGATGTCGAGAGCCTTGTTCACCAGTGCGCATCACGCTTCTGCATCGCCTCCTGAAGCCACGCTGGGATCTCCTGATCGTTCACGCCGCGCCTGAGGATGATGTTGTCGATGGCGGTGTAAAGCGTCTTCCACCAGTTTGGGTCGCGGCGGTCTAGATCACCGACGTCTCGTCTGAGAATGAGGTTGTCAATGGTGGAGTAGAGAGTCTTCCACCAGTTGGGATCACGACGTGTCAGAGCATTGATGTCACGCCTGGTGTTCACACGCCCGAAGTCCAATGATAGTGGGTGGGAACGATAATAGCGCTGCATTACAAAGTCAGCAAAGGATACTGTTTTCATCTGCACAAGCCGCGACTGGGTAAGGTCTTGAGTTGCGCGTAGAACGTAGACTCCAAGCCAGCTCCAAGACGAATTTGGTATTGTCTCTTACCTGAGCTTCCTGGTAACTGCGCTGTGCATCCTTGTTGTTCAGGTCAAGATCAAACGAGCCAGGGTCGGCAGATCGCTCATTGATACCAAGATGGTTTGCGATATCCTCGCCCCAGTCAAGCGCTCCACTGAAAACATCGTCGTACCAGTGTGGGTCTGGCACAGCAGATCTTTCATTAATGCCAAGATGGTTGGCAATGTCCTCACCCCAGTCCAGAGCGCCGCTGAAGACATCATCGTACCAGTGAGGATCAGGTCGGGCGGATCTTTCGTTGATTCCGAGATGGCCTGCGATGTCCCCGCCCCATTCTAGGGCACCTTGGAAGACATCGTCATACCAGTGTGGATCAGCTGCCCTCTTCTGATAGCTGCCAGCAGCTTCGAGAAGTTGGATGACATCGTCATTGCTGAGCGGTCGAGGACGAGCAGCAGGCAGGGCACGGACGGCTTCAGAAGAGGCCAGAATAGCCAAGGCCAGCTTGGAAGAAGTGGAAAGGGCACGCATTGTGTTTATCGGAAGTCGACCAGCGACGGATGACAAAAGAGAAGATGAAGGAGATGATGAACTTGATGATGATGATGATCGCTGAAGTGGTACGACGATGAGGCTATTTGTATTCCTCAGCAGTATTGGTGGCCAAACTCAATGCCCGCCACAAGCGATGCTATGACTTCGCGATGTGCTGGGACCTCATCGAAGCGCCGAGACATACTGCAGTTCGTGGATATCTTGTTTCCGAGCTTGATCGTGAGCGCTGTCACCGCATTGGTTGGTTTTACGCGGACTGAACCTCCGGCCATATGAACAAGGGCCGAATTCGCCGAAGCAGGAAAATAAGCTGTCCAAGCAGCCTCTTGGATCTTCAATCGGCATGCTCTACGAGGCTTGACATCTATCCCCGGTGACTTGGCGGTGATTCTGGACAGCTGCGTGGGTCACGCGCCTACAAGATTGGTTGAGTGCAGTCGACTGAGGGAGTTCTCCGAGTAGTCTGGCGACTCCAGCTATTCCAAAACAGATTAGCTGAGGCTGATGAAACTCGAGCACGATCGATTTGCTGCCGAGCATTGCAGGAATACCTCCTCTGGTATATTTCGTACTCTCTCGAGAACACTTCCAATCCATGAAATTCGCCGGAGCCGTGAACACTTCAGCAAGCAGTACGAGAGGTCGTCTACGCCATCAAGGTGTGGATCGTCGCTGCTCCGCACTGAGCTTTGATGCACGATAGTTTGCCCCCAACATAGGCAGTACGCGGTGTGGTCTTCGTGGCATTGATAGTGACAGCCTGTGCTTCAACCTGAGGCGAGGCTGACGTCGAGAACAAGATTTGTCTCCAGGCTTGGCGACCACGTGGGTGATGAGACCGCAGTTCGCCCGAAGTTGTGACATGCCATTTGACGTGGCATGAACAACAACAATAGCCATCCGGCTCGCCACAGTTCGCCTCCGCGGGACCGTGTACCTCTTTCCTGTACAAGATCCCCCTTGTGGCTAGAATCCGGAAAGAGACCTCGGCGAGATGCGAAAGGAGTACTGGGAAGTTGCCACTACTAAACGAGCAAGCTCTGTGCTCTTACAGAATCAGCTGTCGTGCAGCAACTCGTCGCCGATACAGTGGTAAGGTGGGCTGAAACTGCGTTGAATCTCAAAGACGGCGGTTTCTTGTATCATTTGGCCCGGCAACTTCAGCCTTTCGAAGATCTGCGACATACTGTTGTTGCTGGCTGTACACAAGACGAGTCTCGGCGACAGGCAGCGGTCAGCTCGGATCTTCTTCCAGTGATTCAGACGGAGTTTGTCAATACCTATCACAAGAACTCTGACCTCAAATGGCTATAGTCGTGCATCGACCCGAAGTCCCTCAAAAATCTCGTGAATCGTAGAACAGGCGTCTGGGCCAAGTTGATCGTGTCCTTGTAGTTCAAACTTGTTGGAGAGCCGTCTCACAGTATCGACTTGGATACTAGGAGCCTTCGGTACTGCAGCACAGATTCGCACGCATAGAGCGCTTTCGTCAACGTAGCTGGACACTTCGACCCACAAGACCTCTGCGCGGCAACACTGGTTCCGCGGCCATCTAGATTCCGCGGCGAAAGATATCACTGGCTGCATTAATTAATTTGCGTGCGCTCCCTGCATATTGCTGCAGATCGTGAGCCTTCTTCGCCCTTGCCCGGGTGTGTCGACATGCCTACGGCCACTGATTACGGCAGTCGTCTCTGCGCATGATTGCAGAGAGTTATCGTCGCGAAGCTCATCTTCAAACCTCGTCTGAATGCACGCCTATACTCGAAACGACGCCTAGGCCTTGGCATAAACTCCATTGTACCACTACCCAGGAGGAACAGCGGAGGAACATCTTGATAACTCATCAAGCAGTGATGATACACACAAAGTTACGTTGAGAGCTTGCTGCAAGCTTCATATGTTCTTGGCGGAAAGCTCGGATGTTGAAACTTGTACTGGCCAAAGAAAATACACCTACGCCACGCCAAGACGATGCAGTGAAGCATGCCGCATTGGTCGATTGCGCGACTTAGCCTGAGGCACAGACACTCTACGTCTATGTGACAGCAGTAAGTGGATTTCACAAGTTTCGACACCTCAGCCAAGGCTGGGAACAAGGGCGAGACCACGAGTTCAGCAGAAGATCGCTGGTTGAGCTGGCAGCAATACTCTATCAAAATGCGACGCCAAGTCAAACCTTTCGCATCGACGATAGGAATGTCTACCTCAGTACTACCACTCACATTGGCAGGTATGTATATATTCATCCTTCAGCACTTGTGCTTTTCAAACTCAGCAAACCACTCAATCATTCGCTTCCCACACTCATTTCACCAAGCCATCCTCGATTATGTCGACCCGAGCACTGCTTCTCGCGACCGCGCTGCTGGCAGCGCCGCTCGTCCACGGGCACTACATCTTCTCCCAGTTGATCGTCAACGATAAACCAGTCGGCACCGATTACACCTACATCCGCAAGAACACCAACACCTACATGCCTTCCTTCACTCAGGACGTCATCAACTCGCCAAATCTCATCTGCAATGAGGGAGCTCAAAGGCGGCTTCTCAGACTTACGATGTCAAAGCTGGTGACAAGATCGGCTTCAAGCTCTAGTACAACGAGTTCATTGAACATCCTGGTCCAGCCTTTGTCTACATGTCAAAGGCACCAGGAGACGTCGCCAGCTATGATGGAACCGGCGATTGGTTCAAAGCGTATGAGAATGGAGTTACCGGTTCTCCAAGCCAGGACACCAATTGGGGAACTTGGCAGAAGGACCGAATTGAGTTCACCATCCCAAAAGAAATTCCGGATGGCGAGTATCTTGTTCGCGTACGTGAAGTCTTCTATGATATTTGGCGTTCATGATCGATCAGCTAACGGTCCACAGCCAGAGCACATCGCAATCCACGAAGGACACGTTGGTAAGGCGCAGTTCTACATGGAATGTGCTCAACTCCGCATTTCGGGCGGCGGAAACGGAACGCCGAGTCCTCTTGTGAAGATTCCAGGCCTGTACAGTGCCCAGGATCCCGGTATTGCTTTCAACAAGTGGGGTGGCAACGTTGGTAAGCTATGAACGAAATGGGCTACATGATCTCTTTCCCTTATACTAACGTGTACGTCTGCATAGGCAACTACGAAATGCCCGGTCCCGCTGTCTGGAGTGGTGGAGGCTCTGGCGGTAGCGCGTCGACCAGCTCGAGCGGCAACAATTCTACTGCCGAAGTGTCAGTTGGTGGAACTGGTGCTGCTACTTCGGATGCTTCTAGTCCTGGAGCCTCTACTTCTGGTGGCTCTACTCCTGGTGGCTCTGCGGGATCTGCTGGTACTGGTGGCACGACTGGCACTAGTGCCGCCACTGGCTCGGCTGGACCAGCAAATGGTTCCTCTGGCTCCCAAGCTGGTTCTTCCGGCGGCTCGTCCAACACATGGGGTACCACTGCCGGACAGGCTCCATCTTGGGGCTCTTGGACTGCTGGTCGCTTCCGCCGCAGCTTCATTGCCTAGGCATTGTGAGATATACGCGAATTGGGCGAGCGCAGAGGGAAGCGAAGCGGGACAAGGGACAGGCGACGGACTCAATCGACTGATGTGCTGGACACTTAGGCTTATACATGACATACAAAACGAAGCTGGTTGCTCGAACAATTCTCTCCTTTCATTTTGCAAGCGAACCTGCCCTCAACTTTGGGGCAATTCATCCAGGCAGGAAATGATATATGGACAAGGGAATCAATGACATCGTCGTGTTGGTCCTTCAGGTATTGCGTTTCCCGTGGGCGAGCCTTGCGCAGTTGATGCTTTCCACCTTTTGCAACAACTTGACCTGATCTCTCTAATGCATACCGCCTTCAGACATTACTTGTCCACCCTCGTTCCATGATACTGGGTTTCTCAAAACATAGCGGAATCTCGAAAACCAAACATGGACAGCCGAGACGCTGTTTACTAGTAAAATAACCTGCCGCCATCCCTGGTCTCGTGTAGGGTTAGGCTTGAATCCGATATTTCCTCCGGGCACGAATGTTCAAACACGATTGTAATGCAGAACACTCGCTATAGACAGATTTTCTCGCTGCGATCTGTCTTTACATACGCATTACTACGCTACAGCCCTTAGTTTTCGCATTTCTACTGCGTTTCTCGGAGAATTAGGTGCGCATTGCCTCTCGAGCCCCTTCTTGGCGACTCCGCTATGTTTTGAGAAACCCAGTAACTAATCACGACTCCACCCGAAATCTTTCCGCAGGCTATCTGGTAACCCACATTTTTCGCTGCTCTTTAGTCTGCTCGGATGCGGACAATGACCGGCATACTCGAGAAGTGCCACTGCTATCCTCATGCCAAGTTTGTGTTATCTTGTGCCAATTTGACTTGCAATAAGTATGTCTCACAGATTTTTCTGGATGCGAAATTCTTGCACGGTCGAGGCGTCGAGTGCAGAGACCGATCGAGAGCGGCTGCTCGTTATATAAAAAGACTGTTCGATGCAGAGTAAGTGTAATCACTTTCGCGCCCTTGTCTAGTTGAAAGAGTAACCCGCATACCATAGCCTCGGTGAAGGGGACAACATGAGTAAGCACTAGAGCAGCCGTGTCCTCATGGTACTAACCTCAAGTAGAGTTCTTCCTACTCGTTCCACTCCTGGCCTCACTGCCTCTTGCCATTGCACGCAGCAAAAACAAGCCTGGATGTAGGTCGACCGCGATCTCACGTCATACAATCGCTTCGCGGAGCTAAACGATAAATTCGCTGAAGACTTCGATTACAACTGCAGCGACATCTGCGACTACGAAGGCGTCAAACGATGGATCAAGCAAGCATGCGAGGGCATTGGAGGTTCGAGCACAACAGAAAACGGAGCTTGGTATAACAGTAATGGCGGCATCATTGAAGGACACGCTATCTGCCTTTGCGCGAGAGGACAAACCAGCCCGCATGACTATACCATCAGTGGCGACTATCCTGCCGGCACAGCTACGCTCAAGTTTGATGCTTCCAGGGGTCCCTATACGTGTCAGCGCTCGGGGTAGCTATAGTCGGCTGATACGTAGCATTTGTGGCTGCTCTCAGGTTGCTGTCTGATTTGAGGACCCCATAGACTGGAACTCTGCTCAATGGAGCCAGAAGTTCTCGATTCATGACGACTTCGGTCAGATGTTTCCGCAGTAGCAGCTCGTATCATGCTGATGCGTGTCCAAGGCACCAGTGGGAAAATGTCTTGAAACAGAAAGAGGCAACTCAAGCGCTCCACTTTCTGGGAAAAGCATCTAGCCGCGTGATGTCGATCACCCATCTAGATAGCTATCAAAATAGTCCGTGTCGCCAACGACAAGCTTCGGAAAGTTTACTCGCGTTGCCCACCGAATGTTGGTCGAGTACGGTGTCTCGACCGAATCGTTCCCGTGCGAACCCGAAATGTCAGACCAAGTTGACTTCGGTCCCGCAGGACGATGGTGATTGAACAGAGCAGGCTGCGGCGAAAGGCAAGTCATGAGATCCCTTCCACTCACGCCGTCACAGAGAGCCCTGTACATCATATCAAGTGGGTCCGTGATCTTGTGAACACCGAACTCATACAGCATCTTGCGTGCTCCATCTTGAGAGACCGCATAGGCCAGCGTGCAAGTATTCACGCGTGATCTTGCAACGACGCGTGTATGGTCCGGATACTGATCCACGAGCTGGGTATCTCCAAACTCGATGTTGATGTGCTTTCTCGCAGGGACAGTTTCATCATCGGAAATGATAGCTCGTCCGATCGGAACATTCTTGTCCTCAGCCCATGGAAATCGGCAACCGCAGTGTCCCAACCACAGCATTCCCCATCGACTGAGATCGCCGTATGGTGATGTCGTTCGCACAATAGTTGATGTCTCGTCATCGACCTCAAAACTCGGAGGCTCAGAAATCCATGAATCTGGCTGAGGCCAAGTAGGATCAAGATGTTCGTTGTCTGTACCGGACAGTGGCTGGATTAATAATCTTGAAGCTTTTGCGAAATCTCGCATCTGCCGTTTGATCCGGATGTCCCAATCTGCATCGTCTTCGAGTATGAGCGCGGAGGAGATATTCTGCTCCACGATGCTGCAAAGTGGATCAGACGAGTACATGGCATTTTGAACGTTGATGCAACGCACGTTCTGATCACATTCAAATGAGATCTCCACGCTCCTGCACCGCCTTGATTGAGCTTCGTTTCTTTACCACCAGGCGGCCAAGCCTTCTCATTGACATGAGTGACAGCTTCAACAAATTCCACATCCAGTCCGGTGAGAGCAGCGGCGAGAGTACCAGCGTCCCTTCGATCCGTTCTTGTTGGGAGATTGATCATGAAGACTTTGTGGAACTTACGACAGAAGTCAGCACGTTTGGGGAGAAAGGAGGTGTGTCCTACTCACGCCAAGCGTGGCGTTCGAAATATCGTCCAGCGAATCATCTTGTTTTCCTTGTGCTGCACTGGCGATCGATGCCAGTCGATTTGTGATTGTAGCCTGTGCAGGCTGGAGATGAGCAGCATTGTAGTCGGCGAGAAGCAGGATACAAATTACTACCAAGGTCAGCCCTGCAGAGAGTGTCAATGCTCTACGCGAAACAAATACGGAAGGAGACATTGGGAGCTCATAGCAACGAGAAGGTCGACACTGCAGGAAGAACTGCCTTTCGCAGAGGTAAGGGGTTGCCAAGGATGACTAGTTCTAGCCAGTCGCTGCTCCGCGCCCTCCCGTGCCAGTGACTTGACCCCGGAGTTTTGCCAGCTCTTGAATCGGGACCATGGGCTCATCATTTTGTATGTACGCACCAAAGTACTTTGTGGCTGGTAGCCGCATTGTCACTTTGAGCATTGCGTGATCCATCGAGGAAGCGAGGCTTTCGCGCGATTCTCAAGCCCCGATGTCCACGTCTTCACTGTCTTGCTGTGGGGAATTTGCGGAACCCTCTCTCTTTTCACGCAAACTCTCCAACTTCTCGCCACATTGCTCAAATGTGGCCTTCACTCGCTTCAAACAGCTAATCTCTCCTCCAGCCGTCCCTGTTCCTTCTCAAGAACAACTACCAATTGCTTGATCTCGGCACGCTGTTGGCGAAACTCTGCCTCGTCTGTCGCATACCATTCCTCATCTTTGGCCAAGGTCTCTTGCATATTCTGGTTGGCCCGATCCGCTTCCTCAAGCACGCGAGAGTGCAGTTCTTCAACCTCTTGCTTTGTGAATGGAGGCCCGCGTTCAAGCCTGTCGGTACAGGACTGGATCCGGTCATGCGCTACACGATGCTCGACATCGACGACGGGAGGATCAGCTTACTTGGCTGACAGACGACTGCGGTTCTCTGATTGCCTTCTCTGGTCTGGGGTTGCCGCATGGAGCGAGGTCCTGTGCCTGAGCTGGGAGAGCACGAAGGAGGGCCTTCTGTGGCTCGTGCGAAGTGGTGGCATCCCGCGTTGGTGTCTGGTTCTCCTTCTTGAACACGTGAGCGATGATGGTGCTTGCAGCTGAGTGCACCTTGGCGCACCAAGTTGCCTGCATCGTTGTCCGTGAAGCTCGCTGCCTCTGCTGGCGAAGCCTGGGCCATTGTCGGATGCGGAGTGAAGTTGACGGATCAGTGGGGAGAATGATAAGGCGTGTGCGGGCCTGCTGTGTGACTAAGGCAGCAGGCAGTAGTGACGGCTTGACGTGGAACGCGCAAGTTACGCGTCACGGTCGTGTACACACGACGCGATCACTTCTGCTTGAGCCCCTTTCGCTCACTCGTGGCACTTGCAAGGGCCGTGTCCCGCACCCAACCGGGAAAGATGTGGCCTCCAAACATCATGCTCAGGCAATTGATATGAACGAATGCCGAAGTGAGGATGCTGAATTGCAAAAGGTTTCGTCTGGACAGAAGCGATCGCTCTGCAGGCTGATCGGCTGCTGATTGCCCTCCAGATAGGAGATCAAACGCGTTGAATACAACAAACACCAAGACAGGATGCAACGCACGAAGCATAGTCCAGAGCTGCTGCGACGCTATGCCCTCACCCTCAGGCTTGAGGTGCACCATGAGCACAGTAGGCAGAGCGTGTCCAACAAGAAGTGCGCAGCCAACGATCTTGTCCGGGCTGATGAGTCCATTCCATTCAAATTGTTTGTGGAGTGTAACGTGAGCGAGGACGACAATGGCGGCAAGCAATACAGCTGTCAGGTACCGCGTGGTTGACATGGTTGCAGATACAATAGTCTTCCGGAACTCTGCACCCCTTGGAATTCTTTCGCCAGCTATATGTACTTCTTCGGGATTTTCCTTGCCTGTCCACCATGTAATCATGTTCACTAATCCCAAAAACTCCACGACCAACATTCTAATCTCAAGGTACCGGTAGGCCCAATTCGCGAGTACTAGGCAGGGTCCATTGCCGATTGAAGTCACCCCATTGTCCCAATTGCGACTAGTCTGGCATCTCCTCTCCCATTCGTCGAACCGATTCCGGTGTACGCTCATAATACCACACTGCATTTTCAGCCTTCGCACAGCTAGTATTGCGGAATTGCTCAGTAGGCAACCAATCTCCATCCTGTGGCCTTCCATTCAAATAAAAGTAAAACCATACTTCATCAAGCACCGTACGGCCGCTATCGTTCGATCCGGTCCCAGCCTCAGTTTCGTTAAATCTTGGCCCACTGCAACCGAGGAAAGGAGTCCCGCTGTACTGTGCACGCAGCGAATCTTCAAGGTCGCCAATTGTATACTGAGTCTCGTTCGAAGGCACAATCCCATCTTGTGCAAGCCATGACCACACTGGAAGACGTCGGTCGAAACGAACAGTGTCCTCAAAGTACTCGATGTAGTCCTCGTGACCGGTATAATTTGGTCCATAGCACTGCGGATCATAAACAGAGAAGCACGTCGCATGCTTTGAGTGTTCATGAGTGTGGAGGATCCAGCTATCCTGACCTCTGCCGACCATATAGGTGTTCAAATACTCCAAAAGGTCCAGACGTCCAGTCGCTTCGAACGGCGTGAGATATGGCTCGCCCGTGTAAGGAGGAATTGACTCTCCATCTGGTTGGCCAGTTGTGGTATTAGGGCCTGGGAGGGGATCGGTCTGTCTGTTAGCGATGTCACAATATTCTGGATATGAGCCATCACACTTTCACCATGTATCAGCGCACTGTCAAAATCGCATATACTTTCAAACTCACATAATCGATCCAAAGCCCATGGATCGTCCAACGGTTCCGCGGAAGCGATTGTCCCACCTCTTCTCGTCCAGTATGTGTCATCCAGTAATACGTCTGCAAGAACAGCCCACCATTCATTTCTGTGCAGCAAGTATCAACATTCGAGATGTTGGCGGCTTTGGAGCATGTAAGAAAAGGCGTTTTCATAACACATGTATGGTTCTGGTTTGACTTTTCGAACAGTGGCGACTGTCGATGAGGAGAAGCATCTTCCCAGAACGACCCATTGCCTGTCGTATTCTGGCCCCGCGCGCTCGCGAGAAGTACACTTGCGATAATACTAAGGTACCTCATGTTTGACGAGATGGAAGTCTAGCCGTGACATGTGAAGCGCGGACGAAGCTGCTTATACAGCCGCTCTCGCCCCGGAGTGATCATCACCAACCACAAGATCGAAGCTTGTTTCCCGACATGTGGTCAACGCCTTACTGCATCAGGCAGGTCCGGCCAGGATCTGAAGGGTTTGCTAAGTCCAGTGCTTGGCAGAATACTGGGCAAGTGCTCTTGGCTCCAGGCTTGTCTGACACGTGGGCGAAGATCGATGTCCGAGAGGCTCAACACAATTCGCTGATAGTTCTAGAAGAGGTAGACACCCGAGACGCCGTTTCGTCAATGCCTTGACACTGCCACTCTTGTTCGTGCTGTAGATTGTCAACAAGTATAGGAAGTAGTATGGAGTGTGAGATGTATGGCGCAATTCTTGGTCTCATAACGTCTCTTCTCAAGAGTCGAAGTAATTACGATTAATGATCTCGCCAAATCAAACATTAGTACACGAGGAACAAAGCCTTCGTATCGATATTATCTTTCCCCCCTGGTCTTAGATCTCTGTCATGTGCACGGCCACTGTCCTACCCCCGAACGACGGTACACCTGCTCCATCTGTGCTAATTAGTACCACTGAGGATACCACGGATCTGTCAGATCGAAAATGACGACGGAATGTGGCTTGGCACCGCCATAAGTGTCTGCGAAAATGCTTGCGAAGTCAATGCTTCGGCCGAAGGAGAGTGCTCCGTTCGGGAGAATGTCGATGTACAGAATTCTATAGTCGGCAGGAGTGTTGACGACTCCTGGAAAGGATGAGTGTCAGCACTTATTACGGCAAAGAATGTATTTGGCTCTCATTGTACTCACCTATTGGCCCTGTCTGCACAAAGTAGTCGCAGACGACGAGATTCCTCTGATCAGGCGTCAATTTGAGATAGTGGGCTCCAACGACAGGTTGAATCTCGTATGGGTTATCGAGTCGAATGGGGTTTCGCAGATCGGTTATGTCTAGGGCAGCAATATGGTTACCAGTCGTGAATGTAACTAGCAGAAAGTGTCAGCGTCAGAAGGAAGGTTAAAAGACTGCCAGAGGATTCACAGTATGCGAAACGACCATTCTTGCTGATCGTGCTGAAGACGGCGACGGTGTCACGATACTCGAACTGGTAAAATAGCTCCGCTACACCAGGCTTGCCATACTCGTCCAATCGGTAGGGATAAATGATCCAAACCTGACCGGGATGCACGGCGGTGCACAGAGCCGCTCCTTCGGGATTGCCGGGAATCTGACATAGTGTCAGGATTTGTTAACGGTATAGTGAAGAGGCGACATACAAATTTGACATCCTGTATACCACCACCATCGCTGTCACAAGCAGTTAGTCTGCGATTCGGCAGAAGTCTTCTCCTCACAGTTGTTGCACCTACAGAATATTGATTGTGTTTATGATGGTGCGCGTTGCGAGGTCCCAAAGCCGAAGGGTCGAAGCCCTCTGTACTCCGTCGATGGTCGTGGAGACCGGCTTTAGCACAGTCAATGGCACCACAAAATCCCTGCGACTCGTCAGTACAAGTTCGTTGCAGTGCTTAAATTGGCAGCAAATACGATGTCAGAATAAGGCCTCTGTCAAAGTCGATGCTAAGTCCATGAGGCGAGAACTGTTGGCCGAGGATGTTCAACGTGCCATCGAGGTCTTCAGGCCATTGATGTATGATTTCGTATTCTGGACTGGTTTCAACCAGACGTCCTCAATGCGCATTAGCTGGAACACGCGAGGCCATTCACCACTGCATTTTACCAGGAGAGGTGCCCAGCAGCGAGTCCATGTAGGTGAAAAAGAAGCCACCTCCAGGTTTCGCGACGACTTCATCTGCAATGGAAGCGGAAGTCGCTCGGTCGGATTTCCAGTACCTATTAGATGACGCAGACTGTCAGCAAACCTTTCGTTCACGATGAACTCTTACTTGAAGAGCTTACCGCGGGTTGTATACATCCGAAGTGTCGATGTAGATGCCTGTGTCCTGGGTCTTCAGCAGGGAGAGCAGACATCCGCCCCAAAACACCTGCCCGTCCAAAGAAACCGCTTCGAACGAGTCAGTAGCTGCGTCAAATTATCATGTGATTGGCTGCCCATCTTACCTGAATGATGTGGACTGCACCCGGAGAGGCCAATCTCGACGACCCGCAGCAATGTGCCGAAGGTATCGTCGTCCAGACTGAACGTTGCCTATGAAACGGTCAATCCAGCTTCTCCACAAGACAAGTGCCCCTCTGTCCACTAACGAGGAAGTCTGAATGCACATTGTCGCCCGCGGCGGTCCAGAAGTAGCCAATTTTTTGCGGACGAATATCACTGCCAAAATACCCGGGCGTGGTCAAGGGAGGTGTGGGCAGCTGCAGGATGGGCAGTGGAGGTGCTGCAGCATAAATGGGGTCTAGCAGTTCCAGTTTGGGAAGCAGTGGTGGGAGTGATAGGGACTCCTGCAAACCACGTGGTACCAACGGTGAGAAAGCATTCTCTCGTTTCGTGTGCTCCAGTAATGCTGCGGCTACTACAGGCGTCTGATCGATATGAGGAAGAGCAAATGTAAGTCGTACGCATGCCGCGAGGGCAGAGAGTGTCGTAGCCAGAACCATTCCGATCAACGAGCGCGGGCGGCTTACGCCAACAAACAGAGAGCGAGAATGAGAAAGAATGCGCAGTTTTCGTCGGCTTTGCGGACCAGGGTTGTGCGTACTTGAGGTCAACTGTGAAGTTGCGCTCTCATCGTCCCTGTTCGAACAGCTTCACCATGTCTGTCTACTTCATGACGCCCCAAATTGCGAATATGGCGTGTGATGGTTCGATCTTCCTCCCCAGAGCCATAGTAGCAGCATCAGTCCTATCCTCGCCTGCATTCGTTGCCAGGATCTCGAATTCGATAAGTGACTTGGTTGCTGTCACGCAGCCTCGGAGCTGCGATCGAAATAAACAGCGCTACCCCGGACTGTCGTGTTCATACGGTGCCGAGACAATGCACCACCAGAAGCTCGATGGAGAGGCTGTATATTGCCCAAAAGAGAAGAGTTCTGCTAGGGTTGTGCTCACGCGACGTCTGTGCAGGATTGCACCATCAACAAGCTTTCGACGTTGTCCGGCTTTATTTCGACGTACCCGAATGGCATCTCAGCGGACCTCGAGGTCGTCTAGATACTTTCGTGGTCTGCAATGCTCCAAGTGAGCGTCGTCAATAGCAAATTGTTGATTTACAGGGAGGGTCCCTCTTGGAAATCATGGAAATTCAGCGCATCATGCTCGAAGGTCTCTCCAGATGCAGAAACCTCACACGTCGAAGATGCTTAACTGCACGGAAGATCCAGATCCTATTTGGATGTTCTACACACTGGAAGGAAGGGCGTGACCGGCATGGGTGCCAAAACGCCATCCCTATGGATCATTCATCATCTCGCGAAACGCACAAGAGAGTTGAGCATCCCAGCAGAATAGCCGCCAAGCGATAGAGTGGACCAACTGCGTCTCCAGAGGAACAACTCTGAGTTCGACAAATTTTGAGAAACTCGAGATCGCGTTTGGTGCCCTTGCTCCTTATTTGTTTGAGCGAGGGCTTTAAGGCCGCTGACTAACGACCTTGCCATATGAGGTACTTGAAGATCGCTTGCAGAAGAGTTCAGCCATTGGCCACCTGTCCAAGAATGCCATGTACAGAAACGCTGTACGGTTGACACCCAAAGTGGAAGCCTGAAAGCAGTGGTATTGAAGTCTCATGGACCAGGCCCCTGAAGCTTCACCTATCCATGGTCCAGCCCTTGGAAGAGTATGGTCTAATCTCCCATTTGAAGTCGTGCGCAGCGAGGTCCAGGAATCAAGCCAATCCGATCAACAATAAAGTACGTGCCTGTGGTTGACGAGAGGTTTTGGGGTGTAGCTGTGTCTCGCTAGCTTGCCCACCTCCGAGCGTCCGTCAGCATGATATCTCTTTCACTTTTCACGAGTGCTGCAGCGCTTCTGGCGTGTAATGCCGAAGCGAGACCGTTCTTTTCGGAAGCAGGCACTCAAGGCAGTCCGCAGCCTCAGGTGCTCAAGAACGCTTTCAATTACAAGCGCGGCCTTCCATCAACCTTGAGCTCAAAGCATCTGCGGCCAGTGCTTGAGCCAAGAGCTGAGCCAGAGCAGATCATATCTTCGAACGGGCCCAATGTCAATGTTCCAGGCTACTCATCGGACGAGTTCGCAAAAGGACAGCCGATCAGTTCCAAGACTGGGAAAGGAGCTCCACTGCTTGGTACGTTCCCGTTCGTACGGGATTCCTACTGCGCCTTGCTGACAGTGCCGACAGGAGGAACGAATAACATCATCGATGTTCAGAACCCAAGCAACCTGGGACAAGAGCCAACTGATCATGGTGTCGTGGTCAACTTGAAGTGGCGCTTCTCAGGCTCAAAGACAAACCTGTACAAGGGCGGCTGGGCTCGTGAGCAAGTGATCACAGACCTTCCGGCGAGTCAGGATATCTCGGCCGCTCAACAACATCTGAAGAAGGGTGCTTTCCGAGAGTTGCACTGGCACAAAGTCGTGAGTACGGACAGTCCTCAAACAGAGATATGCTTAGCTGACTGTGCCAGTCTGAGTGGGCCTTCGTTTACGCTGGGCGGGTCGCCATATCGGCCGTAAATGAGCATGGTGAAAACCAATATGACATTTTGGGGCCAGGTGACATTTGGTTTTTTCCAAAGGGCGTGACACACGGAGTCCAAGGCCTTGACGCTGAGAATGAGGTATGTAGAAGGTCTCGAGCACAGCAAAGCATGCTCGGGGACTGACTGGGTGTGCAGCTTTTGCTCGTCTTCGACGACGGTGATTTTGACGCCACAGGTGTGACTTTCAACGTTGATGACTGGATTGCGCACACTCCAAAGGATATTCTGGCAAAGAACTTCGGTGAGAAGCAGAGATCCATGCCGCTGTGATCGCACCACTGATCTCCGTGAAGGTGTGAGCGCTTCCCTCTTCGATCACGTTCCGACTGGAAATCCCAAAATACTGCCTGGCGAGTATCCCGCCGATGATCAAACAGTGGAGCATCCGTACGGGGACTTAAGCTCTTCCATCAACACGAGTTACGTGATTCGATCCAAGGTGCGTACGAGTGACATTACACAAGGTCAAACATTCTAACCTCATAGACAGGATGTCGCACCGAAGGTTGCGCCAGGTGGAGGAGGCACTATCCAAGTGTTTGACTCCAGAAACTTCCCCATTTCCACAACGATTGCATCGTCAGTGGTGACCATCAAGCCTGGAGGTCTTCGTGAGCTGCACTGGCATCCCACGGTGAGCCAATCGCACCAGAAGTTAGGGACGCCCTCGCTGACATCTAGCAGGTGCAGGAGTGGGTGTATTTCGCCCAAGGCCAAGCGCGTGCAACGGTGTTCATGGGTATGGTCCACATGTGCAGGCTGAAGGTGATGCTAACTGTCCGATTTTTGCACCTCAGGCAACGAAGCTGCTCGAACATTCGACTTTGCTGCTGGTGATACCGCAGTCTTCCCAGACAACTCAGGTAAACATGGGTTCCAGGTGTGACTCGGCTCCCAGGCTGACTCGAAACAGGCCATTATGTTGAGAATACTTCGCCGAACGAAGATCTGGTGTGGATCGAGATCTTCAAAGCCGACAGAGTAGCTGACATTTCGCTAACTCAATGGTGATATACAATGAAATGCGACGACTGATGCGTGGCGGTGCTAATCTTGTCCAGGCTTGCATTGACACCAGCTCAATATGTCGCTGAAGCGCTTAATGTCTCGCTCGAGTTTGTGCATCAGCTGAAGAAGGAGAAGCAGTTGATCATTGCTTAAGTATCCATCGGGGCAGCGCATGCTTGACACAATGGCTTGGCGCGTTGATCTTTTGGCCAGGCGGAATGTAATGGGGTGTAGTTCTCTTCAGATTAGCCGTTTGCTGCCTCGACTCTCGTGTAGTCGCTTTAATTCAACCGCCTGGCAGGTGATCACCAAAATGCCAAGTCTCCAGCATTCCTAAAAGCTTCGCAGGCTTCGTGCTTGTTCTCTGATGCCATTCATCGCAAGTTTGAACGTCTTGTCAATCCACCGCGGGTGCTTGTTCTGAGTCTCATAGCCGTGTCGTCGCCTGCAGGCCGATGCATCACTGCAGCACAGACTGGTTGCCAATGCCATAACGAAACACTGCCCGCCACGATGAAGGCGTTGCTGGAAACCCGACAGATGGTGTATTTCCATACGGATGAAACGGACACTTTCGAGGAGGTGGAGTTGGAGATGCTTGGCATTGTTGGCCCAAACTTCGGGTCGGATCGGAAAGCTCAACCTCGTTTCATCCACCACCTTCCGTCCAGCATCTTCCATCTTCATCGTGCAACATCTCGCGGCACTGAGAACCGCTTGCAGACCTCACTTGGTTGTCGGACAATTTATCGGCCCATCTTCGACATTATCAGTGTTCCACCGCCTTGATGGCCACGACATGCCCCCCGCATCTCGTGTCAATGGCACCCGCCATGCATATTCTTCCGGCGGCAGACAATTTGGACATCTGAGCGGGTTGGAGCACGACACAAGTCCTATGCCACAGTCTGTTGGTCAGAAGAGCGAGTTCTAGGGAAGCATGACGCTCGATTGACGACGGAGTAGCATTGGTTTGCCACGCCATGCCCTCCCGCGGAAGAAAGCAGAATACACGGCAAAACGCGTGAATGTAGCCTCTATTCTTCCACCACCCAACTCAGGCATTGATCTACACTGATATTTGTCGCCCCGCATCGGAGCGAGGACGACAAATGCTGCTGAAGTATATAGATATCCACAGCACGAAAAGACCTTGAAAATGCACTGCTCAGGCTGAGACAACACATTCGAGGTGCAAGCTACGATGCAGCTTCGGGGAGTCTTTTGTTCAGGAGCACTGCTGCTTCTGCAAGCTGTAGCTATCAAGTTACCTTCGGAGTATGACACGATATGGACCAGCCAGAGCTTGAACTCCTCGGGATCGATGCCAGTGGGCGGCGGCGATGTCGGTCTCAATGTCTGGGTTCAAGACAACAACCTTCTGTTCTACATCGCCCAAAGCGGCGCTTTCGATGAGAACAATTCGCTTCTGAAGTTGGGCAGAGTCAACATTACGATGAACCCGAATCCATTTGCCTCCAATCGGAGATCCTCTTTCCGACAGCGTCTGAATATCAATGATGGCTACATCACGATTTCTGGTGGCCTCGGGACAGAGCTAAAGATCTGGGTCGATATGGACACTTCTGACATCCACGTGTCGTCGAGGAGCAGGGTTCCGATCAGATACACTGCCTCGCTTGAGTCATGGCGAACAGAAGGTTATCAAATGGTTCCTCCCGAGCAACGTAAGCTACACCATTGATCGCCACGAGTGCTCGCCTCCATGCTGAAATCTTCAGAGCAAACATCGTGGGGAGTGAGCGCAGTGCCACAGCTTCCTGTGCCATACCAACGCCCAGATACTGTTGGCTTCACGGATAGTGGAGTGCTGAGCTATCACCACAACGATGACTTGCCACTCTGGGATGCTCAAGTGGCCGAACAAGATATTCAAGATCCAGAAAGTTTTTTTAACCCCATGAGAAACAACACCGTACGTCTTTCAGTTCTGCCGGAGTGCGCATTGCTGCAACTACTGACTACCCCAGTTTGGTCTCTTCATGTATTCGCCAGACCTAAAGCGGACTCTGATGACCAGCGGCACATACATCAATACCAGCTACACAGGTTTTCAGCTGGCGTCAACTAAGGCATCTTCAAGGTTCTCCCTAATCATTGGGACTGATCAGCAGCAGACTACCGACGTCAACGCTTGGAAACAAGCATTGATCGCAAAGACCAAGGCCGGCTTGTCGAAAAATCAGGCCAGCACCATTGCCTGGTGGAACGCGTACTGGGACCGGTCACACATCATCATCAATCCTGCCGCAGGTAACTCAGATCCAGGCTTTCAAGTCGGCAAAAATTACCAGTACTTCCGATACATGATGGCGTGCAATGCCAAGGGCCAGTATCCGACGAGGTTCAACGGAGGGCTTTTCACATTTGATCCGGTGCTGACAGATCCGGAAGTTCCATTCACGCCCGATTGGAGACGATGGTCCGGAGGAACATTTACAGCTCAGAATCAGAGGCTTCTGTATTGGCCTTTGTTGAAGACTGGCGACTTGGACATCCTCACTCAGGGCATCGACTTCTACGGAAATACATCTCCGAACCATCGCAAACTGGGCCAGCAGTACTTCGGCCTGGATGTCGCACTGACAAGTGAGCAGTTGGACAATACTGGGCTGCCAAACATCTATGAATACAATGCGAGAGCTTTCGGCGATGATTCGGAGGAACGCACAGATCTCTATCCGCCTGGTATTGACTTCAACGATTGGCTGAGCTGGCAGCAAGACACAGCGAATGAGTTTGCGGACATGGCGATCATGGCTCGCTCCGTCTACGGCGAAGATGTCTCCAAATGGGTGTCGTTCGTCGAATATCAACTCGCGTGGTTCGACGAATTCTATCGGCAGCGCAACGGCCTGAACTCGTCCGGAGAGCTCATCATATACCCTGCATCAGGTGCTGAGACTTACAAGCTTGCACTCAATCCATCCTCAACTGTATCTGGCCTTGTCAGAGTCATTACCGATCTTCTGGACAGCGATGTCTCTTTGGTCAAGGGCAACACGACGTACTACGAGCAATACCGTGCGCGAGTACCCAAGACGCCGCTGCACCAATGTCCTGGTGCGACAGGTGGGTTACTCACGAGGTGCTATCTTTGACTGAGCCAATGCTAATCAGAACTCCCAGAACTTACATGCATCTCGCCCGCAACGAACTACTCTTTCGCGCAGAACACGGAACCTTCGGCAATGTATGCCGTCTTCCGTAAGCCTATACTGACCTAACCCATGTTCAGGATTGTTGCTGATGCAGATGCAGCTTGGAGCGAATATGGTCTTGGACAACCTACAAATCTGAGCTTCGCCATCCACACCTACTTCAATGACAGTCAGGCAGCCACTTATCGCGGCAATACGTAAGCTGTTGAGCCCTTCTCTCGTTGTTACACATCACTGATGATTGACCCGCAGCGGCTGGCGACAAGACCAGATCTGGTTTGCACGAATGGGACTCACCGACCTGGCAACAGAATACATCACAGATCGCCTCTCTGACAGCACACGATACAGGTTCTCGGCTTTCAAAGGTCCCAACTACGACTGGTCGCCCGACATCAATCACTATGGATCTGCTGCAATCGGCTTGCAAGAGATGGTGATGCAGACTTTCGCACTGAACAATACGCAAATTCGACTTCTTGGTGCTTGGCCAGCAGACTGGTCTGGTTCTTTTAAGCTTACGGCTCCTCAGCAGACCGTGGTCCAAGGCAAGATCTCAAATTCCGAAGTCGAGAATCTGGTCGTCACCCCTTCCAGCAGGTTACAAGATGTTGTATATGGCCTGGAGAAGAGTCAACACCCGAGTTTTGACTAGTCGATTCTGACGGACGCCACGCATATGCAACTTTTGTCAGACCAAGGACTGGTAGCATTCGCGGTAAACCTGGCATTGTGATGATTCACGACACGATATGAAGCGAAGGATTTCGGTTTTCACAAGTGTACACAGGAAAAGAGCCAATTTGCTGCACCTGTCAGCGATCTATTCGCATATTCCCGGATATATGTAAACTGCACTTCCAGCAGCACATAGTCTTTCGTTCCTCAATTTGCCAGTCCGACTGATGGCCACAAAGCTGTCCTCGCCCTTGAGCCGACTGTCAAGACCGAAACACATGAGCGCATGAAACTCGGAACTAGAATTTTATCCTTGCTATCACCTTGGTCGGAGATCGCAGAAAGAGGTCCGATGATTGCTGACTACAAAGCACCAGCGCTCCACGCAAAGTCCTCCACAACGTGCGTAAATACCGTTCATTTGAAATTGTATTGCTACACTATATGATTCTGACGAGAGGAGGCCCAGGCCGACTATCTTCATGCTCAGCATTGTAGATAAGTCTGACCTGCCTAGGAATCGCCATTTGAAATCATCTGTTGCGTCGTCACTAACCCAATATCTGCATAACATATCGACCAGATGACGCAACTTCGGCCCGTGGTGGAGCAGATCGGTACATGACCACCGATGCCTCTACGCGTCGAACAAGCTCTTTTCAGATCCTGGATTACAGCACTGCACTATCCAACATGGTCAGGCGCAGCATGTGGTCCTGCTCACCTCAGTTGTGGGCCCTGAAACCAGCGGCTCGTCCTTCGCTGGAGCTTGGCCATGCTTCGAAAGCTTCTCACGGCCTCGTTCGGCCCCCGAGCACGAGCGATGCACAATTGCATACTCGTGGGTTCTCTCATATTGATGTTCTCACAGACCCAATGCTCTGGCTCCAAGGACCCTATGACGTTGCCTCTACGATCCCATGCATGCACATATGCACGCACAAGATATCTCCCACTGCTCAAGTCCACCGGTCTCCATAGCCTATATGTCCGACGCATTGCCACACAAGAGCTCTACCTCCAGCTCATCATTCCGCATTGATGCCGACAGCATGTCGACGCAGCATATCGCGCAAACGCGTCATACCGGCCGAACATGGCTCGTTCATATAATACCCACGCTTTGTTAGAGAGTCATTAACATTGACCATTTGCTTGCATTCTAATCCACGCTTCCTATTATTACTTGCAACTACACTTACTGATACAAAACTAACACAAGATGACAGTAGGATACTTCGACAACGACTCAACGAACGACAGAGAAGTCAAATCTCTGCCACTGGTTGTCGATGAGCTCGCTCGCGAATACTCCGATCATGTCTGGATGAAATTGCCCAAAGATGCAGAGCTCACCACAGGCTGGCGAGACATCACATATAAAGAGCTTGGAAATGCCGTCGATGGAATGGCAAGATGGATGGGACGGGTATTCGGCATTGGACGAAGAGCTACAGACGTTGCTGCATACATCGGGCTGAACGATGTACGATATGCTGTCGCTCAAGTGGGCTTGATCAAGGCTGGATACATGACCCTTCTGCCCTCGCCTCGAAACTCGCAAGAGGGACAAGCATCGCTGTTCTCAACCACGAAGTGCAAGTACCTTTTGTACAGTGAGGGAGTGGATGCGTACGTGGAGACAATAAAGTCTGCTGTGCCAGGTGTGCAAGCTGTCCGTATTCCCTCCTTCGATGAGCTGGTCCAACAAGGAGCGAAGGCGACAACACCCTACCCAGGAGCATATGGGAACCGAGTTGATGACAAGGTACTCATTCTACACACTTCCGGGTCGACTGGATTGCCCAAGCCCATTTATCACACAAACGGATCCATCGATACGCTGGGCCAGCTTCGAAACGTTCCAGCACCAAAAGGTCGACAGAACAATATGAACGCACTATTCGCAACCGAAGAACTGCTGTTCGCCATGGCACCATTCTTCCACATGATGGGCACCGTCGTAGTATGGACCTCACTACTGTGCAGACGGCCAGTCTGCTATGCACCTCCCACGAAGCCACCGACCCCAGATCTCATCATCAAATGCTTGAATCAGACGAAGCCTGATGTCGCACTGGCTCCTCCATCGGTGATCGAAGAAATCGTCGAAGCCCCAGGAGGCTTAGACGCCATCAGCCACCTCAAATTCGTGTTCTACGGCGGCGGCCCATTAGCCAACGGCACCGGAGACAAAATCAATCAAGTCAGCCGCGTCGTGGCAGTGATCGGATCCACAGAAGCAGGACTCGTGCCTGCACGAATTACCGAAGACAAAGATGATTGGAACTACTTCGAGTGGTCACCGGGCTGTGGCGTCGACATGGAAAAGGATGGCGAAGGTCTGCATGAGATGACGATCAAGCCAGCAGACAAGCGAGTGCAGGCAATCTTCCATACCTTCCCAGATATTTCGGAGTGGCGTACCAAAGACCTCTTCGAAGAACATCCCAAGCGAAAAGGTCTTTGGACTTATCGGGGCCGGAAAGATGATGTGCTCGTCTTGAGTAATGGAGAGAAGTTCAATCCTGTCGGGTTTGAAAAGACGCTAGAAAGCTATGCCGCAATCAAAGGAGCACTAGTGGTAGGCCAAGCACGGTTCCAGACAGGTCTGATCATTGAGCCTGAGTGGCACTTGGTAAAGCACGATGATCCAGCCGAGTTAGTGGACGAGCTCTGGCCGCTCGTTGAACGAGCCAATGCTGCCGCACCAGCACATGGGCGCGTCTGGAAATCCAAGATCGCGATCACGAAGAGGGAAAGACCATTCAAGCGTGCACCGAAAGGGTCGATCGTCCGCCGACAAACCCAAGAACTGTACAAGAACGAGATCGACGCTCTCTACTCGAACGAAGGCAGCGATAATGAGCTTGGGCCATTGAGCAGGGACGTAGATGCTGCAGGAGCGAAGGAATATCTCCGTCGAGCATGCAAGGCTAAAGACTTCGCGATTCCGGAAGATGCCTCTGACGACACAGACATCTTCAGCTACGGCATCGACTCGCTCCAAGTGATGGCACTGTCCTCGACACTCAGTCACGCCACGGGAACTTCAGTCTCGCCTCGGGTCATATACAGCAATCCTACGATCAATGGTCTTGCCCAGTACCTGAGCCACGGAAATGACGGAGATGCGCTGGCTGGAGCTCAACAGACGAGTCGTGAGGAGATCATGGAGAAGATGATACAGAAGTACACGTCTGATCTGTCGGCCGAATCAGCTCGTGAAAGTGTTTCACGTCCTGACAAACACACCGTCGTCCTCACCGGCTCGACTGGCTCACTTGGCAACCACATTCTACAAGAACTCATTGCCTCTCCCGACGTCGCACACATCTACGCTCTCAACCGCTCAGAAGACGCCGGTTCCCGACAAGCCAAGCAATTCGAAGATCGAGGAATCGCAGCAGACTTCAGCAAAGTCACCTTCCTCGCCACAAACTTCGGCAAAGACCACTTCGCCATCCTAGATTCCACCTACAACGAAATGCTCCAAAGCGTTGACATTTTCATCCACAACGCCTGGGCCGTAGATTTTAACAAAACCCTCCCAACCTACGAAGAAGCCCACATAGCCGGTACCCGTCGCGTAATCGACTTCAGTCTCGCCTCAACCCACAACGCCCACATAATCTTCATCTCCTCCATCGCAAGCGTAGGAAATTGGTTCGCCAGCAACCCCAACGATAAACTCGTGCCCGAACGACTCTCCTCAACACACTCCGTCGCCCTCCCCCAAGACTACGGCGAATCCAAACACGTCGCTTCCACGATCCTCGCCCACGCAGCCGAGACCACTCATACACCAGTAACAATCGTCCGCGCAGGCCAACTGGCGGGTTCAGCAAAAAGCACATCCCCCTGGAACCGCCACGAATGGCTCCCAAGTCTAATCCTCACCTCTTCATCCCTCAACCTCATCCCCTCAACCCTCGGAACTCAAGATACAATCGACTGGGTCCCAATGGACTTGGCCGCGAAATCAGTCTTCGAAATATCCACCACCTCCTCTTCAACCACCTCCTCACTAACTCAAGTAACCCACCTCGTCAACCCCCACACCTCAACCTGGCAAACCTCCCTCCTCCCAACAATCCACTCCCGCCTTTCCTCCGCAAAAATAGTCCCATATTCAGACTGGCTCGAGAATTTGAAAGCAACTCCAGTCACTCCCGAAGAACTCGAAAAGAAACCAGGACTCAAAATTCTAGATTTCTACGAAGCGTTACAAGCAGAAGGAGGAGGTGGACTACCACCGATGGACACAGTCGAAACACAGAAAGTGAGTGAGACAGTAAGAACGATGCCGGCGATTGATGGGAAAATGATGGAGAAGTGGTTGGGGGAGTGGGGACTCTAGAAGAGTGTTCGGTAAGTAGATGGCGATATTTGAGAAATGAACGACATTGTGAAAGGTTCAACATTTTACATCTTTATCAGTCACTACTTGTAACACCATTTTGAAAAGCATTGTGGTACGGCATGCAGTGTCCCGAGGCAGCAAAAATTCAGGGAGAGATCAATGGAAGCTGAAAGGTAAGATCATATACACATCTGTTTCAATCTCTGTCGTCAAATACATAGCAGCATAGCATTAGCACTACCAAAACAAGCAATCAGCACAAAAAACCCATCATCCCAACCAGACAGGTATCTCAACCCACCAAAAGCCGCCAAGAAACCAAGGTGTCGCGCAAACCAGACGCATCAAACAGATCGCACTTCATCATTCCATCATCAGTGTCATATACTCTCTCACAACTGATTCGCATCCCGCCAAGTATTCCACGAGGCAGTCCTCGAAACCTGCCGAAACCTCTCTTGCGCTTCGACAGCCCTCCAAGCTGCGTTGCGATTCTCTTGACGTTCCTTGTCTTCTTCAAGGTCTTTCTAAGACGCCAAAGCAGCATTCTCCGTCTTGGCGGGAGTAGGCACATCAGCAGTTGTGGTAGTCTCCTCTTGAGCTCGCTCCAAAGCCTCGACGCGCTGAGCGTCGCTCAAGCCTTCAGTTTGCGGAGCAGTGGTGGTGCGGTCTGGCAGGCTCTGTGTGGCCATGGCGTTGGAGCCGAGCTTGCCGGCGGAGGCAGAGTGGACGGGCTCGACGGAAGGCGACCAGCCGCGGAGGGCAGCCTCGGCATCGTTGAGGATATCGCGGCCCTCTTCGGCGTGGGCGTAAGCTGGGCGCTCTTCACCTGGAACAGTTGGAGTGTCATCGAGCAGGTTGATGAGGCGGCGAGCCTGCTGGGCGAGGAGGATTTGCTTCTCGGCGCGCTCGATGACGGCGGCGGTGTGGAGGTCGTAGGCTTCCTTGAACTTTTGGCGAGTGATGTTGGTGAGCTGAGCATCGGCGACCAGGCTCTGTGCCTCAGCACGGACAAGCTCCTGCTCGAGGGTGACCAGCTTGGTCGACTCTGGCTCTTTGTACTTGAGCTTCTGAATCTCATCTTGGATCTGCATTGTCGTGTCAGCCTGCACCCCACTTCTCCACGACCGCAAAGACTCACCTTCTGCTTCTGCGTCCTCGTCGGCTGCACGCTCGCCTCAGTGTTCCTAATCTGCTTCAAGACACCTCTGCTGTCCTCCAGGTTCTGCGCATACAAGTCCTCCTGCTCCGCAATCTCGGCAAGCAGCACGCCCAACTTGTCGCTGACATCGCTGAGGGCCTCATCCTCTGTGCTTTCACCCCATTCGCTCAGCTGCGAAGCAATGCTCTGCGACTCTTTGCCTGCCTGCTCAAAGGCGCCAATGGCGTGGTTCTGGGTCTTGATCAAGGTGCGGAGCTTCTTGGAGAGCTCGGGCTGGCCGACGCCGCGCAGCGACGACATGGCGAAGCGGTGCTTGTTGCCCGAGTCATTCTGCTTGTGGCGGAGCGATCCTTTGCGTCCGATGTTCCTGTTTCTGTTAGCATTGTACTGTGATTGTTGTCGCGGGCCAGAACATGGCGGGGAGCAGGGATAACTAGTGCGGCGTACATGGCGGCGATTGTTCGGCTGTTTCCGAGGTTCGTTTGGGAGAGTGAGATCTGTTACAACAAGTCGTTCAGACGCTGTTTCAAGAGAGGGCGATAGAAAGACAAGCGAACAGTCGGTCAGTCAGGATCTGCGCGGTCGATGGCAGTTCCACGAGCGTCCGAGGAGAGCTGGATGACGTCTATGCAGCATGACGTACATGTCGTTCGCAGGCACGACCATCTGACACCCACACGGCCCAACTCGGACGACAAAGAAGGCCTACTGCACACATTCCACAACTTTGTGCCAGTCACACGTGCAAAGAGGTGCAATATGGGTAGATCTACCACTTTCGGACACAATTGTCTCGGAAGTCTGGAAGCTGGAGACAGCAGCGAAAAGACAATGTTCAGCTTGTGAAAGCATGGCATATCTTCAGTACGACCGAAATATATCAGTACCCGTCGCATAACATATCATGTATGCCCCAGTCCCAGCAAACCGCCCAAGTGTATCCCATCATAATCTCATAGCATCATTCACACCCATTTCACTTTCTCCACTTCACACCACGCTGCCCCTCTCCAACAATCTTTCTCCTAACAATCACCTCACATAAGTCCTACTCGTCCTCTTATACACCACCCTCTCCCCACTCCTTCTCGGCTCATGGTAACTGCTCCGACTGACCCTCTCCACCGGAACCACGCTCGTCCTCCTGTATACAGATCTCGAGCTGCTCCTCGGTCCTCCGTGATAATTGCTCACAGGACGCGGCGGGACATCTCTCCCCCGGACCACAACCTCTTTCTTTGGAGTGACCAGACACATGTTTTATTTGTGTGTTGTTCTCCTTCTGTTCGCGATTCAAGAGCGGGATGATGAAGAGGTGTGGTGTGTGGTCGTGAATCGATGATGGCGTAAGCTGTAGCCTTGAAGTCGCGAAAGCGTGTCTTATATCGTCGGGCTCGTTTCGATATATTCCTCGCCGTGCTCGTATCGCTGCGCGTATTGGTCTCGTATTCCTCGACTGCTGCCTGCGTCGTATCCTCAAGAGGGCAGCTGCCTTCTTCCCTCAGAGTCGCAAACAGATATGCAGTCCTGTCTCTCAGAGTCCAATCCCTCGTATCTCCAGAAAGAAATCGAAAGGAATCAAGTGAGCAGCTGAAACCAACAAGAAACAAGAAAGAGACGAGTACCCACCATCATCTTCACTTACCCCCCAAACGAAAGCTACTATATTTGCGACACCTCAGCTTCTCAGCAGCAGGAACGAAAACCCTGACGACTGCCAGGCGGCCTCAAGACTCTCTCGCTCCGCGGACAGCCTAGACCCTCCTCAGCAGCAGCACTTCCCCAGCCATCCCGGGCAAGCGATGGCGCGGCGTCAGTGACGACATAGAGCCAAGCAAATGCAGACGACGACGGAAGTATGATGATGATGACTGGACCTCCGTTTCAGTCGTCGGATGTGAGGGGATGCGCAGGCTTCCGTAAAGAGAGAGGTAGAAACTCAGAACATTGTATACCGCAAAGTGTAGAGAAAAGAAGATGAGAGCGAGGACATGGCCACGCAACTGCTCGTCAACTGCCAAAACTTCGGCGATGCGCTGGCTGCCAAGAGACAACAAGAGCACATTGATTCCACGAGTTCAGCTTCAAATCCGTACAAATAAAAGACAATATTGTTATACTGTATATAATATACTCTTCATGTTCGTAGAATGTCATAAAAAGTCATGCTCGCCTCAACGCATTTCACTCATTTCAGCAGAATTGAAACCATACCAACCCAATCCTCAAACACAGCACCAATCAGTCAAATCATCAAAATTCCGACCCCCCTTGCGCCTCACTAATCAAGCTCCGATTGCTCTGTCTGCTTCGAATCGGCTCATCAATCTCCATAGCGCCACTCATCACCCTCACAATTTTCTTGTCCCTCCCTCCATCGTTATGCACCAGCACCTGCGCCGGGCAAACCACAATTTCATCATCTCCTTCCCCAACATCATCGCCTTTTTTGACGACGAGCGGGAAGAGAACAATCTTGACGACCGCATGCTTTGCGGCCAATTCTTCGTTGGAGCTGAAAAGCCCCGAGCGCTCATTCATGAGCGAGGAGTTGAAGTACACTTTGCGAACCAGGTCCCCATTAGTGTCATACTCGGGCTGCAATGGTGGCAGCATAATGTACTCTGCGCGTTGCGTGCGCATCTCGATTGCAAGATCCACTGCGATGCGGAGCACCTTTTGTAGAGATGCTTGTAGTTGACTTCTCGAGCTTGAGGGCGGTGGCAATAGCATGCACAAGATCTCGAAGATCTCATGTGCAACTGCTTCAGTGTCGAGAGCGCATTGTGAATCGAACTGAGGACGCTTGGAGAGAAGCGTCAGTGTTGTTGCGCGCCAATGAGCCACTGCGCGAGGTGGTCCAACTTCTGCGAGGAGCTTTTCGAGAGCTTTGAGTTTCTGTCGCTGCTCGCGGTCCATGCCGAAGAGGTATCGTGTAAAAATGTACTCCCAGACCATAGTCATCACAACTGACATGAACACGTCCCGCCTGCGAACGCGGTCGCCAAGCAGCTTGTCCACATCAGAGCCGTCCAGGACTGCATTGTCCAGACGAGCCTCGATCTTATCGTCGTTCAAGTCGGTCGAGAGGCGGCACACGCGGTTGTCCGACATCTTGGAGAAGCGCAAGACCCATTGCTGCACATGCTGGCACAGCTTCTGGCACGCGCCATCGAAGTAATCTTCGTCTCTCTGTACGAGGAAATCTGATGACTTGGACGATTGGATCTGAACTTGCAATGCCCGGATCTGCTCAGCGGCAATGTCAAGCTGTTCGCGCAGTCGGAGAATCTCCGCATTCTTGTCGGCCAACGAGCTCGCGATTTCAGCTTCCACGATATCTCGCATGCCGGAGGTGATCCTGCCATGTTCGCTGCGCATCCCTTCCAGTTCCTGTGCTGTTTCCTGCCATTTGCTGTGAGCTTCGGCATGCTCGGCCTGGAGGGTGGCATAGCGTCCATTCGTGTCGTCGACGAGGTTGCGGTTGGCCTCAGTCAGGCCGTTGCTCAGTTCCGTCAGACGGGCCACTTCATCCTGCAAAGGTTGCAGCATGGCCTTGATCTGGTTGATCTCGGCATCTTTGGCCTGGAGTTGAAGGTCACGTGCTTCAAGTGCTTCCTGCAATGACCCGTCGCCCAGTCCGCGGGCACCTTCACTGGCTTGTCGGGCTTCCTGGAGTGCGCGGTTCTCGGCCACCAGGAGATCTAACCGCGTCTCCAGGTCGTTGATGTGCATGCTCTGTCGCTTTCGCACGCTTGGCGGACGCGTCGGCGAGACTTGCGACCGTTGCGCGTCGCCATATCCTTGCTGCGTGCTGTTAGTGTTGTCCTGACGATTACTTGAACCTGCTCTACTCACAAAAACATCGTCCGAGGTGTCCATTGCGCGCGAGGCGCCTCCGTGAATCAGCTCATCGTGCTCGAGCGGTGGTGTCGGCGGTGGCTCAAAGGCAATGGTCGAAGGTGAGGCTCTAGCGCCAACGGCCGATCCCGCAAGCGAGCCATTCAGCGAGCCGAGATCAGATCCGCCCCGCTTGCTTGCCGCCCGAAGATCGCCGGACAGGCTGGTGCGGCGGAGCGAGGGCGTGGAGCTGCTGTTGCTGTTCCGGCTGTAGGAGCGCATCTCGTGAGGAGACTTGAAGTGGTTCCCGCTGACATTCGAGCGGTCGCTCAGCACACTGGCAGAGCGCAAGTCGGGCGTCAGAGGGCCATTTCGTGGACGAGATCGATCGAGCTGCACGGTCTCGTTCTCTTGGTCCACCGGTGGCCATGGCAAACGGTTGAAGACTTCGTCCGAGGTACTGGTAGGACTGCTGACAGATCTCATGCCACCGCTACCAGAGGATCGATGGCGACGGTTCGACGGCGAAAGAGCTTCTTCTTGTGCCCGAATTGCTTTGGGCGTCTCCGTCCTTCGGACTGCCTTGATGTTTTCTGGTCCGCCAACCTCAGCTCTTGCCTTGCTCCTCTTCCGCGAGTGCTGGCGGCGAGCATGCTCTTCGGGTATGGCATCGAGAGGAGCTCGTGGTGATGTCGGTGAGAAGGCAGATCTGTCGCGATTGCCATCCCAGCTAAGTGCCGGACTGTGCTCTGCGGGGACAGATGCAGACTGTGCTCTGGTGTGATTTGTGCTGCTGGGCTTCTGAATAGGTGATGGCTGCTCTGGAAGTTGTGATGGGGAAAGCGCAGCTTCTGCGAGAGGGTCAGGGGGGGATTGGAAGAGATAAGACGCGCGGTTCTTACTTGTGGGCTCGAGAGGGGTGTTGTCGCTCAACTTGCGCTCGTGGTGGGGAACGTCTCGTGCACTGTCGTTGCCACGTCTCTGCTTCGGCGTGTGAATGTCCCAGTCCGGGCTTGTTGGCGTCGAAACACGCAGCGGTTCAAGCGAGCGTCGCTGTAGCAAGCTATCGCGGGAGGAGCTCGTGCGTACGATTTGTGGCACCTCAGCACTTGAGCGGTCGGTTTGCTGTGAGGAGCGCTTCGCAGTCTCATAGCCACTGTCACGAACAGTTCGGTCTTGAGCATCTTGCTTGGAAGGATCAACAAAAGCCTGGTCATCGCCTCGAAGCGCAGCAAATGACCAGGACGACTCTTGCGATGGCAGTGAGCGATCTTGGGACCCTTTGTCTTGCCCTGCAGCGCTGGCAATGCCCACGCCGGCAGCGGCCAGACCTGCCGCTAGTGCAGGCAACCCGGAGGATTGATCTGTCGACTTGGTGGGTGACCGCGGGACTTCCGTTGGCAAGTTCTGGGACACTTCGGAAGTGTGCATCAGGCCGCGTGATCCGGAATCATGGCTTGCCCTGCGGTCCTGTGACTTGCCATCTGCGTTTGCGCCTGCAGGCGGTGCACGACGCTTGATGCGCTCCAGACCTGGAAAGACAGATTGCACGATGCTGTTGGAGCTGGTGGCGCTGCCAGGGCTCTTCACTGTAGGTTGCACATCTTTGTCCTGACCAGTCACCTCATCCTTCGTCAGCTCAGCGACTGCCTTTGCCGATGTGTCCTCGGCTTCAGACATGATTGCAGATCGCTCGGTATCGTCCACGGCACTACTTTCAGGGTTGTCCGATGTGCCGCCAGATCTGGCCTTCAGCTTCTTTTGTTGTCGCTTGTTCTTCTTGTATGCTTTGTAAGCCTTGTCCATCGCATCGACGTCCATCTCATCTTGTACCATCCAGCTGTGCTCATTATTGTCGGTCGCAGCCACTGGAAGTGGAGCTGAAGGCTCTTCACGTGATGCCTCTGCTGGAGCATCGGCGTCCATCTCTTCGACCTGAGTAGATCGAGCTTGTTCAGCAGACTTCTTTGCCTCCTCATCCTCTGCCACTGCCGTCTTCTTGCCTTTCTTGCCCTTCTTACGCTTGGTTGTGGTAAAAGCGAATTCGGACTCGGGTTCAGCTTCTGTTGGAGACTGCTCCCTGCTGGCCGCCATAGCCTTCTCTAGAAGCGTTGCATCGAAGCCAGTACTTGCGAGTGTCTTGTTCAGAATGTCATCGACATCGCTTCCCGCTTTTGGCTGTTCATCGGCAGTCTCAACAACAGGCGGTGACTCAGAAATTGTCTGGCTCTTCTTTCCCTTTTTCTTCCTCTTGCTGACGGTGGTTGAAAAGATGTCCTCTTCTGGATCAGCCTCAGCAACTCCAGTAGGTGATGCTCTCCGCTGGAATGCGGGATCATTGATGACCATGTCTGGATTGAAGCCGCTATCGGCCAGTCCGGCAGCGACCGTAGCTGTAAAGTCGACATCGCTACCGGCGGATGCAGATGGCAGTGTCGAGTTCAGGTCTCTTGTCTCTACTGGCAACGCAGAGACTTCGCGTGAGCTGTCTAGCAGCTGTCCAGAGGTAGCGGCTTCTTCAACTCCAGGATCATGGGCGGTCGCGATTTCCACGGCATCGTCGATCGTTCTTGAGTTCTGCGCATCCTCTGTCGCAACAGACTGCTCTGCTTGAGGCACATCTTCAATTGTCGGTGCTGGGTCCTGCTCGAGTGGAGCTGCAGGAGTTGCGCTGCCACTCTTCCGAGCCTTCTTCTTATCCTTTTTCGACTTCTTGGTGGAGACTGCGCCCCAGTCATACACATCCGACGTAGTAGCGGCCTCTTTGTCTTCTGTCGAAGCGGTAGCTACGGCGATAGCAGCGGCAGCAGCAACAGCGCCCGCGGCAGCCTCGGCGAACTCAGCGCCGTCGCTGCGCTCCGACTTGGTTGGCTCGTCAGCTACAGGCTCTTCAACGGCACGTTCGACGCCCTCGGACGCCACATCCACTTCTCTTGATGCATTTTGATGGTCAGCTGGTTGCTCGAGGGGATGAATGGGTGCTTCTGCGATACGCTCTTCAACTTCACGCTCTGCAATCGCTTCGGTGGAGTTGCCTTGTGCTGTTTCGGGTTGCTCATCATTCAGATCTGCTGGGACGACAGAGGGCTCCTCGATTGCTAGCTCCGCATCGCGCTTGGCTTTCTTTCCCTTCTTGCTCTTTTTCCCTGTGCTTGGTACAGCCCACAAGTCGTCCGCATCTGCTTCGGTCGACGGCTGCGCATCGCTTGTGCTCGTCTCAGCCTCTGGTCGCGACTCCAAGCTTTCAGCCTGAGATTCGGCCTGGGATTCAGCCCGAAGATTCTCTGCAGCAAGCTGTTGAAGCTTTTTGGCCTTCTTGCCTTTCTTGCCCTTGATTGGAAGTGCCCAGACGTCTTCTGACTCGGCTTCTGTTGCTTCTTGGGAAGTCGTTGCTGTTGACTGTGGGACAGACACATCTTGGAAGGTTTCCTCCAACACTTTCGGCGAGTCTGTCGGTGGTTCGGAAATATCTTCAGAAACCGATTGCTCCCCTTTCTTGCCCTTTTTGCCTTTCTTCTTGCTACTGGAAACAGTGAACAAGTCGTCGGCCTCCTGAGTAGTAGGCGGATCAACAACTTCCGGAGCGATGACATCCTCGCCCTGCGCTTCAACCAGAGCTGGGTTCTCGGCAGGTAGTAGTTCTGAGGGCTTTTCGCGAATAGGGGCCTCAGCAGGCTGATCAACATCGATTGTCTCCGTCACTGCAGTGTCTGTGGCTTTTACATCTGGCTGAGAGGATTCCACATCCGTCTCTGCCGTTCGATCATGGATCTCTTGGGTCAACGATTCGGTTGCGATTTCGGGCTCCAATTGAGCGTCTGGCATCAGCTCATCTTGTTGCTCGGACGTGCGAGCTTCTTCGGCGGTTCCGACATCGCCCACCACGATTGGCGTCTCTTCAAGCGAGACCTGCTTCGATTTCTTTCCCTTTTTGGCCTTCTTGCTCGACTTGCTCGATGGAGTGAACAAGTCATCTGTGTCAGCTGTTTGTGAATTCAGCGCATCGTCTGCATTTGCTGGCTCGATCTTTTCTGGCTGTGCTGCAGGTTGTTCCTCAACGACGACATCTTCGACGGTACGGAGCTCTTCGTTGGCAGTCAGCTCGGGAGTCTCCACATCTCGACTTGGCTCGGTGATTCTCTCGCTGTTCGTCTCGGTGGCAGCAGACTTGTTCTTCTTGCCCTTCTTCTTCTGCTTTTTGGATGATTGCGGCGCAAACCAGTCATCGCCATCTTGTACAGGTTGGGCATCCTCAGGGACCTGTCCAGCAAGATCTTTGGAAGGTTCCATCTCTTTAGTCGCATCGGGCGTCGCTGCAACCTCCGACTTTCCGATCATGGACTCGTTCTCAGACTTCTCAGTAGTTTCGTGCTCGAGGACAGCATCCTTCACTTCTGCGCTGGTAAGGCTGTCGGACGGATTAGTGTTGTCGCCACGTTCCTGGTCAAAGTCAACTGCACCACTCTCTTCGGCCTGCTCCAGGACAGCACGCTCAACGGTCTCCTCTGCGGGTAATTGCTCGCTTGCACCAGACTTTTGCTCTTCACTGGCCTCGAATGTCTCGGCCAGCCGATCAAGTCCCTCCACTGCCGGCGTTACAGTTCCTGACTTCTTGCCTTTCTTGCCCTTTTTCTTCTTGCCGGTAGTCGGGGTAGCCCACAAATCGTCTGTGGTCGCGGTGGGTTCTGCTGTCGTTGGTTCTGGCGCGATTGCAGACTCTTCGGCCAAAGGCAGTTCGGCTGTTGGCTGAGCGGCTGCATCGGCTGGTACATCTTCTGATTTCTCGATTGTCTCGAGTGTGGTCGATTCATCAGCTTTTGGCTCATCCATGTCGAAAACGCCCGACTTTCTGCTTTTCTTGCCCTTTTTCTTCTTGCCCGCGGTGGGGACATCCCAGATGTCGTCTGCTGCTGCTTCGACAGGTTCGGCAGGAAATGCCTCCGGTACCACTGTAATATCATCCGTTGCAGGCTGCTCGTCCACAAGCTGTTCGGCGGTCTCAGCTGGCGGCTCCGTGCTCTCGACAGGTGCATCTTCCAGCTTCTCATCCGCTTTGGGCTCATCGACCTCAAACACACCAGATTTCCTTCCCTTCTTGCCCTTTTTCTTCTTGCTCGAGGTAGAAGGGGCCCAGAAGTCCTCGGATGACTCGATCGGCTGCGTCTCGTTTAATGACTCCGCAGGCATTGGTTCAAGAGATGCGGGCTCGTCCACTGGCTTGTCAAGGCTGTCAGCGGGAAGCTCGTCGCCGGCTACCGTCTTCGAGTCGGTAATTTCGAGAGGCATTGCAGAGTCTTCCATCTTGGCTTCTGCAACGTCCAACGCAGCAGATTTCTTCCCCTTTTTGCCCTTGTTCTTCTTGCTGGAACCCGATGTAGCCCAGATGTCTCCCTCAATGGGCTCGACCGATGGCTGCTCATTTGACGGGTCGGATACAGCGGCATTTTCTTCGGGCGACTTGTTGAACGTCTCAGCTGAAGGATCTTCGATATTGACAGCCTCCTCTATTGATCTTTCGGACGTCCCCACTAGAACCTCCTCGTCTTTGGGCAGCGCGGAAGTCTCAGACGAAATGGCAGCATCGACATCAGGCTTGGCTTCTTCGATGTCAATTGCGCCAGACTTACGGTTCTTCTTGCCCTTCTTCTTCTTGCCTGAGGTAGGAGTGGCCCAGACGTCTTCTGTCTCGGCAGTTGGCTCGACATCAGCCAATGGACCCGTCACGAGTGGTGTAGCCTCCTCGCTCAGCGTAGGCTCTTCCTTCGGCGCCTCCGGTATCTCAGCAGACGTCTTTTCGTTCGGAATTTGCTCATCCTTGGGTTGATCGGCTGTCTCGAACGCAGTTGACGCATCCGTACTCGCGGCAGCCTCATCCATCGCCCAGATATCAGATTTGCGGTTCTTCTTGCCCTTCTTTTTCTTAGAGGTCGTGAAACTCGCGAAATCATCTTGCTCGCCCGCAGGTGTCTCGGGCGCAGCCGTTGAAACGTCTAATTGAGGCTCGGGCGCGTCTGTGTGAGACACCTGGACGTCTTTCGGAGTAGTCGAATCTACCGGCTCATCGGTCTTGTCTGCTTCTTTGGATGTAGACTCCTCGACTTCGAACAAGGCGGACTTGCGACCCTTCCTGCCCTTCGTTTTCTTGGAAGTAGAGAAGCCGGCGAAGTCGTCCTCAGCAACAGGCAAATCGGTGGTAGGAGCAGACCTCTCCGCATCGGCGTCTTTGAATTGCTCTTCGACAGCCAGATTCTTCGACAAATCTGCGTCGGTCGCAGGCTCGGTGATCGGCTCAGGGGTGGGGAGCTCGACGGCTTGTCCAGCAATGCTCTTGTCCTCGAGCTCCGCCACGTCCGGCACCGCGGCCTGGTCGGTCTCCTTTGCGGTCTCAGAAGTTGCGACTTCGTTCGCTGTTTCCCTCGCCGCCTCTGGCACCTGCTCGACAGGCGTTGCAAGACCGGACTTCTTGCCCTTCTTACCCTTTTTCTTCTTCGAAGATACAGTAGTGCCCCAGAGATCTTCAGGCTCTTCGGTCGGTAAAGGCGCTGAGTCGGTTACATTCACAGGGCCTTCACGAGTCTCGTCGGCCGACTGCTCAATTGCTGGCTCGGGCAAAGCTGGCTCCATGCCGGTGTCAGGAATAAGATCGCCACTGGTCTCGGGCAATGGGGTCGAATCAGGCTGAGCTTGTAATTCATTCTCTTTCTCTTCAGTCGCAGGGATAGATTTGGAGCCCTTCTTGCCCTTTTCGCCCTTTCGCTTCGATCCGGATGCCCACGAAAGGTCATCTGCAGTCTCATCCACTGGCGTGGAGGTCTCCTCTGTCACGATGTCGCGCGCGGTCTCTTCAACAGGCTCTTTGACGAGTTCCGCCGATTGCTGAGCTGGTGCTGAATCAATGTCGGGCACGGTTTCACTGGCCTCATTGAGTGGCTTAGTTGTCTCGAGGTTCATATCAGGCTCGTCTTTCGCAACTTCCAGTTCGGGAAGTGCTTCAATAGCAGACTTGGATCCTTTCTTGGACTTTTTGGCCTTCTTCTTCGATGCGGTAGGCCACGCGAAATCGTCCGTGGTTTCCTGCATCGGCGTTGAAGTTTCAGTCTCGACTGACGTCTCGGGCAGCGTCGAGCTGGCCAAGAGTCCGGCAGCCACAGTGGCGCCCCCGATGGCAAGAGCAGGTTCATCAGAAGGTTCGACGCGAGTAGTATCATCGGTTTTGAGATCCTCATTGCGATCCAGCGACTTCTCTTCCTCGTTGCTCGCAGGTATTTCGGTGACGGACTTTTTGTTTTTCTTCCCCTTCTTGCTCTTCTTGGAAGCCGGCGCCCAGGAAAAGTCAGCGTCCTCGTTATCGACGCTGGCGGCAACATCCTGCTGGTCTGCCTTCGCAGTTTCCTCATTGGACCTTTCAAACTCAGGCAAGGGAGTCTCTGCGTCGACTTTGGGCTTCTCTTGGTCATCCTGTGCGCGTTCTGTGACCACGTCCTCTGCTGCGCCTTCAACCTTCACTTCCGATGGTTCAGCTGGGTCGCTGAGGGCTGCATGGTCATCACTGGGGCCTGCGGCTTCTGTGACCAAGTCGATGGACTTTTCGCCAGCGAACTCAGCAGTCTCATCCTTGTTCTGCACTTGCTCCGAATCGGGGACGTGGGAAGTGGTGTCTTTGTCTAACGGAGGTTCTTCGGTGTCCTGTGGAGTCTGAGAGCCGGATTTCTTGGCCTTCTTCGCTTTCTTCTTATCCTTCTTCGACAGTGGAGCTGCTGTAGAGACCTCTGGCTCCTCTGCAGCAGGCATCGGGGTTTCTTGCTCCTTGGCTGCCTCGACGTCGGCTGAAAGGATGTCTGTGCTGGCGAGATCATTGGAGGTAGGGATGGACCGCTCTGCCTCGACTACATCTTCGGTCTTTGAAGGAGACGTCTCTTCAACCAGGTCTTGGGTCTCGGGCGTTAGGATGGACTCGTCCGATTGCTGCGACTTCTTGCCCTTTTTGCCCTTATTCTTCTTGCTCGATGGTGCCCAAAAGAAGTCATCCGTCTCTGCAGTCGCAGTTTCGTGGGCAGGCGCAGGATCAGCAACGACATCCTGAGCATCATTTGCCGGGGGCTGGATATCTGCTGGTGCATCTGAAGTGACGATCTGCTCTTCCATTGCTGTTTCAGTATCCTTCAAGAGAGGTGCCTCGTCACTGATATCCTTGGCTTCGGAAGACTTTGCAGGCGTCTCGCTGGGTTGTTCGTGTTGAGGGGATTCCACGTCCAGCAGAGCGGACTTATCGAGAACATCTTCATTTGGCGGCACTTCAACCTTCTCAGGTTCCCCGGGCGTCTCAAACGCTGTGGCATTAGCAACAGCAGGCTCAGAGGGAGAGCTCTTTGCAGGTTCAGGGATTATCGGCGCCTTCGAAACAGACTTCTTGCCCTTTTTACCCTTCTTGCCACCCTTCTTCGAGGTGCCAAGCGACCACTCTGCAGGATCTCGCGGTGTTGGATCGCCAAAAGCATCCATGTCCTCAGAAGCTCGCTCAGGCTCGAACTCAGCGCCACGGTCAGGCATGATCTCGCCATGATTAGCTGGCTTTCCCTCAGGAGTGGAGCTGAAATCAGCTGCATCAGAGGCAATTCCAAACACATCGTCGACCAAGTTGTTTTGCTGAGATGAGGTCTCGTTAGTGTCGGCGATGACGGTCGCAGTATCGTCCATCATATCGGCCCAAGATTCTTGAGCAGGCTCTACCGCTTGTTGATTTGAAGCAGTCATTTCGACCTCCTTGTCGGCTGCCGCTGGCGTCGCCTCGTGGAAATTGTCCGCTGTCGGAGTCGACTCTGCGGCAGGTACTTCAGCAGGCAGAGAAGCCTCCTCCGCATCATGCCAAGAATCAACAACAGGTCGAGCCTCGAAGAAGTCTTCAGCGTCATGGAAGGAATCATCGGGAGTCTCAGTAGGCTGCGGTACTTCGTCCTCCGCCGCGCGGTCAGCCTGATGAATGACTTCACCGGCAGGATCGCTGGCAGCTGGAACGGTTCCCAAATCAGCTTCCAGAGTCTCAACCGAAGGGTCGTCCTCGACCTTTGGCTCCTCTTCCACTTGCAACGAGAGCGACTTCTTTTTCTTCTTGTCCTTTATGCTCTGCTTGCGGGACAATGTAGGCTTCTCCCCGTCCACGGATTGGGCGGTACTCGAATCGACATTCTGCTCACTACGTTCGATGGCAGCTTCGGGCGTAGCAATGGCGATATGTAGATCTTGCTCGGTGGGTGCATCTCCAACATCATTTTGTGGCGCAGCTTCGGGCGTTGTTTCCTTTGGTTCTTCCCAATCAGAGGTCTTGCTCTTGCGCTTGTCTTTCTTGGACTTCTTCTTCGAGACCGGAGCTCGCCATGCGTCATCAGCTTGTGGCTCAGCCGTGTTGTCTAGTGTAGATTGAGGCTCGTCTTGAGCAGGAGTATCCTCGTGAGATGCGAGTGCGGACGCAGCAACGGCTCCGGCAGCGGCTGCTGCGCCTACAGCGAGTGCATCGGTCTTGCTGAAAGCCTCTTCAGCAGATTTGTCGGTCTTGAGCGCGGTATCATCCCGAGTCTCCTCAGGAATCGCAGTATCTGCTTGTTCTGGCTCCCACGACGAGTCAAACTGCTTCTTGTTCTTCTTGCCCTTTTTCTTCGTGCTTGGCTGGGAGAAATCGTCTTCTACGAGTTCCTTTGAAATCCCTGTAGCATCTGCTGGCGTCTGAGCGGCTTCTGTGGCCGCCTCTGGCTGCGTCGTTTCTGTCCCAACGTCAGGTTTTACGACCGGCACGTCAAGCTTAGGCTCTGCAGCGTCTACAGGAGGCTGGTCCTCAAGCTCGAGCGACTTCTCAGCTGACGCGTCGATGTCTACGTTGCTTAGTGCTTCTGGTTTCGGTGCTTCTATAATGCCATCTTGACTGGCAGGAGTTTCGTCGGGCTCATCCCATGAAAGCGTCTTGGACTTCCGCTTATCCTTTTTGCTCTTCTTCTTAGACGTGGTAGGAGCCAATTCTTCAATAATAGGCGCGGCGCTGTCTGTTGGGATAATGTCGGAACGTTGTGCAGTCTCCTCAATCGACATCGCTGCCTCTTCAGCAACAAGGTCCTGTAGAATACCTGTCTCAATCGCCTTTGACTCAGTTGCATCACCCTCGAGACCTAAAGCATCCTCAGAAGGCTTCTCCGACTCGTCGAGAGACACGGTCTTCGATTTGCGCTTCTCCTTTTTGCTCTTCTTCTTGGAGGAAGCGGCAGGCACATCTTCAACCGATTCGAGATTATCAGCGGTTGGACTTGCTTCTGGGACAGTCTCCTGGGGAGCGGGCTCTGCAGCAGGGGCCACATCGACAAATCGATCTTGCTCCTCTGTGGCCTCTGGGATGGCATCAGGCTGAACTTCTTGCTCATTCTCGCCGGCTGCCTCAGCAACAGCTTCCCCAGCAAGTGCCTTCTGCTTCTTCTTCAACTTCTTGCTTTTCTTGGTAGACACTTCGGGGAAGGAGTCATCGGCAGGTTCAGGGTCTGGTATTGCGGTCTCTACAGCATCCTTGGTGTCTGGTACAGACTCAACGAAACCCCCGATTACTGAGGCATCGTTTGAAATCGTTGGCTGGGAAGTATCGACTTCGAGCAACGGAGCTGATGAGCCCTCGATGGGTTCAGCGGCAGTCGGCAACGAGTCGGCGATTCTCTCTGTGCTCTGTAAGGATTCGGATCCGGCTTCGGGCGCATCTACGGCAACGCCATGGCTCTTCGAGTCTTGTTGTTCCGCAGTTTCCGCTTGCGCAATCTCAACTTCGGGCTCAGCGGGCATGGAAAGTCGCTTCTTCTTGTCCTTTTTCGACTTCTTCTTCGACGTCGTCGGAGCGGTCCAGTCATCGTCGATTGGAGTGATTGCAGTGGTCTGCTCAGCCTGGAGATCTCGAATTGGCTCAGGCTGAGTGTCCTGAGCTGGCTCGATAGGCTGCTCTGGCTCTACTGTAGCATCAACAGACTTCTCAAGATCTTGAAACTCGCCTGACTTCCCCTCGACTTCTGGCAAGACGTCAAAGGTAGAGCTCTGCTTGCTTTTCTTCTTGCCCTTCTTAGATTTCTTGCTCGAGATTGGCTCAAAGACCTCCTCAGTGGTCTCTGCGGGCTTTTCGGCGACTAGAGGATCGGTAGACTCAGCATGGACTTCGTTTGGCATTTCATGCGTCACCTCCTCGGGCTTGTGCTCGGATTCATGAACACTCTGCATCGATTTTCGGAAAGCATCTGCTTGTGAAAGACCCCAGCCAATAGCACCACCAGCAGCAACTGCACCGAAGTCAGACAAGCCAAAGTTTGACGAAGCAGGCGCATCGGCGTCTTTGACACCTCTATCGGCATCTTGCACTGGAAGTGAGCTGGACTCTGTCAACGGCAAGTCATCAGCAACACTCGCTTTCGGTTCATCTTCAAATATCGAAGTCCTCTTGGCCTTTTTCTTGTCCTTCTTCGACTGCTTGCGAATGAGCTGGGGTGCCGGGTTGACCTCGACGATTTCAGCTGGCGGTTCGACCTGGACATTTCGTTGCTCAATCACAAGAGGAGCAGGCTCAGACTTGAGGCCAGGGAGTTTGTAAGGCTCCGGAGCTGGCTCCTGGTCTCCGACATTGCGACTCGTCTGGACCGGATCGTATACTGGCATCGAATGCGCAGCTGCAGAAGCGAAGTATCCAGGATCGGGCTGTTGCGTATCGCCATGAGCTTGGAGGGCTCTCTCCTTCTCGGGCGAAGGCTCCGTGAACTCGATCGCAGGCACGACTGGGATTGTGTGTGCTGCAGCCGACGGAAACATGATTGGATCTTGAGTGTCATCCTTCTGCGGCGTAGGCTCGACAGATCTCTCAGTGACTGCATCGTTAGGCGATGCAATCTGTTCCGGCGTCTCAACTTGCGACTTCTTGCCCTTTTTGCCTTTCTTCTTTGACTTCTTTGATGTGGTGACAGGCTCAAACGCCTCTTCAAGCTTTCGTGACGACTCTGCCTCGGCCGAGCTTGTCTGCTGAGCAATCTGCTCAGGCTCTGGCGTTGGCACATAAGGAAGTGGATAGCTATGGGCAGCAGCAGAAGGTAGAGGCTCATCTCGTTTGGCCTCTGCAGCACGCTCTGGAGATCGATCGTTGCCCTTGTGAGCAGCATACACCGCAGCAGTGCCCAACATGGCAGCAGCAGCCAGCGCCTTTGCCTTTGACGGAGATGCCGATCGACTTCGTGACGTGTCCACAAGCAGAGCGGAGTCCTCCGGCGCGATAGTGGTAGCAGCATCGGCATCGACACCTCTTTCCTGCTCATGCAGCCTCTCGTCCTGGGCGAAATCTTCCCAGGTGTAGAACTGTGGTTGTTGCTTCTCCTTCTTCTCTCCAGAACCGGAAGCTATCGGCAAAGCCCAGGGTATCGCGGTTTGTGGCCACTCGCTAGCCTTGGGTGTAGTTTGTTCGGAGCCCAGAATGTCTCCGTCAGAGCGGAAGTTGTTCGCTCCAATGGTGTCCAAAGTCAAACTGCGGCTGCGAGTCCGGTCAGGCGAAGTTGCAACACTGTTCGCAACGCTGAACTCCTCTCTGGCTGACTCATACTCGTCACTCCCTTGCACGCTCGAAGCTCTGCTGGATGGCTTGCTTGATGGCAAGCTGGGCAAGGTGTCTTCAACTTCTTGCACAGGTCGGCTGCGTTCAACCAGATAGAGCGGCATGATCCCCGACTTGATCTCGGACGAATGAGGTCGACTCTGCCTGGACCTAGAAGAACCTGGTGTGGCAGGAGACGTGACACTGGATCCGCCAGGCGCGGTCATCAATGGCGAGCTGAAGCTCTTTGCTCTCTCTTTGCCGCCAGGTGTGGTCGGCGCGTGGCCCGGTAGTCTCAAGGGCACAGCAGTAGACGATCCTGGTCGCCCGATACTGACAGGCCGAGCTGGCTTCTCGAGAACCGGTGCAGGAGTCTGTGGTGAACTATCCTCCTCTTCAATGACCGCCCTCACTTCCTCATGCTCAGGCACATAGGGTAGAGTGAAGCTATGCGCAGCAGCGGATGCCAATGGCACAGCTTGCTCGATAGTTTGCTCAATGTTCTGTTCCTCCTCTTGCACTTCACGATTCTTCTTCCCTCCCTTCTTCCCCTTCTTGCCCCGCGACAACGCACTCGCAGCGACACCAACTGCCAAACCGGCAGCAGCAGCAGTCACCAACCCAGTCCCGGATCCAGCCTCGAGTGGTCTGCCTTCCTTCCACTCAACAGCTGTATCCGGAGAACCTGAGCGACTAACGGGTAGAGGCGGCAGATCCTCTACCCGACTCCCTAAAAAAGACTGATCTCGTGAATCGTACTTGTCTTCATCAGTTCGTCGTCTGTGGTGCTTCGGACGGTCTCCGTATTCACTTTTCGATTCGTGCGAGCGATGTCTCGACAAGCTTTCTCCGCTCTCGTCAGTTCTGCGACGGCGGTGGTGTCGAGATCCCGGCTCGCTGTACTTGTCATCGTCCTCGTGTGTGCTGCGACGGCGTCGCTCACGACTGTCATTGTCGTCCTTCTCGTCGGTAGAGCGATGGCGACGGCGGTGAGACTCAGACTTGACACTGCGTGTGTCATCGTCATCATCGCCATACTCAGAGTCTCTGTGCTTCTTCTTGCGTCGGCGGCGTTCTTCGTCATCCTCATCTCTGGAGTCCTTCAACGTAGGAACAGTCTCGGACGACTTGCGGCCGAAGAGAGAGCCAAATATGCCTTTCTTCTCCTTCTTCGCCGTGGGCGACTCTTCCTTCTCCCGGCGCGAGCGGCTGGATGTTACAGAACGAGTATCATCGTCATCGTCTAAGTGCCTAGACCGACGACGGCTTGAGCTGACAGACATGGTATCGTCATCTTCATGCCTCGATCGCCGCTTGTGCTTCTTTCTGTCGTCGCCATCGGCAGGCTCAGATGAAACCGTGGACTGCGCCTCGTATGCATATTGCGGTTGCTCGTAGTAGTCGCTAGCCCGTCGAGCCTCCTCTCTCCGTGACTTGCGCCGACTTTCCTTGTCAGCGTCTGCTGAGTTGACAGATCGCGCGTCTTCGGGAGACACGTCACGAGGACTTTCGCTGACACGAGGCCCGGCATCGTAGAACTCGTCTTGTGTAGAAGACTGTCGCGAATCTTTGGTATCCTCGTTCGATCGTCGCTCGATCACAGTAATCGGATCGCTACGGCCGGCTTCGCTCTCAACCTTGTCGCCATTCATGCCGACATAGTCGTCCCAGGCGACTTCGGATCGAAGTGGTGAGCTGACCTGCGGTGTGCTGTCGAACGCAACACTACTCCTCTTGCCCTTTTTCTTGTTCTTTTTGCTCGAGGACGTAGGCTCGAACCATTCAGAACCAGGATCCGTCTCTGCTGCAGCGACTGGCTCTGGAGCACTCTTCGACACGTCAATCTCGCGGGACTGATCGTAGAGCGGATCACCAGTGCTCTCTTTCGTGGCTTCGGCACTCTCAGGCGAGGACTTGCGCTCTGGAGTATCCCATCCTCCCGGCATACCACTTGGCGCATCACGCGGATCATCGTACGACGACTCGCCGAGTTTGGACTTGCGCTTTTTCTTCTTGTCCTTTTTGCTTGAGCCAGACGGAGATTCTTCTGCGCTGTCGTTCAACGTCGCAGCCGCAGCAGCTACTCCACCAGAAGCAAGTATGGTATCAGTGACATCAGCAAAACTGAAGGCAGACTTCTTGCCCTGCTTGTCAGCCTTGCGCTGCTCAGACTTGCTCAGTTCGGGAGACGGCGGCTTTGCTGTCACATCGCTAACGACAGTATCACCGCTCCACGAAGGCATACTGATGGCGGATTGTGTGCTTGCGATTCTTCGGAGACCGTCCTCAAACTGGCTGGCTTTCTGGTCTTTGCTGCTCGTGCTTGGGAAGTACTCGTTCGCTTCTTCGATATCGGCCTTGGGAGATTCGACCACGGGCGTTGGCTCTTCGCTGTAAGTAGGGTCGATGCCAGCCTTCTTGGCAGCCTTCTCGCGCTTCTTGCGCTCTTTGGCCGAGAGGGGTGGTTCCCAGTTGTCCGTCTCAGCTTCGCGTTCGACGACGGGCGTCACAGGGTCTTCATCGAAGGTCACGCTGGCGCGCTTGGCCTCCTTGTCCCGCTTCTTCTTCTCTTTGGCTGAAAGTGGAGGTTCGAAGGCAGGCTCTTCTGGTTCTGCGACAGCTGCTGGTGGCTCCACGTCGAAAGAGGCACTGCTCGCACGCTTCGCCTCTTTCTCGCGTTTCTTCTTCTCCTTGGCTGAGAGTGGGGGCTCCACGACTGGCTCATCGCGCTCTTTCGCTGGAGTGGACGGCTCGCTGCTGTCAAAAGTGCCACTGCTCGCTCGCTTGGCTTCTTTCTCGCGCTTCTTCTTCTCCTTTTTGCTGAGCGGTACTTGAGCCGCGGTCTCTTCTGCAGCGACATGACGGCTTGCGCCAGTAGATGTATCATTCTGCTCGTCGTCGAAGCCACCGGGGATGCGGGATCTCTTCTCCTCGACAGGTGTGCTCTCCTTGACCTCTCCCTCGATGAAACCGCGTACAGGTGGAGCTCCTTCAGTGCCAGGGGAATCCGCAGCACGGAAGCCAGAGAAGTCAGAGACGGAGTCGAAGAATGGCTGTTGATAAATAGGATGAGGAAGTGTGCCGGGTGATGCGCCCTCTGGCGTTCGCATAGTCTCCTCAACGCCATTCTGGCGATCACGCTCGTTGTCCTTTCGGGTACGCGAGAATTCCGTCTCTTTGTACGGCACTTCAGTACCGCGCTCCGGTGGCACGTCTTCGTAAGCTGTAGAGGTCTTAGCTTTCTGGCTGAGCTCATCCAGAAAGCTGGAATCAGCATCGTCGGCGTTGGACTTGGAACCCTTCTTGGACTTCTTCTTGTCCTTCTTGCTCTTCTTGCTTGAGGCTGTTGTGAAGTCTTCATCCTTATAGGTCTTGGTCTTGTCGCCCTCTTCGACCACAATGTCATGCAAAGCTGCGCCAGCAACCGCTGCGCCTGCTGCAGCCGCGACGCCCTTCCCAATGTTGTTGAGATCAGGACTGGTAATGTAAGACTCCCTGTCTTTCTCCTGGAAGCTCTCCGGAGTCTGCACATCGTAGACATTGACTTCGTCCTCGCCCCAAGATATACTGCGGGAACGATCAGACTTGCTGTCTTTGCCGGAGTCAGGACTCCGCTCAGCGCCACCATCAGCAGCCTTGCTCAGCGGACTGCTCGGCACGCTGCCTTTCGTGCTGGTAGTACGGCTACCAGGAGGCGGCGTAGGAGCGATGACATTGAGTCTCGGCACACCATAAGGAGCATGCTTGCTCTTGCCTCCAAAGTCGTTGCGCAGAGCGAAAGGTGGCATCACGCCGTCTTCTTCAACATGATAGACCTGGACGTCAGAGTCGGGCTGAATGTTTCGTTCCTTCTCACCAGGTTTCTTGGCCAGCACATCTTTAATCTCGTCTGCGAAGAAGTCGGCATAATTTTCCTTTGGTCTGCTGTCCGGACTATAAGCTCGGGCACGCTCAGCAACGACTTTGTCAGCAGCCTTGCGTGCAAGCTCTTCGTGTCGGGCACGATCAGCGGGAGAGTGCTGTGACTGCATAAAGAAATCCGGATTGAAGATGTCGTCGTCCATGATCGGCTCTCCTTGCTCATCACTGCCAGGCTTAATCTCTGTGGCAGCATAACCATTCTTGCGCTCCACGTTCCCACGAGAAGCTTGGCCATACTGGTTGCGAGCTTGACGATCAAGTTCAGCTTGTTCTGCGGCTTCTCGGTCGTCTGCAAAAGCATCGGCATTCCAATCGACACTCGTACGTGGAGGTCGACGACTGACAGGAGAATCGTCAGTGCTATCGCTCTTGCCCCGCTGGCGACGCTTTTTCGCGTCACGATCAGCCATTACGGCGCCAACACCAGCCGCAGCGGCAGCACCAGCAGCAACAGTAGTCCAGCCAGAGGACTGCTTGCGGTTAGGCTCGTCGGTTCGTCGACCACGAGGATCCTCTTGGTAGTCACGGGCGGACCCATTGCGAGCGGATTGCTGGTATTCCCTGGCATATCTCTCTGCGTCCCATTGCCGTCTCTGCTCGTCTTCGCGTCTGGCCTCTTCGGCGAGCTCATATTGCTGCCGTCGCAAAGCCTCCTCGCGCTCGCGGGTTTCTCGCTCGACCTCCGCCTGTCGACGTTCTGCTTCTTCGCGAGCCAATCGCTGCCTCTCGAACTCAGCAGTCGCAGCTGCGGCAGCTGCTTGACGATCGGCCGCCTCCTTCTCAAGTCGCTCAATCTCCCACTGTCGCTCTCGTTCTTCGTGGGCACGCTTTTCGGCCAGTACTCGAGCTTCTTCCTCCGCCTTGCGCTGTTGCTCGCACTCAAGGTCGAGACGTGCCTGAGCACGAGCTCTGTTCTCTGCTTCACGGGCGCGGAGCACTTCTTCTTGTCGTGCCTCCTTTGCAGCACGCTCCGCTTCCTCCTTGAGTGCGCGGGTACGATCGGCACGGCGGCGCTCTTCGTCAGCCTTCTTGTCTTCCTGGCGTGTAGAACGATTCTCCTTTCGCTCTTGTTCATCAGTAAGACCAAAGCGCACATTCGACTGCGAGTCACGAGCCTTGCGACCAGATGATAAGGCGGACCCAGCGATGATAGCACCAGCGCCCAACACGCCCGCGCCGATCATTGCAGCATCCTGACCCCAAGTGGACTGGACCGGGCTCGACTGCGAGCGGCGAGGAACCGGTCTTCCATCGGTTGCGCCTACTGTGGCAGTATAACCTGCATCTGCTCCAGGTTGTGTGAATGCTGGGCGAGCTGGAGACATGGGCTGGGGATGTTGCACAACACCGGGACCAGGCCTATAAATTGGTGGGTCCTCTGTCTCGAACGCGCCGGGCATCGACTGCACACGTGTAGGAGTGCCGAATGCCCCAGAAACGGACTGCTGCCTTGGCGTGCCAGCATCGGAGACTGGCTTCGGGTCGATGTACTGTAGAGGCTGGGAAGACGCCCCGCTTGTGGATGATCTGGCATCAACGCTGGGAAGGGGACGTCCAGTGTCGTCCAGGTATACAGTCCGATTTGGCTGGACAGGTCTGGAGGTATCGAAGACAGAGCCAGCCGCTGCACCAGCGGCGATTCCAGCGCCAATAGGCCCGGCCGCTGATCCGTACTCGCTCGGTGGGTAAGGTAGCTCGCCAGAAGTCGATCTTCGAGAGTTGCGCTTCTTGTCCTTGCCGCCCCATCTCCAACCCCAGGCTCCAAGACCCCCAGCGGAAGACTGAGAAGCGACGCTCTCGAGACTTTGTCGACCAGAGAGATGTTTGCCACCATAGTCACCGAAAGCGAGACCATCGTTGCTGGATGCATCGTCAGAGGGGAGTTCGTCTTCCCAGCCTTCTTCGTCCGATGATCCGGGAGAGCCATGTCGATGATCGCCGACCACATGCTGCTTCACGTGTCTCCGAGCACCCAACTCGGGTCGACTGGTGCGCTTGGTTATTCTGTGGCCTGCTTTGGCAGCGCCAAGGGCGGCAGCAGTGGCGCCAATACCTGCGAGGGTGGCGGCAAGGTGCTGATCCGAGGATTTGCGTTGCGGACGTCCTCGAGTTGATCGTCCAGAGGAACGTCTGGATAAACTGGCCTTGCTTTCTTTGCGACTCAGCGCACTTCCCCCAAATGCAAGGTCAGAATTCGACGAAGATGCCGAGCCGTTGCTGAAAGTGAAGAAACCCGCACGTTTCTTTTCATGCTCGCGTGACTCCCTGCGCTGCTTTCGTGGAGGTGAGAAGAAGTTGCCAAATATGCCTCCTCCACCTTCTTCAGACTGGCGTCGGTCGTCACGGTCGTAGCGAGAATATTCGGATTGTCCAGAAGACACACGTCCCGATCTCCTCCTGCGCTCTCTACTTGAGGACCTGGACCTGTGACCGGCAGCCAGACCCGCAGCGCCTAGTGCAGCACCAGCAGCTACAGCTGTACCCATCCCAAGACCGGATTTGCGGCCTCCAGATCCTGATCTCGACCGGGCCACTCGTCTGTGCTCAATAGTTCCATCCTTCCTTCGAATCGTGACGTTTGCAAATTCGTCACGGCCAGGACGAATGGTGCCGTATTGAGATTGTCGCCTCTTCTCTCGACTGGAGCTTCGACTGCGTCTGCGTACAGCTGAGCTTTCACGATGGCCAGATTTAACGCTGTAGGTGTCGTCGAAATTCTTGCCGCCGTTGAAAAGAGCGTTGGCCGCAAGACCAGTGCCTACAGCCGCGAGACCAGCACCGGCAAGGCCCATGCCCGAATTTCTCTCTTCGCGTCTGCGGCGGCTGGAGTCTGATGCATAGTACCGACTCTCCTTGTCCACTCGCTCATAGCTGGTCTTGTGTTGGAGTCTATCTTTGCTCACACGTCGACGCAATGATTCAAACGAGTCACGTCGCTTGTGGTAGTGGTGAACGCGAGGCGCATCCCAGGCTGAAGTGCGAGGATCAAAGCAGTATTTGCAGACACCAATGTACTCGGTATACATCTCCATCTTGGCCACGTCTTCTGGAGTGGAGATCAGGTTCAGCAGACCATCCTTTAGCTTCGTCATTGGTCCCTTGTGCTCGTGATAGTGGCCTTGTTGCATCATGCCACCGCTGTTGTTGCCGTTTGGTGGGTAGTAGCCTCCAGAGAATCCTGCCGGTCGTGGTGAGCGCGGTGGTCCTTGACCGTTCCCGCCGTAGTCGCCCGCGACAGCCGTATTCGAGTCGTGTCGTCCGTGCTTGTGTTGGTTCTGATAAATCCCGTAGGCTGCTGCGCCGGCCGCCGCGGCGCCTGCTGTGTAAAGTCCTGCGTTAGAATGATTAGTAGTCTTACCTGGTACATTGCCGGTTCCGTAAGTGTTCTCGTAGCTCGGTCCGTATGCGCTCGATCCAGCGATGGAGGCTCCGGCGCCGTTCGAGCCATGTGAAGTCGTCGCATAGTAGACGTTCCCGTCAGAGGAGTGGCGCGATGGTCGGGATTGCGAAGTCATGGAAGGCAGCGTGGGTGGATAGTCGCTTGGACGCGACTGGTAAGAGCTTGATGTCGTGTACTCGGATTGTGAGTGGTGGTGTGAGGATGAAGTCCTGCCGTTCTTGCCAATCTTGTTCACCGCAGCAGCACCCGCAACGCCTGCCAAGCCTGCAGCAACGGCGGTGCCTGAAGACGTGCGCGATGGTTTCGATGTCTTCGAAGGTTTGGATGCGCTCGAGGATGATTGCTTTCCAGGTTTCGCTGTTGGACGTGCTGGTGTGACGGGCGCAGAATAAGAGGTGGTGTCGTTGTAGAAATCGGCTGCACTTCCATTGCCTGTGTCTTGCGCCGGCACGGGAACGCTAGAAGCAGCCATCAAATGGTGGTCGGGGTTGACGAGCATGTTTGGTGTGCTGGCACGGAAACCTGGCTGGAAGGCGACCGACTGGCCTTCATCCAAGTAGTAGTCGGCGGCGTGGCCGTAGCTGTCAGCGCGAGAAATGCCCAACTGCGGCGCGGGTTGTTCGTAGGGTGCGGGATGATCTTGACCAGGAAATTGTGACTGAGGCACGACATTTGGCAGAGCACCAGACATGGTATATTCGGGCTGCTGGTGCTGGCCCATGACTCCTCCGCCGTACTGTCCAGGAAATTGCTCAAAACTGCCCATGGCGGGAATGGCTCGCGAACTGTCCGTCACCAATTCTGGCTCACTTCGACGTGACGATGACTTGTCTTTGGACTTCTCACTGCGCGTCTTGTCTTTGCGCTCGCGACTCGAGCTGCGCTTCCTCTCTTTCTCTTTGCCACTGCTCTTGCGCCTCTTCTCTCGCTCGTCGCTCGGGCTGCGCTTCTTCCGCCTGCGCTCGCTCTTGACCGTCTTCTCGTCGTCCTCCCAGTCATCCTCGTCCCCATCGTCGTCTGGGAGCATGCGTAATGCACTTGCGGTGAGCGGTCTCGTCTCTCCACTCACGCGACTCGTTGGCGCAGTGGCGTACGAGCCCGATCCCGGACTCGCATAACTCATAGCACTGCCATACACGGACGGAGGGCCACCAGAGTAGTACGAACTGTCCTGCATGCGATCGCGATCATCGTCTTCATATCTCGAGCTGCTCTTCACGCGATCATCGTCATCGCCGTATCGCGAGCTGCTCTCGTGGCGGCTACTCCTGTGTCGTCTTGACGTCCCGCTCATCACACTGCCAGTATCATCGACATCTCCGCGCGTGCTTCTACTGCTCTTCTTGCGCCGTACTTCCGAGCGGCCAGATGTACTTTGTGTGTCTCGCTCTCGGTCGCCGCCCTTCTCGCTGCGTCCGGTAAACGCTGCTTTCCACATGGTCGTCGTTAGGGAATTGGTGCTGAAAGTCGCGTCTCGGTCCTGTACCTCTCGAGTACTGTGTTCCCAGGATCCTAAGCGCGCGTGCGTCGTGGCAATTATCGTAGCTCTCGGTGAGCTCGTGGTGTCGTCGTCGTAGTCGGTCGTGTCGCGTAACGGCTGTCGGTGAATGTTCGCAGCTGTACAGCATATACAGCGTGTCGCGTTGACTGTACAATGTTCATGAACGACTTATCGTCGTTCATTCACGGCGACACGTCCATCGTTTCTAATTCGTCCACACGGTCGGTCGCTGTGTTGTTCATGCAGCATAAGTGTGCCGAGTGGGTCAACCCTGGCCAAAACAAGCTCGGATGTGGCTGGGGCATCAACCACAAACTTTGTACCTCCGATCTCTCAGCTGCCACGGACATGCACGGTTGACTTGAAGAACTACACTTTGAACAGTACATTCGAATCCATACAGGTGAAAAACACGTGACAAAAAGTGGTTTTCGCATTCTCTGATCGTTCCGACTGTTTGGGCAGCAATACCACATCAGTCTTGATCTACGGACGTCATTCGGCCAATCTTCGCTTCTCCATCTGTGCTCCGTCTCGGTTGCTCGATGGCGCGGGTCGTGCGCCATACTCCTTGCAAGCTTCACCGCAACATGTTCTGCGATTCGAACACATTTGCTAGTGTGGATCGCGTTGCTCTGTGCTACGTTTTGAAAAGCGCTGCGTCTCTACCAGACATCCTTGCTGGCCTGGCGTAGCGCTGGTTCGTTTGAAAGCTGGACGCGACGAAAAGTCGAAGTAGTAGAGTGTGGGAAGCCTCCGGCACCCCTGTCTGCAGCTCACGGTAGTGTGAGACGTGTCGGTGTTCTGTGATAAACCATCTTTCGCGCATTGCAGCGTTCAGACCGGTCTGCCGTACGCCGCTCGCAGGTTGATGATTTGTTGCCGCATGGTGGGCTCCAGTGCCATGACCGTCTCTCTGGGCATCGTAAACAGTGCTTCAAGCTGTTCCGGAGATATGCCTGCTGGAGCAGCTGGGGCGGGCTGAGCTGGAGGAGCCTGTTGCGGCGGAGGCTGATACGCAGGTTGCTGAGGTGGGGTGGGTGCATAGCCAGGCTGCGCACCATATCCTGGCGGGTAGCCTTGCGGAAGGGGCGGCATTGGGGGTTGACCTTGAGGTGGATAACCTGCTTGATATTGGGGCTGCGGAGGATATCCTGGTGGCATTCCTTGTGGTGGCATCGCAGGAGGGGCTTGCACTGGCGGTGCATGTGCAGACTGAGCGGCCTGCGGAAATGTCGCGATGAGTTGCTGCACGACATTGGCATCGACCAAGTCAAGAAGCGTCAAAGCTTGAAAGGTGGCGTAGGCAAGCTGAGGTGCTTGTGTGAAGAGCGCGCTGGCTTGGCCTGGATTGGTATTGCAGAGGACCTTGGCCTGGCTGATGAAATCGATGAGGTTTTGCGTCGGGTAGGCTCTCAAAGTCTGACTGATGGCATCGAACGCAGTGACTCCAGGCGGCAGGTCCGTTCCTGGCGGGAGCGGAGGAAGCGCAGATGGATCAGGTCGCGGCGGTGGCTGACCTGCGAGTTGTCAGTTGACGCGGCCGAGATGGGATTACAATGGAAGGGCTTACCGTTCATGTTGAAAGGTGGAGGGGCGCGGTTGTTGTCTTGATTCTGGTTCTGATTGGAATTATTCGTGCTCCGGTTGTCGTTGCTGTAGTCCACCCGCAGCGTCCTCCCTCCTAGATCATACTCGTTCAGATTCCGCACTGCAGATGCCGCCGCATCTGTGTCTGTGTACTCCAAAAACCCAAAACCCTTCGGTTGGCCCGTCTCCTTATCATAGACCAAGCGGAAGTTGACGACCTGCCCCGCGCGCCCGAAGATGTCCATAATCTGCTCTTCACTTACTCCATATGGGATGTTTCCGATGAAGACGACACGGCCGCCTTTCTCTCGTTGCGCCATGTTGTCGCGTGCGCCGTTGCGCGCAGCTTTGTCGGGTGGGAACTCGCAGCCGTTCAGGAATCGGGATGGAGGTGGTGCAGATCGATTCGCTTGATGGCAAAGGGTGCTGCGTCGTTCGGCGCAAGGTGTTGTGGTTGTGGCAGGAAAATGGAAATGCGATGTCGAGCCTGCCGCAACCAGAAGTCCGGCAGTGAACGCGAAGTCAAAGCTTCGATGCCAAGCTTTCCGCTGCTCTCACTTCGCGATGTCACGAGCGCTGCTCTGCTCTCTCACCTCCTCCTGTGACACTTGCATGCAATGTGACGACCATAGCCTCCGTTTGCGTTATACTCGTCACAGTCACGTCCAGCTCTGTCATGGAACCAGCACTGTCGCGTCCAGTATGCAGCTCCGGTCTGCTACGAACAGTCTCCGAGGCTCTGTGGATGAGGTCTACTCCAAGCAGTACTACTCGAAGCAGCACTTGACGCGTCGGAGTGCAGCATGAATGCGAGTTCACATGGCGCGCTGATTACGTCTGCACCGAAAGACAGCAACCCGGTCGTCATGCAGGTACAGATCTACACGTTCGTCGAACAACCAGATCTACCCGCACCCTTCCCTCCAGCGCCTCCGATGTCAGCTAGCTGCTGCACGACTCGCTGGTCTGCCATTCCCTCGACCTGGAACCAGCGGCACTCACACTGCCCATGACCCGTGTAGCACCATGAGCAGCTGGATCTCTGCACGCTGCTGCCCAAATCAGACAACATGCTGCAGGAGTAGTCTGCTGTCACTGACTCGAGCGCCGCCGTCAACCACATCGATCTCCGCTCTCCTACGTCATTCATCACTTATTTCTACACCATTTGAGATCCCTCACTTACCTAGCTGACCCATTGACAGCTGATTTAGGCGCGTTTCCCCATGCCTTCTTCTTCTACTTCGAAGGAGTCTTCCACGTCTCGCAAGCCTAAATTTGAAGAGGTCTTGACTGAGAAGCTCACCAAGGTACAACAGAAAATGTCTACCCAGAAAGTCCTCAGGCTTGCTTCCAAGGGTGCTGGCTACGAAGCGATCACAGAGGAAGCTGAACCCATCCCCAAGGCACATTCTCACGAAGTCGTCATCAAAGTGCACGCGTCGGTAAGAAATCTCGAGTTCGACCAAGCTGAGTGTTGTAACTAAGCTTCCCACAGACACTGAATTACCGCGACCTGGCAATTGCAAATGGTTCCTACCCTTTCAAAGTCAAGGACAACTTCGTCCCTCTCTCCGACTGCGCAGGAACGATCGCTGCTGTAGGGCCAAATGTGACGGCCTTTGCCAAGGAAGACGTCGTGATCGCCAATTTTGATGTTACAAACCAGTATGGACCACAACAAGACTGGGAGAATGGACTGGGAGGCCCCATAGATGGCGTTGCCCGGCAATACGTTACGCTCCCGGCCAGCTGTGTCGTCAAGGTCCCCAAGGGCACGTCACTCACCTGGCCTCAGCTAGCAGCACTCGTATGCACAGGCACGACAGCCTGGAATGCATTGTACGGCTGCATCCCTCTCAAACCAGGCCAATGGGTCCTTTTCCAAGGCACCGGAGGTGTTTCCATGACCGGCCTTCTCCTCGCCAAAGCCGCGGGCGCGAGAACAATCATCACGTCGTCCTCGGATGAGAAGCTGGAGAAAGCCAAGACCGAATACGGCGCAGACCACGGCATCAACTATACTACTACTCCTGAATGGGGCGCTGAAGCCAAGAAGCTGACTGAAGACCGCGGCGTAGACATCATCTTCGAGAACGGCGGCTCCGGCACAATCGCCCAGTCCTTCGAAGCCGTCGCACGAGGCGGACAGATTGCAGTGATTGGCTTCCTCAAGCCCGCTTCACAAGAAGACATGCCCGACGTGGCCACGCACGTTCTCGATAAGGGGTGTGTGGTACGCGGCGTCAACGTCGGCTCGAAGCAGTTGACACAAGACCTGGTGAACTTTGTCACGAGCAAGGAGCTGGGCATTCCGATCGAGAAGAGCTTCAAGTTTGACAAGGAGCAGGTCATTGAGGCGTATAAAGAATTGGAGAAGCAAGAGCATGTGGGTAAGATTGCCATTGAAGTTGTGAGTTGATGAAATCCGGACACGAATGTTTATGATGACGATGATGTGAGCGCGGTGTTTGCACTTGGTGGAAGGAAACGTCAAACAGGCTTTCTTGAAAGTTAGGATAATCATGTACAAATTCAATCATGTACATCTGTTCTCACATGTCTATCCTGATGACCTGTTCAGTCGAGCGTGTACTCTGCGTTCTGCGCTCTACGCGACGGTCAACTGTGAAGATGTTTCCTTAGGGTTACGCTCAGCTTAGGGTTACTGACACCCGTCCTCCTCCAATGCAACAACTCATTTGCAGCAACTCACCGCGGTCTGAACGTGAGGATTCGAGGAAATGACTGTTATTTGCTAAATTTTGGGCCATTTTCTGGTGCTTACTGGCACGGTCAGACGTCTGGTCACGAAGTTGCAGAAATTCAGCCAACGACAGATATGCAATTAATACTGAGTAAGATCTAAATATTTGTCGAGAGTGCAAGCCAGAGCAAGATCGCGACTGTGCTGTCGCAGATGTATCTCTTATTCAGTACATAATACTCGAGAAATGGGCCTTGCATTGTCTGAGAAATGGAGATAGAAATGGAAGATCTATGTGATAGCTGCTCGTATGACGATCTGGACCAAGAGGTGATGCGCCTCATCAGTCAGTTCATCCTCGCCTGATGCGAGGAGAGACCACGCATTGCAACAGGTTGCACATTTTTCTGAGTTTCCCAAAAGCGTCCTGGACACCTAGCCAATATATCAGAACAGTGAAAATGAATAGTGAAGTTCGAATGTGAGCGCAAGCACTCTCCCAAGACTGGTGGGAGCGAGAAAGCCGCGGGAACAGCCGCCTGGAGCTTCCGCAACAAGGTCGCATCAGAGATGTTTGCCCGAGCAGTCCGCCATTGCACGCAACATTTCCCATCCACTCCATCTTCCTCACACAACACAACACCGGCACCATGTTCCGCACCGCTCTCCTCCGCGCCACACGAGCAGCCGCTCAATCGAGCGTGCGCGCCGCACCAGTCGCCAGAACTGCTGCCATCCGCAGCCCCTTCGTCACATCCCGCATCTCCAGCCCAGCAACCCGAATTGCTGCGATACGGTGTTATGCCACCTCGTCAGGGCTCGGTCAGGAGGAGGTGACGGGTCGCATTCTCGATTTGCTGAAGAACTTTGACAAGGTGAGATGGTGGAGATGTTGTAGGTTGAGGTATGGAGGGCTAATGCAGCAATACAGGTCCAGGATCCATCAAAGGTAGATGCGCGCGCAGACGATCACGGCGTACACGAATGACTTATGATTGTTTAGCTCTCTGCTTCTTCGCACTTCACGAACGACCTCGGATTGGACAGCTTGGATACCGTGGAGGTGGTTATGGCGATAGAGGAGGTTTGTGGCGTCATTGAAGGAGATTGTACATGGGAGAGGCATTGACAGGTGCGACAGGAGTTCAGCATTGAGATCCCAGACAAGGAGGCAGATGCGATCCACAGCGGTATGTTTCCAAGAGAGACTTGTTGCATACGAGGACCGTGACTGACTTGCAGCAGTGAGCCAAGCCGTCGACTACATCATGAAGCAGCCAGATGGTATGTCGTTGACCGGCCCGCAATCACCATTCACGCAACTAACATGATACAGCCCACTAGGCGACTTTTATGGAAGAGAGACACGCAGAGATGGCGAAGGAATAGTCGTAGTCGGTCCATGAAGAAGGCATGAGACATGGACGTGCAGATGAGCTCTTGCGAAGGCGCATTGTACATTGTAGGCCGAGAGAGCAGCAGCAGCAGCATGCCATAAATTTGTACCATCATCGTCAGACATCTTTCGCTGTTTCGTGGCTGTCTGACGGAGAGTCCCATTGGCGCGGTCGCTCCGAAATTATTCGGCAACATGTGGAGCGCGACGACGTGTTGTCCTGAACTCCCCTCTCTCACACCTCCCAGCTCACCCTTTCCTGTGACCCTGCCCGAGTCTCCGTGGTGTGCGTGGACGTGAAAATAACAAAAGAGCCGTCCGCCTCGGCATATTCAACCCTCTCGCGTGCGTGTGCTTGTGCTTCTGCTGTGCCAGGGATCCTCACGTGTCAGAGTTTCAACAAGGCAACCTCTCAACACCGAAACTCAATTGCGCACAACTACCAAATACACTCCCCTCGCTCCGCCGCCCACACCGTCCCCAGCGGCATCATCGACCTTCCTGCTTGCTGCCGCCGCTGCCACAGATATGGCCACGGCCTCCGGCTCCGGCCTCACGCGTCGCCGCGGCGCCGGTGCAGCCAACACGAACCCCGACTCCAACAACGAGAACGAATCCAGCCGAGTCTCGTCGCCCGTGCCCACCAAAAACAACCCCTACGGCGGCCCCGAAACTTCCTACGAGAGCGGTGAAAATGGCCACAAGATTGCTTTCGACCCGCGCGACATTTCCGAGTCGGCGGAACGTAGCAAGCAGCCCAAGCTGACGCTCATGGAGGAAGTCCTTCTCATGGGGTTGAAAGATAAGCAAGGATATTTGAGTTTCTGGAATGACAACATTTCATATGCGCTGAGAGGGTGTATTGTTATTGAGCTGGCGTTTCGGGGCAGGATCTCTATGCAGAAGGGGAGTGAAAGGAGGCGATTCCCCTTGGCGGAGAGGTTGATTGAGGTGGTGGATGACACTCTGACAGGAGAGGTTTTGTTGGACGAGGCGCTGAAGATGATGAAGAGTAGTGAGAAGATGAGCGTGAGCAGCTGGATTGATCTCATGTCGGGTGAGTTGCTTTTCGACAGATGAGAGTACAACTTGAGGTAGGAATGGGGTGCTGACGAAATTGGAATACAGGCGAAACATGGAACCTCATGAAAATCGGCTATCAACTCAAACAAGTCCGTGAACGACTCGCCAAAGGACTGGTCGATAAGGGCATTCTGCGAACCGAAAAGCGCAACTTCCTCCTCTTCGATATGGCTACACATCCTGTGACAGACAACTCGGCAAAAGACGAGATCCGTCGGCGCGTGCGAACCTTCCTCACACAACGTACTGTCGTGCTACCTGGCTCGCAATGGCTTCCGGAGGAGATGGAATTCCGGTACTTAAGAACCATCGCAATGCTTTGCGCGGCATATGCGGCGAACGTGCTGGAGAATGCTTTGACGACATTGGGGCATGAGGCACGGGAAAGAGCTTTCGCGCAAGTAGATGAGCTGCTTGCAGAGTACAGCCAGTGGCCTTTCGGGAAGAGAGCAGGTGGACCTTCGGCGATTGGAGCAAATCTTGATGGGATCGTCCGGGATGAAGTGAATGGTGCGAAGGACAAGGAGTTGCAGCTGGAGGTGGGATTGTCATTTGCGATGTTGTGGAAACGTTCCATGCTAACTTCGGCGATAGGTCGTGGCCGCTTGCCTGAGCGTCTTCACTCGTCTCGATTCGCTGTTGTAGAAGAGCCTTCGATTGCTCTCTCGTCAGCTTTCTGTAATCGTAACAGCGCCATCCCGAGACTGGAACGGCGCGTGGGGAAGATGAGGAACGACAGGCTCCATGCGATTAACAAATGGTGGACGCACGGTCGTTGCCAACGAAGAATGGATCCAGCATCTCGAAGAAGGGAAGGTCAATTGCTCGGTCCGGATCGGCAGGCCTTCAGCGGTAGCACCACGTGCACAGTCATGGCGACGAGAGGTCTGCCCGCTTGGAACGCGAAGGGGAACTTGCCTGCACGTTACCGTGTTGTGCGACGGACACGCGTTCCATCTTTTGGAGGAAATGCAGCGAAGCAAGTCGTTCGCTTTCAAGCCGTTGCGGAAGAGCCATCAGCAGACCAAGAGAGGTCTGTAGTGATGGTCTTGTCGCAGCTTTCACTTTCTGTCCTTCACGAAAGGCATCTTTTTGGGTGGCGTAAATCGGGTAGCGAAGGAGATACCACGCAGAAATTGGAAAAGAATTCATTTACTATTCATACCAGGTCTATGTTGTTGACTGACGAAACTTCTGCTGCAGGCTTATTTCTCTGGTCCTCTGTTCTTAGCGCCAGAGTTGCGTGGGAGTACACGGGGAAGTATAGGTAGTGAGTGTTCGCTCCTTTGCAGCAATTCAGTCACGCCACCCGCTGCTTTCTAACTGCAAGCGATCAGATTCGACCTCACAAATATGCCTCTTGCGCCACTGAGATCCGCTCCGACTTTGGGAACATTTGTTCCTCGCACAGCATGTGATTGGAGGATTTTAGTCAGCACTGGCAGTGGGCGTATTTACGTTACAGCTGAAAAGTCACCTGATCAGGCTGAGCCCAGTCAATGCATAGTGGGAAACTCTTGCGCGCTGCGCTATTCTCGAGATAGAACTGATATCTTTGATCCTCTGAAGTCAGTGGTCTTCGGTATTGATGCTCGACTTGAGGTCGTGGTTGGCCTACAGCTCGTTTCAGCGTGAAGAAGCACGACGCCGGTGAAATGGCGAACACAAACTTTCACCACAACACCATCGATGATGAGCTCTCGCTCGGTCCTAGGCTGAGCTCTTCGACCGTGGACTCGAATTTGTATATCGATTTTAACGAGGAAGATTTCCTGTACCCACGATCCTTCGGAGAACCCCCCTCTGCTACCTTGAGTGCGGATGCGCTGGAAGTGTCGATTCCGGTCCTGCACTCAGCCTCCGATCGCTCATCCAGGAGCGCATTCCAGGCGAGCAGTAGTATGGGACCCGAGTATCATGGAATCGGAACGGTCAACGCCAAGTCCTCAATGCAACCACTCCCTCTACCTATACCTACACCGTATGGAAATTACTCTGCGCCAGCCGCTAGTGCAACAGTAACACAAGCCCTCGGTGTGCGATTATTGCCATCGACTGGGGACTCGACCGAACATTACCACGAGCTGGTTCGACCACTACCAGAAAGCAGACATCAAGACATATGCGATACCATTTCGAGCCCGACCAAGAATCTCAGGGACAAAACCCGAGAGGTAACCAATACGGAGCGCGCTGCGACGGTACATCTTTACAGGGCCCGTGGCGAGAAAGTCGCAAACGGCCTGGCTGCTAGAGAGGATGCCATTTCTGCACTTCCAGATAAGCTTTCTCTGGTTCGTGGTCACGGTTCCCACCCTAGATGGGCGAATCATTATCCCATCGAATACTGCTGCCTCATACCCAACTGCACCTACGCCGCCTCCCGTAAAACCGATCTAGAGCGGCACTACCGCGCTATGCATCCTCCTCCAGGCCCTTCTGCTCCACTGTACGATTGTCTTTGGCAAGGATGTCATCGGAAAGGGCAATATGGGTTCGGGAGGAAGGACAAGATGCTGGATCACATGATGGATGTACATGAGGCAGAAGTTCCAAAGAGAGACAACAATCGGGAAAGTCATGCACTTTCTGCGACTGATAATGCTGGACCTTTTGTGGTGTCTCAGGAGTCAATCGGTTAAGCACAAGAACGATCAAGCACAAAGTGATAGTCAGCGTTGCAGATCTGGTAAATCACGAGAGAAACTTTGCGGGACACCACTGGGCGACAGTCGAGGTACAGATCAAGTTGGTCCACGCTGATAGGCGGGTGTTATACGATCAAATCAAGACGCTTGATGCGCATTGTGCATGAGGCCCACATAAAGGAATCCTCTTGAATCTCGGACTTCGCTCCTCGCTCGAAGCGCGCTGCTCAGTAAGCACCGTTACACGAACTGTGAGGTTAATGCTCCCCACAAACTTTCTCAGGTCGCCGATGCATTTTCATTGGCGTCAGGCGAGTGTCCATGGCGACTGTCGCAGTTGCGCTGCTTACTAATGCCACAGGTGTTCTGGTTCAGGTTAGGACATGCCACATAGCCATATCGAAATCCGAAAATGCTTAAGTAATGCCCTCTCTGTCATTACGATCTGTGGGGAGCCGCAAAAAGGATCTGATTTGTCAGGCTTCACTGAATCTGGCAACGGGATGATGTATAAGAGCAGAGGTCGACATCTGGTCTATCGTGAGAAATTCACTATCATCAATTCTGTCAACCTGACAGCCTCATTCACCACCCCAACAATTGCTCTGCGATCTGTATGCTCAGGGAGAATCACCTCAAAGACACCATGTCTCTCACGATCAAGCTTTACTACTGGCCAGGAGCCTGCTCAATGGCCAGCCAGATACTTCTTGCGGACTCCGGCCTGGCCTATGAAGCCATCAAGATCAACTTGCAAGACCCGCCCGCACGAGCCGAGTACATGAGGACGTTAAACCCAAAAGGCCAAATCCCGACGTTGGTCATTGATGGCGAGATCATTACGGAAGGCCCTGCCGTGATCACTGCCATTTCTCAGCTGGTCCCCGAAAAGTGTTACACTGGCAGCACTCCGATGGAGAACGTCCGGTTTTATGAGTGGATGAATTTTCTATCGGGAACCGTTCTCACCAAGTCGTTCGGTGGACTGTTCAAACCGTCTTGGTACTCCGACGATCCAAGTGCAGCGGAAGGCATTATCGCTAAGTCCAAGGTCAACATCTCGGCAGGTTTCCAGTTGATTGAAGATAGGCTGGAAAAGCTCAGCGATCCAACGCACGCTCTTGGTCACTCTCTTACTGGCGTCGATGCCTACCTCGCAGTATTCATCACTTGGGCGAACCGTTTCCAGATTGATATCAGCAAGTATCCCAACTACCGCAAGCTATTCGATAGCATCTCGCGGACGGCTGCGTTCAAGGCAGCGCAAGAGAAGCAGGTCTGAAGTGTTCTATCCTGATCGATGGGGGATAGGTCTGTCAGAGTTGGGGAGCGTTCCTGCGCGGCGCGGATTGTCCTCGGCCGCAGTGAGTCCCCGAAAGTCATTGCTACAATTGGTTGCAGCCCGTGGGATACGCGGGACGAGATGGCATTGGCCACATTGACCAGGCTGTAAATAAGTATCGACAAAGTCAGGCTGATGTATGCTAAAGCTTGAACGCCACAATAAAGCGTGATCAGGTACGGAGCTCGACTTATAGAAAGTGTATCATATCCCGTAAAATGATCTCGCAAGCCATGAATATCCAACAAAGGCTAAGATACACACAACAAATATTTGCAGAGACTGCACTGAGGTTCACGACACTGGAAAGATGTAGATATCGGGCACCTGTCGGCTACGCACTCCATGACTGGGGTCCAGGACTCACTCGATGGTGCAACAAGCTAAGACAAGCACCTGGGCCAGCTCCAGATTTTGAACGCGAACAGTCTGGACCAGCTGATATACGAGAAGTGTGAGTAGATTGGGTAGAGCTTGCGAGCTTGAACAAAGTCGACACTTTTCACAGCAATGCTGACGGCTATAACAAGAAAGTATGGAGGCAGCGCCGTAAGAGCTCTACATGTAATTCTGGCGTACTGCATTTTGATGACTATGTGGACGCAACGTACGTGCCATGGCTGGGCTTTCCCTTGTTAGAGTCCGAAGCTCACTTTCTGATCATACCGTTGCAAGGCCCGAATTTCCGGCAGCGGCTATATAAGTTCTTGGGCCGGCCAGGCTATGCTAAGACATGGACTAGAGCGGAAGCCTAGTTTGAAGAATACGACCTCAGGTTACTAGTCCCGGATCTTACGGCTAAACATTGCCTCGTTGCTGTAATAAGAGCCGTGTATTGTAGTTGCGATTCAGATCTTGACAATACATCGCTTCTCAAGACTCTAATATTCGACTTTCTCCCAAGAACCAGCTAAAGAAAGTCTTCCCACAGACACACAAACGCTGCATATCAACACGACTCTCACGACGCAATGTTCCTACGATTGTTCCTGCTCGCAACTTTCTTCGGCGTTATCGACGCTCAGTGTACGGGAAGATCTCGGTCCTGTAGCAGCGATGGTCGTCATGTCGTGAGTAGACTGCTACTAGAAACGGATCTGGATGTTACTGATATAGTGAATCTTTGCGATGCAGTTGATCTGTCACGAGGGCTGGCACGGCGAGATTCGCGAAACCTGTAGCGAGTACGAAGGCTGCTATGAATGCCCGAACTACGGTCCGACCTGTGTATATGACCCTGAGTTCTGTCCGAAGATCCCGGACTTTCCAGGTGACAATGCTTAAGGAAGATCTTTGTCGAGTCGTACGGGGAGATATTAAAGCGAAAAGAGGAAAATAAGACACTTCGGAGTACTCCGGCACACGGGTGGGCGTCTTTCGTCTGCTTCGTCCCAATAGATGGCCATAGTAGCTATGTCTTGAATCGATGACATGTGAGCATCTGCGGATTAGACAGTGCGTCCAGATTCTGAAGCACGATTGAAGAATTCTCTCCCCCATTCGTGCAGCCAGCGACTCTCCGCCTCACATCAGGCAGTCGTGGTTGGGACTGATACAAAAGCTTATCAACAACAAGAAGATCTCATATCATGTTTCTACTTACAGCTTCTGTCGAAATAGAGAGCATTCACCCTTTGAGTTCCGAGAAACTGAATGAGGTGTGGACCACGATCGCATAAACTATATCCTACGTAGCCTTCAATCAAATGCTCAATGACCATTATCGTTAAGCTGCACCGTACCAATCAAGCAGGGCCTGGAATCTGTCGCTGCTCTCCTGGTGTGAAGACAATGGTCGAACTCAGTAACAAGCACGCGGCTGATTTGCCACAGCCTATCAGATTGTGACCTGAACATCGTGCAATGCGACGAGGCGATTTGAACGGCTTGATGCGAGCTGAACACGGTTGTATAGTTGCTACGATGGAATGCCACGGCCGCTGTGCAGTCTCTCTCCGGAGGCTCTCCGTCGGCCAATCTACACTGAAATGAGCTATCCACTAGATTATGGGTGGACACCATGATCCTGGTGAGACGATGAGCCGAGATTGTGGCTCTCTACGTAGCATGCATCGTGACTAAGTCTTTGCTTAGTCAAACCGCCAGATGTCAAGGTGAGCGACACATCAGAACTCGACAGGTTATCGGCCCTGCCTCGCAGTCCAATGTGAGCTTTCGTCTCTCCTGTAGCACCACAGCGTCTCAATGTCACGGTCGAAGTTCCATGTGTGCGTGTGTCAGTGAGAGCCCTTTGTCAGCCGATTTTGCAGTATCTCGAATCGGAGTGTGTCGACGAGAACTGGAACCCAACTACATTCGTAGCATCGTCGGTCAGCCCCACGAAAGAAGACTAGGGCTTACTGGAATCGAGACCTGGTGAGTTTCTGGGCCACTTGCCCGACTTCAATCTCGACTACAAGTATTAGTACCAGCTGTTCACCTCAGGAGTCCGGAAAGAAAACGAGCAGAGTTCACACACGATTCTCTATTCCTGAACCCACCCAGATGGTCGAAGATCAAGCCTTCTGCACGAAAATACCTGGATCAATCAAACGCGAAATCTACCACAACGAGATGTTCTCTGGTCTTAAGCATCTGCTGCTTCTCGCTGCACTTCTAGGAGGCATCGAAGCTCAATGCACAGGGAGACCATGGGCTTGCAGCAGCGATGGCCTCTACATCGTGGGTCCCTTCCTGTACTTTACAAATTCAAAGGACATGCTGACCTAACGAAAGTCCCGTCGCCTTTGCAGATACAATGCAATGGCCTCAATGGTGAGATCAGTGGGCCGTGTACCGCACCTGATAAGTGTATTATGTGTGGAAATGATCCCATTTGTCTGGGAAGCACTGCAGATTGTCCAGCTCCGCCACAAATTCCACCCGGAGGCCACAGGCAATGATGAATATTAGTCAATCAGGGTATACATTTCCTGTTTCACAAGGAAAGATTGAGAGAGCACGACAAAGGAAGCGGGAAGGTCAACAACATATATTTGATCTGGACATAGCGAGCTAGGCACTTCCCGGAAAGGGCACTAGGATGCAGCCGAATCAATGGATATCGCTCAAGAACGAAGAATAAAAGTTACAACGGTAGCCATACATAACCCCTCATGCTTGCACGTTGCACATGTTACAATTTCGCCTTCAACTTCGACCCCTCTCCCTTCGTGAAATACTCCTTCGCCGCCTGTTTCGCCTTGTCCACAACGCTCGCATCCTCAATCGTCGCAGGAAACACGACATCTTTCTCATATTCTCCTTCCAGCGCATGTTCCAAAATTTCTTTCAAACATCGCCTCAAGGTTTTGCCGGATCTCGTTTTGGGAATCACGCCAGGTGCAGCGATGAATCCGCCAAGTGAGGCAATGGGCCCAATATGTGAACGGAGTTTGGAGTTGAGGTCCTTGAGAAGTTGGTCATAGGGGGGGAGGTTGTCAGGGGAGATGGCAATCCATGCAAACGGAACATGGCCCTTCATACTATCCGGCATACCGACCACGGCGGCTTCGGTGATGTCTGGGTGGGAGGAAATGGCTTGTTCGATGGCACCCGTGGATAGACGGTGGGCAGCGACATTGATCACATCGTCGGCGCGAGACATGACGTGGACATAGCCGGATGAGTCGATCATGCCGGCGTCGCCTGTATCGATCCACTTGCCCTCAAAGCGGCGGAGATATCCTTTGTAGAATCTATCCGGATCTTGCCACAGTGTTGTTAGGCCCGTTGGAGAGAGTGGCATGGCGAGGACGATGTTGCCCATAGTTTGTTGTGGGACTTCCTTGCCCTCGTCGTCGACAATGCGAACATCGAAGCCAGGGACAGGCTTTCCTGCGCTGCCAGGCTTGATGCGCAAGGGCGGGTAGAAGGTCTTGTCAGAGAAGTCGAGAGCTGTTCCTGGCAGAAGAGCGAGAGAAGTCATAGGTGAGCCAGATTCAGAAGACCACCAGTTGTCGATTACAGTGGCATTGGGAGCGCAGTATTTGCCGATGAGCTCATCGTACATTGTGACAATGGCAGGTTCGCTGCGCTCGCCTGCAAGGAAGAGTGCGCGGAGGTTCTTCAGGCCGCCGCTTTCGCCGCGCTTGGTGAAGAACTTGTTCTCCGGATCCTCCTTTCGAATGGCGCGGAGAGCTGTAGGCGCCGTGAACATGGTATTGACTTTGTGCTCGTCCAGTATTCGCCAGAATGTGTCAGCGGAAGGCGTACCGACCGGCTTGCCTTCGAAAAGAATTGTTGTTGCACCTGCGAGAAGTGGTCCATATACAATGTAGCAATGCCCGACCACCCAGCCAATGTCACTCGCGGTAAAAAGAACATCTCCCGGTCCTCTGATTCCGAACACGTATCGCACGGTGAAATTGAGTCCAACAGCGTGTCCTCCTACTTCTCTGACCACACCTTTTGGCAGTCCTGTTGTACCGGATGTATAGATGATGTATAATGGGTCGTTGCTCTTTACAGGCACGTTCTCAGCCCGCTGCCCTCGATCTTTGGCGGACTTGACCAAGCTCTGCCATGTCCTCTCTCCAGCCAGCCGATCGGTATCGTTCCATCTGTGCTCGTCTCGTTGCCAAATGATCACCCTCGCTGGCTTGTGCTTCGCCTCTTCGATAGCTCCCTTGATCATGGGCTTGTATGGCAATGGTCCTTTCGCCCCTTCAATGCCGCAGCTTGCCGTGAGGATGGCCTTGGGCTTGCTCGAATCGATGCGCTGCGCGAGTGAAGAAGCTGAAAAGCCTCCAAAGACAACCGCGTGTACAGCACCCAGCCTTGCGACAGCCAGCATACCAATCAATGCCGCCGGTATCATAGGCATGTATATTATGACCACATCGCCCTTGCGTACGCCTTCCTCGCGCAGGGCGCCAGCGAGGATGCTGACTTCCTCATCGAGCTTCGCATATGTGATGTTCTCCTTCTGCTTCGTCACCGGGCTGTCCCATTTGATCGCAATCTTGTCGCCATGTCCTGCTTCCACATGCCTCGTCACGGCGTTGTATGATGTGCTGATCTCTCCATCGGGATACCATTGCCAACTGCCGTGGGTTGTGCCGTCCTGGAGCTTCTTCGTTGTTCTCTTGAAAGCTGTTGTGGGAGCTTTATGCCATGCGACCTGCTCGGCTTGGTGCATCCAGAACTTCTCGGGATCCTTTTGGTGGTATTCGAAAGCCTCGTCCTGCTTGTGGGGAGCCATGATGGTCGCGGTATGCTGTGATAACTAGTGGGGACTATTTGGAGCGTAAGGGAAACAAAATACGATCCACTTACCGTGAGATGCAGCACACTACATGGCTGGACCTGGAGCTGCGAGCCTACCTTTCGGCTAAGCAGCAGCGTTAGCCACGACGTGAGTGACCGGACTAATGGGAAGCAGAAGGGGTTGGTTCGACTGCCAAGCCCGCCATCTTCTCCGCTCCCCGCAAATCCTCCGCAACAAAAACAACGTCACGCCAAGGATACCATTGAGTGGCATTCTTTCACTTTCGTTCGCAAAATCGCGAACTTTTGTAACATCATGAGATTGCAGAAGACAGGCTGACTTCAGCCTGATTGTCCGAGCATCAGCAATGTCCGACAAGCACAACGCAGAGCTGAGCTCTCTCGCCCGTATTGCCGAACCACAACTAGCAGCAAGGCAGTAACCTCAAGATCAGTAGCAGCTGCTGGCTAGTTTTGTCGCCCTACTGTAGTATCAGTAATTATCTGATACATAAGGAGGCGGTATTCCCAACAGAGCCGGCCGATACCAGGATGGGCCGAGTCTGATGTTGCCTGGCCATCAATCCTACAGTATTCGTAGGGCTTCTTTGCAAACACGGTTCCATACACATGACTTCACAAGCGGCCAGAGGTGTCGAACTACTCCCAGGTTACCCATGGGAATTGTGGCTCCGGTGTCAGTGGATGCGAAGAGTACGTTGGTGCCAGTAGGCAACAGGAAGACCCACCCTGCCAGTCTGGTTCGGTCGCGCGATGAGTATCGAAGCACAGCATTTGGCACTTATTGCTACGCACGCCAGAAGACGCAGATAATAGAACATTGTACCAGATACCACCGTAATTGCGAGTCCCTTTGCGATGCTGATCTGGTGCTCATTGCCGCTGTCCACCGATTGGAAATGAACGCAGTTTGCGAACTTTGCGATCACGTACTGGAAGAATCTCCAAAGATTCCAGACTGCAAGCTCGAATCGACGAACAAACAGCAACGAAATGTCAGCAAACACGCTCGGCGTCTATTTTAATCTTGCTTTTCAACTGCTGACCCTTGCCCAATGCCAACCCCTCACACATGCCAGCAGTACCATGCTAGGTCGAAATCTGTCATATACACTTTTTCATCCCACTTTTCGTCTGACATGCTTAACTTCACCACAGAGCTGAACGACAGACATTGAACAAGCGACACAATCATGTCAAGTACAAGTCGTGCCTCTAGATCACCGCAGCGATCAGCGGCCAAAGAACAAGTCGGCCCAGTCCTGATATCCTTCATAATCGTTCTCCTGGCCAGGATCTTCAGCAGGCAGATGTCGAAAGCTCGCGAGAAAGACGATTCTCGAGGTAACGGGAAGAGGGAAAGGAACAGGCGCCGCCGTTCACGATACTCCAACACCGGGTCACGAAGGAGAAGATGATCACGCCTGTGCGACTCTCACTTGATCACGAAACTGGTATCAGAACTCCCGAATGGCCGTGCGGCGACTAGCGACCACTCTGTGACAATCACCCACTTGCTCAACACCGTCACTGGCAGGGATACTATTCGGTAGGCCTGCTTCTCGCCAGAGTGGCAGCAAAAGGCCTTTTGCCTACCGGCTTCTCTGGTGGAGGCTTTCTCAATCTGACACCAGCCTTGGAACACGAAGACGACTTCCGGAGGTTGCACGTCTAGCATTGGTGGGCCATAAGATGAGATCGAGCTGGTCTACCGACGTTGATGAACTGAATATATTCCATGGAAAACGAAGCAGCTCCCAAAAGATTTCTAGCAGCTTGATCTGGCCTTTCCCCAGGGATGATCTGCAGACTCGAGACTTGGAGACCCGCTACAAGGTTGTCTTTGTAACCACTAATCATTATTCACGGCTCTCTTTGCCACTCGCAGGCTGGAATAAATTGAGAATTGTTATCTTGTAGGCAGCCGTGAATGTTGTCGCGAGGAAAGAATGTTTGCTCCACTTCCGCAAGCTGCACGTTCCACGTGCTTGATTCACACGCGCTAGCCGGCGGGTGGCATCATGCCTTGCGGTCTCAACACCCGCCATTTGCATATATAAGAACTACGGCAACCAAGACAAACTCACTATAAACACGGACAAAGACGAAGCATCGAGACCGAACTTCGAAAACAAACACAAAAGGGCGCAACAAAACGAAATGGAGCAACCAGAGTCGCCGACTAAGTCCGCATCTTCACACGAGGATACTGCAGAGAGGCAGGTTGAGGTGAGTCTGTCCCTTGACAAACCTTCTCATACCTATTACCTATAGCGAGGACTCGATCTTTTGTACTGACGCTTTCACTCTAGAAGATGACCCTTTCAGAGAGCACCGAGAATATGTCTCTCTGTCCAGACTGTGGGACGTGCTTAATGTGCCGCGCATGTCTCGAGTGCGTTTTGGTGATTCGCTGCGAACACGTCAAGGGATGCAAGAAGTGCACGGGCTGCAAGAGACGGGTTGGCTGTACGGCCTGCTCGGTCTGCAACTGGTGCGAGCAGTGCCGGCCAAAATTCGCTTGCGACACGTGCAGAACGTGCAGGTGCTGGCAACTGGATGGTAGCTGGGAGGAGGTGAAGCACGAGGAGGTGAAGTGCTGAAGCATCAATGCATTGTGATCAACAACTGAATGGTGGAAATATGGAACGAAAAGTACACATCGACCAGATACCTGTGCTCAAAAGAGTGCAAGGGAGTGATGTGAGTTTCTGTCGAATTGTGCCAGGGTAGAGTAGTGCTTCTGTGGCATTAAGATTCCATCAAAAGTTGACTTCAATGTGATCTCGTGCCACTGGAGTGTAGTAGGCCCCGTACGCATGTTGCTCCACTTACTGGAAGCTGTAGCGAGCTTCCTCGTCGAGAAATGGTTTAGTCAACATGCAGGTCGGTTTCAAAAGCCGAGCTGAGCTTGACGACCTTCGCTGTCACTTGGCCCTCTGGCCACTCCCGTCAAACGACATGGCAGATCCCGCCGCCCTCTCGCTGCAAGTCGGAGTCCTTATCACAAACTTGATAGAGTACGGCCATGAGGTCAAAGGCGCACAAGATCAGATCACGAGTCTTTGTCGAGAGCTATCGGCACTGAGAGGTGTGCTTGAAGATATCAAGGCTCAAAGATCAAAAAAGCATGCCGACAATGGAATTTCGGACTGTCTGGCCACTGCGAGACTCATAATTGATGACCTACTGCATCGCATGCAACCTGCGGGATCGAGGTTCCAGCGTGGTAAGCAGTCATGGCTATGGCCATTCAAGCAGAAAGAGATCGAGCAGGTCCTGGCCAGACTCGGGCGAATCAATACCTCCATCATCATGATCATGATGGGGGCCCAGCAGTCTGTCGCTTTGGACATGCAAGTGCTGAAGGATGAATTGCGAAGCGTTTCTGGCATGATTTCTGCGGAGCTCTATTCACAAAAGCAGAAGGAGATTATTAGCTTTCTCGCTCCAGTCTCCCCGAAAGTCCCTCATGATGAAGCCTGCAGCATTTGGGAAGGCACGCACTCAGGCACTTGGTTTGTCGATATTCTACAACCATGGCTGGACACGCCTTATCCACAGAAGAGCATAATGGTACTTCATGGAAGTTCTGGTGCAGGCAAGACGACTGTCATCTCGAAAGCCATTGAATACATCACAGTTACAGTGAAGACGGTAAAGCTCGGCTACTTTTACTGCAGGTTCAATGACGAGGCTACACAGAACGTGCGAAATATTCTTGGCTCGTGGATAGCTCAAATCGCAGCTTACCGGCCGTCTGTGCTTGATAGATTCTCCGAAGCAGTGTCAAGTAAGGAGAGACTTTCGACTGCTTGGTGGGAAGACGCTCTCGTACAGGTAGCTGAGGAGCTGGGTCCAGTCATCTTGGTTTTGGATGCCGTAAATGAGAGCAAAGACGATGATGCGGTCAGAAGCTGCCTGATGCGGCTCGCAACGCGTTGTCAAGAGATCCGCTTTGTGATATCATCGACACCGTTTGCTGAAGAAGTTTTCTCAAGCAAGTGCCTTGGAGTTCCCATGGATTCAAACGAAGTGGATGACGACATTGAGCAATACGTCAGGCGAACGGTGCGCCGCAGTCCTATACTTGTGCAGACTGGAGAAGCTGACATTGTCGCGGTGATTGTGCCTCAAGCTAGAGGTATGTTCCGATGGGCCGAGTGCCAGATGAATCTTTTATCGGGGTGCCTCACCGCCAAGATGGTCAAGAAGTCATTAGCGCATTTGCCTGGATCTCTGGACTCCACCTATATAGATATTCTAAAGAGGATACCGTCGGCGACCAGGCCTTGGGTTCGCGAGGTATTGATGTGGCTCAGCTATGCCTACCGACCTTTAACGCTCGTCGAACTTGCGGAAGCTGTCGTGATAGAGCCTAGCCAGTCCTCAATCGACGATAGCTGCAGGATACAGCCTCCAGAGATGATCCTTCGATTGTGCAAGGGACTGGTCACTCATAATACCACCATGCACACGGTATCACTAGCTCATAGCTCTGTCAGAGCGACGCTAGAGTCAGAGACACTTCGAACATCTGAAGTGGCAGAGTTCTGGTTGAGCCGAAATGACTGCACGCCAGGCATCATCACGAAGTCACTCACATACCTGCTCATGGATGATTTCAATCTGGAGGTCTGCGACTGTGAGCAAATGGAGCTGGAGCTTTGTCACTGCTTCGATACGTATCCATTCCTGGATTACGCAGGCACAATGTGGGCTGTCCATGCCAGTATGTATATCCGCAGTGGAGCGACCCTTCGCGAAGCACAAATACGACACATTTTTGCTCTTCTTGGCACTTCGGCGGGCGCAGACAAAAAGCCTCACTTTGCCCTCTGGATTCGGATTATCGTTGAGGGTCTCACAGAGGCGATTCAGAACGCCACGCCACTCTATTATGCAGCATCTTTTGGCTTGGAGCCGATAGTAGAGATTATGCTCAGTCAGGGCCTGGTGGACTTCAACAACGCCAGGAACCCCTCCTATATCGACTGGAAGAGTGGAAGAAACGATTGCACTCCATTGGGAGTAGCGGTTTTTCGTGGTCACATCGGCGTTGTTCAGCTACTGTTATGCCGTGGTGCGAATCCAAATGCAACAGATGCCTTTGGCAACAGCTGTTTGAATTACGCTGTCCTGGATGGCGATCAAGATATGATAGCGCTTCTACGAAGACATGGCGCAGAAGGGCCGACAGATGCGACCGTGGTTACCGGACTGATGGCAAGCCGAGGATACGAGCTAGGATGGTGGCAGATTCCCTTCGGGAATTTGCCACCATAGCCTCCGAGTACGATGACTTGTGGTTCCGAGATGAGTAAAGGCATCCTCCCTCTCCGGATGATCAAGTACCAAGCATAGAAGAAACGCATCATCTGCCATGGGGACAGAAACCAAGCTGCGACCCCAGGCCGATAGCGTGAACAATCTCCGTGCAAGCGTAGGGTACGTACATATCCTCATGGTTGCATCGGCGCTTGTCGCTGTGTCCAAGTTCATTGCGCTGAGATTGACATGGTCCGCGGACAGCTTAGTCTGGCGGTGTTCACATCGCCTGCTTTCCGATGCTGATTTCGGCACTGACTCAGCAAGTATCCCATCTGGCCTGCGCATCGAGGTGGTGACGACGGCCGTCAGGGAGTGTGTCCAGGTCTCTACGTGCATGGCCTTTTCTCCGAGAGCTACCGCTCTACTTACTGGGCGACCTTTAGCTAGTATCGAGTGCTTTCACAGCGGGACCGAGCGAAGACACAAGTACACAACGCCGTGTATAGACTGGGCATCGACTTAAAGCTCTTACACAATCGAATCGAGATAGCAGCGTAGCCGGGCCCAGCCTCGTTTGCATTCTTTCCGGCCTATTGCGCAATTTCTTGGCTACATACATGAGGGAATCTTTGGTGAATAGAAGGTTACGAAATGTTTCGAGGGAGCGATGTTTGCTCTAGGCAGGCTGGGTTCGACATGTCAGCAACAAGGCTCAGGAGCTGCTGACCGCTCTTCAGAGTGGTTGAGTGTGTAAAGATAGGCAATGGCGACGAGGAGATCCAGTCACAATCAGCGCCAAGGAAACTTGAGAGCGGTCTTGTCCAGGATGTCCATGATTTGGCTGTATTTGCTCATAGGAGCTAGCAGATCGGAGGATTTTTGCTTCACATTCGATCAGTCTCAACTCTCCAAGAAATCGACATTTGGTCCCGACATCGATACTGAGCACCCCACACATCAGCAGACAGGGCTCAACTCACATCACAACACTTCGCCACCGCCCCCTTCGACTTGCACAAGGCCTTGAATTCTTGGTCAGGAGCTGGGAGAAAGTTAATTAGCACTCAGACCTGCAGACTCGCAGCTAGTTGTCTTACAACTATGACATCCACGGGCAACTCGTATGACACTGTAGGACACACACATAGGGAGGTCATTGCCCGGAAGTGGACACTTTTGTTGAGCCTCAGACTCCGAAATGACTTGAGCGGCAGCGCAGCTTGCTGCGAGGGCGAGAAAGGTGCAATCAAATTTCATCGTGAATAAAGTTCAGGAATTGGAAATAGGAGACTCACAAATGAGAACGTGAAGGCTGCAGGGCTCGCTGGGGTGGCAGAAAGGTATCGTGTATATAGGCAGTTTGATCATGCCATGATCTGTGGTTACAACTCCCCTTGAGATGTATCCCCGTTGGGCAACAAATGTCTCGGTTTGGACGATACTAGCAGTCGCATGGAGAACTCATAAGGTTTGTCAATCATTTACGCAGTCTGGGCACTGTCACCCATTGTCCAAAATTATGTCTCAACGCTTGGCCCCAGCGACTGTGACAGGCGATCCCCGTTTATGAGTCATTTCAGGATTGCTACGATCCGGAGAGACGTAGAACATGCACTTTTATGGACGATCGAACTTGAAGCAGGCACATGGCCTGAGTTTGTGCTTGAAAAGCGATATCAACTGCGGAATGAGCTTTGGCGACCAGCCCTCACATCGTAGGCAGCGGGTGAGCTGCTCCAATGTTGCATTATATCGATTCAGTTCGTGGAATAAGGCAAATAGCTTCCATGTTCACCGCAGGCAGCATGCAGTATGGGGCAAGCTTATTGTCCCTCTATTATGTGGTTTGAATACGTAGAGTGAAGGGCCAACATCAGCTGAAACAGATGATACCACACTTCATACTCCATGCTCGCTATGTGGCCGTCGATTGAACTTATATACAGTACACTGTCCCATTCAGGAAACGCAAGCCCGAAATCGCAACATTATGATACTCTGCAGAGCTCCGGACAACATTATGCAAGTCTTCAGATGATCGAATTCGCAGCCATGGTGGTCGTTATGGCGAAAAAAGTGCTCTCGGAGATCTTCACCACGGGTGTATCTGGAGACTCAACACAATGCTGTGGAGAAGAAGTCTATAAGAGCGAAGTGTTGTCTTCAGGACTCTCATGACCTCGCGGACTTGATCTGTCTCAGATATGATGATCAGCGCCGTTATGAAAGGCCGTACCACTGGTGTGGGAATCTGGTAGAGATAAGAAGCCGCATTGGTAATTCACGCGTTTCGTCAGCCACAAGCAACGATGCTGCGGATGACAATCGGAACGCAGGCAAGTCATCTTGACTTAGATCCCAGCTCTGTAATATTTTTGGAGATGACAACTTGGATTCCTCGTTGGCAGAACTCCACGAGTATCCAGCCTTCGTAACGAAGAAAGAGCCAACTTGAAGTCAATAGTATTTACATTGCATGCTTCAGGCGTCACCCAAAACTGTGTTGTACATACGGCGTGCCCTTCCAGCGCTCGAACTAGACAAGTATGAACATGAGATCCAACTGGGTCACAAAATACCCAAAGGCCTCAACTTGACCTCCAGCACATCTCCTTCAGAATCCGTCATCACTCCACGCCTCGTGCTCAGCTTTCTGTCAAGCTATCACACATGACCACGATGGGAAGTTCATTATCCGTCTCTGATGTTGGAATAGCGCAGCACTGAGCTACAGTTCCAGCCTGCTGGCAAGAGGCAGTGATTTTGTCAAACGAGCTGCGATCAGCAGCTTGACATTCGTCTCGTTAGCCACTGTACATACAAGCGATTTTGAGACGCAGGATCTTACGCAATTCACAATCGGAAACAGGTGCATCAGTGTTCGCGGGACAGCAGGATGCTTCGCTGTAGTATCCATCGGGGCAAATTGCGGCTCGTGCTGCAACACTGATTGCCGCAAGAAGGATGGTTTGTGAGAACTTCATTTTTGGGACTTTATCGCGACATTGTTGATGCGTGGATCGGCAGTTGAGATGCTGGAGACTAAATCACCCTTTTGCAAGAACATGTAGAGAATAGAGCGATCGAACGGTCCTTTTGCATCGATATATAAGAGATATCGCCTGATGATGATACTCCGAGGAGAGCATTGAAAACTCTGGTACGGGAGACACCAGCCGTTTGACGAAACGCATCACCGTTGAATGATCGCTCACTCCTTTCAGCAGCCAAAACAACGGTTCCGGACGCCGCATACCAGAGTTCTCTACATAATTTGATCAATAGATGGATTGCTGATGTGCCACCAGGGTCCGAACGGTTTGCTTGCATGCCCCGCTAGTTCAAAGTGGAATGTCCACATTTGGCAATTGGTGATAAAAAGCTTGGTCGGTACTATAGCGATCGGCAGTAATTGCATATTGCCTGGCTCATTACAACTTGAGTTGATGTGCTAGTAGGCTCAGTGCTATGTCTCACTGGAGTTGCATGAGAGCCATTAATTAGTTTGCGATATCATTGTATTGAGATCACAACTGGCAGCAAGGGCTGGCTCAATAAAAGCTGACCAGTCTTCGCATCTTGTCGCGTTTCGGAACGACTCAAGTCTTTCAGTGATCAACAGATATATTCGCCATCTGTCTCAGCAACTCGTGGATATCAGATGTGTTGTGCAGTCTCCAAGATTTTCCCCCACATTATTAGATTCCAGAATCCTCCATCTCAACATCTCCCACCTCTTCATCCTGCTTTTGCTGCTTGGCTTTTTTCCTCCTTCTCATCGGCCTCTTTGGACTCTCATCCAGCTCATCCTCATGCGACTCATCTTCCTCCTGCGCAGTAGTCAAACCTTTCCCTCTTCCAATGTTCATCCTCTTATTCCGATGCAACACCGAACTCAGCCCTCTGGGAACCTGCGGCGTTCTCATCCCAGGCGTCCGAGTGGAATCAGGTGTAAGCCCAGGAGTTTGAGTTGGCACAGCGCGAGGCCTACGCTGAGGCGTCATAGGTCCCGCGGGCACATATCTTGATGAACTTTTGTCCTGGGTCACGGGCGATTCGTTAAAAAGTCCAGGCGTTGGCACAGTGTACCCGGTAGACTCGAAAACCGAGCCAGATCCGTGTGGCGAAGAAAATATTGGTGGGTATACACTTGTGAATGACGCGTCCCTGGAATTGGATTTCATTCCGGCAGTACCCGACCGCAACCCTTGAGGTGTACGTGGTGCAGACTGCGGTACTGCAGGTATCTGAGGAAAGAGGAATCTCCGGGCACTTTCGGAAGATACGTCCTGAGCAGAATGCTGCCGCTGCCCGCTCGGTCTTCGCACAGCAGGCGTCAGTGGGGAAGGTGTAGGACCGTGTTCGGGGCTCATCAGTCTATTGTGCCAAGGTGGTGTGCTTGCTTGAACCAGCTCCATGGGCTCCAATGGAGCTGCATCAATCTCAGGCTCTTCAAAAATTCTCCTGCGCTCCTCATTCGAAGCCCCCCAACTGGCGTCAGCCTCCAGACTTTCGATCCGAAGTCTCTCGAGGTCTCGCAAGAGATGAATGAGAACTTCAACGTCAACTGCAGACTGTCCGGGCCGCTTGATTAGCGGGGAGTTAGGCACACGGAGGTAGTCGCCCTTCCGTGAGTTGTGCTGTCGTTCCAGTTCTGCAATACATTCCAGCAATGGTACCATTCTGGTCGCTGCTCGATACTCCATGGCATCCCCTTCAAATCTCGCGATATCGACGCTTGTGCCACGTACAGCCAGATGCAGCTTGCAAAGTAGGTCTCTTTGTTTATGGAGATTGATTTGTCTGTCCGTCAAGCCGGTATAGAGTTCAACTTGATGATGGGAACTCAGCCATGGGAGCTTTCCAGGATCGTTAGCTGCAGCGTGTTCGTAGTTCGATTTGGTAAGATTCGCTATGGGTATTGGCGATTGGCTGGGAAGTATGATTTCACCGTATGTGCCTCGTCTGTAATTGCAGCCTCGATCTTGAAGGAGATAGTTATGCTCGTCGACGGCTCGTGCAATAGGTTCAGTGACATCTGTTCCCTCTTTTGCTTCTTTCCCGTCCTTCGCTTCCTCCGGTTCTTTCACGGTCCGGCGAAACGTATAGCCTGCCACTCCAGTCAGAATTTCGCATTGCTGTAACGCCTCAGGGTGGTCTTGAACTTGCACATACCAATCTCTCTTGGCGGATGCCAGTTCTTCTTATCCTCGCATGCTTTCGACGTCCAGAATTCATCCTTGAAAAATTTCTCAAAGTGATCCAATTTCACCTGCCAGGCCAAATTGCACTTTTGCTTCTCGTTATCTTCCATTCGGACTTGGAGACACGACATCCCCCGGTACTCCTCGATAATGTCTTGACTTGGATGTTCCCAGAGAACAAGGTATCCCCTTAAAGCGCTTATCCGCCCGCTGTAACGATGAACCTTGAAATACTTGGCATCATCGCTCAGCGGAACATTCTCGTATAATAGGTCTAGACGACCATCGAAAAGCTGTCGTTCCAGCTCGAAGCCCAACTCCGAGATCGACTCGTTTCCAAAGAAGGGTTCAAAGTCGATCTTGCCGTTGACTTTATTCCAAGCTGCGTGGGCCAATTCATGCAGGATTCCCAAAGCCAGACGAAAGCGATAAAACAGGAGTGCAGGAACATCACTCGCATTAATCGTCGCTGTTACCAAATCGTTGATCTTCCTAGTACTGATCCAAATCTCGCTCCTGTAGCCGTTCGGAATGCCGGGGACGGTCACGTCATGAGCGCCTTGCTGTTCTGTGCAGAACGAATTGGTACGATCCGTTATCACATACTGAACATAGTTGTGGAGCGTATCGAGTTGAGATCTGGTGGCTTGACGGATTTCCTTGCTGATCGGACGCTCTGGGTTGAATTGGTCAAAAGAATACTGCATTCCATAGTTGTTGGGGTTGCATCTGTCCTCCCAGTACGACGGCTGCTTGAGCAAGAGTGTAGACCAGAAAGGAATCAAAAGTGGTGAGTATATCATTCGTGATGCTAGACGAAGTGATGGAGCAAGCTTAGCATAAGTTTGGTCTGATATTGCGGTGCGCTCTTTGCTGTCTTCAATCGAAAACAATTCTTTGCTAAATAGTTCTGAAATTGGGTTAGTCAAAGAATGCATTGCCAAATTGCTTTTCTTGTAGCATTGGAGCTTCGAGAATTGGCATCTCCTGTCCCAGAAAGCCTCGTTCTCCTCTGGGGTTGACTCATTTGGAGGCCGGGAGTCCATCATTTGATCCGTTTCAAATGAGAGCTAGCGGCAGCAGGCGAACAGCGAGGGGATGTTGTCTCACGTTGGAGTTTTCGACCACGGATCGGGCCTTCATGACCACTGCAGACTCGGTGCACGTCCATGTCCTCGTGGGAGGCACCTTTGTTCACGTTGTCCATCGTCGCCGGATTTGGGTAGCTGGAGCCTTTGTGGTTGTCCAACAACAAGAAGTGCCATTTTTGGCAACGTAGCACTGCTCTTGAGACTGCTTATGTCTAGCCTGTAAGTGGTACCTATCGTTGGCGGACATGCATCAAGTGGACATTCAGCATGGACTCCAACTCTGCGGGTGACTGGATTTGTTCACCGTTCGGATTAGGCAAAATTTTGATAGAAGACGCTATAGCCACGGCTCGAGCTCCCATGCTAAGCAGTAGACAATCGCACCTTTCAAGGCCCAGTCCATGAGTGTACGATCGTGGTTTCTTCCATAAGATTCTGATTCCATTGAATTGTTTTGAATTCTTTCGTTTCGCTCAGCAAACCCGGACCACCGTTTTGTATCTGCTATTCGGCACGTCAATGGATCGCAGTACGCGGAATTTATTGCAGTGTACTGCACATTGTGCGGAGCTTGGGCGATTGGGATAGCACGATACAGTGCTGTAGCATCTTGCCGTGTGCCAGCCGCATCTCGAGCCGACAGAAGACGCTTTGGGGCAGGCCTCGTCAGTCTTTTAGAGGTCCATTATTGAGCCATAGTTCCACATTACAGTCCCTCTGCTCCTATGCTTGCACCGAGCGTTTTCGAAGAGTCCTGAAGACGAGCGAGGAGTCCGAACAGGCGCACCGCACAGCACTCTGAGCGAGCCAGCTCCATCTTCGTCAAACAAGAGCGCGCAAGGTCTAAATTGGGCCAATATGACACAAGTATAACTGATAAGCGAAGTTTTCAAGTGTTCTGAAATCGGATCTGACAACGTGGTGTAGAGTCGAAGTTAAGTTGGAGGTTTGTGAGCAACCTTGGAAAGCACAGGGAATCGCTTAGTCATCAACGTCGCGTCCTCCCGTCGTCACCTCGCATCGATCCTGTGTATTGACATGTCCAAACTCGCTGCGATCATAGTCAGACATGACGGCAACTTCACTGCAGCAGAAGGAAGCGGACTTTACGTACCACCCGCAAGTCTCGCCATTCGCGGTGTCGTCACAAACATATCTCACGACGCATTCTGATCTAAGCTACTCTTACATCGCAACCGGATGCTTTGTCTTCGACAAATCTGAACCAAACGAGCCTCGCATACTACTTCTACAGCGCTCCGAAACCGACAGCATGCCAAATCGCTGGGAAATTCCCGGTGGAGCGTGCGACGACGACGATGAAAGCATTCTGCACGGCGCAGCCCGTGAGCTGCTCGAAGAGGCCGGACTCAAAGCCACTCACATCGGACCCCAAGTTGGCGAAGGCGAGTTCTTCACAAGTAGATCAGGAAAGAATATTTGCAAATTCATGTTCTTTGTAGAAGTTGAGCTTGATGATGACGAAGGGCACCTACCAGCTGTAAAGTTGGATCCCAAAGAGCATCAGCAGTACGTATGGGCAACTCGGCAGGAAGTCGAAGCAAGCTGCTCTGGATCCACTCTGCTGCAGTTTACCACATCCGATCTCGAGAAGGCAGTATTGGAATCCTTCTCCTCGAATCAAGTTGGGAATGATTGAAGATAACCGGACCCCTCAGGCCAATTGAACACAAGGATCTGCGAACAAATTGGGCTATCACCGGTTATCAGGATGTATCCCTGCCGTCTCCATACGCGTTCAAGATTCTAGGCCAGGAGCTCAATTCCTCTACTTCCATCCAGCATTTCTAATGCTGCGCCATCCATGAATCTCTAAGCGTAAGCATTCTCTATCAAGGCAAACTCGGGACCAACGCTTCTTTGTTCTCAGCCATGTGATCCAAGAAGTGTTTTGGGTCTCCCGCGTCTAATAGAAGCCTATTTGGCATAGCTTTCAGAAGAACCCAGCCCTGACTCTTCAAATCACTCGTGCTCGACGCTACAGTCAAATGCAGAGATCGACACTGCTTGAGTAGAAAATGGCGGAGTCTCGCTGAGCTACTGCCGAAAGACGCACCAGGCCTCACTGCACATCCTCAAACACGCGCGACGCTTAAGAAAGCGCCATCGTGCCACCAACAACAATTCGTCCTATCCGCCGTTGCGGCGAACTATCGGATCCCGCTGGGAACGCCTTGCGCCACAGCTCGCCCTCTGCCTTTGAGCGGATTAACCCAGCAGATCTGCATCTTCCACTTCTACACACAACCCTGGCAGACCTGAGATCGTCGTCAACAAAACACCTTTACCCGAGGACATCCCATTGGCTCTCTCCTCCTACTTGTTGACCCCGCCGGCAGACAGGAAATGAAGATGTGGAGAGCACCTTGTCGTCAGTTCGATTCTAGTTCACCCAACAGCTAGAGGTTCTGCTGCAACAAGGGTCTTAAATATGGACAACGCTGGACACTGTCGTAATGAACAGACGCTGCAAATTCCAAGACGTGAAGTCCAAAATAAGAGTTCCCGCCAAGCCTTTGATCAGTATCTCTCCTTCCTCTTTCCTCCCCCCGTCCCTCCATCGCCTCCGGCGAGACTACGACGCAACAGGAAAGAATACGACAGTGAAACATTGAGAAGGCCTAGCACATCACGAACATCAGAGGTCACTTTCCTAAACCCATTCATGACTACTTACATCTACCTCGCAATTTGCAACTTTCCAAAAGCCATTTGTTCGCATGGCACATCATAGATTGGGTATCGCTTCAAAGCATTGGATAGAAACGCCAATCCATGCAAGGGACAAGAGTAAAACAAAAAATCAGACTGATAAACACATCCTGCAATCCAGTAAAGCAAGGAAGCAAGGAAAGTGACTTCCAGATGTTGTTCTCAAGCCCTCAAACCCGGGGCACTTTCACCACAACTGTCGCTGTGGGCTTCATTTGATTCACAGCCTCGCTCTATCACCTAATGCCAGAAGAAAACGAATTAGTATGAATGGTTCATCGACCCTCCTGAAGAGTTCTGTCCCATACGATCGACAGACAAGAATCGTCACATCGAAAGCAGACATTCGAACCAGTTTCTACGCACCATTAACCAACTCCTTGATCTCATCTCCAACCTTCTCATGCTCCTTAAAAGGGTCATACATTCTCGCGCGAATGTAATCATCGAGATCCTCGTCATTGAGATTCCTCAAAGCGAGCTCTCGGTCCATGCCGTCTTTTTGTGCGGCGCGGATGACGCCTCGTGTCACGACGACGGAGACTTCGCGAATGCGACGGATGTCCGGGTAGAGCCAGTTGTCGGCGACTTCTGATTCGGTGAGGGATGTGGAGAGGGATTCGGCGGAGGCGTAGATCATGTTTTGGGTGACGTTGACAGCTTTGCTGAGGATTGCTCCGAGGCCGATACCTGGGAAGACGTACCTGGGAGACAATGTTAGTAAGCGGAAAAGAAAGATAGGCGAAGGAATACGCACATGTTGTTGCCTTGGCCGGGTGTGAGCTCCTTGCCCTCGTATGTGAGTGTTGGGAAAGGAGATCCCGAGGCGAACAGGCAACGACCCTTGGTGTACTTGATGGCGTCCTCGAATGTGCACTCAGACTTGCTGGATGGGTTGGAGAGAGGGAAGATCACTGGACGGTCGTTGAGCTCGGCCATTCTGGTCAGGATTTGAGGTGTGAAGGCACCGCCGATTGTGGAGAGACCCATGAGGATGGTTGGCTTGACGTATTCGATGACCTCTTCCAGAGTTTGGAATTGTTGGCCATCGTTGTCGTCACGAGCAAAGTAGATCTTGTGCTCAGCCAGGGGTCGGCCAGGTCGGTCGAGAGTGACCAGACCTTGTGAATCCACGAGCCAGAATCGCTTCTTGGCCTCCTCTTCGCTCAGACCCTCCTTCATGAAGAACTCTGTAAGCTGCTTGGCAACACCGACACCTGCACTTCCAGCTCCGAGGAAGACAGCACGCTGCTCTGCGGGGTGGACACCGGATTGCTTCACGGCGTTGATGAAGCCACCAGTAATGACGGCTCCAGTACCCTGAATGTCGTCGTTGAACATGGTGTATGTATCCTGGTATCGCTCGAGAGATGGGAATGGGTTCTTGAAGTCCTCGAACTGAATCACGATTGATGGCCATCGCTCAGTGAGAGCAGCCATCATCTCGTCCAAGAATTCCTTCTCTTCCTCTGCGGTGACCTTGTCACGTCGGCTGCCGAGATATAGGGGATCGTTTCGGAATTGCTCGTTGCTGGTTCCGAGATCGAGGCAGAGTGGGAGGGTTCGGAGTGGGTGGATACCGGCGCAGGCAGTGTACAGGGAGAGCTTGCCGACTGGAATGCCCATGCCGTTGATTCCAAGGTCTCCAAGACCGAGGATACGTGAGCCATCAGTGACGACGGTGATTTCGACATCGTGTGGCCAGTTTTGAATGACAGAGTGTAGGTGTCCCTTGTCCTCCCATGAGAGGTAGAGACCTGGAAGATGTCAGCGGAGTGACATGTGACCACAACAGAATCCTCACCCTCTGGTTGTGTGTATAGTTCCGACCATCTTTGGCATGCCTCTCCCACAGTGGGTGTGTAGATGAGAGGAGTCAGCTCCTAAGCAGTTGTCAGAGTCACCTCTTTCTGGCCTTGCTCTTTCAATGGTAACCCACCTTGACGTTGTGTGCGAATAGACGGTAGAAGAGGTTGACGTTGGTGTTTCGGAGCACGGAGAGGTATTGATACTTCTCAATGGGTGTCTTTCTTGATTCGAGGACAGCAAGGCCTAGAACGTGTCAGTGGGCTGAATGCCAATGCCTCGGTGTTTGAGCTACTCACATCGCTTGGCTTGGTTCTCAAATGACTCGACAGCCGGAGGAGTCAGGCCGTATGTTCTCAGGTATTTGCGGGTCTCCTTGGAGTGTGTGGTGTCATAGTCGGCACTGGAGGGAGAAATCTCAGCATGTGTTTGGACATGGGACTTTGTCGAAAAAGTTGACATGAAGGATTTGTTAGGTGATTTGTGAGAGAACGGGGCTACATACGGTGCTGGAACAATCCTCCTCTCTGGGTGGTGGTGGTGCACGGCAGCTTGCTTGATGTTTGCTTGAGGAGCAAAGCCGTTCTTTGCGGAAGTCATGGCAGCTGCTGCGACTGTGGCCGTATTTGCGGGAGAGGTGGTGAAAGCTCGTCTGGGGTACCCGGCGTCGGAAAGCTTATTCGAGCAACGGCGAGGCTTGGAGATGCTGCTCTTGGACGACGCAGGAGGGAGAGAGGGAGTTGAATGAGGAGGAAGAGGATGTGCAGAGGTGTTGCGAGTCGAGACAAAAGGTGCAATTGTAGTCTGGGTCGCGCGACACGAGGCAGCGGGAGTTGCAGAGATGCTAAGCTTAGGCAAGCGGGCCGGGCGAGTTGGCGGCATATGGGTCTTCGAATGGGTGAAGTCGGAGGGTATCGGGGGATTTTTTTGGATTTTATTATAGGGTCGCAGGCTGATCCACCGGTCAGGCTGAGGTGATGATGTGCAGGATGGTGGTGAGTGCACTGGGAGAGCCGTCGGAGAAGGCGCAACGGATGCAAGTAGGCAGTGAGGACAGTTATTCTGGTGTCGCAGGGAAGGCCGTGCCTCTTGGGCAGTCTGTTGCAGAGGCCAGTGACTCCGAGCGACTCCACGAGAAAAGCCAATGCCTTTCGCCGACCCTGCAGAATTGCTGATGCAGCGAGGGGAGCGCTCCGGGCGGGCAGCGGTCCCGGCCCCAGCCCTGCCACGAAAAAGACGGTGCGAGTGGGTTGCTGTGAACGATCACGACTTCCAAGAACTCGTCAGTTGCAGTAGTAATTGCGGAGATCCGAACAGTGACAGTATGCGGTTGCGGTGCTTATGTGCAGCAATGCGCACGCCGCTGAGAGGCACATCGTTCTCGCATTCCCCCTTCACCGCAGCAGCAGTACCATGTTCGCCCTCTGATGGGAGGCGTGTTTGCGCAGACGCACGCGAAACATTGTTAATTTTGTTCCTGTCCATTATCGTGCCACGCGACCACGCTAACCGCATGCATGATGATCCTACTGCAAGGGACACGAGAACGAGCGGATTCGAAAGCCGATGCTTCTTTCTGCTGCTGCAGCACGGCGGTGATCGGAGCCCGAGGCCAGTTACATACATCTCTCCCGCATACTGTCTGCTCCTCCGCACTCCACCGCCCTCCCTCGGCGAACTCTACACCACACTTCACGCCTCATGCTACGTCGACATTCACAGTTTCCTGCTGGAAGAAACATGAAGGGCAGCGTTGCCGCTGACGTGTGCGGTCTAGACCTGCTGTTTGCTGATGCTGCTCACCAAGCTGCAGCTCTCGGCTGAGCACTCCGAGCAAGTTCATATATCGCCAGCTTCGTCAATGGCACGACCTGCAAATGTTGTTCTTGCAGTTGGCTCACGCGAGCGATCTACGGAAGATCGACGGGACGGAGTGAGGTCCGTTTCTGCCTGAGGAATCATGGTGGCTCTCACGATAGTTCGGCAATGAGGTCACTGTGAGCGCGGTAGCGCGTCCACAGCTGCAGTGTTCGCGCCATGGTGAAGCTGAATCCTGTATTGAGCACCAAAAGGCAAACTCACCATCACATTGCCGCTCCATCGCCGCTAACTACTCCTCTTCTCCATCGTCACCGGTTGCACATGGCTTGACACAGTAGCCGCCATCCTCTCCTCCCCTCCCCGCCTCTTCATCCATCACCCCTCCACCTCCGCCGCGAGCAGTGCTGCCTGATACCACCGCCATGTCGTCCTGCTTCGGCTTCCGCAACAATGGCGATCAGTCCGAGCGAGAGCCTCTGCTGCCTCAGTACAATGACGATACCGTGCTGCAGCGCGAGCTGCACCAGAAGCTCCACTCGTACCAGATGTACCGAGCCATCTCCAAAGGCTTCATGCCCTCCACCCAGCAGCTGATCATCCACTTCCGCACCTTCCTCGCCAGCGAAGTCCTCAACCCAGAACATCCCGACCTGTCCAACAGTGGCCGCAGACTGATCAAGCAGACGCGACAATGGATCCAGCAGTTCATGGATCTGCTCGAGCACAAGAACGGCAAGGATCAGATTCAGGACATCATCTGGTTCTTGACAAAGAGCAGCATTTCTGTTGACGTGGAGGATATCGCAGTGCGAGCACAAAAGACCAAGGCAAGAGCAGATACCGCTGCAGCGTATCAGAGTCTGCGGACCGTTGGCAGTCTCCTTCTGACCAATTCCGACTTTCGAATCTTCCTCAGCGATCTGAACACTATTGGCAAGGAGGTCTTCAGAGACTCTGCCTTTGCACTGTCAAATGCGGCAGAAGATGTCGCAAAGAAGATCGATCCTGCCGAGGAGGAGAAGCAGAAGGTTGCCAAGCCTGGAGCTGACGATCAATCCGCCCCCAGTACAGAAGCTTTGACCGGCGAAGCTGCAGAGGTCGCGAACGTGGTTGCCAATGGAACTGCTCAAGTTGCCAAGACTACGGTTGACAGTGCCGCCGACAAGCTGGAAGGTGATGAAGGTCAGGTCTTGGTAAACCGTCTCCAGCAGGCCATTCTCAAACTTCGAAAGCGACCTGATTACAATGACTCGGTCTCGACACTATCGCTTCTGATCAAGAGATATGCCGTCGTCTACTCAAGAGCCGCAGAAGATGTCGCCAAAGTCGCCAAGAAAGACATCAATGAGAATGAGGCCCTCGATCGTGCTGCTCAGAATATGTGGGCATTCATCACCAGTTTTGGCGACAAGCAGGAATGGGAGAAGACGGAGGAACTCTTCAAGCAGGTCCTCAGCCATCAAAACAAGGACCCGCAGTTCGAGAGCACCTTGAGCAAGGCCGGCGACTCCCTGCAAAAGCTCCTGACCGATCCTAGCTTCCTCGAGCATGCTGATGATAAATTCAAGGAGCTCCGAGCTGAGTACAAAAAGTCGGGCAATGACACCCACCTGGGGCAAGATATTCAGGCTTTCTTCCAGCAATTGGAGACTACGGTGTACAGTGTGCTCAAGGATGAAGACATCCACAACTTGATCCAGACCACCCTGCGTATCTTCAGGCTGCTGTCGCCTGTCAACCAAGCCACGAATCCGGAGCTGCTACAAGACACCATCAACATCTTCGTGCCTCTACTCATAGCCGCCATTCAGTACATCCCCATTCCCAGACTGGAGATCAGCACCCCAGAGATCGACCTCCTGTTGGAAAACCTCATCATCGAGCCCGGCCACACAGTCAACCAGACCTCTTTCCTGCCTTACCGCCTCAAGGTTGAAACATACAACGACTTCGAACTCCGTAAAGCCAAGTTCCGCACCACCACCGCCATGACCAACCTCGTCACCATCAAAATCGACGGCCTCTCCGTTAAGGCGGATGAAGTAGGCTTCTGGCTCCGCGCTCACAAAGGCATCCTCCGCCTCGCCGACGAAGGCATCGCCGGCTTCGCCCTCGACGAACGCGGCATTGACATCCACATCGATGTCGAAATTGCCAAAGATCGCCTTGAACAAATCCTCACCCTCCGTGCCGTTCGCGTCCATATCCACAAACTCAACTACAAGATGCGCAAATCGAAATTTTCCTGGCTCGGCTGGCTCATGAAACCCCTCCTCCGTCCTGTGATCCGCAAAGTCATGGAGAAACAACTTGCTTCTGCTTTGGCGGATTTCTTCCATGCTGCGAATCGCGAGGTTTTGTTTGCGAGAGAGCGACTCCGAGCTACGAGGATCGCAGATCCAGATGATGTATTGACATTCTTCAAGGCTGTCGCTGCCAGACTTACACCCGAAGAGGATCCAGATCTCTATACAAGAGTCGGCGTTGCGCAGCCGGGTAAGGGTGTGTTCAAGAATGTTTATGCGCCGGGAAGTGTGGTGAAGGTTTGGAATGAGGAGGCTAGTAGGGCGACGGAGCGGGTTGAGGACTTTGATGCGGGAGGGTGGAGGAATGAGATTTTTGATACGCATGTTAGGACGTTGACTTGAAGATGAGTATTGGGAGAGGATGAGATGTGGAATACGAGGTGTGGGTGAGCTGGAAGAGAACAGTTGAGAACCAGGGTAGTGCGCAATTGAGAACAACAGGACTTCAGACTCTAGTAAACAGGTGGAACGGCACTCTCGGTTACATACATGCGTCATGACTACCAACGATACGAAGCAAAAATGGGGCAAAACAGGAAGGCGGCGCTGATGAATGGTGCGGGTTGAATAAAAAGGAAGGGCATCGGTATATAGTAACGTCCAACTTTTGAGACGAGGCTTCGACAAATCCGTGGTGTGGAATACATAAACAGAATCAGCGGCGGAAATGTACGCATATTTCTCTTCGCGATTTTGATCTCTCATTCGATGTCTCAGGCAGACTTGAGATTCGATGGTCTGCTGTGCGATTGCGAGGTCGCAGTTTCTTCGATTCTACGATGGGGACTGTTGGTCCAGACAGACCTGAGAGCGATTTTACTGCTTCTTTGTGGAGAGGTGAGAACATCGATTCGGCAAGCTGTGTTTTGAAACGTCACGGAATATGTATTCTAGGATTAGATAGTGCACGCAAGCTTTCTCAAAACTCATTCTATCTTGGTACCATGGAGGAACTCAAATCTCGACCATTGATGCCGCGAAGAGCGATTCCGGGACTTGTTCGGATACGTCTACCTACAGCAGGATCCCGTATGCGGACTGTGGGCGTGCAAAGTGTAAGCCCTCAGGGAAGCAGTGCCTACTCGGGGCATCTATGCGCTAGAACAATAGGCAACCCGCTCAAATTTATTCTATGTCTCTGGGTACGTGGTGCTCGACCGATAGTCGAACTCCTTCGACTCATCCCTCTTTTGTTTGATTTCTTGCTCGAAGGCGCGGTCAATGAACTCTCGATAGCGATGGCGAGCAGTTCGATACCCGGCCCGATCGCGAATGCATACCTCCTCAGCGTATTCACCGATCTCGTTAACCTGGCGGCTGGGCGCGACGATCACTCGCATCTCGTACTCTCTTGTGATCGCAGCTCGCTTCGTGGATTCGGACTATCATAAATTAGCAGTCACAGCGAGATTCAATCGTGATATAGAACGCACTGAAATCTCCCAGAACGAGCTTTCATCTGGATTCTGCTCCTTGTTTCGAAGAACCAGCGAGATGCCCCTAAAGTCCAAACGATTGACAGCTTGGGCAATAGTGAGGTTCTGTTCTTCTTTTAGGTATTTGGTGATCTGCAATACGTCCCGGTTGATTTGTGCATCCAAGATGTTCGTCAGGTACATGTTTGGACAATGGAAAGACTTACATCTGGAGCCGAGAGCCTCATCGCAGCACTGGAAGTGCTGACGAATTTGATGACCCAGCTCAAATTCATCCCAGGTTTTCGGACCAAGAGTCGACAGCTGCGACCACGCCCATGAAGCAAAGGCGATGGCCGCGCAAGTCATCGCTTCAAGGCCGTGGGCATGATTGCAGCTGCTGGGCTCTCTGCATATCAAACCTATCTCATGATCGGCGTTACCTCCAGGTGCAGTCCACGCGCATCTCGCGTAACCCGCAAGTCCGTCGAACTGTTGAAATAGAGCAGTGATTGAACCACCCTCAACACATTCCGACATTTTCGTCTGGATCAGCCGCGGCTTGAAGTAGCGCATCATACTCTCTACCAAGGGGGCATTCTGTTTTAGAAGTTGTGTCCCTCCACTTGCCACCCATTGGATGCTATAGATCACGAGTTCCACGAGATACAAGGCCATGCTTGTTTCCTGAGGCTTTGGTAGAGTGCCCGTCCATCTGTCAACGACCGAGAAGAAGCGAGCGTTCGCGCACAGGTCCCAGAATATCAAAGTAGTTGGTTCGATGAGCACAGAGGCAATTTCGTGGACTCTTCTGCTGACGTCGCCCTGCCGTCCGACTTGAACTTCGTCGATATCAAAGCGCTTGAAAACCTCGAACAGCTCATCTAGTTGGTCATGTACAATCATCGTGTCATACTGCGCTAGACTTATTAGATCCTGAATGCGGCGCACAGTGGATGAGCGAGGCCTCATCGCACATGGTCTCCCGCAACCGTCGAGTTTGTGTCTTGCTAATATAGAGTCGAGATCAGTCGGTATGGGGCGACCGTTATCGCGCGGCTCTGCATCAGCGCAGTCACCATAATGAGGCGAGTAAACAGACGGTGCGATCCAGATGTACTTGAGAGCAGCTCGCCAAACACGAATAGAAACATCGATCAAAGCTGGTAGCTTGAGCCCATGTGTATTTTCAGATTCGACGACAAAGTCGTACGCTGAGCGATGAACCCATTTCAGCTGCTGCGCCTCCCAGTGTAGAGCAGAGGTATAGTATATAGCTGGAGCCCGGTGACGTTCCACTTTCAGTGCCTGTTTACCGCCATTCTCCTGCACGGCGATCCATTCGAAGTCTGGTGTCTTCAGTAAGGTGTCCCAACTAAGCCGGAGGAGGGGGGTTACTTCGTCAACCTCTAGCAGCCCGCCGGAATGGGCCCCAATTTGAGCCGTGGTGATCTCGCATTGAGCTACGAATTCCTTGTAGGAAGTGGGTACCGTCTGAAGTCGCTCGGCTGTGAGGATGCTGATGGACCTGCAGAGTCGGCATTCTGCCGTAGGTGCTCTCAAGCATTGGATATAAAATGCCAAGAACGACTTGTGCTCGTGGTCCACGGTCTCCAGCATTTTCCGATAGAGGTCTCCTAGATCCAGAGGCAACTTGTCGATTCTGCTGGCAAGCACGTCATGTTCATCACGTGCCTTGATTCCGCGGACCACATCTTTCGTCACGAGAGCGGCCCACAAGAAGACTCCATTTGCGCGGCTGGAAATGCTCTTCACAAGCTCTTGCTCGTTCGCTGCTCTCGCTCTGCGGAGACTGTGTTGCACGAAGCAAGATATATCGGAGCAATTCAGGTGTTGTAGCTTTAACCGCGGCATTTGACACAGAGCGTCCTCGAAGGTTTGTTCTGGACGGCTGGAGACGCAGCACTTTACATTGCTGTGCCTCCGAAGCGATAGAACGAAATCAAGAAGTCTCTCTTGATCACCAGTGAACTCATCTAGCCCATCGATGAACACACAATATCGACGCGTGTGTTCGGTAGTCCTCAAAACTGCACGGATCGCACGAATTAATCGAGGGACGCTCCAGGACGGGATTTGTTGATCTGTCAGCCGAAGTTCTTTGACCACTTCGGACATGGCGATAGCATGCTGGCAGTCGCAAAGTTGATAGAGCAAACTCTGCAATAAACCCTGCACGTTATTTTCCAGCCCTGTGCCGGGCTTCCAGAAGAAAAAGGACAGTAGCTGTAGATGGGCTCGACCGCTCCACGACTTGAGTCCTTCCAAGGTTTTCTCATCATCAACGATGTGGGCAAGCAACACCGATTTTCCGGAGCCAGCTTTTCGAGAGCACCAGTATATGGGCTCACTGCTACGAAGCCACACATCGAAACTGTGCCATTCGGGTTTATTAGCTGGATTTGTGGTATGAATCCAAGAGAATGTGCCCTCGCATGGTTCTGGAATGGATCTGTGGCGCGCGTTCATGTTCTCATATTTCAAACTGGCGATCAAATTCTCGCGGTAGAACTTTGAAAGGCGCGGTTGTTTGCTGGCAAATTCTTGTAGAACCCGTGCGAAAGTTTTCCACTCTTCGTCTTCGAGATCTGTAAATCTGTGCAAGTTCAAATGGTCGCATGCTCTTGAAAACTTTCGAATATCGAGCGTTGAGGACATATTGTCAAGACAAGCAGAGCTCTCGCTCACCAATATGACTCTGTGCTGATTGGCGCTGGATGGGATCTCTTGCTCTGCGACTGTTGAGTTGCGTAGGTAGAAGCTGAGGCCCGTAGGCTCTCGCTCGTAAAAGCATGCGATGGAAGGCGCTTTGCCGTCGTCTTCTGCGGACTCGCGAATGCTTTTACAGAAGTCACTGAACATATCCTGCAGCCATTCGCTGTCGGCCTTCGACGATTCAATGTTGTCTCGGAGGACAAATTCATTCGTGCTCTCAATCTGCGGAAGTACAGACAGATGAAGCAGATGAGACGTTCCTCGGAATGGGGTGCCCATGAAGACCGCACCTACAGTCGCGGTGTGGATGTCCGGCCATCTCGTCTGGTCGTGCCATGCATCTACGAGCGCCTTCACTGTATTAGCAGAGTCCAGAATTCGGTTCACATCCGTACCTTTGCAAGGACTAGGCCACCATAGCTGTGGGCAACAAACAGCAAGGGCCGATTGACACAATTTCGGCGTGCGTTGGCGATCTGGTCTAACAGAGATGCAGAAATACTGGATGTTCGTGTCTTGATGGCATCTTTGCCGTACCAATCTCCGCGATAGCCAAAGCGAAATATGCGCGAACCTGGGATTGCTGATGGTAACCAGTCTTCGTGAGTGGTCCAGTCCAGGTATTCTTTCTTGTGCACCGGGCGAGAGCCATCCTGAACTGCTTGGTCTGGCTTCTGCTTGGTCCAGGTCTTATGAGGATGCGCCGCTTTCCCATGAATCAAGATGATGCTATTGCTGGTCAGTAGCTCATTATAATGCACACATTAGTGGCATACTCAATCTTGCCATTTTCTGGGATTTCGATCGAGCTCGGGTAGACTTGTTTGAGCCTGAGGTCTTTCACGTCAATGTCTCCGCGTCCCTGCGTAGATGTTAGCTCGTTTTGATGCCGTATCGATGCATACTTACCATAGCGCCCTGCAGCACAAATTTTGCAGTTGATTTCGCCCGACTGTGCTCTCTTCGATGCAGAATTTGTGGCGTTGTCAACTCTCGGCTGCATCAAATCGCACACAGAATTTTGGAACATTCGCTTGACCGGTAAAGAAGCTCGAAGGTATGGGTGTACAGCAGGGACAGCTGATGCGGCCTCACATGAAACATCGCATCGATAGCGACTACAAATCTCAAATTGCGATAGATTGGCGAAGCTCTGTCTGCATCGTCAGTTCCTCTGGTGTCTTTCTCGCAAGCAAATGAGAGAAATGAGCCCGCAAGATTATATCCAGCAGTTCTACGCGAGTATAGGACAGCAGGCATCCAACTCAATCCTGGAACGGCACACCAACCAGCGGTCGCACAAGCCCCACTATACTTGTCACAGCTCCAGAACATTGCGTGCAACTTTGCGGATGAAACAGTGATGGTCGTGGAAAATATTGACTTGACTTGGATTGCAGCCATTGGAGACCTTTTCGGTGTCGAGCCCGCATTCTTCGTGGAACATGCAGCTGCCATATTTGGTACCTGTCCAGAGAAGGCTATCATCGGTCAGTGGTCAGCACATCGTAAGAAGCCGGTCCACAAACTCTCGTCTGTCGAGAGTTGGCACATTGACGGCGTGTGGGTCTCGCGCCACGCGCGGTATGCATACACGCGGGACGTCCTCAAGCATCACAACTTGATGCCACGACTTGCTGCCTTTGAAGAAGGTCGCGGCTGGCGAGTAGCGACGCGTATCTCCTGCTGTTTCCCGCAAAGCAAGCTGTGGATGCGGACCACGGAGTCCAACGCCAGGGTATCAGACTGCTGACCAAAGATGGCAGGTCTTATCCTCGTGGATGCCCCAATACGTTCAGCCCTCGATAATCCACTGCCGAGACCAGGACTGAGACTTCCGGTCGGCCTCAATCGCGGCGGTCTGAAAGTACCTTGTCTCTTCGACGACAGTCGTCATTCATTGTTCCAAGCTCTTCACCAGTTCTTCGCGCACCCATGGCACTTCCACATTCTCTTCGCTCAGTGGTCCTCGACCGACGCCCACATTTCTCCCGAGACGTTCTTCCACCTCCTCGCATCCTCCATGTGGGGTGCGAACCTGAGGATCCTGGACCACAACATTAGACGTCTGGCTTTCGACGAGATCCAGCGGCCGAATCTCCGAACAACAGACGACCTTCACCGCCAGCGACGAGACCTGACAACACTCCTCAGCGAAGTCAACTTCTTACTCAAATGGCTCTCCCCAGGCGTGAAGTCAGAATTGACAGCGTTGAAAGACACCCTTCCCGCGTCAAAGTATATCGGCTACCCTGACGTCATCCTCCAAGACATTCTCGAGAACGGAAACAATTTGGAGAAATTCCTAATGGACACTTTCACACTTCTTCTCAGTACCATCAGCGTTGTAGATGCGGAAGCGACAAAAGAGCAAGGCAGGAGAACTCAAATGTTGACGAAATTGGCTTTTGTGTATGTACCACTTTCATTTGTCACGGGAGTATTTGGCATGAATGTGAAAGAGATCAATGGGTCGCAGTTGTCGATTTGGACGAGCGTTGTGGTGTTGTGCATTACTGGAGTTTCGACTTTGGTGCTTTTCATGGGATATGACTGGTTGCAGAACAGAAGGTCTCAGAACAGGTGAGAAGTATTCAAGTTATGGCACCGCTTCAATCTAGAACGACAGCCTGCTTTTACCAACATGATCCTGCACTTTCTATTTTGCGGCAGAGAAATCTTTCGTAAATTTGTTCATGTTACAAAGTCACTTCCCGCTGGCAACTCTCTGTGCTGTCTGCGAGCGGTGAGAAGTCCCAGCTCTGGCGTTTTGTTGAAGGCTGAAGAAATCGGACCTCTGTTCGAGCTTGGTGTCAAGATGGATCCTGATGAGCCTTGTTGGTCACCACATATGGTATGATTTTCGCGAGGAACTATTGTGACAACTCCAAAGCCAAAATTTTCCATTCCTTTCCCGCCTTTCCTGTCCTACCATTCCAATCTATCCCTGGAATAACGCCGCCGTGCCAAACTCCGAGCATCCTGATAGTCCACCATACGTAGTGGTCCCTAATCATGACTCCTGGTCATGTCTTCATCAAATGTGAAACGAATTTCCATCTCCAGAGACGTCGCATGTGCCGTCTCCGATGGCCAGTGTAATGAGGAGGACAGTAAGCCCGTTTACAACGGCATCGTGCTCTTTCGCACACTCTCTATCATCCCATGTTACATCGCCTTGACGCACGCCGAGGCTCTGCTTGTCTCTTCCATCCTTGTTCCTCACCCGTCCTGCGAATTCGTTCTCCCAGGTTGACCAGAACCCAGCATTTCCTTTTCCTTTGTTCATTCGATGATCGTCTTCTCGCTCGGGACACTCGTAACCATCGAGACGGGCCTTGGTGTTGGTGGCAAGGACTTCCTCTTCGCACTCTGTCTTCTCTCTGGTCTAATAGTCGCCTCACGTCTCTCTGGAAGGAATTCCGGCTGCAAAGATCGCCTCTTCGCGGCCCTGCTCATTGGTGGTGGTGGCGGTGGAGGTGTCCTGGCAGGCTTGAGGCAGGTAGGTATCGAAGGTACGGGAATCTTCGACATGACAAGGAGGATAAACTTGGTAGTGCGATATGCACGAGAAGATTTGCTGGTCGTGGCTGTAGGCATGTTGATGATCTGTGTTTGTGTTTGGAATTGTTGTTTCGATGAAGGAGGAAAGACAGAAGATGTGAGTAGAGAAATCCAGACAATAAGAAAAACGAGCGTGGTAGTGAGTGGTGTGAGGTCAGGTGGCTGGTATGTGTCTTGCAACGACGGAGCAAGACGACGACAAATGATATATAGCAAGTAAGCGTCGTCGATCCTTAGGACGTTTTTGTGGGTATCTCAGTATAAGGCGAGCCTGGCGAGGCGCGTCAGCTGTCGCGCTAAGTAGTTCACCACACCAACCATGTGAACAATCGAACCCGGGAACAATGGGATGCCATGTCAGACGGAAGTTTCGGATCCTAAGGTGAGATTAAGGGGAAAGGAGAACAGAGCGAAAGACTTGCAGCGGCGATTTGTGATCTGTTGTTTTCATTCGGCGTTGACGTCGCTTGATGTTACTCTCTTTCGCATAAGTGCTCGGCGGCGGCTACTAGAGCTTCCGACGACGAGGCTGGGAGACCTCACCCCTTCTTTGCAGACCGGGACTTCGGATTATGGAGCGGACTTTGTGATTTTTGTGCGTCCGTACCAGTCATTGACTTCATCTCTGGAACGGCGTGTATCGACTTGCGGTGAGTCTCTTCAAGGGATTCGGTGAACGTGTTTGCTCATGCTGTTCCTGGTGCGTCAGACGGTCAGCTTGCGCCCCTTCCAGGCTTCCGGCCACTGCCGGGCGTGTAGTATTTGGGTGAGAGCTGCTGCTGCTCTTCTCTTGTCAGCTTGACGGCCACGAGATCATCGTCGTACACCATCGTGGCGCGCCTGAGACATCTGTCGTCGAGACTCGCCAGCTGGACAGGGACAAAGAAAGATGAGGTTGGGAGCCAAAATAAGAAGTCGTGTATTTGAAACCATCCGTTTCTAGTCTAGCGTGAAACTCATGTTCACGTAAGCAGGTTTGCCGAGCTTTCGCGTCCACCCTCGTCCCTTGCTCTCACCGTTCTCACTCCTGCCAGCACACCGACAGCCAAAGAAAGTCTATTAAGATGCACCAAAACTTCGCAATTTCGCGCTGTGATACATTTCACGGAGGACTTGAGCCCTGCCTGTGAGCGACTTCTCCAGCGCAAGCCGTACGACGCCGGAGAAGGTCAAGCCGGTTGCCTGATGGTTCAAAGACCTGTACAGATCCTCCAGCCTTTTCCTGCCGTCTTCAGGCATGTCATGAGGACGCTCTCAGTGCGCCGGCGTGAGGGTGAGGGTGTCAGACAAGGGCTGCTGAAGTCCCGTGGAATGTTCGAAATGCTTGTGAAGGTCCACGCCGTCTGTCTCCCGAGAGTCCGCTACTTCTGATGATTGGAGCTTGGATGTCGAAACTCATCTTCAAGGGTTACTCTCCTCCACACTCTGAGGCAGATCCTTCAATTGCAGCGCGATGCCTCTAGCAACACACTGTGTACGAATGTGCGCAACGAGAGAAGCCAGCGCGTCCAGGTCGAAGACTCCATCCTGAATCCTCCACTCAATCTCGAAGCGCTTCAGGCCTCTGCAGGGCCGGAAGAGCATGTCGATGAAGTACTTGATCTTGGGAAAGCTCATGTCCTGACCACGCGGAGGACCTATTGAGAACAGCCTCAGCTTGATCTTTAATGAGCCAATCGATGGCAGAAGCTTGAGTTTACTCCCCAGATCGCGCTCGAAATGGCGTTGCAATGTGTGGAGCATGTCCTGGAATTTAACGTCGCCTTTGAGATCGACATAGCCACCATGCAAGCGCGGGAAACAGCGATACGTGGCATCGATACTGATCACCTTGTCGGCTTCGAATATGCTTTTGCTTTCCTCATACCTGAGATCTCCACGATTAGCCCGCTGCTGCTGAAGTTGTAACAGTGCCAACACTTACACGGACTTTGAAGTTCGGAGAATAGCAGGCCATGCTCGTCGCCCAGCGAATCGATTGTGCGTCAAGATCTGCTCGTATACAAGATTCCTCATCTCTGGTGGAAGGTCCATAAATGGAAAGGTTGCGGCTTCATCGAGGGCTCCGAGTTCCTTGATAAGACTCTTCTTGCTCGCGTTCTTGCGCATGCGTCTGCCATTGCGCGCCTTGACAAACAGCTGCAGATCTGCTTGGGAGAAGTCTTTGTATCGGAGGGCGAATTGAGGAAGCGTCATGGTAGCAGTTGCGGGCGCGGGGCTTTCTGGCTACTCGACCCGAAGTTGGTTGTCAAGAGAGTTGACGAGTCTCGAGTTGCTAGCTCTTGTTGGTACTGGTTGCTGTAGTGGTCCTTGGCGGAGGTAGAGGGAATGGTAAGCAAGATGGAGAGAGTCGAATAAAGGTAAGTCTCGCAGCTGCGATTCACCTTGCTGACCAACCTTTCAGCTGATGGCCAAAGCCTTAACATATAACCACCCCATTGACTCCATTCACTAGCGTTGAGATTGGGAAAGAATTATAATCAAGACGAACTTTGAATAGATAGAGAAAATCTGACCGAGCTGATGTCACGTTTAGCGTATCTCGACGACAGCCAGCTTTGAAAACAAAGGAATTGTAGTCTGCTTGAGCAAATACAAATTCCAGCATCAAAAGGTCGAGGCAAACTGTGCGGAACAATTGTTTGCGGAAAGAAAACTTAGACTTGCATACTCGAACCAGACAATCATAAGCAACACATCTGGAAAGGGACACGTGCTTCGAGTTCACGTTCACCAAATACTCCGTGTTATGAGCAAGGTCCTAGGTAACGTTGCTAAAACTTTCAGCATCGAATCCTCACATGTAGTACTTGCATCTTCGAGCCAACTCGACTTCCGATCCATCGCTGTACTCATCGTCAGTGCATACTTAGGGGCGCCGGGGCAAGTTCCGCGAACGACATGCCTCTTGCATATAACGATACGTCGGTGGGAGCCTCTTGGAGAAATATGGACTGATTAGGCAAATGCAGAGTTCTTGGTGAGACAATAGCTTGAGAATGAGCTCATCAAGCACGCTAGGAGGCAAGCAAAGTTCGAAACTCAAATTGACACTTCCTGAAAGATTTCATCTTTGGCCCACTACACAGCTTTCACGAAGGCCGTCTGGAACTTCTCGACTTTCGATACGGCGATGTCGACATTGGTCACGAACGCCAAATTCCATAACGAGGAGCATCTCGCGTGGCAACCAGAATTCGTATCCGCGGACCTCTAGCTGCAGGACCATGACGGATGGTACCTTAGCACATGCAGTGCATTCTGCAGGTTTGTGGAGCTCTATTGCATTTGTCAACGTACCCCACGCAATCTGAGCCGAGTTCTGACTACCTCCGTAGTTTGCGCGATGATCGAGATGAAAAGTATCATTACTGGAAATATAATAAGTCATGCAGCGCAAACTTCTGTTCTCAGCCAGGCTTCCTACCTGGAGACTCTGCAAACTCACCAAACACCGCTCTTCTCTTGCCACATTTCTAGTATCTTCGAGAAGCATCAACATGCCTTCCGTACAAGCCTCAGACGAATGGTCACCCCTCAAGGCCATCATTGTAGGCCGAGCAGGCCGAGCATGTTTCCCATCAGAACCCAAAGCTATGATCGAAGCCACAATGCCTGCAAAGCATGTTCATCGCTTTCAACCACAATCTCCGTTTCCGGAGAGCACGATCGAGAAAGCAGAGGCAGAGCTCAACTGCCTATCAGCGATTCTGCGAGATGAGGGCGTCCGAGTGTATCGATCGCGTGAAGGCGTCAACTGGCTAGCCGAAGGAGGTTATACCGGTGCCATGCCACGAGACGGTCTGATGAGCGTCGGCAATGTCTTGATCGAAGCCTGTTTCGCATGGCGCTGTCGGTCGACAGAGATTGAGCTGGCATATAAAGATATCTTGGAAGAGCTCGCCACTTCGGATCGTGAAGCTCGAATTATTCGCCGTCCAGCAGAGAGCTATGCCGATACCCTTCTGGACGACGATGCAGCAAATCGCAAATGGGTCATCAACAACAGTCGTCCAGCATTCGACGCTGCAGACTTTATGCGTTTTGGAAAAGTGATTCTTGGTCAATACAGCCACGTAACAAACGAAGCTGGTGTGGAGTACCTCCGTCGAAACATACCTGAAGGTTACACCATCGAATTGCTGGACGTCGATGATCCACATGCAATGCACATCGATGCGACCCTCCTGCCACTTCGTCACGGTCTGATGATTTATCATCCAAAGAAGGTCACTGAAGCCGCTCTTCGCTCACATAAAGTGTTGGCTGATTGGGACTTGCGACCTTTTCCATTCGTGCCCGAGGCGCCGAATGATACCGAGCTGTACATGACGAGTCCTTGACTTGCGATGAATGTGCTCGTGCTAGATGGAACTCGTGTTATTGTTGAAGCGAGTGATCATAGGTCGGCCAAGTTTTTCGAAGAGCTAGGAATGACCTGTATTCGATGTCCGTTCAAGAATGTGAACAGTATTGGCGGCTCTTTCCACTGCGCGACTGTGGACCTGGTGAGAGAAAGCAATTGATGACAGTTGAGAGACGCTGGGTGCTAGGCAAGCAGAGCAACCCTTCCTCGCGAAAGTCTGATGAATATAGAAACTTGGGCCTGCTTGCTGATCGAAGAGCCGTGGTCATATCAAATCAGTACTATCGTTGGTCGTAAGGCCACAAGCGATTAGCTTTCTCGATAGCCTTCACCTCATCTTCCTTCGTCTTACACTCCTCGCTCTCCACAACGGATTCCACAAAGCGACTGTATTCCAGCCGATATCTCGAGAGGACCTCGTTCCACCGATCCTCAGCGACCCATCCGTTGTTATCGCAGTGTAACAGTCGTGTCAAATGCTCCGTCAGTCGATGATTCGCTTCTGTCTCGTCCAAGAGCTCTGCCACCTCACCAGTCTGATCTTTTTTGTAGATACTCTCACCTGGCAGTTCAAGTTCATCCCACCTCTCCGAAAGATCGTTGAGTAACCAAGTCATAGCCTCGATCTTGTCTGTCCATCCTTGACTTGGGGAGGCAAGCACTCTGAGCAGTGTGGGATGTAATTTTGAGGCAGGTCGAACTTTCTTCATGAACTGCTGTGTCACAGCCCACATCTTCACACAAACCTCGACGGTTGTCCGAAATTTTGCATTCGCAGCACGTTCTTCTTCTGATGCATCCTTGGCGTCTTCGTCGTTTGATAGCTCTTCAGCGAAGTCGGGATCCACTGATGCGAAAACAAAGGCCGGTTCAATTGCTGCGGACTGCCAGTCGATTATGCTCGTCACTTTCGTGTGGTCTGTGGGATCGACGAAGATGTTGCGAGTGTGCAGGTCGGGATGGAACAAGGTCCCTCCACTGGCATCCCTGACTGCATCGGTCCTGGCGAGACGTGATAGGGTGCCCTCCAGCGCATCAAGCAGTCCAGCGTGTCTAGAGCTCTTCTGGGCGTCTGTAGTGCTCATACTGGCCCTCGAGCGGGCGATAAGATCCCCAAAGTAACTTGTCAAATCGTGCCCTACGTTTGATCAGTTTGTGAAAGGCAAGAACGAAATTGTCGGTGGGTCATACATGGGCCTTGCAGGCCTCCCGGTGGAGCCGAGCGGTTGGCGCTTTCGAGCCCATGTCCCCAATGGTATGAAGCTGTGAGAGGGCCGATAGAGAAATCGTCGTCAAATTTGACCGCGTTCACGGGTGCGGAGGAAGTGAGGTAAAGTGCACCAAGCATTGGGAACTGCAGTAAAGACAGCTCCCGACAATGAAGTCCAATAGACTGGATGCAGGCAAGTCGTTGTTCTGCAGACATTGAGTTCCAAACATCTTTGAGTAGGACTCCGTGTGCTGCTTCCTGAATCATGTACTCGACACCAACGTTGTTGTGCCGGTCGGAGCTCCAAGTCAACACGTTTGGTACTGGTACATTTGTGCGTTGCTTGACTATAATCACGGTCAGCGATGGCAATACTCATTTGGCAACCGATTCTGACATACTGTATCGTAAAGTCGCAATCTCCGAGCTCACTGTCAGACTTGGAGGCCCAGCAAGGTGCGTGGGAAGGCGTGCTACGACCGTGGCGTCATTGTCGAGTTGTATCATGAAGACACGGTTGAAGCCACCTTCTTTCTTCTCGCACTGAACCACTCGCGAAGCTCCTGGGCTACATTTGATTGCAGTGTCAAGCAGAGCATCAAAGTCAAATTTCAACACACGCGCTGCTCTCTGCGCCTGGTCGCGATCGAGCCAGTGTCCTTGTGTATAAATGAAGGGATCGAAACCTGCACCATTTTAGCATCGAGAGCTCGCAAGGCAAAAGTGTTTAATGATTATGCGAACTTGGCTGGAATTGAGTTTGGGATCTCAGCGGCCACAGTGACAGAGTCTTCTGGACGTTGAACGCCGATCGGAGCCGATGAAGCATTTTTGACTTCAGCTCGCCAGATTGCACGTGTGCGCCAATGCGCCACTCGAGTCGCTCGTGATGGAGAAGGTGTTCGACCAAGATTTATGCGGAGAAAACATGTGAGGAAGATGGAGGGCAAGGGCAAGGTGTGTTTCAGAGGGAAGAGACTGAACTTTATGCATCCACGCTAGCAGGGTTCAGGGATCCATTGACGCTCTTGACATGTGAATACAACTGCGACGAACAATTCCGACTCATTCATAGCTCATTCACTACATGTTCAATCTAATGGATCACGTGAAGAATTATCAGCTACTTCAAGTGACATTCGATCGTGTGAAACAAGATGCAACATGCCAATACACGACCCAGCATAACTCTGTGAGCTGCATGGCCTTCTTTTCCCAAACCAATTTCGCAATGTCGCCGCCTTCCACGACGATATGACTGTCACGAGCGCTAAAATACGCTGCTCATCAGTTGCGCCAACATGTTGCGCACTTCCACATCTGCTGACACGCTTGAATCAGGACAAGTGCATTGACTGCGGTGAATGCTGCCATGCACTTACTGCTGCTGAGTTGTAGTGTTATTCACCATGCATACTCCATGTCCATAAAGATATCTTTTTCCCTCTCCTCATCGCTAGCTAATTCCAACAAACTGCAGCGACCGCATAGTCAAAGCCCGTTCAACAGCAGTATCTCCCGCATCCACGATCAAGATCGGCAGAGCCTCCACTGCACGGACATCATGTCGAAGACCATTACCAAGTTCTACAATGTGTACGCCACAGTAGACCTGATGATGGCAAAACTATTCGGCAAGTCGCCTTCCGCTGGGTCTCGCCTTCTACCCGCGAACAAATCCAACGATGAGCCTGCTCAATGGCGCCTCGATGCCGGTCCAAAGATCGGGACCAAACAGATTGTCAACATGCAGGCAAACTCCGAAGCCACTTCTGAAGCCGTCAAGAAGTGGGTCAAGAGCAACGGACGTGGTACCCATGGAACCATTGCTAGCGCCGAGTACGACACTGAGGCTGAAGACGCTGAAGCAGAAATGACGAGAGTACGACAAGCCCTGATCGACGAGTCGAAGAAAAAGTTGTGATGCTTCAAGGCTTGCTGATAAGATTTTGGTTCCTACGCGACTCGGTTCAGTCACGATGCTCCTCTCGACAGGCTCATCACTATGCAGATGGTCTTTAGCAGCATACAAGGGGGCGCAAAACCAGGCGAAGGGATATGAGTTCATTGACTCACTGATGCTGCGAAAATGCTCGGAGATCAACACGTCCGCTTCACAACCCACAGACCTATGGTACCGCTGCTCAGCGGTGGTGTGTGCGGGAGTCCGCTCACAAGCAATACGCGCGGTCAGACAAAGGAGCGTCTGTGTTCTTTTCATTTAGAACTCTGCACAAAGTGTTGCAGCAAACACGTTATCAGTATAGCTGCGCAGTGTAGCAGAGACGAGCAAGTCAATGATCGAAACTCGTTCAAGACGTCCTGCCAAAGACGTCAAAGTGTGGTACGATTGCAGAATGCTGACCCAAGACTAGATTCATTCGAGTGTTCTGAACAATCATGCCGCTTATCTCCAGCACTCTCTCACCAGTCTCTCAAAGCCTTCAACCGTAAATGCACACCACCTTTCGGCTTGAGCGAGACAATTTCTTCCTGCTCTACCTCCTCACCAGGATGCACCATCATCATCTCGAAGCTTCCAACCAGTGCCGCCAAGAGACATCTCAGCTCAGCTCGAGCAAAGCCCTGGCCGATACAAGATCTGGGACCATGATTGAACGTCAAAAAGGCATAGTTGCTCGACGCTCCACCAGAGTAATTTGGTCGCTTTATACCATTCTCGGTCGTGTCGATCCAACGTTCAGGTACAAATTGTTCAGCATTGTTGCCCCAAAATTCCGGACTCCTATTCACAGCAGCCGGACAGATCGTGAAACGCGTGCCAGCTGGAATCTCATGGCCAAGAAGAGTCATGGGTTTCGGATTCGATCGTGACATGAGAGGGATCGTGGGATATAGTCGCAGAGACTCGTTACAAACGCCGTTCAAGAGTGGAGCCGCCTCGAGAGCAGTGGAAAGCTCTGAGTCGCTCATAGTCTGAGTTGAAGAGGCAATCAAGGCACGTATTTCCTGTCGAAGTGCCGTCTGCACATCAGGATGCCGTGCGAGCAAATACGATGTCCAGCTGAGAACGGTCGCAGTAGTCTCATGGCCAGCAGCCAAGAATGTCAAGAGCTGATCGACTATTTGCTCATCCGAGAAGTTGTTCGATCGAATGCACAACGCTAGGATGTCCTTTTGATCTTCCGGCTCGGTCACTATAACTTGCCTCTTGTCATAAACAAGCTGATAACAAGTGTCGCGAAGATTTTTGCGAATCGATTTGTTTCGTACCGCTGCTGGGATTGGAAGGCTTCTGACCAGATCTCCCGGACCAAAGACCTGAGCCGCAAAGAGCAATTTTCTTTCCAGGGTAGGCTCAAGGAGCTCCTCATACGCTCGAACTAGTGGATCGTCGTGGTTTTCTAGCGTGCGAAAGTCCCGACCCATGGCGGCAAGGCCGATGATATCCAGTGTGACCTTGGTGCTCCACTGGCTAATGTCCACAACTGAGGTCTTGCCGTCAAGCTCCGCACTCTCAGCAACATGCTGACTCAAAGCTTGCGTCAGCTTCGTCGACTTCTCCCAGAACAATGAATACAAAGCTTTGATCTGGCGGAATCCAAACAGTGGCATCAAATTTTTCCTGACGAACTTGTGGCTGTCTTCTTCGAGAAATAGAAGTCCGTTTCCGAGACTTGGTCGTAGCGCATCTCGAATCTTTGGTGGTTTCTCGAACTCGTACGCTCTAGTGACCAAGACCTCCTGTCCGAGAGTCAAATTCATCAGAACGCACGCAAATCACGAGAATGGTGACTCGCCTGCAGGGCATTTGGACCGGCCACGAACAGCGTGTTCTCGTGTAACGGCCCGCGATAACGAATGAGCCCATCGTTAGGAATTTGTTTCATCCAATCAAGAAAAGTCGCTCCGGCTGGATGTTCGAATTCAGCCATTGCATGACCGAGCAGTGGAAGGCCACCCTATCATGTTTAGTACCTTCATCCATCTCGTTATACTGCCGTCCGACATACTTTAGGCCCAGGAACATGTCGCAAGGGCGAAACGTAGAATGGATATATGAAGAGCTTGTAGATTGCGAGACAAAGAAGCTGCAGGCCTAGCAGACGGGAAAAGAGATAGTAGATAGATGTCTCTGGCAGAAATCGTGGGAACATAGTGACTAATGTCGCAGACTCTGCTACCGACGCGAACGCCAGAAGTACTGGAAGTGGCAGAGTTGATGCCATCCTGAGATTGCTTCAAATTTGGACACCATAGCATGCGATAAGGCGTGAGAAGGTACGAGTTAAGCAAGTGAAGTTCCAACCCTGGTCTCTCGTTTGGCGAGTCAGCAATAGCTTAGAACATGGGCCAGGGGCTGTACGAGAGGTCCGGGCTGATCCGGCTCGAGGATTTACCGTGTCCATCAAAACCTTTCTAACAGTGCATTTTGCATAAGGCACAACTTTACGCCCTTTGTCAGCCGTGCTTTGCTACACCCTCGTAGGCTTTCACCGGAGGCATGGTCTAGACAGAGCTCTTATGTGATGAGCGTCGTCAAACTTTTACGAGAAAGAGATGGATCAAGTAGGGAGAGATTGCTAACGGGCACAAGGATTCCCGTAGTATGTATGACCTGCATTTAAGGAAAATTTACGCTCAGCTTAAGACAGAGACCTCATTAGGGGGCGTGTCTATCAGCAATAGAGATGCCTCTTCGCAGCTCTCCTCCAGAAGACTTGTTGCTTCGAAACGATTAGACCTTGTCAACACTGTGTGTACTTCTCATTATGAAACTTCGCTAGCGCTCACATAATGTGTCTTCAACGCCTCATGCTCGGGCCTTACATCTTTTCCCAACACGTCTCCTTAGCTCGACCCTTTCTCCCGCAGCTTCGACGCCGAACTTGGCCTTCGCTATGTGACTCGGCAACGGATCTTGTCCCTTTCTGTCCCGCTCTTCGATCAAGGCAGCAAGGTTTTCGTTTTGTGCAACCCGAAGAATGGTCGAGAAGTTGTTGCTGTAAGACTGCCCGGTGCTGAAGATGGTATAGAGCCCAACGAACATTGCCACAAGAGCCAGGAGGAGCACAACGCTGTATGAGATCGCCAGTCTTTGCCAGTTGTAGAAGTATACAATCTCGTATCTCGAAACCACGATATCTGCGGTGCGATCAGACTCTGTGGTGAGCAGGCCTGGCTCACTGAAAAGCGAGATCGTTATATTCTGCACGACTTGTTCGATCGCAGATGCCAGGGTCGGAAGAGAGGGGTCCTCAACTGGTGATCTAGTGGTCTCGTTCATGTAGATCGGATACATTTCCTGGGTGAACGCAAGATTTGACTCCAATACACGAGTGTCGTAAATCTGCCGGCTGTCGAGCCTGGCCTCGTAGACCGTGCCTGTCAACATCTCGCCGAGCATCTCCATGACTGCAAAGTATGCTCGCGTTTTGGCTTTCGAGAACGCAAACTGATCTCGAGGAACTCCATACAGCCCCGAGCTGTTCCCATTCGTTTTCACAGAATCAGAGATCTCGTAACCAATGATCGTAACGTTCTGCTGTCCGTTTTGGAGTTCGAATGAGGTCTCGTACGTTGCATTGTACAGAGAACAGTTGAGCACTGTCCAGTTAGAATTACTGCTCAGATCAGCGATATAGCGGATGGCTACCACTAGGGACACCGGACCGCCACTACGCGCTCCCAGATTAGATGTTACAGGCAATGCATCGATCCTGCTTATGCTTTCGTTGGCGAAGGGAACTAGTATACCAGAGGGTGTCCATGATAGATATCGAAATTCACTCATCCAATCGTCCTTACAGAAAGGGGGTTTGCCATCAATACTGCAATTTTGCATCGCCAGCGAGAGACTCTCCAGGATCGGTTCGACTTCCATGTTTTCACAGCGAACAGCTGGTCCCGCAAATGTGAGTTGATAGGAAGAGTTAGTGAGTGGCGGCCGCAAGTATGGTACTCCACGATAGAATACCGGCGCAACGATTCTCTTCAACAAAGTGGTAGGCCCCCGCCACACTCCATCGATGTAAGGAGTCCCTCCCCCCATCCCTGTGTCTCGTTTTGCCAGATCATCTCGGCCTCGCTCTCCTCCGCTCATTTCGTATGCCGCCGCGTTCGTAAAATTGGGATACTGCAATACCTGCTCATGATGCTCAATCGTATAATTTCCGCCAGGCGCAATCGTACCAGCAGGGAAGACAATCGCGACCCGTATACCCCATCCCAGCAGCACCAGCCCAACGAGTAAGGGACTCGCACGTAGCGTCTTGAGTGACAAAATCTCGTAAACAGCGCTCAACGCTCCAGCAAGGCTGTCGATTGTCGCGATGGGCAGCTTCCGTCGCAACACGCGCCAGAAAACTTGCCAGTATGCCGTCGTGACCGTAATGATCAACGTGGTGCGTACCATGAACACTATGGCCGTGCCAATAGTGACCGGGTTGTATTGTCGACCTTCTGGACTGACGCCTTCAAGGGATTGATAGTAGAGATGGTGACCAATAGCCAAAGCGACGCCAGCGAGGAAGGACGTGACCAGGACGGTGGGCGCCAGCCAATGCGGCTTTTTCAATTGCATCTTGTCGAGGAAGATCTGCGATCGCTACGTCGGCGGCGGCGGATTGATTCAGGCGTTATGGTCGTTGCTGGACATACAGCTGAGTTGCGAGGCCGTTGCTCGCGGGCTGTTGTGTGAGGAGAGTCAAGAATTTCGAACAGAACAGCGCAAGGCTGTTGCAAAGACAGCCTCGTATGCCCCTCTCGCGACAAGGCTGAGGACTAGGCAACTTTCGACTGCATGCAGTAAATTCTAAAGTTATCCTATCAGCATGTGATTTTGCCAGCCACCCAAGACATGGCATGCAGCCGCATCTCAGCTTGATCTCCAGAGCCTGGAACGCGCAACAACAGACCTATATTTTCGAGAGCTCTCAAAGCCAATGAAACATTCGAAAAGACAGCAGGTGCAGCGAACCAATAATTCATTACAATCCTCTCATTCCATCCTACACCATGAATCATACTTCTGCATAAACAAACCCGCTCAAACGCATCCAAAAAAGAATCGTTCAAACAATCATACTTCATCATCCACAATCTCATGTCATCCTCCATCAAACGTCTTCATCCTCCAGAACGACCGAACAATCCAATCTCATCGAACGAAGGCAAGCCTTCAACCCTCCATCCAACATCACATCCCCGTCATCACTTCGCAAAATACCCAACAGCACTGCCACCAGACTCGGCTCCACTCTCACAAGCAGCAGTAGGACAATCCGTTCCAAGACCACTATCGCTCGGTGGAGCATAGAATCGCTTGAGTTCCTTATCATCCATTTCGCCCATGACTTCCTGCACAGCAGCCTCGATTTCCGACGCAGTAGCCTGAATTGGTGCAACGCTGCTGACTTCCGACTGGCCCTCAGGAACAGTGCTCAAGCTGGATCGAGGAAGAATCGACAGGTCCGAAGGGTTGATAGCGCCGAGCTGAGCATCCTGTTCGAGAGGCGTCATGCCGAGCTGGCCATGTGCTGAGCTGCCGATCGAGCTGCGGCGATCAAGATCTGTGCCAGTCATGTACGAGCCGTTGCTGAGGTAAGATCCTGTCTCGTAGGTCATATCACTCGGCGCAAGGCTGCGTCGTTGGCCGTTCTCGTCGGGAGTCTCGCCTTCGCCGACGTAGCTGCCCGTGGCGTAGGACATGCTACCATCAGTGCCAGACATCAAGCTGGTCCTCCTAGTAGTGCCAACTTCGGATCCGAACTCCTGGGGTGAAGCATCGACATTTTCGTCCTCGTCCTCTTCAGAAAGCTCATTCTCCTTGTTTTCTGTTGTGGATGCAAGGGAAGAGACGCGTTGCTTGCGCTCCGTCCAAGAAGGTTTTCGCATAAAGTTGTGCTTGACCGAGTGGCTACGCTTGACGTTGCCGAGTCCACCACCGTTCATCAAGCTTGGCTTGTCAGACGTGTAGGCGTGAGCACCAGTCGGCACATTGTGGTTGATCTGGTTGAGAGACATGATACGGCGCTCAGCAGTGTTGGGTGCCACAGCTCCGTTGCGCAGAAGTGTTGGTCGAGCTTTCATAGCCAAGGCATGGTTTGCCTTGATGGGCTGCACAGATGAGGTAACCGTGTGGGCTGAGTCGGCAGAAGCATCGCTTGGGATGCGAAGGTCACGTCCTTGACTCTTCTTCTTAGGCGATGATGGGGCCGACTTCTTCGACTTCGTCAGCAGCAACATGCGAGACTGGTTCATGACACCCTCCAGCATGCGTCGCTCGATGGCAGCAGCCTTGTTGTCCATATCGTGCAGCTCCTCACGACGGATGTGAAGCGCCATCTCCATTGAGGAAACGTCAGCACTGAGGCGGGACTTCTGTGAAGCAAGCGCCTCCTTCTCAGCCTTGAGTTGTTCGACAGCAGCTTGAAGAGACATCTTCTCCTCGTTGAGGACAGTGATGTCGGCTTCGAGCTGATCCTTGCGCTCAAGGCGACGCTCGAGAAGTAGTGCAATCTCCTCAGCCTCTTTCTCCTTGCTCTCGTGGTCCTCTTGGATCTGCTTGTTCTGAGCCACGACAAAAGCAGATACTTCGGTAGCAGTCGCCATGACCTTTGCGTGAATTTCGTCCAGGCGCTCGAGTTGTGCTGAACGATCCTTGGCTTCTTCAACGTGACTCATGAGCTCGTCGAGCTTCTCACGAACTGCTGAATCGTCGTACTTCTCAGGCGGCGCTGGCATTTCCATCGGAGGAGGCATGAGCATCGGCAAGGACTTCTCTAAAGCTTCGTGGTGAGACTTGAGGCCATCTGCATGCTGGTTCTTCGTCTCTTCAAAGCCAGACTTGAGTGCCTCTTGCAGCTCCTTCACAGCTTGAGCCTGCTCCTCGGCGGCAGAGTAGGCTTTCTGGGAATGCTCATAGTGCTGATTGATCAAGGCCCGTACTTCCTCTAGTGTGACCATGAAGCGTGGATTGTGCTCCGACATGTCACTCTGCAGCACATCGACGGCAGCGAGAATTCTGGCAACCTCGGAGCGTGTGCTGGCGTGCTCATTCTTCAGGGCCTCCGATGCTTCATCGAGCTTGACTTGTGTCGTCTCACCTTGCGCGAATACAGTCTTGGACTCCTCAGTCATCTTCTCCACTTGTGCCGGCAGATCGCCAATAAAAGCAGTCAGTGTCGACCCAAGTGTGTCGATGGACAGCTTCAGATCATCAGCCATCTCCTTGGTGCTGTTGAGAAGTGCCTCTTGCTTGGTGACATTCTCCTCCAAAGTCTTGGACTTCTCCTCGGCTGCTGTCTGAGCATCATCGTACTTGCTCATCAGTGCGCCGAACGAGTTTTCAAGCTTCTCAGCGAGCTCCGATACAACTGCGTCTTTATGCTCCGACTGCTTTTCGAGCGCAGACTCAGATGATGCAGCATGGTCGACCTTGATAGCTTCGATGGAGGCGTGAGCTTTCTCAAATTCTTCCTTGAGTTTCTCCATGACTTCCTTGACCTCAGTGACGACAGCTTCGTTATCGGACCGCTCCTCGAGGCCCTTGAGTGTGACACCTAGCGCATTGATTCCAGTCTCGCCATCGGCGACCTTCTCAAGAAGCTCAACCTTGATCTCTGCAATCAGGCCCTTGACTTCGTCGATTTGAGCAATGGTGTCGTCAAATTCTTTCTTGCGATCGTCAAAAGCCTTAGCTGTGACAGCAATATCGGTCTCGTAGCTATCGCGCATCTTGTCGTGGCTCTCGCGGAAGTCGTTGATCAAGCCTTGCAGCTGTTCGACATCAGCCTTGGTTGGGACCGATGCCGGATCTGGGTTATGAAGCTCGCTGACGGATGTCTTGATCTCGGTGCATAGGACTCCAAGCACGTCAAGGTCAGACTTGGTCATGGTCTCCGGCTTCTCCTCTGAATCAGCAGCGGTCTGCTTTTCCTTGAGCTCATCCATCATAGTCTTGATGTCAGTGACAAGGACCTCGACAACAGCCACGTCAGCCTTGGAAGCAGTTGAGTTGTCGATCTTCTCAGTAATGCCGACAAGAGCCTCGTTCGCAACGGCGACTGCAACCTGGATTTCATCAAGATGGTCCTTGGTAGCCACCGTAGTAGGATCAGGCAAGATCATCTCCTCGAGCTGAGCCTTGGTGTTGCGGAGCAATGTCTCGATGGCATCTGTGTCCTCTTTCAAAGCCGCGCCTTCGGGACTGCGCTCTTCAGACTTGGAGTTCATTCCCAAGACGCTCTCTTGCAGCTCTCGGATCATGCTCTCCAGTCCCGTGAGGTCCTCTTTGAGTGCAATGCCGTCGGGCACCTGCGGCGCCGCTTGCTGACTGGAGATGCCCTGCATAGCATGATCCATGGCCTCGATCTTGATTTGCACTTGAGCAAGGAGGACTTCCAGGCCTTCGATATCGGCCTTCTGAGCAGAAGTCGAGGTCTTCGACGCAGCCTCAGCGGCGGCGACATCTTCTGCAGAAAGTTCGCGTGTTAGTCCATCTGCAAGGACAATTTCGCCACCTTCAGAGGCTTGAGCCTTGTCTCCTGCGGGTGACTTCAGCTTGTCCATCTCGTTCCGTAGGTCTGCCAGGCCGTCCTTCAACGTCTCCAGAATTTCGTAGTTGACAGTCTGATCGAGTGGCTTATCGAGTGTCTTGACAATGTCAGCTCGCAGAGTCTCCAGACCCTCGTTAAGGGCATCCAGAACCTGTCCTTGATGCTGGACCACAGTCTCAGGATTGTCGAGTTTCTTCTCAAGATGCGAGCGCAGATCATCTAAGCCGAGGTGGATCGCATCAAGCACCTCCTCGTTGCTGCCTGCATGCGCCGCATTGGTGGCGATCGAGTTGCGGAGGTTCTCGAATTCGCCGCGAATGGCTTCGAGCTGCTCAGTGGATATGCCATCGCTTGTGTGCTTTCCGACACTCTCCTTGACCTCGTCCAGCGATGCGCGGATGGCCTGAAGAGTCTCATTGTCCTCGTCAGACATGGATCGCTCACCGGAGTTGCCAACGACAAGCGCGCTGCCGAAAGACTCTTTCAAGCTCTCGATCTCCTGCTTGATCGTGGCAAAGGCAGCTGCAGAGGCGTCATCCTGATCAGCGAGCATTTGTGTGCGAAGCTCGTCGATGGTTTCTCGGATACTCGCGGCGATGGCATCTTTGTCGTTCTCGCTGATCATCGCGTGAAGAGATTCCTTGAGTGTCGCAAGCTCTTGTCGCATGGTGTCCATTATCTCGTCAGTAGCACCACCTGCGATGGCGCTCAGCTCGCTGCCATTGAGTTTGCCGTGCAAGGCGACCATCGAGTCCTGTATTGTCTCCAGCAGCTCGTTCTTGTCGGCCGCGCTGGCGTTCAGGATCGCTCCCTTGAGCTGGTCGAACTCCTCCTTCATGGCCTCATTGAGTTCTTCATTGTTGATGAGGTCGTCGTTGCGGCTCTCAAGGTGCGCCTTGAGGTCGTCCAACCCTTCCTTGAGAACCATGATTACTGCCGTTTGGCCAGCTTCCGACTCTTCGGCGTCACGAGTAGATCCATTCTCCTTGATCGTGCTGTGAAGCTGCTCAAACTCGGCTCGAATGTACTCCAGCATCTCTCCTCTGCCACCATCGTGGGACGGACCTGCTGCGCAGAAGTCTTTGACGTCTTCACGCAGACGCTCGAGACCTGTCTTAACGGTGTCGACAATTTCGTCCTTGCCTGTGACATCTTGAGCGCGATCGACGTAAGTCTCGATCTCGTGCCGAAGAGCCTCGTGACCATCTTTGATCGCGTCGAGGACTTGCTCAGTATCGCGACCATTCGCTGCGGAGTATTGCTTGAATTCGACTCGCATCTCCTCAATCAAGTCGCCGAGTTGCTTCAAGACTTGCTCGCTAAAGCCGCCGAAGGGATCATCCAGACCAGCTTTCACAGCATCGAACAGGTCGTCTCTGCTGATCTCGAGTTCGCGAGGTGCGGATGGGCCATGCTCGGCCAGACCGGCGGTCACAGCTGCAAGTACCATGGCGTTCATGGCATCGTGCGAGATGGGCGCCTCGGCAGGTGGCGGCGTAAAGTCGTCCAGAGCCTGGCGCACATTCCCAATGAGCTCCTCCTTGAGTTGCTCAAGCTGATCTGCTGGAAACGGTGCGCGGAAGTCCTTGAGAGCTTCTTGCATAACTTCGTAGATCTCTCCCTTGTCGATTTGTGGTGGTGCGGGCTCTGCGCGATCTTCGCGATGCAGCTCCAGACCCTCCTTGAGCACAGCAAGGATCTCGTCACGTTCGAGACCGAATTGCTGCAATTCGATGTTGGGTTCGAAGTCTTGAAGGCCTTCCTTCACTGCAGCCAGAACTCCTTCTCGGTCGATGCCCAGGTTCTCGACATCAGTTTCCCGTGATTTTTCCAGACTCGAATTGTGCTCGGCCAAGGCGCGCTGTACAGTTGCCATCATTTCTTCGGCATTGGGTCCGGATCGAGCGACCGCGAGTTGCTTGAAGGTGTCATCATCCTGCTCGGCCCTCTCTTTCATGATACCGGCCAGATTCTGCTTGAGTTCTGCCATGGCTTCCTGGACAATGTGCTGTACTTCTTCCAGATGCTCGTTGTCTCGCCCCTCATTGATCGATCTGTCCAGTGATGTGTTCAGCTGAGCGTCGCCAATCTGGTCGAGTTTCTTGCCCAGTTCTCTGCCCATGCCCAATACCTCGCCTCGCAGATCGCGAACGAGGCCCTTGACTTCGGAAGTAGTACCGCCGGAATGTGTGACAGAGTCTTTGATACGTCCCAGTAGTCGCATAAGTTCTTCATCGTTCGAGTCGCGTCGCGCATATGTTTCTCTAGCCTTTGGCGTAGGAGAGTCGAAGTTCAGCTCAAGCTTTGGAGGACCGCCATTGGCAGTGCTTACCGGAACAAGAGCATGTGACTCCGACCGCTCTCTGATGAACTCTGTCAACTCTTCAATCTTCTTCTTGGCATCCTTGTTCTCCTTGCCACTCTTCTCCAGCAGTTCGGATAATGTGGTCAGAAGGCGATCTTGGCCGTCTTTGGTGACCATTTCACGAATGATCTTCTCCAGCATGGCCACGCTCGCGGCGCCTTCGACGGAGTATGGAGAAGGCGAGCCGCATCGTGGTTCATCGAGGAAGCTGTGCGCACTGGCAGCTCGGGGTACACTATACGACTTTCCTGCCGAAGGAGGTGAGCCAAACGGCTTAGAATCAATGTAGTGGCTGAAGCTGCTCATACTACGTGCAGAACTGCCAACAGGCGGTGGAGGCAAGAGGTTTTGGGCGGAGACTGATGAAGCCAGCTCTCGCAGACTCTTGCGGATGTCTTCGTCGCGTGAATTTGTCGCTTCCTTCAACGTCAGCAGGTCAGTAGCATTGTCTTTGCTGCGCCGGCTCAGATTCTTCATCTCATTCTGCAAATTCGTCGCGATCGTTGTAAGGTTGAGCAGCTGACTGGAAAAGTCGTAATTCGTGTGCACGCGTGGGTTGTTGGGCGTGGTTGGTGCATTCACGTTCGTGATGTCGGCCAAAGGTGGGTCCGGCACTTGCATCGTCTGAAGAGCTAGCATCGTAGCTGAGGGCGGCGTGTTTTCGCCATATATCGATCGCTGTCGCGTCGTCGGTCGGAGCATTGGCGTATCCTTCATCGCGTCTCGTTCCTTCTCGGCAGGTGTTGGGGTCGTACACTGCGGTGAAGGCGAGAAGTCCTCGATGCTGCTCATTCGCCCGGGCATCCATGAGTGTCGCGAGTTGGGTCGTTCTGGTGATCGCTCGGGTGATCGATTCTCGAGGTAGCTACGCAAGTCCTTGACCGGGCTGGTCTGCAGCGACTGCATGCGCTTGTGGTGCGCGCCCTTTACCAGACTTCGCTCATCTCCGCCGCTCTTGTTCTGCGTGTAGCTCGATATCGGGGCGCTCTCGCGTGCCTTCTCTACTATGGCTTTGGCAGCTGCGGCAATACCGGCAGATGTGTTTGGCTTGGTCGGCGAGGAGCCTGTCGATGGGTTGAGTGGCAGCGGTGGGGGCGCGCGTTCGGGGTCAGAGCTGTCCCACCTGCGTTTGATCGCGGTCAGCAATGTCATGGTCGACGGTATCCATGTCGAATTCCGATGTGCAGCTGTGTGTTGACATGGACGACAACAAAGGCATTGTACTCACATGGGCACGCTGGCGCGGCCATCGCTGTAGCTGAAGGAATGCTTGTGGTGCGAGTCGCCGCGGTCGCGAGAGGCATCCCTCTCGTAACCCGACATGTCGTGTAGTGGTGCGTGGTATATCGTCGGAGGACTAGTCGAGCCGAGATGAACCTGGTGGTCTGGCTCTGGAATGTGGTGTGTGCTGCCTGCTAGTACGTGTCGCGCCGGGCGATCAGTGGTGCATCGTCCACGAGTGTCGTCCGCCCTGAGATGCAAGAAACGCTTCCACGCTGAAAATGTGTGCGAGAGTCAACGACGGCACGAACAAAGTTGTTGGGTGCGAACGTTGTGTGGAAGCGGTCACCGAGCGAGCTATCTTTCTCGAGGCGGCTAGCATGATGCGTTGGCACAGTCGCGCGCGATGTCAACACTCTCGCTTCGTCCCGGTTGCTATGGTCCACCCGCCGGAGGCGCATCCCGGTTCTCCGACCCCGGCAAGCCCCCAACGTCACCTTCACATGCAACTCTTCTTCTACATTATGCGATACGTTCATCCGCGTCGTGGTGTTCATAGCTCGTTGCGACCCGATGCAGATGAAGCGAGTTTATCGTGTGCTCTTTCTCAGTGCCTGCCTCACAGACAGTTGCATGATACTCTGCATCTATCTGTAGTTAAATACACGCTGCCCATTCACAATGACGAAGTGATTCAATGGATACGCATTGTTTTGCCCCGAGCCTTCTGCTAGTGGTGAATAAATTGGCATGAGCTCAACTTCGTCCTGTATCTGCACGCTCGAAGCTTGCGAGGATCCACCATAAGGCCCAAGCCTCTGTCTGAAGTCCTCCTCCAGTTCCCTCCGAGCTGAAGTGTATCGGGCAGATTGCTGTGGATTCAGAAGCTGGCTTTGGTCCGACGGGGCTATCCAACGGCCCATATGCTCATCCCTCCCAGAGTATCGACTTAGCAAGTGTGTTTCCGTCACAGCTTTGCTTCTTTGGGGCCCAGACCTGTATTGGTAGTACGGCAGACACCTGTTGTGCGGTTCAACACTTCCACTCGAGAAACCTACTTTCTCGTAGAGAGTGCCATCATCCTCTTCGGCGAAAATGCCATATTGTAGTGGAAGTGTCGCGGCGTCCATGTCTGTCCGAGGGCAATGAGAGGCAGCACTCAGTGCTCTTGAGCATGATGCGGCCACCGGAATGCCCGGATGCAGGCGTTTGACGGAGTAGAAGATGAGCGTAGTGATGAAGGCGATCCATAACGCAAGTGCTGCAAGCGCTGCTCCCGGAGAATATGCGCAGCCGGTGAAACCTGCGGAATAGTCGTCGTTTCCTGTGTTCTCGGCTGAAGCGACGGGGTCACCATGAGGATCTCTCACCTCAATCTGGACAAAGAAAAGGCTTCGAGCGACAAGCCAGTGGAGAAGAGCGGAGGCTGACAGCATAGGGACGCTGTATTTATAAGGGAGTGATAACCAGAATGTCGAGCGTTGTTGACCCTTTGGTCGGCTTACACGCAGTGGCTTCCGCCGGTAGGCGAACTTGGCAAATTCACCAGCCATTACCATGCATGTCATGATGTTGTTGTAAAAGATATAGGCGAAGCTGATTGCTAGCTGGGGTGCATTGGCCAGGATGACATTAGCAGTCACGGATAGTTCGAGACTGAACCGGACCAGATTGTTAGGATTGAAGGTTGCAAAGGTCCAGACTCTCTTCTCGTCACTGCCTGAGATAACGAGCCCAAGGCCTATGACCACGAGCGCTATGCATCTATGCCATTGTCAGCAAAATGATTGAGGACTCTGATTGCTTAGCCTTGAGCCTACATTATGATGCAGACTGTCCATCTCGCGCGACTCGCCACATTTGCCCTCGAACGTCCTACCCTTACCGTGCGCGTAATTTCGACATGTTTGCGATGCGCTGGTCTTCCCTTCCAGGCATCCGAAGCGGATATCGGCCCCAGCCTGGCGGTATCCTGTTCGGGCTGAGTGAGGAAGGATTCGATGGCATCCCCGATATTGACGAGAGGTACAAAATCGCGAATGCAGGTTGTGGTGACCATGCACAAGATCTTGATTGCGTTGCAAAGAATCACAACCCATACCAGAGTGGTGTTGATGAGGATTGAGCATGATCGGTCTGCAGCTTCTGCTAGACAGTACTGAACCTCGGCGGCTTTCAATCGCCCTGTGACATTGTAATGACTTGCCAGAGCAAGCGTCCAAGAGGGCCCATTATTGATCAAGTTCGACACATCGCAAGCCGTTAGCTCGGTTCTGGCGCTGTCCAATGTTTTATTGACAAGGCCGAACATAGACGATACGCCGAAGGAGTCTGCGAGGAAATGCTGCTCAGGCTCGAAACGAAAGGCATCTATTGTAGTCTTAAAGCCGGCGCACGGCCAGTCAGGAGCTCCACTGGTAGTTGTCCAATTGCCAGAATATGTATTCGCGATCGCATTCCCGGACGGCAATTTGGCATTAGTGATGATCAGAAGGTTGTGCCAGTCCGTCAGAAACTGGGACTGTGTGTAACTCCGCAGACACTCGGCGTTACTCATCCTAACGAGGCCTGAAAAGTTGCGCTGCAACTCTATAGCCTGATGGGCCGGATGTCAGCCTTTGTATTCTCAGAGAAGAAAGGCTGTACTTGCTGTTTGGAGAATTGGCCCGCTGATCCAACCGCTGGCATGACTTATATCGATGTTGGGAAAATCCTCAGTCACCACGAACGCGTTGTAGTTGTGCGATTGTCGAGAGCTGAAAATGGAGGAATTGTACCTAGCTTTTCTGTGAGCGGAATGAGTTGTGCAATATGTTCCGACATACATTAAGTGTAGCGGGATCGAGCTGGCGAACAGCAAGATCCACAAACTGGAGCGCCATACAGGAATTATTCGCAAATTTCGAACACTTGGTACACCAATGTCGAGCCACTTCATCCGGCCGTGGGCCCTGGCGATGTCGGCTCGAGTCGGCGACGACAGTATTTGAGCGCAGTTGTTGCTTGCCGCTAGTAGAAGTGTGCTGAGAATATTGATCGCGAGATCTACCCAAACAGTAACACTCCTCGACGTCTTGCACGAGCCTGGACTTGCGTCAGCATCTACAATTTTAACTGCGAGGCTGATTCGTAATCACTGGTGTACGCAATTGCGATACCGTTGTCGAGCGGCAACGTAGCTTTAGCCCAGGCCAACACAACGATATTCGTTGCGAGAACGAAGGCGGCGACCCCGATCCCGTAGAACACGCTCACCTTCCACGCGGGGAACTTGCGAGGTTTCTGGTAGGGCACTTCAGAGTCGTTTCCAAGCAGAGCTCCATGAGCGACGGATCCCATCCGTTTCAACTTTCGGAATGCCATCGTGGTGTCCTCACACCATCGCCAGGTCAAACCCTCACACAAAGCGAGACTTTGTAAGTGTAACAATATGAAGACGTGCAATGTCACCGATTGACTTTGCAAGGGCTTGCAAGGGCAGCAGATGTGCCTAGTTCCCTTTCGCATTCAACGGCTGTGCTGGCACCCGAAGCTCATCCACAAGGGGATCAGCAGTACCGCTCACATCGAAAACGTGCAGTAAGGCTGGAAGTATATGCTGATGCCAACCAGTCAGGCGGATGTGTGGCTGTACTTCAGCCTTCCCTGCCTTGGCGTTTGTTGCGATATGAAAAGAATTGGCATTTAATAACATCATAATGGCCGAGAGCAGGATGGTCGCACTTATTTCAGCTCATGAAAGAAAGGCCCGGGCGGTCTCGCGCTAAGAGGATCCAGGTGTCAATAATTGCTTCCAGACCTCAGGCGTTGACCTGCACGCGAGGGGGCACAAGGCTGTGACGGCTTGCATGAACACTCGCCGCCAGTCCGTCTCCGCGCCGTCCGGCACTCTCATGGAGGCACCAAACCAGGTGCAAGGATGTCATTTTTCCTGAGGAGGAGTGCGAAATGCAGATTTCGATGGCGTCGGTGAAGAGCGGTGTGTGAAAGAGTGGTGAAGAATTGAGTCAGTTGTGACAGTTCGAGACCGTGGGCTGCCTGAGGCCAACCTGCGGCTCACTTCAATCCTTCCGCAGGAGGGTACCCCTCCCACTGCCACCACCAAAAGCCACCACCAACACTGCCTTGCGGCGGAGCCTGCCAGCAAGCCGTCACTGGGCCATACGCGCTATGCTTTTTCATCGGACACTAATGTGTTCGTGATCAATCATGCAGCCACCAGACTGCATGTATTTGCCTGCGTGTCATGGCGTCCCCCCATCTCACGACACAGTCTGTCCTACTCTGCCACTCATCCCCAGAAAGTGATTACCGTACAAGGCCGAAGCATTTCCTCCAAAGACGTGACGAGAGTGGACAAATGGGAACATGCTCAAATCCCCATAACTGCCGGTGGAGAAAAGTTACCTCCATCTGGCATGATTTGCACACCTCCTAGTATCGGAACCAAGGACTTGGTCGCCATGCAGGGAGTGCTGGCCCCGGTCATCATAGTCATTCTAGCCTACACGCTCGGCTTAACACTCTGAGGTGGTTTCACGCAAACGGGCCGGCGCTCCAGGAGTCAGGCCTACGAGTCGCACTCTTGGAAGTTTGCTTGAATCTCATTGCATCGCTTCGGCCTCGGGGGTCTACTCTGGATCTTGTGGCAAAATCGTCGATCACACGGGCTATTGCCACTCGCGGCGTTGCTCCGCTGTTCATAGATGTCGCATACACTTTGTGTTCCGAATTGTGGGATCTTACACAAAGTACCATCAGACTGAGTGTAGTCTTCCTCGGGGTTCCGCATCTTGCACTACACATTTGCGCATGGCCATCAAGGTTCGCATTGCGCATCGCAGGCCAGAAGCTGATCGATGTCGGCTGCATAAGCGGCAGGATTGTCTGGCCGAGCGGAGAATGTGGCCCAAATGATAATAATGATCGACTCGAAAGCGCGCGTTGTTGCCGGGCTTGATCTGCACGTCGACAAAATTGAGCCATGCTTCGTTCACGCAGCATGTCTAGGGACTCTGCAGCAACGCCCATTCACCTCAAGCTTCACGTAAAGCTTGGCGATTGGACCACAGAGGCGCACAAGATTCTTCACGTGTCGGTAGGCTTACTTCGGCGCTTCGACAGCGCTCAGACACGGCTCCCACATGTGCTTCTTCTACCGAAAGTACTTGGCGTTACTCAATTGTCAACTTGGTTTCCACTTCGTTCGCAGCTCAGAAGACCACCAACGACCGCTTGTCTCGGTACAGTTGGCCATCGCCTCCCCGAATTGTACGAGGTCTCCCTCCGAGCTCCAGAGATGAACTCCTGACAACCTGAATGAAAACATGTCCGCGATCAGTTCTCTCCCGCGCGGAGTCAGCGACACACTCAAGACAATCCTCAATACAACGGCTGCTGCTCTCGATCACTACGTGAGTCGAGAGGTTGTAGTGGCGACTTTGAAGAGCTTGCTTACAATTCCTGGGGTTGCGCAGACAGCCGTCGTCATTTCTGCCACATGGTTCTTCATCTGCTCACTCTTCTTCAGGTGGTCGAGAACTCCCACAGTCAGCAAGATGACAGCTCCTGATCGAGCACAAGGAAAACATTTACCAGATTTCAGAGCGATGACTTGTAAGGAAAAGGCACGCAATCAACAACACCAGAACGGCCGTGTAGAGCTCGTGTGGGCGACGGGCAAGGCGGATACTGGACAAGCAACACTCGATCGCATGAGACCTGTTCAAATTCTGCTCAAGGTCATCATTGTGGTCGCTGCAGGATACTTCCTCGCTGTCCGCTTCGGCTCACATCTCCTGCAGTACACATTGTACGTCGTCACAGACATCAGAATCATTGCTTACTTCTGTATTCTGGCTGTCGTCTTCACCTGGCTCCGCGATCGCGGATTGGTTCGAGATCCTTGCTGGTGCTACGGAATTTAAGGCACAGGTACATCATCAACGCTACCTATGGAGAGAAGCATGCCAAGAAACTTGTCGAACCGAGTTGTTGCGCGATTTCAAATTGAGGCTAGGCGATTTGCATTCCGACATCTGGTGTAGACAAAGGGCAAGCGGAAAACTCTTCAATCACAGCCCGTTCCATCACAAACGCTTCTTGCTCACCGGGAATTTTCTCCGCTCGAGCCACTTCTGGTCGACTGCATAGCACATATACACAAGCCCTCTCTCATGCCTCCTTCGAGTTGTCGGTCCCTGCTTCAATTCCATGTGCGTCCAGCAATCCATAGACCTTCCTGCACGCGCAGTGCGGGAACACTGAACTCACGTTTGCCCACTAAAAGCTTTGCCTTACAACATGTCTACGATCAATAAAGACGCTCAAACGATGTGCATATGCGTAAAGAAGTGATCACAATTGCGATGGTGTCCAAGAGACCGATCTGGGCCTGGACAGTGCCTGTTGGACCTGGAGGTCAATACGAGATGGCCGGCTGTAGCGGTCGTACTGTTGCCCTTCCTCCTGCGGCTACAGGCTCAATGCCCATGGATTCTTCATCAGATATGTTCATTATCAAGGAGTTTCTCCGCAAATCGTTTCGAGTCAATTCACCAAGGAGCTGTCGAGCAAGTTTCGTATCGCACTTCTACAGCAACAAGCGACTACCCGGTGAGATAAATCCATGCGAAGGTAGGTCGGTCCTCGACAACCTGTTACTTGCATGTGCGGATTCAAGGAACACGCTCAATGGCCTTTTGGGCCTCTCCTACCTTTAAGCTGCCCTAAGTCAGCTGCTAAAAAGGTTAAAAATGTATACGAAATGCGCGTTTTCCTCTTCCAGACACGATAAAGCTTACTGACAATTAATCGAGCCGGAACTACGGCGGATATACTGTTCGTTCAGAACAATACCAAAATAACATACACTGCATGAACTTCGTATCTTCTTCTTGCAGACTTGATGGAGCATGCTGACTCCCGCACGGACAAGTAACTGAGTAGGCACTACGGCGAATATATCATTCGTTTAGAATAATACCAACATGGCATTGACGACATAAGACTTCAACCGAGGAGTTCCAGGCGTTCGGGCACCGCAGAGTGCTCCGTATAAAGCTCTCGCCATTTGACCTCCCAATTTCAAGCAAGCTATCTCTAGCGTACTACGCTTCAGTCCTACTCACATTCAACACTACTTCGATCTTCCTGCCCATCATGCGCTTCTTCGGTCCCGGAGTACTATGCCTTCTGATTTCCGGCATTAATGCCAGCCCGGTCAAGCCTGCAGTGTCCCCAAGAGATGTTCACCTCGACCATGAGGCTTTTCTTGAGTTTCTGAACCCCCGTGGCACACTCGATAGAACTCTCGAAGCTAGACAAATCAAGGACAAGAAGCCGAACGGACACCCCTGTGATGGCAATTCCGAAGACGTGGCGGCATGCAGAATTGGTCACCTCCGCATGAAAGGCTGCGATGTAAATAGTAGGTGCCCGACTTCAATTCTCATCGGAGCACAGCCTCTTGGAACCACCTGTGATGGTAAGCTGACAATTATCCTAGAGTGTATCTCTGCAGTAGCATGGCGTGGTGGGTACTGCGCATCGGCTTCAGCTCAGGGCGGATCTGGTAAGTGACGAGACTTTTCGAATTTAACAGCGTTGCCCCCACTAATCTTGAGTACAAAAGATGTCACCCTAGATCTAGCATGTCTCGAATCCATTCCGAATTTCACGGGACCATGCACAAACTGCGATCCCCGAATTGCTCCTAAGTGATCAGATTTTGAAGCAGGACAATCGTGGCGTACCGCAATCGTTGGCAATTGCGTGGGTCCATAAGACGAGGAAAGCATTTTTGCATGCGCTCTGCTTGATAGAGGAGCTCGCACACATATCGAACAATACCTGCTTTCAGCCACATGCTTGGCACATGTCCACACACGTGCCGCAAGTGAACACTGAAGTCACGCTCATTCACCCAAAGCTTCACTTCACGTGCAAATCCCCACTTGGCGCAATTAGTCATCTTGGCGGCTTGCTTGCTTGTGCCCCATTTAAGCACACATTTCTTTCGCTCTTTCTCAGCAAACTTGCATCGCAACAATCAACACAACACTCAGTCTCCGATACCGTTCGCAGAACACTTCTGCCGATCTCTTCATCCAGTATTGTATACACCAGTCACAATGCAGTCTATATACTAATGAACAGTCAGCTACCAAACTCCGAAATGAAGTCCGTCGCATCCAGCATGCCGCCACACTCGAGCCTGCCTGGTGAGGGACCATGGGTCCTCACCGAGCATGAGGCTACATCGAGACGTCTTCCGAAGACTGCCGAGTCTGAACCCGAGTCGACTGTCGAGTCCAGCCTCGAGTTCAAGAACAAATGGATGGCCAACAAGGCCACTCCAACCAACCTTCCTCAGGTGTCGCCACCGCTCGACAAAAACAAGGCTGGCACTTTCCCGCTGCGCATCATGGCCCACACCGTCGTTGATCAGGTCGCAGACTCTATTGAGTACACTCTGCGCGCCAATTACATTGTGATACTTCTGCTCGGACTCATGTTTGCCATGACTCCTGGCATCGCGAAACCCGCCGTCCTCACCGCATGTACTGTGTACCTGCAACTCCAGCTCCCTCCAACCGAAGACCTGGATGAGATTCTACCTGCATTCGCCGTCCGCCCTCAGCAAGACAAATCGAAGCTTCGCACGACTACTCGCTGCCACAAGAAGGCACTTGTCAATCCAAGAACCGCTCAGTCGCCGCGCACGAATCCAGGCGCTCAGCTGGCCGTCATCGACCCAATTCAGGCAGGACCTATCAATGCGGGGGAACGTAGCCGACTCATGGTCAAGTCGCTCATCGTGTACGTCTTGGTCAGCGTGCTTATCATGGAGCTTTGGGTGTGGACATTCGGCAACGTTACGGAGACCCATCTCGGCCACTACTCGTGCGTCACGGACAAGGTGACTGGTCTGCCCACCTGTGTGGAGGTCTAATACGAGACTCTTGTGCTGTCAGATCGAGTGCTCAGAGTCGCCCTCGCCGGAACAGGAAGAGAAGCGTGTGACTCGTCTCGTCGAAACGATCAGCTGAATACTAAGGGTTGGAAAGCTGTTGTACAGGTTTCAAAAGAAGACATCGTCGGGACAGAGGTTCCTCGGGAAACTTAGGTCATAGTCCAGCGCCAATTCCACGTGTTTACCTGCAATGCCCTCAGCGCATGAAGGAGTCTTTAATCACTGGGCTCTGAACCATTGTTGCTCCACCGCTTCTTCACCATAGTTGCATGGAGACGCAAGCTGCACAAGCCCTTCTAAATAGGTTGTGTACATAAAGCTTCCGAACGATTGAACACGAGACTTCACAGGGGTTGGTTGACAGTGCTAAGTCCGGCTGATGTGAATTCAACAGCCGGACTTAATGACATACGAACCAGCCGGAAGCTGGCATGTGACGCTTTCACTTATTTTAGAAGCACATAGTGCTTCGTATATAGAAGTGAGAGTTGCAAAAGTAGTAATTATAGGTACGGACATAAGGCTTCATGTCTTGTGGTTATAAGTTGGTTCTTCTGTTCATCACATACACTTATCTTGTGTAGGGTCCGTCTTACTTCCAACATGCTACCTCCTGCTAGCTACTATGTCCGCCTGTGCAATGTCCTCAAGCGGAGTGACGGGCGACCATCCTTGAGTGAACAGAGCCGACCCTATGTGGATTTTCCTGCGTGAGTATCTACGGCATTACGTCGAATACATGGGACTTCACCACTCCATGAAGCTGAGATGCAAGAGAACGAGCTCTTTTTGGCGGTTCCGTACAGACAGTAAGCTTTATCAGCGTATTCTCAAGGACGCCCTCGCACCACTGCACTGAAGGACGCTGCAAGCACCACAGCATAGGTCACTGTATCGTTCACTGCAGGCTGATGGTCTAGGTGCTGTGCGGAACCCGCGCATGCAAGGACATGTCCTGCAGAATACGGTTGCTGTGAGAACTGGAAACAGAGGACTTACGATGACCTTGATGTGTCTCTTGGACCACTATAAATGATTTCACGCCTAGCCTCCATCCAATGTACTCGACCGCCAACCTGCTACCTGCAGTGAATCGTCCTAGCCACAATTCAACCGCAAGAGTGAATCCCGTACCTTCCAAGACTGGTCCTAGCACCCCCTCAAGATGCATTTTCATCTCCTCGCCTGGTTCGTACTCATCTTCAACGCAGCATGTGAGTAAAAAGCCCTGCATTCGTTGCAATATAGACTGACGACACTCTAGCAACTCCCATACCAGACGGAGCGCACTCCTTGCACCAGCGACAGTCAATCTGTAGAACATGGTTTGGCTGTCTTCCTTATTTCAACAACGGAGGCGCTCATCGACGTGTTGGTGCCGAGCGGTCACTCAACATTGACGTCCATAACTCTGGAACAACGGGTCATGCAAGTGAGCCAGGAGTGATTACTGCTGTATCGGAGCTGTCGATGCATAATCAACATCGAATCACAGTTCGGCCGGCTGCGAACAACGACATGCTGAATACAAGAATTTATGTCGACATCATGGACGGAGATCGGATCATAGGACAGCGTGACCAGTACCTAGCGAATCATGGTGATAGCGTTTCTGTCACTATCAGTCACGAGGATTGGATGACAATGATGGCATCTCATCGCAGCGAGACCGTAACTCTGAAGATTAGATGGGTGGCGTCGTTGAATTGATTGCTTTTGTTGCAGTCTGACAGGAGGAGTGAGAAAGTCAGCTAGAGGAACGAGTTGGGAAGATCGGAAGGGGGAGTTAAGGGCAACGGCGCATATATTGCACTTTTGGCTTACCAGATTCATATCAATGCGCGAAGATTCAATCCCCTACGCATCGCTCGAGACATTTGCCACAAGTTGTACCAAACAGTCTAGCTTCGCGAACTTGCTCCTCATTACCGGCGTCGTGGCGGTGGAGACTACCACTCTCGACGAATGACATCACCCACGACTTATACCGTACAATCATCTCGTTTTCTTCGATCCCGGCAGTCTTATCGACCTTTGGTACCAGCTCTGCTTCTTCATTGGTGGGCAGGGTTTGCAAGCCACACGACAAGCATGCCGAAACAGTTGGCGTGGCCGCGGCAATCTGAAGCCGTCGAGTGCTTCGCAAGGAAGACGTAGAGCTCTACTGGCTGCCTCTGTCATCAGGCTACGCCAGAGTCATAAATGACAGAAGACACGTGTGATGTGAGCGAGACTTTGCGTGATTGCTTTCTTAGACAACAATCTTGTTGGTCGCTTTGAGCTCGAAGTTTCGCTCCATGGCGTGCTGCTTATCAATTTCATGATATAACTAAGCGATTGCATTGTGTTGTCAGTAGAGATAGGGCCAGTGGCAGGTGTGTGTTGTGAAACCAGAGTCGTCCTTCGAGTTGAGTGCAATGAGCGTCAGAAGTATATGACCACGGAGGAGATGTTTTTCGCGGGCCTTGGCTATGCTCGTGCTCTGTCGTGACGGCATGCTGCAATCTCAATATATCTCATAGGCTCGAAACAAACAAAATGGTGGAGTACGGAGGTAGATGGCTACGACAGAAGTGGACCTTCTGATTCCACGCCAAGATTTTGGACCCCTTGACCTTACCCCAATCTCAGCCCTACAACGAGCAAGGATGTACGCGAATAGGAGCGGCTTCTGACCGCAGCTCACGCGATGCAACCAACACCCAGTTACAACCACGGTCCCCAGCAATAATAGCGCTTCGCGGAAATGGACGGATCTCGCCCGAGGAGTGGCAGCCTCCTCTCTCAGCCATCAACGAAATACAACGCATCCAGCAGTCGACCTCCCATACACACTCCACCAGCCTCCGCGATCGACCTCGAGGGTGGAGGAGCAGCGACAGCGGGTGGAGACTATAAGAGAGGCTCCGAGTCCGATCAGTCCATCGACATGGAACTGTCCTCCATGCACTCCTCCGACGATGAAACATATCCACCCGCCCACGACGGCGACTACGACTCCGATGATGAAGAGACGGGCTTGACACAGACTGAGCGCAAGAAGCGGCGTAGGCGGAGACGGCGGAGGCTATCTCAATCACATCATGCACATCTCACAGCGGAAGAGAAAGGAATAGCAAAGACTGCCCTCATCCGGCGTCTCCTCATAAATGGCCTTCTCATCCTGCTATGGTATTCCTTCAGCATATCCATATCCGTCTACAACAAATGGATGTTCTCGGCAGAGAATCTGGACTTCCACTTCCCCTTATTCACCACCTCCATCCACATGCTGGTACAATTCTCACTCGCGAGCCTGGTCATAATATTCTTACCACGATTCCGGCCGGGAAGAGACAAGAATGGTAACATCATACCCGCAAATCCTGAAGGCGATTCAGGACAAAACCACGAAGCGCATCGCTACGAACAGGTCGGATCGGAAAGCAGGCCCCGCCAACAGCCACCAAAACCACCTCTCATGACCAAATCCTTCTACCTCACCCGCATAACCCCCTGCGGCAGCGCCACAGCCCTGGACATCGGACTAGGAAACTTCTCCCTCCGCTTCATAAGCCTCACATTCTTCACAATGTGCAAATCCTCCGTGTTGGCCTTCGTCCTCCTCTTCGCCTTCATTTTCCGCCTCGAGCAACCCACCATAAAACTCTGCCTCATCATCCTCCTCATGACAGTCGGTGTAATCCTCATGGTGTCCGGAGAAGCAGCTTTCAACGCCTTGGGTTTCATTCTTGTAATGACAGCATCACTCTGTTCTGGATTCCGGTGGTCTCTAACACAGATCTTACTCTTGAGGAATCGAGCAACGAGTAATCCCTTCAGTTCGATTTTCTTCTTGACGCCTGTCATGTTTTTTGTACTATTCATTCTGGCTGTTCCAATTGAAGGACCTCGAGCCGTTCTGGTGGGGCTGCACGATTTGACGGAAGCCAAAGGAACTTTTGTTGGCATCCTACTTCTACTCTTCCCAGGATGTCTGGCATTCATGATGGTCGCGGCCGAATTTGCGCTTTTGCAGAGGACATCAGTGGTCACACTCTCCGTTTGCGGGATCTTCAAGGAAGTGTTGACGATCAGTGCGGCGAGCGCGACGTTTGGTGATGAGCTGTCGCCAATTAATGTTTCCGGGCTCATTGTCACCATCGCGAGTATTGCTGCGTACAACTGGTTGAAATATTCAGGAATGAGCAGGGAAGCCAAAGATGAGGCACATGCAATTGTGTCAGCCGCAGAAGCGGATGTACAGACCGGGAAGAGGAGCAGCATAGAGCAGGCGGATGAGTTCGCAATTGGAAGAGACAGCATGGGCTCGGAAGCTGGAGGTTTGATGCGAGATTCATTGCATTTGGCTACAGATCACGACCGAAGTCGAGGGCCTCAGAGGAATGATAATCTGAGGAGTCCGACGAAACGGCCAGAGGATTTAGAGTAGGAATGTACTAGTATATGCATATGACGACGAGCCGTATTCAAACGGCCATGATTGACACAAGACACATTGTCTATTCCGTTGCGGTGTCACACGTATTGCTACGGGACTTGCAGCGTATTGGCGTAGCATGGCGCCGCAGGATAACGGCCGCGTATCATAGTAGCTCACCTTGGGGCCCTACAAGCTGCTGGATGTTGGTGTTAGTGGACAATAGACATACAGGAAGAATTGAAATAACCCTGCTGGTTAGTGCCGTTTCGTCGCAGTCGCAGTCGAGCATGAGATGGCTAGCTCAGGTCGATCGGAAGCGTGTTGCTGGCGAGGGACGGTGGGGGCCGACGAACGATGGGGATGGACGTGGACGTGGGCGATGGAGGGTTGCTGTCTCTGGTTACGGTCGCTCGAATAGGCAAAGACGACGAAGGACGGGGTCGCATCGAGGGAGACGACGGCGGGGTGGAAAGTCAATACGTTCGATCCGCTTCGTGGAAGACTTCGGCCGTTGCTAGCTCGATCCTGTGAGAATGACGTTGTATCTTTGCGGCAGTCTCAAAACCCGTAGTCATGCTGATGTTACACTTTACCAAACGCCAACTCAACTCTTTCTTTCGTTCCCGCTTTATTGGTGTGTTCGCTTCGAAGGAGGTGCGTCGATAGTTCTCAGTCTCGAAGTGCTGCTTGCGATCGTGGTCCGTTTGATGATCATACATCGCGCATTTTTACGTCGAGAGCTGGTGAACTGCGTCAGTCAAACCTCTACTCGGCAGTGTCCAAGTCATCGTGAGCAGCTGGTGGTGCTTCCTCCTCTCGTGCCTCTTCTGCGAGGCTATCAGTACGCTGTGTCACATTCTCAGGAGGTTTCTACTCACCCTTTGCGGTCTCGCCATTGGTTCCGTTGGCCTCGTACTCGCGCTCGCGCTCGTCTCGTGCTGGGCGATCGGCGTCACGGTCTGCGTCGCGGTCGTCGTCTCGCGCGTCACGGTCCTTCATGTCCCTATCACGATCGCCCCGGTCCCGATCTCCCTCTGGGCTGCGAGTGCGGTCGCGACGGCGGTCGTCGCGGTCATCGCGGCGAGAACCACGCTCGTAGTCGCGTTCGCGTGCGCTGCCCTCGCGATCATCGTCGTAGCGACGGCTTCGTGGAGGAGAGCCGGAGCGGCGGCGTGGAGAGCGCTCGCGCCTGTCACGACCGCCCCGGTCGCTGCGTCCGGAGTCGCGATCACGACTGTCGCGAGGACGATCGCTGCCGGTGTCGAACCGCCAGCTGGCCGATGGTGGTGTACGTGCCCACTGTATGCATCTGTCAGAGACATGCTTCGAGTGTGAGCCTCTGCACTTCCTTACCTCGATCTTCAGCAGGTCATCGCGGCCGATGCGCTTGTTGTGCATCTCGTAGTATGCATCATCAGCGTCTCTGCGGTTCTCATACTCAACGAACGCGAAACTGTGTTGTGTCAGCTCAGCCAGCATTTCGTGGCCCACATATCTGTTATACTCACAGCCTGCTGGATGCGGTACGAGGTGCCGGAATGTCGCAACGAACCAATCTACCGTATCTTCGACATTGTCAGTTCGGCTCCATATGTTCGTTTCGTGGGTTTCGGCGGAAGTGAACGTGGGAGTGGAGGAAATGGCGGCGCTCAGGCGACATCGTGCTGCATGCGCTAAGCGCAGAATGATGCGGTGGGCAGGGGAGCTGTGTGTCGAGGAGGTTCTGGTTTCGGGGACGTACCGTTCGAACTCGTAGGCAAGGTCGCGAGCGCGGGTGCCATGGCCGAAGCCAGTCACGTAGAGGGTGGTGCCGCCGCCGCGAGAAGACATGATGGAGGGGTTGTGGTGGGTTCGTCTGAGGGCGCGGTGAGGGCGATGGTGGTGCGATGAGGTGATCGAGACGTGGTCAAAGGTTGGCAGAAACGAAGAGAGGCAAAGAACTGGACGGAAGCGGAAACATCCGAGCCGGAACCTTGAACTTGATTGGACGACGGACGACTTGACTCGCCATCGACCATGTCTTTCGTTGGAGAATTGCTATGGTAAACGTACAACTACTTTTTGCTACATTCGACTATCCCCAGTCGCGTTATCATGTCGCACCTCTGAATGCTGATCATCCGGAACTCCGTCGCCATGCTGTAAACATCAAAGTCGTAAGAAGAGGTTTCGTGAGATTACTGCTCCACGGCCACAACGGCTTTTTCCCTTTCACTTCTCCTCTTCTTCTGACCAGCTCGCGTGTGCTTCCTCTCGTTCTCCTCGCGTCGCTTGATCGCCTGCAATTCTTCAGTCTTGATCTCGCCGGCCTTCTTGATCACCTTGGGTAAATGTCGGTGTCTAGCGATTCTCTTGATCTCTGGCATATGCTTCCACCTCTCCTTTAGTGCCTGGTCATATTCGATCTTCTGCCTTTCCCTTGCAGACTTGATGCCATTTCGCTCGCTAGGATTCGAACGCCACAGGCGGACGTTACCGTCATCTGATCCAGAAAGGACGTATGCTGAGTCTCCGGTGAAGGTGCACGAGAAGACACGCTGCATGCGCTTGGTGTGATATGGTTCTCGGCTGCGGCCAGATTTGAGGGGTGTCCATAATCGAATAGATCGATCGTACGAGGCTGAGACGAGTTCCTGTCCAGTTGGCGACCAATCTACACACATGACTGCAGATACATGGTCCTTGAGTGTGTTGAGGGCCTTGGTAGGATTCCGCATATCGAAGATATTGATGTCATGGTCCTCCTTCCCCACTGCGATATTGAATGGCTCGATCGGATTCCAAGCAATGCTGTTACCAGCCATACGAAGCTTCTGTCGGTGCAGTGCGGAGGATGTCCGGAGGTCGTAATATGTCAAGTAGCTGTCATTCGATACTGCTGCTAGAATCGAAGTCTCGGACTGATTGAATTTCAGATCAGTTATCGTGTCGATCGCACCTGTGAAAGTGTGGCTCTGGAGTGGTGTATCTGAAGGATGATCAACATCGAAGACCTGCACCGTGGCAGATGCCGCGACAGCAAAGTTGCGCTCATGCCGGTGCATGGTCAACGAAGAGAACGCATTGGTCCCTGTCCACATCGCGAGTGGTTTGCTGCCGCTTGCAGTGTTATACGGATCCCAAAGCTTGACATATCGATCTGTCCCACAACTCAATAACTTTTGATCTTGTGTCCAGCATATGCCCTTGACCAGGTTCTGGTGTGCTTGTGTCTGCCACACTTCTGCTTGCGTGGGAAGGTCCCAGACTTTTACGACACCATCGCCACTGGCACTTGCGAGCCGCTCGAGTGCTTTCGGGTCCTTGGCTAGAGAGTATACTCCGTCCACATGACCTCTTCCCAGTTGAGCGACAAAAGGCGCAGCAAACATGCGCTCAAGTTTCGTGGCATTTAGAGCGCGTGTGTATTCTCGTGCCCGCTCGAATGGGTGCACTGCGGGATCGAGATTTCGAGGTTGGCGAGCAACATCGCTGCCGGGAGTTTGGATGGAGCTCGTCGAGCGGGTGAGCGCTTTGATTTTCTAGATGAGTATCAGTATTCTATACGTCTATACGTAGCAGAAGTGCAAGGGTGCGACTTACCATCGTGCAGCCATGTTCGTCGCAAGAAAGTCGCGAACGAAGAGACGATAGAATCTCAGAAATCGGAGAGGCTCCGTCACGGGCCGAAGAACTTTGAGATTCTCGGCTATGCCCGCTCCTGCGCCGTGACGAGAGCTTCTCACCTCTCCTGTCTTTGGCCGCGACAACACAGTGTTAATGTGCCGCCGCAGAGGCATCGATTCCAGCTTCTGAGGTTAGCGACAAGGCAGTCTACCGACACCATCGTGCGCCGACGCGATGACAGCACCATACATGTGTTTCCAACACACCGACGACCACGCAGCTTCCCGGCAGCTGTGGATGCTTTGATTCTCGCCTCCAAGTATCCGGAAGAAATTCATAGTGCGACAGTCAAGGCGAGAAGAAGATACGTCGATGCGCTACCGAACGGAAATCTGGTAGAACATACGGAATTGAAGAGTTCTGCCTCGAGCGTTAAACGAGATGAACCCTCACACTACATTTCCGATCTCAAAGTGCTATGCAAAGCAGTCTAAACTACCGAACTAACCCTAGAGTTCTGATTCAAAGCTGGCCAAAGAACGAAACGAGCTTTTCGACAGCCTGGTTCACATATTCCGACTTGTCGTAGAGCGCGATATGCGATTCGCCTTCCACGACGAATGGCTCCTTTGGACCTTCGGACAAAGCATAGGCTTGATCGCTATAGAACTTGGTATCCGCCTCGCTACCAGCAATCAAGAGCAAAGTCTGAGTCAGAAGTGTTGGAAGCAGCGCGAAGACAGAGTATGTCATCATTTTGTCCATACTAGCCATCAAGAATCGCCCCTTGGAATTGGGATGATGACCACGCGACGTCCGGTAATAGTCGTAGCCCTCTCGAAGCATGGCTGGGGTCCTTTAATCGATCTCTTCCAGCTTTTCTGGAACGAAAGGGATGTAGACTGGGGCCGCGCCGTTGGCTTGAGCTGTTCTCTGCGCTGAAACTGCCTCGAGCGACTCGATCTGCTCGGCCGGAGGGATGGGATGTCCAAAGAAACTTCTTGCGGCTTCTCCCATGGGCGTCGCGCTAATTCCGGCCACAGCCTTGAAGCGTCGTTCGATCTGAGCGGCAGCCAGAGCGAACCCGCCACCTGCGCATACACCATAGACGCCCATGCGTTCAGCGTCGACGAACGACTGAGTGGTCAAGAAGTCCGCTGCGCATCTGGCGTCTTCCACCCTCGTCGTTGGATCCTCCAGGAGACGCGGCTCCCCTCCACTTGCACCCTGATAAGAAGAGTCATAGACCACTACCACAAAGCCATGGGTGGCAAGCCGCTGCGCATAGAGGCTAATCGTCTGCTCTTTGACACCACCTGCTGGATGAACGCCGACAAGCGCAGGGTATTTCCGGCCTTCTTCGAACTTCGCTGGTAGATGAAGATGCGCGGCAATGCGTACACCTCGATTGTGGAAAGCGACATCTTGGATCTTGCTGGCTGCCATGGTTTCGTGGAGAGTATCGGAGAAGTCGAGGTTTTGGAACTTGAAACTGACGAACTCGAGCGAGTGTGTCTCTGGTAGCTGAGTGAGCGGCTGTCACATTAAATGTACACTGTCGCTGGCCTCTTCGGACGTTACGACGCGTCCCTATCTCCGCCGTCTGGGTTCGCTCAGGTGGTTGAACGCTAATGGGATATGCATAGCATTTAAGTGCCGCATTGAGGCTTGAACGCACAACAAGCTGTTTATCTAAGCTTTCTTCGCGATTGTTGTTTGCGGGTCATGACTGTGTTCATCACAAACACGTTATGTCCAAGACCGAATCTTTGAGTAAATTGTCAAATCTTTGAGTAGGAAATGGAGGCTTGGAAGGCTCTTTCATCCATGTAGCATTGATACAGTACTGCCGGAGAAAACTTTGGCGTGATATCGGCCACGAACTTTAAATCCGACCGCCAGATCTCTTGAATTACTGTACTTCGCTTTCGATGCGAGTGTGGGCCTGGCTTTCGTGAGAGCACCACTGATATGATGGCCGTATCTCTACAGTGACTTCGTTTGTACTACAGTGAGGCAGGTTGTGGGCAGATAGAATTCAATAGAGCGTATCACAGTAGTACTCACGGCGTGGCTGAAGCTGGACAGATGGAGCCGCATCTGCCTGAGGCACCATGACGATCTCCAGCAGATCGCGGACCTCGCGCGGCAACACCGACGCAGCTGTTTGTGCCTGAAGCTCCGTTACAACCACAGCACACGATCACTTGTCATCACATTTGCACTGTCCGCCCACCTTCGCCGACCGCAACCGGAATCTCCATCCTAATCGCAGCGGTACTGCGGAGTCAAAGATGGCGATAGACGATACTGAGAATGCGAAGCGGATAATCGCAGCCCGGAAGCTGTCTGCAACCAACCCACGGCAGGCAGAGATCGTCTACAAGGACATTCTATCAAGACCGCCGGGACAGAACGACAAGGCATTGCGCGATTTCGAAAATGCTCTCACTGCGCTCGGCGAGCTGCTTCGAGATCAACAGCGCACACAGGACCTCGTCAGCCTCATAGAACAGACGCGGAATGTCCTCACGAGCTTCGCAAGGGCGAAGACAGCAAAGCTGGGTACGTTGCGAACCATCGAGGGTGTCTTTTGGAAAGTGACTTACTGATAGCGCGATAGTACGACAATTGCTCGACCTCCTCGCCGCCATCCCCAAGACCACCGACACGCAGATCGCCGTCACGAAATCATCGATCGATTGGGCCGTTTCTCAGAAGCAAGGCTTTTTGCGACAGAGTCTGGAGGTACGGCTGGTGAACCTGTACATGCAGACACAGGCATACTACGATGCGCTCACTCTCATCAACAACTTGCTCAAGGAGCTCAAGCGGTTGGATGACAAGTTGGTGCTGGTCGAGGTGCAGTTGTTGGAGAGCAGAGTCTACCACGCCTTGGGAAACATTCCTAAGGGAAGAGCTGCACTGACAAGTGCGAGGACAAGCGCGGCATCAGTGTACACACCACCACTTCTGCAAGCTGGGCTGGACATGCAGTCTGGACAGCTACACGCTGAAGACGGTGACTTCAACACGGCATTCTCATATTTCATCGAAGCCATGGAGGGCTATCACGGACTGGACGATGCTACCAAGGCAACTGCTGCTCTGCAGTACATGCTTCTCTGCAAGATCATGCTGAACCTCAAGGACGATGTCGATGCGCTCATGACCTCGAAGCATGCCATTAAGTACGCAGGAAAGAACTTGGACGCCATGAAGGCCGTCGCTCGTGCACACAACAATCGGAGTCTGGAAGAGTACGAGCAGGCTCTGCACTCATATCGCTACGAGCTCGGAAGCGATCGCTTCATCGCATCACATTTGCGTCGCCTCTACGACAGCATGTTGGAGCAGAACTTGATCAAGGTCATTGAGCCATTCTCGCGCGTCGAGATCACCCACGTTGCGAAGATGGTCGGGTTGGATGTTGGTCAGGTCGAGCGCAAGCTGGCGCAGATGATTCTGGATCGAGTCATCATCGGCATCGTTGACCAGGGGCAAGGTGTGCTCGAGATTTTCGAAGAAGCGGAGCGGGACAAGGGCTACGACGCCGCGCTCGACACGATTGGGAAGCTGGGCAACGTGGTCGATGTGCTGTACGCGAACCAGGCGAGCCTGCTTGAGTAGGTCGAGTACTTTTCATGAAACATGAGAAACGCGTGCTGCCACTGTACCATAGTCGCTAGCATAGACTGGCAGCAAGCATGAAAATGAAGCATTCACGAACTCAACAAAGTCATGATTCCCAGCAGTGACTTATGACCACTTCGCTGACGTTTGCCTCTTTGAGCATCGGAGATACGACCCCGACCCTGATCTTGGCAAGGCAGTGGCCAATGACGCGCCTTCCTCATGCGTCCCGACTTGCGGGAACTCGGCCGAGGCGAGAACCACAAAGCTCTGAGAAGTATGATGCAGCCCATGCTTCATTATCGCCTGCACACCTACAATCCACCACCACCACACTCTCCATCACCGGAACCGACCAATTCACCTCACAAGAACCTCAGATCACTGCGCCTACCCGCGAGAAGCCACCACAATGTTTAAGCGTGTCCTCGCCACAGCGCCGGTCACGGCCACCTCCGCTCTCCGCACAGCAGCGAACTCAACAACACGAACCGCCTTCGCCGCACGGACAGCAGCGCCTGTAGTCCAACAACCCGCGCGCCGCTCGTACCATGAGAAGGTCCTCGACCACTACAACAACCCGCGCAATGTCGGCAGCATGAAGAAGACCGACGCAGATGTCGGCACTGGACTCGTCGGTGCACCCGCATGCGGAGACGTCATGAAGCTGCAGATCAAGGTCGGCAAAGACAAAGACGGCAAGGACATGATCGAAGATGTCAAGTTCAAGACATTCGGCTGCGGGTCTGCGATTGCCAGTTCGAGTTATTTGACTGAGTTGGTGAGAGGAATGACGCTGGAGCAAGCCGGCCGGATCAAGAACACGGAGATCGCGAAGGAACTTTGCCTGCCGCCTGTGAAGTGTGAGTATCTGTTCAAGGACAATAGGATGAAATATCTGCTAATTCATGTCAGTGCACTGCTCCATGCTTGCAGAGGACGCCATCAAATCCGCCATCAGCAACTACTACACCAAGAATCCCAAGCAAAAGGCCACAGATCTTGGAGGTACTGGCGCCGCCATGCCTAAGATTGAAGTGGAGACTGTGACTGCCGGTGCGGCGGCGTAGAAGCCCGCAGAGAAAATGAAGATCCAAGACTTGAACCTTTACCGCCACGGCGGCAGTTGAGACGGTAGTTCTTCTTTGTGATGATTATTTAGCGACTTTTGAACATAATCGGCGTTGTTTTTCTCAACTGGGGACGGTCAAAGTCTTGTTATATGGCTGAGAGGCGGGCGACGGTCTGTATGATACCAGATTGCATGTGCTTGGGAGATGAAGACATACCATCCAGAATAGCATGGCAAAAGTAAAATCATAACACTCGTTCTACGAAAACGACGACCACGCAATGACGGGTGACGCTTTGTTCATATAGTCGGCTCTGCGTGAGCTGGTGGGACGATTGTGAGATGTATCACGCCACGAGCTGATGTGGTGATATTGTTGTTGCGGCATCCATCTGATATATGCGTATCTGATCTCAGAGGCATGGCTGCTGCTCTTCCTTGCCGCCGTGCCTTCTTCTCCTCTCTCCTACCGCAGCAACATCGAGTTCTTTCGTCGTGGACCACGCATTCCGCGGCAAACGCGTGCGCTCCTTCATTTCCTCTCGTGCTTTAAGACTTGGCTTCTGCCTCGAGACATTGGCACTGCTGCCTGCACTACATTAAGTCGCACCCCCTTGGAAAGCTTGGTCCTGCCTGAGGACGGGAACGGCGTTCGGTTTTGAACGCCGACCTGGCAATTCAAACCCCAAATGTTCAGGTTCAGGAGGCTTACATACACAACATTCTCGATCGGCACGGAGCGGCCGCATTGTAGTACGACTTCCATTCGCACGAAATCGACTGACTTTCCGATACTGCAGTAGCTGGTCCACCAACGGCGTTCTGTTCTTAACTCCGCGCATGCTATGCCCATATTCGCCAAAGTACGAACGCCACGACTTGCTGGTGTGCATGCTAGCTCGTATGGTGGTGAGATCCACCATCCATCAAGAACGATCTCTGTAAGGATGAGCCTCTCGGCGCCAGTCGGGAGACGGTACTTCCGGTAGGAACATGCAGCCAGGACCAAACACCGCGTGCGGCTGGCCTCTTAACTCAGTAATCACGGTGAGTCGTAACGACAGGCATTTTGATGACTTTACTACTGCATTTGCTTCAAAGTTGGGCGTGGACCATGTCGGGTATGAGGACAACTGACAAACAGCACTGAAGCGACGTTTGAAAGCCGAATTTCTCCCATCTATCTTACAATCCTACACAGTCGAAGGCCACCACGAAACATTGCCTGGCGATACTTTCGCGTTGCGCAATCAAGATGGGCATCTTAAAAGACCTTGAGACATTCATGGTCAACACTGGCCATCTTAGAGAGGCCGGCATTCCATCAGTGTCAGTGGCTTATCTCGATGATCCTCTAAGTCCGATACAGCACAACGTCACTTCGAGAGGCGAAGAGAATTGCGAAACGATATACCAAGCCTGCAGCATATCGAAGGCGATAACAGCGTTAGCTGTCGCCAAGCTTGTGGACCAAGGCAGATTGAAATACGAGACCAAGGCCATCGACCATATCCCAGCAAACATCATAAACGCTATTGTCGACGATAATACAAGACATTTGCTACGATATGTGACGATAGCCATGCTTCTCAGCCATCGGTCCGGCTTGTCCCAACATGGCTTTCCCGGATATATGGGCGAGCCTGCGAAGTACGCGGAGATTTTTACTGGCAAGCCGCCTTCCAACACACCGCGAATACGGTTTGACAGCTTTCCTGGGAGTTGCTTCAGCTACTCGGGAGGAGGCTTTACCCTTCTACAGTTAGTACTGGAGCAGATCACTTGGACACCGTTCGCCGACCTGATGCAGGAAATGGTATTGACGCCATTAAATATGCATCGAAGTCGCTATGGCGATCCCGCTCCTGGCGACAATAACTATGCCAGAGCACATGTGACTGCCTTCACACCCGGCACTCCCTCACCTCGGGGCTACCATCGATTTACGGAGCTTGCAGCAGCTGGACTTTGGACGACCCCTTCGGATCTACTCAAAGCGACTTCCGCAATACAGAAATCGCTCTATTCAAACGACGGCTTCCTGACTACCAAGACAGCACGCAAGATGCTCAGTCTCGCAGCTCCTCATGATGAAAACTCATCGATGGGTCTTGGATGGGCTCTGAACGAGACGTTCTTCGGGCATTCGGGAGACAACGATCCAGGATATACCTGCTACGTGCTTTCCACGCACAGAATCAAAGAAATACCTGAATGCATTAACAACCCTCGCCTCATGAGCCTCGCCATCATGACGAACTCCGCCCTCGGGTGGCCGGTAATCAAGAAATTGGTAGCGGCAATATTTGCGTTCCGAGGTTGGCCACAGTACGATAAACTGCCCGGTTGTGGAAAACTGACCGACATTGTGCCTTACCCTGTTCCCGAAGGTGTCAACTTTGGAGACTTGTGGACTGATTTTATTGGCACATGGACAGCGCGAAAGAAACCGCCACAGTCCAGGAACTCGCCACCGACACCAACGATCTCTGTGACACCGGCGAATGCGTTTCACTCTTTCCAGTCTCCACAAATTCAAAGTCCCGATGGTCGCGTTCAAACGCCCACTCTCCTTGTGAATTCACTGAATCTGGGAGGCGTTGGTACGGGAACAAAGACACCAACCAGCACAAACTCAAATGAAGTGACTGTAGGAGAGTGGGAACTCTTCTCGGATAATGGCATCCCCATGCTTGCCTTCGAAGGCGTTGGTGAATCAATGCGACTACACCCAGGTGCGGCTCCGTGGTACAGGTTAGGTGGCCGCGTCGTCCAGACTTTCAGTGTGATTGGACTTGAGCTGGCGATCAGATTGTGCTCGAACAAGAAGTACCTGGACTGGGGTGTCATGAATGGGGGTTCTCCTGGTGGTGGTGCTGGATGGCATGCTGTTCCGGTAGGCGGTGGTGGACAAGATGGTGGTGCGGAGGACGAATTGTGGATTGAATTGGTCCAAGGAAATGATGGGGATGTGGTAACATTGAGGAGAGTAGGGTGAGAATAAGAAGTGACACACGTTGTACGAGATTGCGAAAGCTTGTAAAAAAAACCGGGTGGTTGTGTAACCATCGCCTCCATCATCCAGAATTTAGCGTTCAGATTAAAATCACGAAAAGACAAAATCTCAACTCCTCCCCATCGTATCTTCTTCCAACGACACACAAATAAAGCGATATCCCCATTCTCATCTCACATCTGTCTTCTGACCCTGTTCCAAGCGACAGTAGCCGGCTGATGTGCGAAAATCTGTCCTGGGTCGTCAAGTCAGTAACCCTAACATTTAACCCCAAACCCTAAGGAGTGCTTCATAACGTCATTGGAACGAGTCTGAACGAGAGGGAAACACAAGACGAGCGCATCGAAGTCGGTCCACACTGCATCAATTCTCGTTATCCAAATAGTAAGTACGACTAAGCTACCTGACTGCCTGCCATCGTAAGACTCGCTCAAGAGGATATCATAAAATTGCAAGGATTGACAGAAATGAACTTCAGAAGGGTCGCGAGCAAATAACAACAGGTTCCTCTCTTCATGAATTCTCTTGCTTCGACGAAGCTCATTTGACGTGGGTCCTGCTTCCAGTCATTGGAGCTAGCTCCCTGCTCTCTCCCTTCCTTCTTTGTCGTCCCGAGCGTCGGCGACGACTACCACATAACATCCTTCAATCCTGATGCTTCCAAGTTTTTTTTTTTCAATCCTCCTCCAAGCCTTCCAAGAACGGCAACAACAACAATAACGCCCAGAGCGCCATCGCTCAAATTTTTCAAAAAGTCCCCTCCAATCCCCAAAAGGTTTCAAGTCATCTTTCCTCATTGTCTCAAACCAGAAGAATGAAAACCAATTAAGCTTCGATCGAGACCTCCGTAGCCAATTCCCGCGCCCTCGAGGCGGCCGCATCAGCAGCAGCAGTAGCATCTTGTTCTTGGCTAGCGATCTCTCCTCCAGATTGCATCTCTGCCCAGTCACCCCACAGTCCTCGCTTCCCTCGGACCTTGATAGGATTACCCAGACCCTTGCTATCTTGCTCAACGGCGATTGCATCCTTCGTGCCAAGGACAAGAAGCTCGAAGAACATCTTAGTTGCGTCTTGTCGCGTGGTCTGATTTTCAGGACATAGATCTGTGAATTTCGCCACGGTCTTCACGCGTTTGCTAGGGGTTGGAGGTTCATTAGCGTCTTTGGGGTGATCAGGCGCGAAATGTTCGCGGAGCATGTGGACCATCTTCTTTGTGCCGATGGCCACGGGGCCAGATTGTGAAGGGTGGAGGAGAGGAGCTTCGGTGATATCGAAATTGACGCCAGCGTCATAGGCGTCGTCTTCGTGAATGTCATCGTCCAGATTCAATGGAGCTTCTTCGTCATCGACAGTGGCATCGAAGTCTGCTCCGGCACCTCCCATTTGGACACCAGAGTCTTCGTCAACAGGAATTTCAAGTTGAGGAGTCTCCTGCCTGTCGCTACCCGTATCGACGTCTGCGATGCCAGAGTCTCGCTTGCGCTTCTTGTCGCCCGCGCTACGGACGACTTCGAGGGACAGTATGCCGCGGAGTTCTGGTGCCCAGCCTTGCATGCGACCATCACCCATGAGATTGCTGACAAAAGTGCCGTTGCGTTGCATTTCCATCAGTGACAGGAGAAGAGGATCACGAGGTAGATAAGTAGGTGCCTTGGTAATAGCGGATCGATCGTCTTGAAGTTTCTTGATGTCGGCGTTCTTCATGGTGGTCTCGTGGTCCATGCGCACGAGCTTTCGTCGCTTGACGCGCTGCGCGGCTTGGACCATCGTTTCGTCGTCCTCATTCATGGCTGCCTGGTCGAGTTGGAAAGTTCGCTCCAGATCGCGCTCGACACTGCTACGAACGGTCGATAGAGGCGATGCGGAATCTCGTTGGCGTTGCTCCGCAGCAGCTTGAGCGCGTTCAAGAGCAGCGGCATTGGCCCTCTCAACATCCTCGTCCATGCCCCCCATCGCCATGTCATCATCAGCGCCAGGGAGTAGATCATCAGGTTGCTCGGTAGTCTGCCGGAGAGTCGTGTCGTTATCGAAACCAAAATCGAGTCCAAGGTCGTCATTTTCAAGGAGAGTCGGTTGATCTGGTCGAGGAGTCGCTGCACGACGGCCCATTTCAATACTTGGGCCATCGCTTTCAGGTGTAGCAGCTGCACGCTCATCGTCGGGTTCAAGCCCGAGATCCAATCCGAGATCGTCGTCGTCCAGTGCCAAAGCTCGTTTCTGAGTACGCGTAGGAGTCTGGGAGTCCATGATCTGACTCATGCCATAGTCGAGAAGGGTTGGGTCCTGTCCTGGCGCACGCGCCTCAGGTTCACGGAGAAGTTCCTCAGGATCAGGCATAGGCGCGAAGAGATCTAGATCAGTGATTGTATCCGGGAGAGTCAAAGCAGCTGGGTTAGCTTTGTGGGATTGATCACTCGGCAGGTCGACGTTTCCAGGCCGGAATGCCTGTTCTGTAGTCAGTAATGTGTCGCTTTACGCGTTTCATACAGGGATCCGACGCACCATCTTGATTTTGAGCAATGCATCGCTGCAGTCGTCCATCAAGTATTTGGCCTTTCGGTTGTAAATCTTGACGACACCCAGTAGCAGTTGCCCGCTCAGACGAAGCGCGAGTGGGGCCTGATTCTCGCCGATAATGTCTTTCACATTGTTCTCCAGGTTCGCTTGCATCACATTCTGTTTGGTAAGCTTCCGGTCCAGATTGGAGGCGAGCCAGACGCGAGCCAGTGGCCCCGTCTTGGACAACAGCGATGCCTCGTAGAACATGATTGCGGTAGTGTAGAGGATATAGTCGCCCTACGCGACAATGGTGGTGGTGTTTGCAGTAGAGTGGAATGGGTGGTGTTGGGATTACAAGCAATGCGCTGCGTGGTGATGTTCGCGTTGTTATGATGCGGCGCTGGACGCGTCTGCCTGTGGTCGCAAATGGCCGGGCGCACGTCACTCGGCGCCGCGCATGTCGTGAATGTCGCAAATGGATCGCAGATACCGTCGTAACCCCGGGCGTGCGGTGTCGTCGGGTGGTGGCGGCGTGCGGGCGGTGTGGTGAGGTGTTGTGCGATGGTGGTGATGTGGGCGTGCGAGACAGCGAGAGCGCTGGCGTTCCTGGCTGTCTGCTCAATCCGGAAAGACGGGTGGCTGGGAAAGACCGACCGGTTATTGGCGCGTACCCGGACCTGCTGGCTGCACGCGGTCCGACAGGGATGTTTTCCCTGAGAGAACACCTTTGCGACTCGCCCACGTCTATTGCTGCACTCGATCGATATTGTGGCTCCAGCACACCAAGCGAGACCGACAGATAGCGGCGTTCCGACTCGATGCGATCACGACGACGACGAGAGAATTGAACGACAGCCTTCTTCATGGCGGGTTAGAGAATGTCGAGATCCACCAGTCCCAGCACCATCATCCCGCTACACCACCACAATGGATCCACGACTCCGTCCAAGCAACACTCTCCATCCCTGGCACCGCCGTCTACAGGAGCCAGCCATTTGCGGAATAGCAGTCGTATCAGATTGCCCGGCCAGCAGTCGGTGACATCGCAGCATGCCGTGCTGACCCTCAATCAAGTCGCCGAGCGGCATTCCACTTCGCTGTCGAATGGCTTGCACCCGGGAGAGGCTAGTACACGATTGCACGTTCAAGGACCGAATGAGCTGCCAGGGGAGGAGCCAGAGCCGTTGTGGCTGCGCTTCGTCAAGCAGTTCAAGGAGACGCTCATTTTGCTGTTATTGGCAAGTGCTGCCATCTCGGCCGTGATGGGCAACTACGACGATGCGCTGTCGATCGCCATTGCTGTGACGATTGTCGTGAGTGTAGCATTTGTGCAGGAGTATCGAAGTGAGAAGAGCTTGGAGGCTTTGAACCAGCTGGTTCCACATTACGCGCATGTGATCCGGGGCACGACCGCGCCGGCTTTGGACGACGGAGATTTTGACAGCGAAGAGAAGGCCACAAAAGCGAGCACCACCATCTCGGCCTCGCAGCTGGTGACTGGTGATCTGGTTTTGTTCCACACTGGGGACAGGATACCTGCAGACATTCGCATTACACACGCTGCGGACCTTAGCATTGATGAAAGTAATCTGACGGGTGAGAATGAGCCGGTGTCGAAGAACCCCGAAACTCTGGGGCCAGTCGCATATGCAAATGGCAGTACAGATCCGAGCACTCTGCTTCGAAGCGGGGAGATCAGGTTGACGGATCAACACAATATCGCTTTCCAAGGAACTCTGGTGAGATCAGGATACGGGCAAGGTGTTGTCATTAGTACCGGAGGCGACACAGAATTTGGTGCAATCAGCGCATCGTTGGCAGAAATTGAGTCTCCTCGAACACCTTTACAGGAGAGCATGGATCGCTTAGGCAAGGAGCTGAGCTACATGTCCTTCGGAGTTATCTCTCTCATCATGCTCGTGGGACTATGGCGAGGCAGAAAGTTCCTGGAGCTCTTTCAAATTGGTGTCTCCCTTGCTGTCGCGGCCATTCCCGAAGGTCTTCCGATCATTGTCACAGTGACACTCGCGCTGGGTGTGCTGCGTATGAGCAGGAGAAATGCCATTGTACGGAGACTACCCTCGGTCGAGACTCTGGGCTCAGTGAATGTTGTGTGCTCCGACAAGACAGGCACTTTGACGCAGAATCACATGACAGCAACACGAATGTGGAGTTTCGGTGACAACAAGCCACAGGAGGTCGACAAGGTCAGAGCGGAGGCGCCAAATGCTGCCACCACTCAAGCAGTTCTACGAAGTGCCAATATTGTCAACAACGGACGACTAAACACGCACACCCATGGCCAAATCACGGCGGCAAGCGCTGCTGTCCTTGCTAGCACCGGCGGTCAGGACGATCTTGCGAATGCTAAAAGTAGGTGGGCAGGGCAACCGACGGACGTTGCACTGCTCGACCTGCTCGATCACTTCCACGAGGATGATGTGCGTGGTCGTCTGGGAGATCGGAAACACGAAGTGCCATTCTCTAGTGAGCGAAAGTGGATGGGTGTGATATTGGAAGGCTCCGATGGTAACAATACAGCCTATGTGAAAGGCGCGCTTGAACGTGTTATCACCAGATGTGACACGTATATCTCCAGCCAAGGAGAAGTGGTGCTTGATGACAAGCGCAAGCAGGAAGTCGATACTGCAGCGCGAGAAATGGCCGAAGAAGGGCTGCGCGTTCTGGCGTTCGCTTCTGGTCCCGTGCGATTGCGCAATCTACCCAGCCGCAACGTCAGCAGAGACGTGAGTGTGAGCAGTCGGTCTTCGACTCCAGGTCTAGGAAAGCCAGCACAGAATGGAGAGGAAATGTACACCGGACTCTGTTTCGGTGGTTTGATCGGCATGTCAGATCCTCCTCGCAAGGGAGTGGACAGATCGATCCGCCGACTCATGGCTGGCGGCGTCAAAGTGATCATGATCACTGGAGATGCCGAGACGACTGCAGTCGCAATTGCCAAAAAGCTAGGCATGCCTGTCAACCTGAATTCAGCTATCGGCTCGCCAGTGTTGCGAGGTGATCAAATCGACCAGATGAGTGAAGCCGACCTTGCGGATGCGATGAGCAGGATTTCCATTTTCGCACGAACGTCGCCCGAGCACAAGCTCAAGATCATCAGCGCTTTGCAAAGTCGAGGGGACGTCGTAGCCATGACCGGCGACGGTGTCAACGATGCGCCAGCACTCAAGAAAGCAGACATTGGAATCTCAATGGGCAAATTAGGCACAGATGTGGCCAAAGAAGCAGCCGACATGATTCTCACCGACGACGATTTCAGCACGATTCTCAATGCCATTGAAGAAGGCAAGGGCATTTTCTACAACATTCAGAATTTCATTACGTTCCAACTGTCAACGAGTATTGCAGCACTCGGGTTGGTCATGCTAAGTTCTCTCGGGGGATGGAAGAACCCTCTTAATGCAATGCAAATTCTTTGGATCAGTGAGTACACACCGACCTCACCTGCATGCAGCACGTTTACTGACGATGTGACCCAGATATTATTATGGACGGCCCACCCGCGCAATCCCTCGGCGTCGAACCAGTCGACCCAGCGCTCCTGACACAACCTCCTCGACCTCGCGATGCCCGCGTCCTCACGCCTCGCCTCATTCGCAGAGTCCTCCAATCCGCAGTCGTCATCCTCATCGGCACTCTCTACACCTACGTCTCCAACCTCACAGCAGAAGACCTCGCCGCACATTCCGTCAGCGCGCGCGACACGACGCTGACCTTCACCCAATTCGTCCTCTTCGACATGTTCAACGCCCTATCCTGCCGGTCCGCCAACAGATCTGTCCTTCGTGGCGAAGTCCCCTTACTGCCTGCACATTGGATCGGAAAAAACGCTGCGCAAGGACAAGAAGGCAATGTCATGTTTACTTATGCTGTTCTGGGTTCTCTGATTGGACAGGCGATGGTGATCTATTTCCCGCCTTTGCAGTCGGTGTTCCAGACGGAAGCGTTGAGTTTGATGGATTTGGTGAGGTTGATTGCGTTGGCGAGTGTAGTTTTGTGGGTTGATGAGGGGAGGAAGTTTTATGAGAGGAGGAAGGCTGGGGCTATGACTGGGGTGGGGAGGTTGTCGAGGATGGTGTGATCTTCAATGTACTTATTTCGGGACGGTCGCATTGGTTTGTAAAGCAAAGGACAGGGAAGCAAAGCGTAGGCGTTGATGGCTAAGTGTAGGAAAGAGGCACAATGTGATGGGGCTAGTGAGGACGCTCTGACCGACTGGTATGTTGGTGGGCGCCAGCTGTTTCTGTTGTATGTATAGTGTATATTGCTCTCTTTCCTTTAACTTTGCAAACTTTCCCATATACTTTGTACTTAGTGATGCTTGCAAATGCAAGAAGCATAGAAATGTTGGAACCACCAGCAAATTCAATGCTGCGAAGAAGCCAGAGCTGATATGAGTCGCGAGAACCCAGGAGAAGTTGCGCTGCCCGTCGAAACCAAGTACACATCGTTGATAGATATAAGTCTTCCATTTGGACTACGGACTTGATCGTTTGGTAGACATTCAACATCAGATTTGCAAAATCGTTTTTTTTTTCCCATCATTCGATCACAATCATTTCTTCAACCCTCCAATATCCGCAATCTGCTCCACATCTCCCTCATTCTTTGAGTCATCGATGATGATACTCATTTGTCTTTGCGCAGCATCGGATTTCGCGAAGAGGCGATCGACGTCTTCGAGAGCGAGACCTTTGGTTTCGGGGAAGAAGAGGTAGATTATGGGGACCCAGGTTGCGTTGAGGACCTAGTATGAATACGTTAGAGAGATGAGTAAGTTGGGGTTTGTGCGCGGGGGAACTTACAGCGAAGATAATGTACGTCCTGTATCCAATGTTCCGAATTGCAGGAGGAGTGATGTATACGATCATGAAGTTGCAAATCCAATTACAAGCCGTCGAAACAGCTGATCCACGTTGACGGAGTTTAAGCGGAAGGATCTCAGAGGGGTACACCCAAACCGTAGCCTGGAAACCAATCGTAAACGCTCCTTGGAAAATAAACAACATCGCAGCAGCGCCTGCTCCGCATGCTGTGGCGATTGCGGTATCGTTTTGGACGTTCCAGATGAGGCCTGTTTGCACGACCATGACGGCTGCCATGAGGGAAATCATGCTGAGGAAGAGCGGGCGGCGGCCGATGCGGTCGATGAGGAACCAGGGGATGAAAGAGGCGAGGAAGAACCAGGTGTTGAGGATGCCGGACATGAGGGCGGAGAAGTTGGGGGAGAAGTTGAGGGAGTCTTGGAAGAGGGTGTTGGAGTAGTAGATGAGGGCGTTGATGCCGCCTGCGAAGAAGAACAGTCAGTCGTCACGGTCCATCAAGGAAGGGGATGTAATGGTGTGGACTCACCCAACTGCTGAAAAATCTGCACCGCGCAAGCGATCAAGAATCTCCGTCGGCTCTGGATATCGTCGTTCTTGAGTAGATCCCCCCAGGTCCCAGCTCCAATACTCGCCTCATAAGCCACCACATTCGAAATCTCCTGATACGTCCTCTCAATCGCCTCTTCACTCATCTTCCCCTTATTCAACCTCCTTATAACATCCAACCCTTCTTCTCCCCGATGATGCGAAATCAACCATCTCGGCGTCTCGGGAACGATCATAATAATCGCCAACATGGGGATCAAGAATACGCATTGCAGAATAACCGGTGTTCTCCAAACGAAACTCGAACCTCCTGGAATCCGGCCAAAAGCGTAATCGATCCAGTAGACTAACATAATTCCGAAGTTAAGACAGGAGAGCTGCGCACAAACGTAAATTCCTCGAGTTGCTTTGGGCGCAAATTCGGCCATCATGACTGGAGCGGTGGAATTGATTGCACCCATTCCTACTCCGCTTACGATTCGTGCGATGATCATGTGAGCTTTCGAATAGGCCGTAGCTTGTAAGAGAGCGCCTATGATCATAATGATCACGCCAATGAAGATGGATTTTCGGCGTCCGAGGGATTCGCCGATGAAAGATGTGATTACGGCGCCGATGAAACAGCCGATCTCGTAGATGGCGACGATGAGGGCGATCATGTTTGTGCCGTAGGAGGTTTTTGTTGTGATGTTGAAGGTTGCGTCGAAGGCGGGGGTGTTGACGAGGCCGCCCATGAGGCCGTTGTCTGTGAGGGAGTGTCAGTATCGAGTGTGGGTGTTGTGGAGAGGGGATGGTTTGATGGTACCATAGCCGATGAGGAAGAAACTGAGACAGGTGAGCGATGTCACCGTCAACATGAGGGCGCGGCCCTCGAGTTGGAGCATCTTGATGGAGGTTGCAGTCGAGCTGCTGGATTGTGGTCGAGTTCTTGGAAGACTGGAAGCTGTGGTCTGATGATATAATGAAGCTGATATCCTGGAGAAGCAGACGTCCAATAATAAAATTGCCTTCTGAAACTCCGAGGGCCCGATCTAGATCCTCGATGGTAGTGATAAACTTCCAGTCTACGCGACGTGGACCATGATGTTGGAAAGGTGTTTGGTACCGGCCTCCAGAAGAGCAAGTTGGACACTTGTAATAGGACTCTCCGCAAAATTCGCGATCTCCTGGCCCCCGGGGGGAGGTGGGCGCCTTTATCCTCTGTCAAAGGACCATCGTCGTGCCATGTGTTGATCCAGGTCTAGGCCGCTAGCAGGGTTAGCTCGAAACATCACCCGTGGGGATTAAGGTCTGGAGTCAAGCTTTGACGCCAGTGGGTATCGTGCATCGGTGTCGGCAACGACACATGGCCACTGCACGGCGGTATTTGACGGCTTTGGAGCACGACTGCTCTTTGCACGTCTGGTCACTATTTCTTGCCCTCTGCCACATATAGGTTTTCGGGCTATTGAACTTGTCAAAGTCAGCAAGATGAGTAGCCTGCCAGCCAATTGCAAGGTGAGTTTCATTCGCCGTTGTGCCTAAGGCATTTCTGACTTTTGACCACAGCGCATCAGTCGTGAACAGCGATGCATTCATGCTGAAGCTGTGGCTCAGCGAGAGTTCGATGAACCTCACTTTGCGGTGTATCATGACAAATTCCTGCAGATTCTTGGAGAGAAGCCCTCAATAGAACTCGCTGTCGAGAAGGACTGGCCATTCGCGCACGAAGCCGGAGTCTACATTCCCGATCAAGATGCAGTGTACATCACTAGTAATGGTCTAGACACGCCATCAGGCAAGACGATCAAAATCGGCAAATTGAGCAGAGATGCAAGCAGCGGCAAATGGCAGTACGAAGAACTCCAGACCGACATCTCGATGGGAAATGGCGGAATCATCTACCAAGGCGGAGTTCTCTTCTGCGACCAAGGACATGTGAACACTTCAGGTGGCTTGGTGCTCATGGAGCCGAGGCCGCCATATGCGACCAAGACGCTGTTGTCTTCGTACCACCATCGCCGCTTCACGAGCGTGAATGATGTCGTGATGCATACTGATGGGTCGATCTGGTTCACCGATCCCATCTATGGCCACGAGCAAGGTTTCCGTCCAGAGCCGCAGCTACCTTGTCAAGTGTACCGATTCGATCCTGAGTCGGGAGATATCCGAGTCGTGGCTGATGGGTTTGGGCGGCCGAATGGATTGTGCTTTTCCCCAGATGAGCAGACGTTTTATGTGACGGATACGGACTGGATCCATGGGGATGGCACGACAGATCTGACGCGTGCATCACACATGTGAGTCTTCCACGTGGGAAGATTAGTGTACAAGGATTTGTGAGAGACTAACAACATCCCGCAGATATGCATTTGATGTGATCGACAGGCATGGCTCGCATTTCTTGGCCAATAGGCGGGTATTCGCAATGGCGGACGAAGGTTAGTCTCTCGCATCTTGAGATGAATTCCCCGATATTCTCTCACAGGCTGACCACGAACTCAGGCATCCCGGACGGCATCAAGTGCGATTTGCAAGGCAATGTCTACTCAGGATGCGGGGATGGCGTCCACGTCTGGACCCCTGGAGGCAGTCTGATGGGAAAAATCAAGGTGCAAGGTGGTGTCGCGAACTTTTGCTTTGGGCGCAAAGGCGAGTTGTTTCTGCTGAACGAGAGCAAGTTCTGGGTCGTCAAGATCAGCGATGACGTGCAGGGAGCGTTATTGGCCAATATGAAGATTGCAGTGTAGACAGTCATCCCACCTCAATGGAAGCTGCCGTGTCGCTTGTTTCGTGTCGTGCCGCTGTGAACGTGCATGAACGACTTTGACGTGCGCGTCTTGGTGCACATGCAGCTGTTTGTACGCATCAAGCATACGACTTGCGATGAATGATGATGCGCTGCGATTGGTGATGGGCCAAAAATCGCGCAGGTGTGGTGTCTGTCGTTTGGAGCTGGAGAGTGGCGCGAAGATTTCTGGAGGGGGCCGGATTGAGTTTGGGTGCGGGCGATCACGCGTCGTTGCCTGATCCATGCTCGATGCCAGCCAGTCCTTGGGCGCTCGCGATCGCGCCTGTCTCTGCCTGGTCTTGCATCGTGCGCGTGTGGTGTGCGTAGGCAAGCGGGGAGGGCACGACTGTCACTCTGCCTGCGCATCTGCTCGTCCTCTTCTCCATTCCCCGTGAGCCGTCCAGTTCCGCGAGCACATACCAGTCAGTCAGTCAGCCAGCCAGGCGGTCGGCGATAGAACGACGCACCCACCACGGAGCAACTGTTCATCACTGCCCATCGCCGTCAGTCGGCTCCCGCTTGCGACAACGCAGACTCCACCCGGACATGGAGAACAACGAGCAGCACGAGGAGCACGATAGCGGAAGCGAAAGTGCCGATGCCGCCAACACCAGCACCGCCACGGCCTCTGTGACGAAGCCCAGGCGAGAAGGCGCCAAGTCGGAGCGCGAGAAGCGCACGTACAGGGCGTGTCTGCACTGTCGCCAGCGCAAGTCACGATGCGACCTGTAAGTCTGCCATTCCTGTCTCATGTTCAGCAAGGCCGGCGACTGGGCTTGCAACACTTCACCACTCAATGCCGTCAGCAGCCGACCGCCTCTGCACTTTCACATCCTCGACTCTACCGACCATGTGGGCTATTGCATTGCCCGCTGTTTGACGGCCTTCTATCCTGCGCCGCAACTGTCTGTCTGCGAGCTGTGGCTGACACGATGCGAACAGCTACAGTAGTGGAGAACCCGGGCGGCCACCCTGCGAACGATGCATTCGCGAGCAGCATGAATGCATCCTCGGAGGCTCACGACGTGGTGGCCGGCGTGTGAAACGAGGTACTGCTGATGTTGCAAATACCACTCCAGGACCCTCCCCACACACTCTCCCAGGACCACCAGGCAGCATAGAAAGCCTCGTCAGGCCACTGGCCTTACCGCCTCCGCCGAGGACGGATCAGCACCATGTCCTGGACCCAAATCTGCAGCAGCCACGCCAGCAACGGCTGCCGAGCTGGAGCTCCCTAAACCCAGATTCGAGGACACTGCCGCCCTTGCAAAATGATGGTGCCGTCACGCCGACGGCCAAGATGACCGTCGATGACACTGTCGCTTCCACAGACCTGCAAAACCCCGCCGATGCTCTGGAGTTTCTCGCCCACGTCGCCGAGCGTGATTCTGGGAGCAATCAACTGCCACCCATGCACGCCGGACCATACGGACGACCAACACAACCTCTTGTTGCACGTCACAGCAGCCAACCTCAAGATGGCTCCCGTTCGGGCCAACCGCTCACCCCCAGTAACCACATCGATTACCCACCACTCAATAAGGGCAAGCTCAGCTTGGACATGATCCAAGCGTTGCTGTACCGGTGTGTGATGAATATGGCAATTCGCTACTCCACCAGTACTGACTATCTTCTAGCTATGAAGACAAATATCACCCATTCTTTCCGCTGGCCAATCCAGCGGCCATGGACCCGAGTAATCTGCCAACCATCGCTGCCAAAGAGCCTCATCTACTTGCCGCCATATTGACTGTCGCTTCCAAGGACGAGAAGGATTGGTGGCAAGTGCACGATGACTGCTCGGCTCACATGCAATCACTTGTCGCGAATCTTGTATACAGTGGCTCCGGCTCAGTCGAGGCTGTTGAAGCTATGCTCATTTTAGCAGAGTGGGTTCCGAGACGGCCGCAGTCGACGCCTGCTATCGGGCGCGGCGAGGAAGACTGCGCTGCGTGGATGTATGTTGGCACCGCCATTCGTCTTGGATACCTCCTCGGCATCGACAGGACGGGCTTTCGAGCGGAAAGTGAATCTCAATCTGCCGACCTGAACCGAAAACGCCTTGCTTGGGCGAGTTGTTACATGAGTGATCGACAGGTCTCCGTGAGGATAGGAAAGGCATTTTGGTCAAGAGGACCAGGTCCAATGACGGCATTGCGAGCGCAAGATTTTCCCAGTCTGCAACCACGATTGCATCGACATGACGACTTCGCAGCCATCTACCAGGCGAATTTGGAACTAACACAGTTGTTCAGCAATGCCCATGATGTGCTGTATGCGACTAAGAGTCGTTCGAATCAGCTCAACTTTGGCGGTGAATATGTCAAGTACATCGACGATTTTCGAGTGGCGCTCAGACACTGGAATGCGTCGTGGGGGACGTTCACATGCTCACCGCCGCTGAAGGCCAGTCTCATCTTGTCGTATGAATATCTACGACTATACGTCAATGCTTTCGCATACCAGGTTAGTCATCCTGATCACCTCGTATGCATTCCATGCTGATCCCAAACAGGCTACACTCAACCGCCTGACACAGAAAATGAAGGACGCCATGGAGAATGGTCAGCCCAATCGACCTGTACCTTATCCATTCGCCGACGTTGCTGCCACGCCCGACGCACGATTCATCTACGATGCGATAGATGCTGCGAAGGCTTTGCTCAGCACATTCTGCAGCTTCGTCGATCCCCAGGAGACGTTCAGATATATGCCACTCCGCTATTACCTGTATGTGATCTACTCGGCCGTGTTCCTCTACAAGGCCCGATCGACAGGTGTCATGGCTGGCGATACGAGAGGGTCAGTCAAACGGCTGATCAGCGACACCATGGACTGCTTGCAAAAGTCGAGCGCCTGCCCGAACGACGTCGGCGATCGATACTCTCGACTCGTGCGCCTGCTCTGGAGAAAGCCACCCGCTGGACGGGGCAGCATAGCAGAGCCTAGCGATGGCCCAAAGTCTGTTCCTGCGCAGAACGGCATACCGGGACTGCCGCCTGTCCGCGGCGGAACTGAAGCCATGCCCATGGACACGGCACCTCCTTCGATCAACCAATTCAGCTGGCTGGATCTTGGAGCTGTGGGAGATTTTGCTGTGGAGAACAACAACTCGATAGCAGGAAGCAGTATGTTGGATCACATCGATGACATGTCTAATGATGGCTTCTCGCAATTCGATCCGAGCATGGCGTTCACACCTCAGCAGTTTGCGTGGAATGGCATGAGTCCTTCGGGTATTGTATTCTAGTGGATTGGGGTGAGATCTGGAGGACTGACGTGTATGTGTCTTCATGCCGCTTATGAGGGGAGAATCATGGAAGTGATGGAGCGCGATCTGTTCCGCAGCTCTTGCAGGTAGAAGCTAGGTCGATTTACTGGGGCTGCACATATTAGAGCCACCTCAGTATTGATTCATGGCTATCACGTGCGTGGTGATCAAAGATTGAATAAAGCTCATCAATACCCGTCAAATGCTCAACTCTCTCGGCAAAGGCGGACCGCGCTAAGAAGGAAGCAGCTGCCCTCCACCTCCACCTCTTTCCACTTCCACTTCTCTTCTTGCTCGTGCCTTGTTCCCCAATTCCAGACAACAAGATCAAGCTTCTCAGTCGCATCAATGCGCCGCATAAGAAGAAGTCATGAGAACGGGATGCAGACAATGCTCCAAACGTCGCATCACATGCGATTTGCATAGTCCGGTGTGTCAGAAGTGTGCAACGAAAGGGCTGGAGTGTAGTGGGATTGGGTTTCAGTGGAGGTTTGTTGATGGGGTGGCGAAGCGCGCGAAACGGACTATCCAAGAAGACGATGGGGAGGGGAGGGTGAGGAAGCGTGTGCGAAAAGGTGAGGTTGGGAGGGGTTTGGGGGAGCGAAGGGTTGGAGGTGAAGAAGACTGTGCTGCTCTTCGCGAAGAAACCGGTGAGAGGGGATGTGAAGTCGAGCATACACTGGTTCAGTCTTCCAGCTTACCAGCAGACGAGACCGAGGACGCGACTTTAGTATACCAGGGGACTCCGGCCAGCAGAAGCGTGGCCTTGCCAGTGTTTGACTTGTCCTCTGCTTTGCTGCTCGAGCCACTGAAGCCTGGAATTTCTATGCTATTCAATCATTGTATGCGAAACATGACCAGAATGCCTCTCTTGTCATTTGCGCTAATGCCAACCAGTCTCAACTCACATTGCTCCTGCGATGGTGGCATTCGAAACCGATTCCAACGGCTATCGCCACCTCGTACTTCCCATTGCGATGCAAGATGAACTCGTACAAAATGCTGTGTGCGTTGTTTCGGCATTTCATCTTGGCCTTTCTCGATCTCAGGCTTCTGCGAGTGCCGAAGCAGGACGGTCAGCCATCATTAGACGGCTGCGAGCAAATGTCGCAGAAGGTGACGACGCACGAGTCTTCAATTATTCGACTTTGATGACTTTGCTGGTTCTTCTTGTCGGCGAGACTGTCACTGGATCAAGTGAATTCGCTTACTTGTTCAATATGTTGGCAGCGACTGTCAAGGATGGCCGGGCAATTGCTCGAGCGCCGCCTGAGACTCGGGAGTTTCTTGTGCAGCAAACTAGGATGTGAGTACCCACTTTCATCTATGCGAGTATAGCGTTCGGAATCTCAATGACTGTCACAGGTTCGAGCTCTTCACTCCAGCATTCATCGACTCTGAAGCCGGCATGAACATCCTCGGCGGCAACTTGGACTCCTACTTAGGCTGGTTACTGACCTGTCAAACTTCCAACCCGGCATGGACGCATCTAATCGCCATTTACAAGCACGCGATCGAACTGGCAAGGGACATCTATCTACTGGAAAAGGCAGTACCATCCAGCCGAGATCAAATCCAATCGAAAGTGACATGCGTGCGATCTCTTACAGAGCAGATCGGGATCGACACGCCTGGCATGCATTGTCTTGTGTGGGCATATTTCATTGCTGCTGCGAGTAGTACAATTCTGACTGATCGACATTACTTTGAAGTGAAACTTCGCGAGATATATCGGAAGACGAGGATGAATAATATACTGGCCGCTTTGGAAAGTCTGGAGCGTATCTGGCAAGATTTTCCTAACGGAGGCTGGAATTTGGGACTTGGGACTTTGAGACCGGTATTACCAATGTGAAAACCTGAATCACCAGCTGGAGATGTGGCTATCATCATTCACGTCCCAAGACTGCCTTTTTATAAGACACTTTTAATGAGACCACCGGCCTTCTTCGCCTTCAGGTCTTGGATCACATTGAACGCTGCTCGTGTACCTTCTTCAATCGCACCGTCGATGAAGCTTCGCCAGCCTACAGCCCAGTCAGAGCTCGCGAAGAAGATGTTCCCTTGTCTTGCTCTCATGTCGTCGAGACTCTCTGTTACCAGGCCAGGAGGAGAGAAGAACCAGGCGCCTTTCGCGAACTCATCATCAGCCCAGTTGTGGAAGACCTGAAACAACGTCAGTCAACTTTGCAATTACGAAAAATGACCGTGAACGTGCCACTCGCTCCAACTCCATCTTGGTCAGATCTTGCAAGGCTTGCTTGGTGACTTCGATATCTTTCTCGGGTGTCAATCGATTATGATCGGCACCAAATGCCACAACGTGAGTATTGCCATTCGGAGTGGTTCCGTCTCCTAGAGCATACAGGAGCTGGCCGTTAGGATAGTTCACTCCAGTCCATGATCGCAACTCGGAACCCCGGCATTCAGCATGGACCTTGACACACTTATTCACATGTCCAGTGCTAGCAGCAGCCCTCTTGCCTTGAGCCAAAGGTGGCGAGAACGCAATATCATTCAGCACATTCAGCGGTACAGCTGAGATCAGTCGGGCGGCGTGGTAAACATCTCCAGCGCGCGTGCGAACTTCTACCCTCTGCTGGTTCTGAGTGATGCTGGCGACTGGCGAGTTGAAAGCATAAGAGAGCCTTCCAGTATCCACTGCTTCTTGGAAGAATTTGATCGCGAAGCTGGACTGCCCGCCACGGAATTTGTACTTGACGAGATACTCGATGCAGTACTCGTACGAGAAATTGCAAAGCGCCCACCAATGCAGGAACTCGTAGAAACTTGTCTTCTCTGGCGTGCTGGCGCTGCAAAGCATGACAAAGCTGAGGACTGCTGTGTACTCGTCTGGAGAGAGCTGGTGCTTGATCTGGGCCATGCGGTCGGCAACGGAAAGTTTGTCGAATCTCTTCACTTCGGGATTGTGGAATTCGTCATGCGGGAATGGCATTATTGTCTTGCCGATGTTGCCGTCCACGTTGACGAACTTCTCTAATGCGGATTGCATGAGTTTGTCCTATACTGGAATCAGCAAATCTCTCGCTTCCTTGGTTTCTCGCAGGACACAACGCACCTCCTCTTCGTGGCTCATATTCCGGCTGCCGTCGGCAGATGTCATAGTGAAATGATTCACACCCTTTGTAAAGTCATACGACAATTCCAGCTCTCGACGCATATTGTAGCGGGAAATCTCGCGCCAGACGTGTGGCTGTCCCCAAGATACCCATGTCCCGCCCATTTCGAATGGGTATCCTTCGATGTTCGATGACCAGGAACGTCCGCCGATTCGATCTCGGCCTTCGAGGAGGAGGACTTTGAGGCCTAGAGTTTCAAAAAAGAAAGTCAGACAGACAGCTCTGCATGTGTGCACACAGAATCAAAAGATCAGAATTACCACTCAATGCAGCATCTCTCGCTGCTGTTAGGCCGCAGTAGCCTGCTCCGACTACGATCACATCATATTGCTCTTGTTTCTGGCCGATATTGCTTGGTGGTTGGATTACTCCGATACTGGGAACGCCTTGGACAAGACCGGACTTTTCAGTCCACTGGTATCCATCGCGAGAGGTCATGCTGGACTAGAAGATGTGCGAAATGATTGCCGCTCGAGAGAAGAAGACGTGTGGAGGTGTGAAATCTTGAACAGACATCTCCAGCCTCTGGACAAGAAAAAAGATACGACGACAGCGGGCTCCGCCCATCTCACCAATATTGCTCTTTTGGGACAATGATACTCCATTCATGCTATCAGCCAATAGCACGACGCAAAGAGAGTCGATTATCAAGGTTGTGCACGGCTATCGTTCGGCAGACAAGGATCAGCAGCTTTCCGACAGGGACTTTAGTGCGAAGTCAGTTTAAGCACTCACTCTTTTTGCCTAATTAGGCTTAGCTGCAGACCAGATTCGCTTTGCCGGCGCAGGCCTCAATGCGGAGAACGTACCTATCGATGGCTTACGACTCTTGAGATAAACGATCAACAGGTTGGTAGCTTTGTTGGCGATGAGACGTGATAAGATGCCACGAGAGGAGAAGCTGGGTCGGAGCTATAAGCTCGAGGACACCCACCAGGAGGCAGGACTCGTCTTTGGCTTTTCGATCTTGAGGATTGGCATACTGGATTGAATCAATTATACTTACCTATCAAACACTACCTGTTGCCCCACCGAGCTATAGCACAGACCCAACAGCCCCGTCTGGCACGCGCACACGACACCATGACGACGGACGTGCTCAAGGGTAGGGCGACAGCCAGACTTCCTCTCTGTGAAATACATGAGGTAACACCGTACCAGAAAAGCCGCCGAGCGAAGGACACTCCACCGAAGACAAGAGCTGGCCTCAATTGGAAATAGCATACTCAATTCAAGATGGCCAGATGCAAGAAGTTCTCCAAGACGCCCACATCCAACGCAAAAACCTCGGTCCCCTAACAATGGTCGCCGTAGGCTTCAACATCTGCAACAGCTGGGTCGCCATCGCTTCTAGTCTCGCCATTGCAGTCTCAGCCGGAGGACCAGTCAATATCATCTACGGCACATTTTTCGCTTTGTTCTTCTACGCTTGTGTGGCAGTGTCTTTGGCTGAACTGGCTTCGGTTTATCCTACTGCTGGTGGTCAGTATCATTTTGCGTCCATTGTAGCGCCAAAGAAGTGGGCAAGAGGGATGTCGTATGTTTGCGGGATTGTGGCCACGGCTTCGTGGGTGGCGCTGACTGCTTCCGCGACGTTACTGGGGGCGCAGATGATTTTGGCGTTGCCGGCGTTTTATGTTGAGGGGTTTGCCCCGGAGGGGTGGCATTATTTTTTGGTGAGTTCTTTGGGTTTGAAGGATGTATAAGAGAAGAGTGGTTGGTCGAGATGATTGTTGTTGGAGTGACACCTGTCGTGGGCGGTCGAATATTCTGTTGCTAACAAATCCACAGGTCTATCAAGCCATCAACTTCATACTGCTTCTTTACAACATGTTCGTTATGCGGTTCACACCACGGGTTCATGATATCGGATGTAAGTGCAACGATCCCATGTTTCGACGTATGATCGCACTAATAAATTTTCCGTATACAGTCTACCTCACTCTGTCCGCCTTCGTCGCAGTCTCCATTGCCGTGCTCGCTGTCTCGGACAAGCAAAGCTCTGAATATGTATGGGCAACATTTGAGAACAACACCGGCTGGCCTTCTGCTATCGCCTTCCTCACCGGCTTATCTACGCCGTGCTTCATGTATGCTGGCATTGATGCCACGCTGCATTTGGCTGAGACGTGCACCAACCCACGGAGTGCCGTGCCTCGCGCGCTGATGGTCACGGTTACCATTGGCTTTATAACGGGATTCGTGTTCTCTGTGGCAATGTGTTACGGTATCAGTGATCTGGAAGACTTGGTCAATACTACGTACGTATTTGCTCCCTCACTTACACACATATTCCACTTTCGCTAGTTCCTGACCATGCTGAACGTTTGATTACAGAATGCCAATCTACACACTCTGGCGACAAGCCCTCCGCTCATCCGCCGCAGCGGCAATCTTCCTCGTCGCCTTGATTCTGATCCTCTTCTTCGTTGTCACCGCCATGCAACAAACCACATCCCGGCTCGTCCATGCCTTCGGTCGCGACAACGGTCTACTATTCTCCTCCCACCTCGGACAAATTTCACCCTCACTCCAAGTCCCCATCTACGCCCTCCTTTGCAACGCGGTCTGTGTCTTCGCCGCAGGATGCATCTACTTGGGCTCACCTACAGCTTTCACGTCGCTGATAAACACGAGTATTATCCTGCAAATGCTATCATTTGGGATACCTTGTGCTTTGCTAATGTGGAGAGGAAGGAGTGAAGAGGTCTTGCCGAGGAAGAGACAATTCTGGGTTCCTGGAGTGGTGGGTTGGATTGCGAATGCGGGGACTGTATTAGGGGCGGTGTTTGAATTGGTATTCTTCTGTTTTCCTGGTGCGGTGCCGGTCACGGGGACGACGATGAGTGAGTACTTCCCATGTGGCTCTGCTGCTTTGATCATGAGTGGATGCTGACTGTCGGGATTCTAGATTATGCGGCAGTTGTGCTTGCAGTTATTGCAGTCATCGCTACTGTGAACTGGTTTGCACATGCGAGGAAGCATTACAACGGGCCAAGAATTGTGATGGATTAGGTTGTGGTCATAAAACACAAGTTCAGAGTCTGGATCTGACATTGTAACAACGAGAATATAATGCTCGGTCTCCATCCGTCCAGCCGCAACAGCCCACTGCACAATTGACCTAAACTTGAACTCCAGCTTATGAAGAAACAAACATCCTGCCTTAACCGTCACAAGGAACAACGCACAAGCAAGCATCACCCTATCCCACATCGTTAGCAAGCCTGCCATACACAGAAATTTCCTCTGTTCTACTGGCAGGAGTAAACTTGGGATATTCCATCACTTACAAAATCTGGTGGAGGAAAAGGACCAGCAGCCCAAGATCCTGCTTTCTATTCACATCACATGCCACGTTAGCACGTCGTCCGTCTCGATGTAGAGAGTAAAATGGCTGGTAGATAATGTTGCAACGAGATCTGTGGATGGGAAGAGGGAGATACATACATCGCAGACCATGTATCCAGTGTCACACCAGTCGGATTCGCAGCAGCCGATAGGAGCGTCGAAGTGGACGCATTGCTAGGGGGAACAAAAATCAGTAGCTGCTTTTTATTCCCTTGAAAGCGAGGATGAAGTGATCAGGGGGTTTCGTTCCAAGGCGCTGGAGAGGAAAGGCGAGGGAGACAAAATTTACCGGCATCGGTCCCAGCAAGCCCTATTCACCACGTCAGTCAGAAAAGCAATCTTGTCAAAAGCTTCCGGTTAAGAAGAAGGAGGACTTAAAAAGAACCTACTTTGCATTCCGACTTGGTGTAGACGCAATCCCTCTCGTTCAGGATATTGCCCAGGCGTTCGTAAGCGTCTCCTCGCTCGATGATATGAGCATCGAATTTTGGGGAGGGAGAGGCAAACGCCATGCCCGCAAGGAGGGAAGTGATAGCCAAAAACTTCATTTTGGACGAGATACGGTGTCGGTGCTGTTGTGGAGAGGAAGTGAAAGGTGATTGTTGGATGATGTCTCTGCATTTGTGCCGTCGAACAACTAAATATTTATTGTCATGCAGCGCTGCACTGCTCGCTGTCGATGAGGGAGAGTCTCGCCACGTGCGAACGGTCTCGTGGCTCTGGTATCTGGTGCCATGGCCGCAATGAGCTGAGATCTCCCGGTGACATGTTCATTTCGCATCCAGTTGCCCGTATTGCTTCGTATGGCTTCGACGGTGCATTCAAACGAGATGTCAGTTCGTATTTCTTCGTTGGTATCTGCGTAATGTTGTTCTCAGTACACTCAGTATGGCACTATCGCGAGTGCTAAGAGATACGCCGTGAGTAGTAATGCATAGCAGCTGTGGCGGTTTCATGGACCACTATCGGCATCAAATCGATCACAAGACCTTCGTTAGTGTAAGTGCAATGCTTTGATGATACTTCATTTGGAGAGGAATGTACGTACCGATAAGTGGCGCGGAGTCCGCGCACTTCACGGCCGTGGCGTGGTTGGAAGTCCCTGCAAATCTGGGGAATATGTTCGTGAAGTTCTATCAAGCTTGCGTCTAGCGGATCAAGCTTCATTTAATCAACCACACGTGAGCTCCGTGGTTGGAATGCTCCCCCGGGAAACCACATGAGATTCCGGAGTTCTTGCAAAGCTAAGCAATCAACAGCTTGATGTGTTGGAGTGAGCAGAAGTCGGAAGGCCTAGAACTGGCGACCTCTCGCCATCACATCGGTTCCCGACTTCATTCTGTCTACCATGTCGAGACTTGGGCGATGCATTGTGTTATACTACCCAATCTGGGCCCATCTATCTGTAGGGGTCTCGTGAGTAACGTCTCATGCCACACAGCCCAATCCCCATGCGGAGAGAAAACTCACGCTGGGCTCGAAGCATCGATGCTGCAACGCCACAATAGCTGAGTGGACCGAAAGTGGACTCGTATAGCGCCCCGGTTCAATTCGCGGAACTTCAGCACCGGGCTCAACTTTGCACTATCGACCAAGATGCCGCCGCTGTCGATGCTACTCAAGCGAAATTGGAGTCAACCCAAGTCGTTGCTATTCTGGTTGCCGTATTATGGTGTCTGAGAACCCAGCACTGACTTTGCCGGCCGCACAGGATCAAGGGAAAACATCGTGATACGGCAGATACCCGTTAAACCAGGTAGCCGGAGCAAAGCAATCAGAACACTTCGTGAGCGAGAGCCCGAGGACCGTCATATATATCAGCTCAAAACCGCAGATGTACGAAATGCCATCCATCAGCTCCCTACAGATCCTTCGCATACTCGACATCTTGTTTCCTTCAACCCATCCGCACGATGAAATTTACCCTCGCGACAGCCACCTTCTTGGTGTCCCTCTTCGGGCAACAGTACGTGCAATCAGCCACTCCACCGACTCTCCGACAAAACTGACCCAACTTCTATCCCATCAGAGCCATAGCAGGCTACAACTGCAAATGTCAAGACCCCAGCGGAACAGGTCCCCAATGGTACCGGTATGCCAGAGATCAGGTTTGATCAAGTGCACAGAATCCCATGATCTAACTTGGAGTCAGAGCATCATTCTTCTGCTGTCTAGGCGACGCCGGGACAGTCAATTCCTGCTGGAACTCGCAGTTCCCTGGTCCAAACCATCAGGTACGTTTTGTGTTCCACTTTGCTAGACGGACTTGTGCTTCGGAAGAAGTGTCTAAGCTAATGCAATCGGAATGATTCTAGTGTACTGGAGGTGGCGACAATTGCATCGACTCTGGCGCTTTCAATCAATGCTGTATTGATCACGGCGCGCCTGGAGCTTTTTGCTGGGAGTAGACTTGGACGTTGTTGCTGGAAACAGAAGGTTCTCAGTGAGCCTGGCATGAGACGTGGTTCCTTGTTCTTCTTTCTTTTGATCATCTCTTCTGATGGGTCGTATGATGTTGGAAAGTTGTTGCAGGACGGTGTTGGTAGAAGTGTGAGTGTTCCGTACAGAGACTGCGTGTCATTCGGAAGAATGCCAGCTGCTCGTCCAATTTAAACCACTTCACAACACAGCATCCGATCCCGAAGTCAAAGAACTCTTTTCAGCATCCACAACTGCCCCTCTCTTCCTGAAAAACGCCATTCCAGCTTCATCACGATCCAGCTTCAGATGTATTTTGCGTGCCGCAGCATCCATATCATCCACATGTTGCGAGCTGGCATTGAACCATTCCTGTTGTCGAGATTCGTCTGTTCCACCTGGGCCGTAGAACATGAAGGGCAAGGGCGAAGTCTTCCATGTTCGAACATCTTCGGGGAGGGCGCGAGCGCTGCTTAGTACTCCTCCATAGAAGACGAGGGTGAAGATGGTGACGATTGCAGGAAGAATCAGCCAGAGCCAGCGTATGCGAGCGCAAGTTTTCGTAGCCCAGGCTTGTCCGAACGTTGGCAGGTAAAGACCGGCGGCATCGACATAATCATCATTCATTTCCTCCGTGGCATTGGGCTTGATTCCATTCAGACGAACATGCGTCGTTCTCCAAGGTGATCCAGGATTAGTCCTCATGTAGTTAGTTAAGGACAAAGTCATGTTGTCAAAAAGCATTCCTGTACGTTCCAAACTAAAATCGCCATGGTTCCAGATGGACTCCAGTAGCTGGGAGCCGTTCATAGCAATCATAGCTCTTTGGTCCCCGGAAGATTCCAAGCCTGAGAGGCTGCCCGAGTGCTGCCCTTGCAACCAGGCGTAGAGGTACCTTGTGAAGTCGTAATCGACGACATAAACACAACCCCGTTCTATGAAGCCTCGTTCTGGGGAAGCTTTATCCTTGAGGATATCCCAAGAGTTGCGCGTGTCACCCTGTCTCCTGGAGGTGAAGTTGTAAGGTAGCCACACACCCTCAATGTCCAGGTCGTAACTGCGATTGCGCAAAAGCACACGATCATCTTCGTTGATACACGACAAGTTCAAAGCCGCCTGCACATAAGCGTGTTCATCAAACCAACGACCGTCAGAGGACTTCAGTGCTTCGGTCTCTAGGCCAACTAGTTGCTCATGCAGTCGTCCGTTGATAACGGTCGAATTGTATGTTCTTAGACAGGGAGATATCGAGCACTTTGCAGCTCCGTACCCCTGGCAACGCCATGTATTATCATTTGTTGTATCCGTGCATTCTTCTGGAGCCTTGCCAGTGTTGCGATCCCAAGGTTTTTCAGCAAGACCGATCAGTACATAATACGAGTCATCTATAACGAAATTAGTGGCTACGTCCTTTCGCAAGAATGCTGAGTCGGGTCTTCCTGATCGATCGACTCTATCCAAGCTTGTGTAGTTCACCTGCAAAGTCATATTGATGTATGGAGTGGCGACACCGCCGACGTAAAAGTCGGTACCTTCGTGAACAATACCGAGAGAGGTAATTGTTTTGTTGGATGTTGCTCCATAAGGAGCATACTCCTCGATCGTTTCAGTCTGAACATTTGAGGAAAGATCCTCGCAAATGCTACAAAAGCCCACGGTAGTGTATGGTGCAAAAGTACAGTTGCCGGTACTGCAAGAACTGGGCACGGCACGTGGCGAGTAGAGCCCGGCGAGGAACGAAGCTTGCTCTTGGAAGGAAAGGAATCCATCATCGATCCAGACGCCCGGGTCGACCTGCTCTAAGACCACGATTTGCCCAACGTATGCTGAAGCCCGAGTGATAACGGCCTCGGCTTCAAGATCCAGCACAGCGCATGTCTCGTACTGCAGGACCTGTTGAGTGAATGGACCAACCAGCAAAGCTACTATAGCCAGCATGCAGCCCAGCCATTGCCATGTTACCGGAAGAGCGAGCCTGTACAACAGTCCAAATGCGCCCATTGGTCCGCGAGATGCATTGTCATGCAAAACCATATCGTGTAAAGGCTTTGGACTACCGTTGAACCAGTGCCATTTCGACTGCGCAATGCCTTGTGACAGCAGAAAGGTAGCAGCTAGTCTCAGAATGACCGAATACAACGATAAAAGGGCACCAATCGTGATCGAGTACCGCCATTCCGGTATCGGATTGTCTTGATAGGGATATAGTGTTGCGAACGAGGCGACCAACGAGGCCAGCAACAGTACTATGGCCAAGGCCTCTTGCCACCAGGTAGATATCGGTCGGAAGGATCGTCGACGCTTGTCAGTGTTGCCGGGTGACTGAGGGAATCCATGAAGTGTTCTGGGTGCTACGAGAGCCTCCTTGTCGGCAGTAACCAGGCGTTGTTCGTTACGGACGGCGTCTTCGCTGCCCTCATCGGAAAGTAGACTCGTCTGGGCCTCAGTCGGAGCAGGTTCCTCACTACTCGGAGATCCTATCGGCTTCCTGGGAACAGTGTGAGACGTAGACATGGCTACGGAGTGAGCAGCGTCCGTAATGAGGAGTTCGCAGAACGACGGGGACGAGGCTGAAGGCGATCTTTAACATTGGAGTGCTGGCCTCGGTGACCTGCAAGCCCGCTTGGCAGGCGGAGGCATGGTATCCGACTGCGACTGATTGAGCGAATGATCGCAGTATACACACATGCATGGCGACTTGCAATAAGGCTGAGGCGCCTTGGCATGATTGGCTGGACCTGTCTGATCGGTCGACGGAACTTCCAATGTGAAGCCCATCTTCGGTCGAGTGAATGGCATGCAGCTGCCAGCATGGTGCTTCCTCCATCAAGTGTCTCGTGAAATGCATCTGTAGTCATCAGCACCTGCAAAGCATGTCTGTTTGTGTTGTCAAAATGTTCTCCATCCCACCTCCTCGACCCTCAGCCTTGCGTGGCTTAAAGCCACCTGCACCTTCCAACCTATCAACCCCAACCTCAAAACCATCGTAACGCACCTTCTCATCTTCCCCAACTCAGCTAGTCAAATGCTGACATAACATATGATCACCAGCACGGCAACTTCCAAGCTTTAAAGTTAAAACTCTCGACACCAAGTACCGATTGGGACACTTAGCGCCGTGATGCTGTCGCTCGAAGCACAGAAGGATGAACTGAGTTGAGCAAGTACAGTAGCAGCAGTTAGCCCTACTGCGGTAGTCTGTAGATGAGATGTTAAAGTCTCCGAGCCGCCGCGGCTGAGAGTCCGGTGCTTCTTTTTGCTGTCTGGTTTCTGCTGAGGTCTTGTTGCTGGGAGGAGCATTGAAGGTGAAGCCGGAATTTGCGACTGCGACCGCGAGCGCCATATCGCGATCTTGAGAGCGGAAAGAAGGTGAAGAGCGGGGTCCAAACGCAGGAGACTGCCAGGAAAGAGCATTGGGAAAGAGCGCGCCGCGTCGACCTCGACCCTCACGATGCGCCAACCATGCGCATCCCACCTCCTCCTCCTCACCACAACCTTCACCCTCACAACCCCAACCCTCGCCCAACTCCTCTCCGGCGCCCCCGGAAACTCCCCCTCAGGCTCAAACGGCAACACCCTCTCCAACCAACTCTGCAACAAAACCTTCTCCCTCGCCAACAGCACCGGCTTCTACCCTTTCTCACCCTACGTAACAGACGCCAACATCCCTCTAACCTGGGCCGGCACAGTCTTCCAATCCAACACCAGCACCTCCCTCTCCTCCTCCCCCCGCGTCGAATTATCCCTCTGGTTCAACACCGGAAACCAAAACTATTCCGACTCCAACGCCTTGGGCTATGATGCATGCTACCTCTTCCCGGGTGGTTTAGCCCTCACAGCCGCTTTCAAAGGACAAAATGATACCGGGGATTGTATCGCGACGATGGATGAGACTTGTGTTGGGGAGATGATCGACTTGACGAATCTGTATTCCGCTCGAATTACAGGCCTGCCCACAGGATTAAATTCTTCTTCCTTGCCGAATGTATGCAATCAACTCGCTCGCGATCTGACACAGAATTTTCCCGAGAGTTGTAAACCATTCTTCAACTCAACTGGCGCGGCTCCATACACCATTTTTGGAGGGACACCTGCTCTGGGAGGACCATTAACAGGAGAAGATTCTCTCGTTCAAGAATCGAGTTGTACACTGGAAGATGATGTGAACGGGGCAAATGGAGGCAATTATAGCCTGATGTGGACGCAATTTGGAGAGAACACGCTGTTCAATTACTTTGCGGCGAATTATTTGGTGGTACCGTTGATCACGGCTTTCATGCCGATTGCGAATGAGGACCGGCCGGTGACGTTGGGGTCGTCCAAGGCATTCATGTCGTGCGGGAGAGCGAAGAATTTGACTGAGGGGAGCTTGCCTATACCAGATGCGGCGGAAGCAGCAGCCTCGATAGGTATACCTGTGGGAGGGAACACGACCGGGAATGGTGAAGCACCTGCGGCGGGCAATGCCACAGGAGCAGCGAGTGATGCAAGTGGGGATGATGAGGGCATCAGTGGAGGCGCGATTGCGGGCATCGTGATCGGTGTTGTCCTTGGTCTTGCTCTGATTGGGGCGGCATTGTGGTTCTTCGTGATCAGAAAGAAGCGGAGAAGCCATTCCGGTATGGCGGAACTGAACGGCCATGAAGAAAGCAAGAGCAAAGACGCGCGGCAGTATTCTGTCGAGGCGCCAAACGAACATGCGGTCTCAGAGATGGGAGGCGCGTATCCTGAACATGGGCAAACGGGATGGAACCAGTCGCAAGCGGTCGAGTTGCCAACGTATCGTAATCCTGCAGAGCTTGACGGCAAGTAGCTTACGTATAGCGCTACGCATTCTTGCATGTTTGTCGTACCGATCGTGGTAGTCAATGTCTGGAAGGGTATGACGTGCTGCGATATTCGATCTGTTGAACTGTGTAAGCGTCTCAGCAACATTAGTATACTCCTCACAAGCAGTATTGGAAGCATGTGTTGTTCTCTTGATACCAAGATATTACTGAGACACGATGTCATCGGTGCCGGTGTTGGGTTGTGCCTGAGGTTAATCGAAGGACTGGACGCCTGATCGGTGGCTGTGACTGGAAACATGCAGCGCGCAAACTTCCAAGTTTGCGACACCACAACATCGTCATTGTAAAATTTGTACAACGCATCACGATGGATCGTGTGGCGACGCGAAGCATGATTTGCGAGATCTGGTCTCACAGCCACGCGCCACCACTGCGCCCACCAGCCGCCCTGGCATTTGATTTGAGGCGAAACCCAAACCCTCCCAAACACATCCGAGATCGATATGACGGAAGATCCAGAAGATTGCGCGAGCGCTTGCTACACGAGGCCGTATTCACGGAGATGCTCGAGAGTGCCATCGAGGAGATATCACAGGCTGCTGAGAAATTGTGCTCTGAGTCCGATGTTCTAGCAGGCGGTGCTCAAGCTGTAGCGACAAGCAATATCCAAGTCACTAGTCATGCCATTTCGCATGCCGAGAGGAGGCTTTCGGGAGTTGTGCCTGCCGATTCATCGACAATCGGACGCACGACCGGGCCGGAGTGTTCTGACAGCGGCAGATTCGGAGTGCCTGAGCTGATGGACAGGAGAGGCTCACGCACCGAACACGCTTGCTGTTGTCAGCCCGATGTATTATGCAATGGAAACCATCAGTGCAAGGAAGATCCTCTGACGGAGTCTGGGGAAGATGAGCCAGAAGAGTCTTTCGCGAATGGGCCGAAGTCTGACCCAGTTCTGCGCATCAGCTGTTTTTGCGAACGCGGTCGGCACAGGTCCGTGGCTTTTGCGGAAGAAGTGGGCATGCGGCTCGCGAGGATGCATCAGGTAGGAGGGGTGGCAGCAGCAGGAAGCGGGAGAGTGCAAATGGAGGTGAGCGTCCAGCACAGAGACGTGGCCTTGACCGCCCGATCGCGAACATCGGGCCGTGTCGGGCGCGGTCAGAGTCGTGTTGTCGGTGCGTCGATGATTGCCGATCAGGAAGAGTCGTGAGATGTATAAGAGCGAGTCTGGGGTAGCAGAGTCGAACACAGCTGAAACCCAGCACCTGAGCCAATCTCGGTTCTGGAGCAGCCTATGGGCACTGTGAGACCCGACAGTTCTGAATGACCAAGGCACGCATGCCCGTTTGCGGCGGGAGAGGGAGTGTGCAATATAGTTGAGGGATTCTTTCTGGAGAAGGGTGTGTGATGCAAGTGCGGGAGTGAAGCCTGCTCCCCCTGCCGCTGGCTGCTCTGCTTGTTTGGCCCTGCAAACTGCCAGGCACGCAACGTTGCAGGCGCGGTTGGGCAGTTGGCAATATGCGATGGTTTGAATGCGATGCGTCGTGTCGCGCGGCGGAGTGGTGGCCGCAGATTAGCCTGGGTGATGCGGCCCAGCAGCGCGTCGTCCGGTCCTGTCGATCATCAAGTGCCATTCAGCCCATTTCGTGCGTGCCGGCACCGCGAGGAAGGCTCGCAGGCACCATCCCTTCGGTTGCGCGCTTCCCCGTGGCGGCGTCTAAGGAAGCAGAGTCGGGGAGCAAACAGCAGCGCAAAGCTAAACGCGGATGGCCCGAGATTGGGTTCGTCCCATGCGGCGGGCGGGCTGCGGAGGAGGGAGTGGGAGTGGAGAAGCTTCCGGGGTTTGGCTCGATTCCTCGGTTTCGTGCACACCTCATCTCCTCCGCCAGCAGTTTGGGGGCGACGATGAGATGAGACCAGCACGGAGAAGCTCGCCATGGCGATCGCGTCGCATTTGGCGGCTTGGCGGGAGACGTAGCAGCAATCAGGCCATGCGGCTGCGCCAAGGGGTGTGTTCTACAGTACGTGCGGAGCAGCGAGTGAAGGATGGAGTTGCACCACAAACCCAGCATCGCAGCATCGCAGCACCGCAGCACCGCAGCACCGCAGCGCAGTGTACGAGATACACAGACGGGGGAATGCGGGTGTGTTGCTAGCTGCAGGGGTGCGGTGTGCGCTATAGCGCTCCCATTTGTTCGAGAAGGGCGCGCATCGCGGATCAGCACAGGGCAGCATCTGGCGGTGAGATGCGCTGTCTCGTTGCCCAAAGCCGGCAGCCCACGGAAATTCTCACAGTCTGCCACTGCGACTCGTCTTTCGTAAACAGCCGGGGGAGGCGATCCTACTGGCCAGCGCCACCCACCGACACGCGACGTGGTCGACACTCGTCCCGTCTGCCGCGCTGTGAGCCCCAAACCTAACTAACGGCCGCGCCTCGCTCCACATTCTGCCCATCCCGGATGCACGTCTCTGTCAAACGCACGCGGCGGGTTTTGCGACGACCAGGTACTTAATCAAACGCCTTCCTCGCCCATCCCTTGGAACTGCTCTCCTTCCGTCCTCACTCTACCACATCCACTCCTGCTGCCAACCATTGCGCACTGTGCCCGTCGAGATACATATATCCAATCCTGCTGCCTACTGTCCATCCAGTCCAGCCCACTCTTCTCCAACATACCAAGTCTCGCAGCTTTCAAGACGTCTCCATCAACCATACCCTCCACCAAGAAAATGACCGACATGATGCCCGAACCAGCCTCGCGCACCACCATCCCACGCAACGACAGCTTCTCCGTCGAAGACTTCACCAACGCCTTCAAGGCCTCGGCCAGCAAATCCAAGACCGGTGACCGATCATTCCGCGTCGCCGACTCCAACGTACCCACTGTCCCACCACCATCAAGAAGCTCATCAAGACCTGCTTCAGTCTACGGCGACCGGCGGAGATGATCCAAGCATGCAACGTCGATATCATGCTCAAGCAGGTCTTGACATGACAAGACGACAATGCATCGCCTCTTCACACACCAACGACCCTCAACGACATTTGCCACACCAAAATCTTGTATTTACCTGGAAAAACTTATTCTTGCTTTCGCGAACCCCACCCAGCAGGCGATTTTCTTTTGGAAGCATTGGATTGCTCGATACCACCTTTTGTAAACGAAGCGGCGACTTCGCACTATTTTGTTTTATTGGACTTGAACTGTGGAAAACTGGCGAGAGTGGAAACACAGGCGTTAAGGAAAATGGAAAGCTCTACTACTACCAAGAGCCGCAGCGGCTGGGAGCTGTACATAATAATGATTGATTGAATCGAATACTGTATCTGGTATTGCGACACTCTTTACTATCGCATTTGGCATTACTGGGGACAACGCTTGCCGCACACGAAGCTGAAAAGCGACGCCATTGCGGACCCCAGTGTCGTCGCCGATGCATGCACGCGACACTGCTACTGCAAATACCTGGTAGACAGTACGTCAAAGAAACTCTTGCTCTTCAATGAGCGCCATCACACATATCGCGAAGTTCCTACCCCACATATGCACAGTTCTCACTCGGTCTTTCCCCAACTACAACTGGACCCCTCCAGCCTTCCTTCCGTTTTTCGATCTCTGACATCTCCCGCAAACCCCACAACGACATCACACCTACCAACCCACCATCCGCCATTTCAAGTTGACTTCACAAATGTCTCTCTCTTCAAACCATCTCCCTCACATCCCGCTCCTTATTCTCCCGAACACCGCTTCCCCAAAAACCAGTATACCCAATATCCCCAAACCCATGGTCCACAGCATCAAAGCGGTTCGCTTATCCTATGCACTGTCGATCAGTATCGATAACAACGGTCGTACGTACCAAAGAGTATTCTGAAACGCGCCAAAGGACAAAGGAAACTGTTTGAACCGATCGACTGCAAAACATAGACAAAAGAAAATGGCGCATATGGTTTTTGGGATACTGGTACCACGGACGTGCAAGTTCGGATGGCAGGTAAAACGGCTGTACATTGCAGACGACCGTGTTTGCGAGAATGCGATGCATGAGATGCCATGAGGGTGTTTTGTTGCGATTGGTGTCTACACACCGACTGATGATCGAAGATTGTAGGAGGAAGGTGAGGAAGTATGTGCATGCATGTAATCATGCAAGTCTCTCATCCGATGTTCTTTGCTGATATTGCGCAATCTTGCATGCTGACGAAGACTAATGCAGCAAAAAGATCTTACGCATACGCATACGCAGAAGCAGAGCAGAGCAGAATAGACGTCTCTTCGATTCTGATCGATCCAGATTGCCAACGTCTCACACCAAAGACAGAAACGGAAGAAGAAAAGATACAGGTATTCGGTCCATCGACTTCTACTTTCGACTCCGATCCCCAGACTTCAACGTTCAAACATCCATGTTTGGCACAAACAGCCAAACAGGCTCGGAGAGGAGACAAGACGTTATGGCTGTCTCAAATCCTGTCTCCCCAGAGCAACAAAATGCACGTCAACGTAGCAAGAAAACGCCAATCTACACCAAGACCAGAATCGTTCAAGCCGAGACGCCTCTGTCGCTACGTACATCCTAGGCTCTATCGAACAATAACCACCGGATTCCGGGGTCTAATATACAACTCTCTGATTTTTGCCGTTTCTTCTGCGTTCAGAGTATCTCTTGCCTTCTATAATTAGCAAACGGACCGTGCTTGCTACTAACAGCATAGCTCTTCCACATTACACCAGTACTAGAAAGTCATTAGTAATCGCAACTCGCAGGCTTATACTTATGCTTAAAACAGACCTAGAAGCGATGAATGCGAAGCCAATCCATGCAAGGACCACAGTCACAATTGCGGTGCCGCTTTCTCGATACTCCGAATTTGGCCAAGCTGCAAGCTGCTCGTCCACTGCTTGTTGATCCGGTCCCTTGATCTCGACCTCACCTGTAGCAACAATAATCGAAGCCGCGAGCGCTGCCGCGAATTGTGCTAAACTTCCTGCCAAGCTGCTGCACTTCCAGCCCAAAGACATGACTTTGGACTCTCTTCGCTCCGGCCACCACAGATCGAACAGCAAAGCCATACCGAACAAGAACCCCAAAATACCACCTAGCACGGTCAACATCACACGCACGGCGATGATTTGTCCCACATCCACGTCGAGAGTTGGATCTTGCTCGATGACATCGTCGCGTCGATCGATGTATTTGTTGGCGGCGGCGTTCGAGATTCCGGAGACTGCAGCGAGCAGTAAGGTGCTCGTTTGATATAGGACAAATTTCGTTCGTCGGAGGTAGTAGGTCTTGCCCCACATGTAAGAGGCTTTGAATTTGTTCCATTGGATTTCGGAGAGGTGAAGACCGGTTACCAAGGGAGCCATCGCGTGCTTCGAATGGAAATGCGCCAAGGTCGACAGGTAAGGAAAACAACAAAAAAAGTTTGAGATAGAAGGTGGTTTGGCTTACGAGACTTTGCTGCTGAAAGACCATGTTGCGATTTTATAACATAAGCGTAGCGGCAGCGGCAGTACATGGAAAAGCTCGCTCCCATCAACCGTGACGCTCGTGTTGTTATGCTGCACTGCCGGCACATATTGCGTCCGTTAGTCCAGGGCGATGCATCGCAATGCGAATGGCCCTCTGATACCTTCGAGGCGGAAGTCCGCAGGTAGGTAGGAAGTCGCAGGGATCTGAATGCTAATAACATATCCGACTAGCTATACGAGGTAATACGAGGTAGGAGAAGTCCGGACTGTTCGCAGCCTCTATGACCAATCGAATCGGACTATGCATTTTTTTTTTGACCGGTTCATGCGAGTAGAGCGATGAGTGAAAGGGCTTCCGGCTCCGCCGACTGTCGTGCATAAATTCCCTAAGCATACTGTAGCCTTGTCCTCGAATTCACAAATTTGTAAGCGCTGCTTGGTTTATACTCCGGGGAACGCAAAGTCGCTTTTGAAGCCTCCTTCACGTAAGCAGAACAATTAGTAAGATGGAAACTGCTACATATAGGCTGGTACTCGACGACGAGACCAACTCTACAATCATCAGCTACAATCAACAGTTACAATCAAACTGCAACCAGCTACTCAAGTCACCAACATGTCTTCACCCCAAATCATTTTCGGTTCCCACCAGGTCGGCGAGGCTTCCAACGAGGAACTCCAGCGATATGTCGACATCCTCAAGAAGAACAACATCAAGACCATCGACACCGCCAAAACCTACGGGGACAGCGAGAAGCGTCTGGGAGACATCGAAGCCTCCAAGTCATTTGTGATCGACACCAAATCACCTTCCATCATTCCAAAAGCGCTATCCCGAGACAACCTCGCCGCCGGCATCGATGAATCTCTCGCTCTCCTCAAAACGAAAAAAGTAGACGTCTACTATCTACACACACCGGATGACCAGACACCGATCGAAGAAACAGTAGACACGATTCAAGAACTATACCGTCAAGGCAAATTCGAGCGTTTCGGCCTATCCAACTACCTCCCCTCCGACGTCCGCAAAATCCACGCCTACGCCAAATCTACAGGCGGCATCGTTCCCACCGTCTACCAAGGCAACTACAACGCATTCGCTCGTTCAATCGAGCAAGATCTCTTCCCCGTCCTCCGCGAGCTCGGATTTTCCTTCCACGCATACTCTCCCATCGCCGGTGGGCTCTTTGCCAAAGACCCCGAAAAACTCGCGACGTCCACCGAAGCCGGGCGCTTCGATGTCTCGAACATGAGTGGACATGTATACAATGCATTGTATAACAAACCGTCCGTAGTGGAAGCTCTCAGGCAAGTGGCAGGCTATCGCGAAAGATATCGGGGACACGAGCATCGGGCTGGCGTATCGTTGGATTCTCTTCCACTCTAAGCTGGATGCGCAGAAGGGCGATGCTGTGATTGTTGGCGCGAGTCGACCAGCTCAACTTGAGCAGACGCTGGAGCTTTTGAACGGGAGTAAACCATTGGAGCAGGGAGTGGTGGAGAAAATTGACGTGTTGTGGAAATTAGTTGCGGCGGATGCGCCGGTCGATAATTATAATTCGTGGGCGAAGGAGAATCTTACCCCGGAAGCTCTCGCTGCAGTGTTTAATAAGTAGTTTTTTCGAACGATCTCTCACTTTGGTGTTAGAGGTACATAGCAGATAGAATCTTGGTTAATGATATAGCTGGAATAGCGACTGTGCCAATCTACGAGCTCAATTCCGTCGTCGGAGAAGGCATGGCACCTTCCGCGAGTACCCCACGCCCTCTGGTAGGATCAGTAAGTAGCAGCGAGCCATTCGATCATAGCGTATAGATACCTATTATCGGCGCTTATGTATTCAATGGCTGTGAAAGAGTTGGAGGTCGTTCTAAATCTATCGAATGCGTTCAAGCTTCGGTGCGTTGATAGCATAAAACTCACTCAGCTGCTATGACCGCCCGTCGCTGCGTTCTACAGCCGCACTTCCCCGTCCCATGATGGGGACCTTCATTGCTGTCTCAACCTTCCTTCCTTTCCTAATAGATGTCAACTCAAACGCCGCAAGAGAAGCGACGATCTATTCCAAAAGCGTTCAGGAAGAAAAAAGCCGTTTCGGTGTGTCTTGAACTCTGTATACATAGATCGGAGAAAAAGCTGTAATCAACTAGGAAGCGGGAGAGAAAAGGCGGGTGACGTTGTCGGTCTGAGGAAACAGCGTGCTGGTTGATGTCTTGAACCTTCATCTATGTTATGCAAAGAAAACTTTGCATGAAAAGAATATATATATCTCAGAATAAAAAGTGGCTGCGGGTTGTCTTGAACGCTATGCACAGACGATAGACTTTTCTGTGGTCGGGGAGGAAGGGCGATAAGCATTCTTGTTGCATGTTTATATGCTGGGTGGCGTGAATTTTTGTTTCTGTATATGCAAGGCGAAAAGATTCATGCACTTGTAGAGAAGGAAAAAAATTGGGCACAGATCAAAGAAGATGGCAATCTCGCCAAATTATGATCGATGGAGAGAAATCACTTCTGGCGACTCCTTCTTCAGGATCGATCATGCTTGACTCGATTCTCTTCTTCTCGATCCGACTCTCACTTCCTTAATCCACTTCTCTCTTACCTCATTCCTCCTTCTATCCTGATCCTCCCTATCTTATCCCATCTCCCTCCACATCATCCTCTTTCTCTACTTCCCCGCACTCGTCCCCCCACCACTCATATTCCCACTATTAATCCCGTCGCTTGGCCCCACCGGCACACCACTAATACCCTTCTCGCCCTTCGTGTCCGTCCCAGCTTCAACTCCCACATTCGTCGAACCCGAATCCGAAGCTACAGGAGCGTAGCCCGGGTTCTCTGCGATTCCGGTGCCAGAGGATTTTCCTGGAGCGGAGGGTGCGCCGAGACCTTCTTCTGTGGAAGAGGGTAAGTGTTAGAAAGAGGAGAATTATTGGTGTGGAGGTGGGGAAGGAGGATTAGAGGAACGAACTCTCAGCTTGCTGTTTTTGGAATTTCTCGCCGGCTGCTTGGCCGCCTCTGTCGTGGTTGGAGGTTAGCAAACTCCTCACTGTCTCATGCTAATCCGGTCTCATCGTCCAGAGCGTTATTTAGTTGACCGGACATACGGTGTCTTTGATCCAACCATGATTGCGGATTTCTCTCGAATATCTTGGCAGTCTTTTGATCTTGCTGAGAAGCTGTGCTGATTTTATCGAGTTTCCAAAATCAAGAGAAGGAAGTTCGAAGCTCAATGGCAGCTCTTGTCATGCTAGAATAGCTCCGAATGACGTTGCCCGTCAATATCTGGTACTTCTTAGCAGTTTGAACGTCACCATAACACGGCGCCTCTGTCGTGACGTCAACGATATCGACATTGACTCGCCGATTGTGCTACAGATGCAGCATTTTGGCAGTGTTAGTAGGCAAAACCTGAAGAGAGGACATTGGACGCGTGAATTCAACATATTCTGTGTACGTTGAGGAGTGGCCGAGACGCATATCAGGTTGCCTCGATATGTCCAAGCTTGGTGGCTGTAGAACTATCTGCTTCAGGCACGCTAGCTGCAAACACCAAAACAGAAATTCGGAAACATACACACTTACTGTGATCTCGTCGTAACCTGTACTCTGTGCCTTGCTTGCTGATTGAGACAAAATGCCTTAGGTGTGCTACATAAGTCAGAGACCCGTGTAGCAATTTGCGCCATTGTCCTCACGGACGGCTCTTCCTTTTGCTAATCCCCACGATTTCCATGCCAGAAGAATCATGGACTGCCTTGGCCATATGGCATTTCACGTCTCGGATCTGCCGCGCCCGGTACGTGCACTGGGGCCACGGGCAAGCAAATGGTTTCTGGTCCAAATGCAGCAACCAGTGTTTTCGGAGGTCCCGAAAGTTGCCTTTAGGATGTAGATGCCGCCATTGTCCGCAATTGTCAAATGGGCATTGCGAACCCAATTTATCCTCTGTCATCGGAAGCAGCTGCCCGAGATCAGAATGTGAGAGGCTATTGAGCCACTGCAGCAACGCGATGCTGCTAATCCTCCAGCTGATGCTCGCTGCTGGTTGACCAGTCGCTGGAGTCGAGTTTGCGTGTGATTGCTCGACCAGCCAGCTCGGCAATTTCCCATATGTCAGTATGCTGTCGAGTGAGGGTTGTGGGAGGATATTCAGCCATTGCAGTACTTCTGCGTCAAGGGTCCAAGGAATGTTGGCCGCCGCCCAACCAGAATTTGAAGGCAAAGCTGTGCTCGGTCTACCAGCGGACTAGCCTGGCACAGAACCATTTGGGTTGATATCAGCAGCCGCTTGAAGCATCGCACTCTCGTCCGCATCGTTCATGTCAAAGTCATCATCAAGTTCCCGGACTTGCCCCTCAGCTTCGGCCATGACAGTGTCACCATGAACACGGTGATCGCCATTATACTCCCCGTTTTGATAATCATCGCGCATCGTATCCGCTTCCATTTTCGCCTGATGAGCCTGAAGATCTTCGTAACTCCACGTACTGATTCCATCCTGCATTTTACCAGGGAAGGGTTTGCTCATCTGCTTGAGGAATTTCCTCGCTGCCGCAACAGCTTGATCCACAGACATGTTTGCATCGCTCTCCATGAGTTCATTGGCGATCCATTTGGGCAACTGAGTACGCTTCTTGCCGAATCGCTTGTCAGCCATGACCATGATACCGTAATCGTCCTTGCCTCGCAAGACGCGCCCCAGGCATTGTGCGCAATGTCGCATGGCATCGAAGGACAAGAAGTCATTCTCGCGAATGCGATAGGTTTCTCGCAGAAACTCCAATCGTGCTTTCAGGATACGCGACTCAGTGTACTGGAACGGAACACCGATGCAAAGCACAGTCCGGCCGTAGTGGTGGTCGAAATCGATACCCTCGGATACCTTTCCTCGCGCGACACAAAGTAACACTGCACCTCTACCATTACTGCAGGCAGTTCGGTAAGTCTCGAGTGCCAAAGATGTCTCCTGGCTGTCAGGTGTCTCGACCAGAATGAGCTTGCTCTTCCAGACCTGATCCAGGATGCCCATGGTCTGCCACGCGGATATGACATTCTCCATATACAAGTATGATGGGAAGAAGACAACGAGACCATCTGGGGTGAGTTTGGAAAACTCGATCAGCAGATTGCCGTAATTTCGAATATTTGCGGGATCGCTTCGTGTCTGAAAGCCAGATGATATCTGGTTCTGATCAGAGCCTCTGGTCACGATCATTGGCAGGAATGATCTTCGAGCCAGTGTCATCGGATAGGACTCTTGCACAACTGCCGTGAATCCGAGCATTTTTGGGTACATTTCGAGAGGAGATATCGTTCCAGAAGTAATGATGACTGAGCTGAAACGTTCAAAGACCGGCTTGATGGCGATTGCAGCATCAAGACACGTAAAGTGGAGTACTGGATTGGCGACTGTCGCGGTATCGGATTCGAAAGGCTCCAATATTAGCAGGAAACCTGTGTCGTATGTAGCCGCGAGAGTTGCAAAAGTTGCAACCTCTTGAAGAGGCTGGTAGTCCTCGATATTGGTAAGTTCCAAAGTACGCACAAGTGAAGTGAGACGTTCCGCACAGAAGCGCAGAGGCTTCTTCTCGATGAATGTGAGTTCCTTCAGATGTTGCAAGAAAGAGGGCGGCGTTTCCGAAATTACGTGCAATGCCCTCATTCGCGTTTTCAGGTACTCAATGAAGCGCTTCAAAAACGCAGTGAAGTGCTCCGCTCTGCGAATATTGCCAGGTACTGCTTCCTTCAGCAAGTCGTCTGGCAAAGCAGGATTTGACATGAATGCGCCTTCATCGCGAGCAGTGTCTGCTTCTCGGAGGCCTTCCACCAATTTTGCATACTCATTCTGCAGCTTCTCGGCATCTGTGTCTTTCATCTCTTTGATCTTGCGGTCCAGATTCTCAGCACCCCGCGCTGCCTTTCGTATTGAATCTTCAGTCAGGTCAATGCTCAGAGACTCAATGCAAACGTTGTCGATATTGTGGGCCTCATCGAACACTACGATGCAGTCTTTTGAAAGTTCTCTGGATACTCGCTCTGCGATTTTCGGGTCGAGCAAATAATGGTATGAGTAGATGATGACATTGCAGAACGGCATCATGCGACGCGCGGTGAAGTATGGGCATTGCTTTTGCTGCTCTCCGTAGCGCAGCATACCGTCCAGTGTCCAGACGCCGGGCGGAATGAGGTTGTGGGGCTCGAGAAGGTCGAGATTGTCATGATAGATGCAGAGATCGACATCTTCGCCACGTTCCTTCTTCTCCTTCACGAATCCAGCAGTCAGACTTCGACAACGGGCATCGACTACGGAACCACTCTTCTCACGCTTGACAGATGGATGAAGACACAGGTTCTTTCGACTTGTCAACCCGAGGCCTCGGAAGTCCTCTTCGTGGCCTAGCTGATCTGTCCGGTATTTCATCAAAGCCTTCAGTTCCGCGAGCGCTTTCTCGATCTCGGACATGGTACGAGAGCAGTAAATTAATTTCCTGTGCTCGGGATAGTGCTGCTGATACGCCACGATGAGAGACAGCAGCGAGACGGTTTTCCCAGTGCCCGAAGGCATCTCCAAGACGCAATGTCCTCCAGCGTCCAGCGTGTGCTTGAGATCACACATATATTTGTACTGCTCCGGATAGATCCTCGGGTACGGAAAAAGGACCGGTAGGTCCCCGATGAAGAACTTCATGACGGGCAACTGCGCGCGATAATTGCTGAAGTCTGTCGCGCCGCCACTTCCAGCCCTCCAGGCCGAAGGCCGTTGCCTTCCACGACGTCCTGTTCAGCGCGATTGATGCTGTGGAATGCGACTGTCGTGCAAAGTTTCGATATTAGCATGCTGCTGGTGTGATGTCTCGTCGAGTGTATGTGGATGTGGATGGAGAAGATATGTAAGGTGCACATTCACCAAAATGCAAGGCAACCGCGCTAAGGCTGCCGGAGCGGCGCGGCACGGGCCCGACGGGCCGAAGTCCGCCGTGCGCAGCGCGGAGGTTGGAGGTAGAGGTAGATCGCGTACACAGTTGCTTTCCTTGCATCTTCACATCTGCCACGGACATCGTCGGAGCCTTTTGTGCATTTTGATATGCAGACTCGTCAAATGTCCCATTCGCTCGGCATGCTATCTCTTCTGTGATCAAACAGATGGTGATCCCGGTAGCAGGAAGATAGAGCAGGACAAAACAGCTGACAAGATAGGCCTCTCATCTGGAAGGGACCAGATATAGACATTGCTCGTCGAAGTTCGTTCAAGTAACAGACTTGATAGCTCATGGTATCATATAAAGTGAAAGGGAGAAACTAAGGCCAAAACTGAGCCACGAATTCGCACCCCTCGCGGACCCAGTCTTCCTCAACTGTGCATCCCAAGTCAACCCCATGATCACCAGTTCGTAGAGTGAGCTTGACGGGTACGCTGGGCATCTTCCTCTGGACCTTATGCACGAAGTTTGTGGAGGATGCTGACGGTACCTGGTAGCGCTCATGAGCAATTCTCGATGTCAAGCGGGGTCATGATGTGTGGAACAGAGCTTACCAGCGTGTCTTGCGCCCCGTGTATGATCCATATCGGCGGTAGCGAATCAACCTCATCTAAAATCTGCATAATATCGATTCGCTTGTCTCGCTGTGCCTGCAGGAAATGTTTGTAGTAAGGCTGGTAAACAATGGCCAAAGCTGATCCGGATCAGAGCTAGTTCGAACAACGCCTGCCTTGACGGAGCGCAAATAGTCCGCAATGATCTTTTCTGCCACTCGTGGCTGTTGAGTGGGCTGGCCGAAGATGCGTCTTGGACCCGGTATCCTGAAAAAAGGGTGATTGAGATCAATGCACGCCGAACTGGCGATAACGCACTTGATTCCGCCGCCAGCGGAAACGAGCGAAGACTGTACAGCAAGCCAACCACCTATGATAGTCAACTCGTGGAATGCTTTATTCAGATATCAAGCGGCAAGACCAACCGGAGCTTTCGCCATGGACCGCAATCCGCTCATAGTCCAAGGTCAGTCGGACATGAGAAATAACCTGGTGAATTTGCTGACTTGAGTTGCAGTGTAACCACTCCCAGAAGTCGACAATGTCTTGTATGATGTCTGTTCCGGTCGCCTCTGGTAGCAAGCTGTAATCTGGACTGAAGATGACAGCATTTTTGGTCAATGCGAACTGTAGCAGCCTGTTCCACCGGACCGCCATCATCCATCAGATTGAATACGAAAGCTCGATGGGTCTCTTTGGCTCATCACTCACCAGGTGGCATACCACGGTTGGTACAATCGATGGCCGACGACGAAACCACCCCCATGCCAATGCACCAGGATCGGGCACTTCGAGCTCAGTGTAAGAGATCTGGGCACGAAGACTGTCACTTCATACTTTGCCCTGTCCGATGTCTTGTATGCGAAGTTGTAGGAGAAGAAAGGTTCGAATTTGGTGCAAGGAGACTTGTTGACACTCTCAGGCGAGTGAAGAGTCCCCATAGTCTGTGGGCAGTACAAGTAGTGCATGAGCAAGCCAAAATGGTTTATGATAGCCTGAGAGAGTGCGCTCAAGGGCAGTGACTGGCGTTGCGATACGTTCCATTGCCCAAGCTAGGAACAGGTTTGCTTTCAAAAGTCTGTTCCCCATGCACATCATTTGATTTCTGATCATTGACATCCACGAAGACAAAAAGTAAGACCAGGAACTGATCGGAGCTAAAACAGGTGAGCCAACACGTCAAGCGCGACAGCAGTACTCGACGTCAAGACTGCGCACTGTCAACGGGACAGAGATTCAAGGCGATAGAAGGGAGGCTTACATCAGGAGGAGCACAAGTGGATAGAGATAGGGCGAAACCATTTCATCTCAACTCGATCCGTTGGAGTCCGGCATGGTTCCTGATTACTTATATTACTGCCCTACTCACGACTCAATTGCTACCTGGAACGAACAAACTGCAGCCGTAGTACAAGTTCCGGCTCATCCAAACCGCTCTTCTACAACTTCACGAAGCTTACCCGATCGTTCCGAGTACGAGAGATCTTCCTCTTTGACCCACTCAGTCCTCAATGGCTGAATGTAGCCAACTTCCAAGTACTCTTGCCACTTTGGGGCCTCGGTGATCAGACGTTGCTCCAGCTTCCGAGTAATCAGTTCCTGATCAGCTGTCGAGCCAGGATCTGCAACAAGCCTGAATGTCACTTCACTTTTTCCATCCATGCGTCGGACCACCAGTTGGAAGCTGTTGATTTTGCTCTCTCCAAACGTGTCTCTGACGATGCTGCGAAGTGTTGGCATGCTCAAAAATAAAGATCCGACCTTCAGCGCGATTGACTCGCGACCCAGTAAGCGGAACGTCATCCGGCCATGGTCAACCCATTCTGCATTGTCTCCAATAGGATAGCGTATAGTGGGCTGAAGACGTCGCTTGCAATCCGTGAGCATCAGCCGACCCCGACGGTTTGGTTCGGTGATCACCTTGCCGTCCTCGTCCAGGATCTCTACCAACACCATTGGCGAGGAGACTTGATACACAGGGTCTCCTGGGTCATCGTCGCCAGATGATGAGATCACAGGCAATCCTATGATCCCGCCGTCTACCGCTGCGTACATCATCGGTCGTACACGCATGTTCGGAAAGGCCTCGAGCCAGGATGGAAGAATGTCGTTGTAGAAGCTTTCTCCCATGTATAGTATCAGATGTACGGAGTCGATGGTTTCACCCTGCTCTCGAAGATACGCTGCCACGCGAGAGACAGTGAATACGTTGCTCAGAATCACTGTCGCATCAAACATCTTGAGAAAATGCGCCATGTCCGGAATCGACTCATTGCCGGTGATCGGGAGGTGTACGTGCTGCATGTGCATGTCCTGCATTGCTGTTGTCACGCCGACAAATCCTGCATACATTCCCCCAATGTGGAAGAGGTTGGCCAGGCGATCACCAGGGCGGATACCAGAGCAGGACGACAGATAGTGCGCCAGCGGGAGCAGCGTCTGCTTCACCTCCTCCCGTGTCATGTAAACTACCTTAGGCTCTGCCGTTGTGCCGCCCGTCCGCACAATGATCCCATCATTAATCGGGCCAGTCAGGAGTTGATCATCGCGAGCCGCAGTCCAATAGTCGTCGGAGTCTGTGAGAGGAAGATCCTCAATCGACGAGATGCCTTCCGGAACTTGTGCCCAAAGAGAGCGGTAGTAGGGCGATTTTGTGCGCACGAACTGCAATAGTTCTTGGATGTATCTTTGCGAAATTCCTTCCATCGTGGCCTTTCTTTTGTTGGAGTGGGACCGGAGATTACTTTCGAAGTTGTGGGAGTGCCAAAGTGTGTATAAATGTCCGCGAAGTCATTATGTTAGTGCAAAGTCACGATCGCCATTGCCACTATATACTTGCTGGCTCACTGTCTGTCATATCCTAGACTCCTAGATTCGATTCTTAGCAGTTGGCTTGGCGATATGCTCAGTACAGTATCGTTCTCCGGCCCATGGAATCTCCTTGAGCTGACATGAGTTGGGCTCAGATCCTGCCCTAGCCTTAACGAATGTGTTTTGCAAAGTTCAGTAAGGCTCGTGCACATCCTTGAACTCACCTTGCCAGCTCCGTTCGCAAACGATATCTTGTAGCGTGTTGGAGATGACCACATCGTGAAAGGTATTGCTCACTAATGAATCCGTGTTGATAACCTTCTCAAAGAAGAACTTGACTCGTGAGGTGGTCGCATTCGTCTCGTCCATATTCGCAAGTCCCGTGGCGTCTGTCACACTCTCTGATCTACTTAGCAGTCGCCTGGTTCCTTCGTCACTGTGTACTTGTAGCCGCGATGCTTTTAACTTTGTCCCTCTCTTACCATGCTCTTGTAAAGTTAGCTAGGTCGTTGTGATGGCACGAGTTCCATAATCCATATTTGGCTCTTGTGTGAGAGCAAAGGAAAAGAGCGGATTATTTATCAATCGAACGAGTGTCCCAGTCCGGGATTGGTCGGCAGCAAGGCAAACCATAAACAGTGTAATCATCAGGGGACAGCATGCTCAGACGCCCCTGCCTCCAACCCCAACCTCCAAGACAAGCATGTTCTGGTCGCGAGGGAGGGAAAAATCATGAAACAGACTCGATCTATTCGCACGGAAGCAATCAACCTGGTCGAGCAAGCGACGTCGAATGGAGCAGTTCGACAAACGGTTATGGATTTAGTGAGAAAGTTGCCCCTCGAGATTATGATTATCATTCGAAAGATGAAGCAGAGTCATGTGCTGTCGACCCGCCGTCACTATGTTCATCAGTCACGGACCCAAATTTCAAACTTCTCCAGTATTAAATTATCATGAGGCTTTGGATGCATCGGCCGAGACGATTTGATGGAATGTTTCTCACGTTCGAATTCTCTCCTTTTGCTTCTTCAGCGGTGGACGATCAGCATAGTACATGCCTCTAGTCCATTGCCACCATAGATCAGCTAATTCTCCCGATTGACCTTCGTTTCCGATGAACTCGTTGAGCTCGATGTGTACTTTTCCCTGAGTCGTCGAGCGACCAAGCTGCCCAATTGTTCGAGACTTCCACCAGCCATGAGTTCCAATACGCTCACGTCCACGCTCAGATTATGTTTAACCCAGTTGCGGATTTCAATTGCTACTAAAGAATCAACGCCTATACTTTCAAGAGTAAGCGTGTGATCGATCTCCTCTGTATCAGCTTTCATCAGAAAGCCGAAGACAGATCGAGCGATCGCTTCTGTAAGGATCCGCGCAATATGAGAATCGTCTAATTTGCTCTGATTCGCTCTCAAAGTACTGATCAACTTCTGTAAAGGACCACGGCTGGTGTGAGTGGTCACCGAGTCAGCTTGCTCGATATTCCGGTAGATGGCGAAACGGGGATCACGCTTCCAGATCACAGTGTTGTTTGGATCCGCAATGGGTAGCGAGCACTCGAGACCGATGCTGACTTGTCCTGGGTACATGTGTCCCTCAGTGACAGTCTTGAGCTGTGGCGCTGGCCTCTTGTTGGAACGGGACATGGCGAGTTGAAGACCGTCCAAGAAAGCTTGTTCCGAAAGCATACTGGTGCTTGTAGACCTCATCTGTTCCAGAATCGTTGGGTTTTGACTGATGAAGCCAACGTCCTCGACGGCTCCGATATCAATCACTGCCGCTGGCGAACCTTGTGATGTGCGGTATTGAGCGAAGCTATCCTGAAAGGTGTTCCCGGCGGCATAGTTAGCCTGGCCCCAGTAACCACAGATGCCGGAAGCCGAGCTGAACATAACAAAATGGTCCATGTCTCGCGGCAACGCTGTGTGCAGGTTCCACGTTCCCTGGACCTTGGGCCCTATGGCAGCTCTCCAGATCTCAACATCCAGGTCCAGAATACTGATGTCGCTCAAAACCATACCCATGTGCAAGACGCCGGCGATAGGCTTGTCGAGCTTAGAGACAGCATCCCGAACCGAACTTAGCTCGCACACATCGCAAGTGATAGCCTGAGCTTGACAAGACATTTCTGCAAGCTCCTGGAAGAAAGCCCGATGCTTCCCGTGATTGGCGGACCGTGACAAGAATGCCAAATTCCTGGCGCCATGCATTACCATCCACTTGGCAACGGTCATACCCAAGCCTCCCAGGCCACCTACAAGAAGGTAGTTGGCATCTGGCCTCAGCCAGACTTCCGGGAGACAAGGTGAAAGAGGAAGGATGTCGGCGGCAGGAAAGGTAACCACAATCTTCCCAATATGCAGACCTTTCTGCATATGGCTAAAGGCTTCAGCGACGTTCTCCGCACCGAACCGGGTACTGGGTGAGATCGGATGAATCTTGCCTTGAGTGTAAAGGTCTACCACTTGTTTCAACAGCCGAGAAGTGGTTGATACATCATCGATTGCCAAGGCGCCTACGTCGATGCCAATGAATGAGCGATTCTCCTCGAAGGCGTCCATAGCCAACTGGCCCCGGCCAATTAAATCACGTTTTCCGAGTTCGAGCATGCATCCGCCCCTGGCTACGCACTTCCAGGATGCATGGAGAAGTTCGCCCGATAAAGAATTGAGCACGACATCCACACCACGGCCGTCAGTCGCTCTGCTTACGCCATCGACGAAGCTTATGTCGCGTGAGGAGAAGATGTGGTGTCGTGGAATGCCGTATGCTTGGGCAAGATGATCCGCTTTCTCTTTGGTGCCCACGGTCACGAGGATGCGCGCGCCAACCCATCTTGCAATGTTTATGGCAGCGAGGCCTACGCCGCCAGCTGCGCTGTGGATCAGCACAGATTGTCCTTCCCGGAGATTGCCCTTGTCGATGAGTGCCCGAAGCACCGTTATGTAGACGCAGGGCATGGTGGCGGCCTCGTCCCAGGCTAGCTGATCTGGGATTTTGCAGCACAAACGGCCCAAAGTCTGTAGCTCTGTCGTGAATGTACCAACATGACCACCCAGCACCATCACACGATCTCCTGGCTGGACATGCTCGACTGCAGATCCAGTCTTGGTGATGATGCCGGAGCCTTCGCAGCCAAGGATGTTGCCTGCAGCATCTCCGCCGTCGATGATACCCATGGCGATCACGATGTCCTTGAAGTTCATGCCCACGGCATACATCTTGATTTGTACTTCCTCAGGCATCAGCTCTGTCAGGCGTCGTTGCGTCCACTTCAATGTCTGCAACGATCCTCGCTGGCCGATCACAAGTGCTCTCGCAGAGGTCCCGTCCAACATCTCATCCGGAGTCACTGCCATCGAAGCCCAATGGAAGCGGCTAATATTTATGACACCATTAGCCCAAGCAAATTCCATGTCCGGGTCAACATCTGAATGATTATCTGCAGTAGTTTGCCTGAGTTTGTGGAAAACGTGACAGATAGCCGAGGCGGAAAGGTCCGTAGTGCTCTCAAGCTCAAGAGTCGCAAAGTACATTCCTAACTCTGATCGAATGGTCCTAGCAAGACCAGTCACTAGGGCGAAGTCCGGGTCTATAGGGTTGATGTGAATCGCCCGCGTCAGCCATACCACGATGGTATGCTGCAGTGTTCGAACCATATCCAAGAACTGAGTCATCTTCACCGAGTCGAAATCCTTGAAGAACGGGCAATCTACATCGAGAAACGAGATCAGAGCTTGCCCTGGCGGAAGTGGCTCACCGAAAAGGCAGTGCTGAGCTACGATGTCCTGATCATGTAGCATCTCTTCAACTCTGTAGGCGAGATGATGGATTTCATAACCAGATAGCAGAGTGACCCGGTCACTGTGCCTCGTGTCGTAACATGGCCGCGCGAGGATAGTTGCGTTGATATGATAGGGTGGAGCGCCGTCCAATGCACTTGCTTCCACACCAGCAAAGCCCGCAGCCCGCAACTCTGTATCCCACAGCTCGGGTGAGATATATGGCTGTCCAGTTCGTTCAGATTGCTCGCTCAACCACCAGCCTGGAAACAGACCCATGATATAGTTGGCCCATTTGGTCTCCGTGCAGATTTCTTGCATTAAAAGCTGACCTTCTGGACGAAGGAGCGACAGAATGTTTGCCAATGTCTTCTGAAGCACGGGAGTAGCATGTATGACATTCGAGGCGATGATAAGGTCGTATTGGCCGGCTTTAAATCCTTGGGCAAGCGGATCTTTGCTAATATCGAGCACTTTGTACTCAATGTTTTGCCAGCCCTTGAACCTTTCTTGTGCTTGCACGAAGAAACCAGCGGAGATGTCAGTGAATGTGTAATTGAGGTACATCCGCTCTCCAAAGTCAGACCTCAAGCCTTCTAGGACCTTAGCTGTAAGCCCGCCAGTTCCGGCCCCTACTTCGAGAATTTCTATCTGGGGTCTAGTGTTACCCAACAGCTTGAAGAAGTCGCTGTATTCCCACATAGAATTCATGTAATCGTACAGTTGGTGAAGGAGTCCATCTTTGATCAGAACGTCGAGCGTCTCAGCTTTGCCCTCGAATATATCCCGACAATTCTCATAGCAGCGGAAAAGCAAAGCGCACACAGGCGCATTTCGCATCTGTTTGCTCTGCTCGTGCATTTGATTGATAAGTGTCCGACGTTGGGAAGAAGACAAGCAGAAGAGCTCTTGCGAGTCTGGTACAAGAGGATAGTCTGGTGACATTGCCCTTTGAAGATGCGCACCGAGCCAATCTCGATACCGGCTCAGATATTCATACACGGGTCCCACATCGGTGAGTGCTTTTTGACCCTCTATCGCACAGAGCAGGAACATCCTTTCCATAAGGCAGTGATCGGATTCGCAGCTGTTGATAGGCTTCAGCAGACTGTTGATCTCGAGCAAGTCCCAATCCGGCTTCCACTGTAGATAAGCAGCTTTATGCATTTGTAGTGCTTCGTCTGTTTCCAGTAAGGTGAAACGAATTCCTTCGAAGTGGAAGGCTCTAGCGTCGTTCACGATGCCCTGGGAATAGCCTCGCGTTGCCCCATATTTGCCACTCACTGCTCGTGTGTTCACACGTATGGTCTGATGACGAGCATCCCCGACGTACAACTCCTCGATGTACGTAGGCAAGTAAACTCTCCGGAACAGACGAGGTTCACCCAAGTGTACAGCCACCCTGATTGTCTGAAATGCAATGTCGAGTGTAGTCGGGTGTAGTGGGTAGTGAGGCTCGTTGGGGTTCTGTTTGTCAGAGATTACTGCAGAGGCCTTGGCTTCCTGAATTCCAGCTGTGATGCCCTCCATACCCACGAACCTCGGACCATATTTCAGTCCCGCACGGGCCATACTTCGATACCATGCGGAAGTAGAGACCTGTCTAGGGTACGTCTCAGCTTGGAACGACGGTCCCCTCGATTCTTGCCCTCCTTTGATCAGTCCTGTGCAGTGCTTGTTCCACACCGATCCACTGAACGAAATGATGGTGAACTCGAACCAGGCGGAATCCAATGAGGAGGTAACACGCTGGGGTCGCAACGTGGTCAATATTTCTGTGCATTCACTGGTTCTAAGGACCATTGCTGTGTTGAAAGACACTTCTTTGACAGTATAATCAACAGTGCCGGTCATTTGCAAAGATGCCTCGCCGGCCATACATATATATGCTGCTGCTGGGAAGACGATGTCGTCGCCGATCCTATGGTCTTTCAGCCACTCAACATCTTTCAAACGCAACAAATTTCGCCAGCAGGGTTGCAAATCACCGCTTTCCAGTGTTCTGACTCCTAACAGCTCATGTGGGGCATGTTTGCGCATTCTCCAGTCTCGCATAAGCCTGGTCTCGTACCAGTACCTTTCGTGTTTCCAGGGATATGGATCCAGGTCCGTGAGTACCTGACCATGATAGGGAAAGCTGACCTGGTGGCCGATGCAGTGAAGTTGGCCCATTGCCTTGAGAAAGCAGTAATTGTCGTCTTGGCGCCTGGTGAGCACTGCCAGATATTGATTCGCCGATGATAGCTCGTTCGCAATCTGTTTCAAGGGCCCAGCAAGGGCTGCATGAGGGCCCACCTCCAATACGGTAGTATCGCGAGGGAAAGAGCACAGCATCTGCTTCGTAGCTGCATGAAATTCCACTGGTTGCTCGAGGTTGCTGCGCCAGTAAGTGGCATCTAGCTTCACAGCCGATGCAAGGCGTGCTCCGTGCACGCTGGAAAAGAAGGGCACAGTCGGCTCGCAGGGCGTCAGATGTTCTGTAATGTATTCGCAATACGCACCACCGATGTCTTTCATATGATCTGTCGAAGTCAGTATCTCACTCCTTAGCTGTCTTGCGGGTCGGATCCTCACACGAATGATACGCTTCCTGAACCGGCAGCCGTCGGATGAAGACATCTGGCTCCGCCTTCGCGATGCTCGCCAGAACTACATCCAATTGTTCCATGTCTCCGGACAACGTCACGTTCTTGCCGCTGTTTTTGCATGCGATTTCAACTCCCGGAGAGCAAAATAGACGGGCGTGATCTTGGCTCATGCCAACGACAGCCATTCCACCATTCCGTTTCTGTTGACTGGCAACGTAGCCTCTGTAGTAGGCCGTGACCATAGCTTCGCGCATCGTCAAAGATCCTGCCGCATATGCAGCGGCAATCTCGCCGCTGGAGTGACCGATTACGGCAGCAGGTCGTACACCCCAGTGCAACAACAATTGAACAAGGGCGATCTGCAAACTCGTGCAAATTGGTTGACAAATTTCGGGTTCATCCAAGCGAGAAAGGTTTTCGTCCTTTCCAATTTCCCCTATGCCTAAACGTTAGCATGACTGGCATTTGAGGCGGAGAACGAAACCGGCTTTGCACCTTCGATGGTCCATTTGGGTGAATGATCAAGACTCTGCAAAATGAGGTCCATGTCTCTCAGAGACTGCAAGAATCTTGGTTGCTTGTCCATTAGGGATTGTCCCATTCTCGCCCATTGCGCACCTTGGCCTGTGAATACAAAGAGTGTCTGTCTTGCAGCTTGACATTTTATGGGTGGCGATATGGTAAGATCTGGCACGTGGCGTACGCCGTTCTTATCGAATTTGCAATTTTGGGTCGTCTGGTGACAAGCGGCATTCTCGGTGCGGGCCTGCATGGTAGTTGCTGAGGCAGCCACGTCTTCTCCAGCATTGCGGCACTCTACAACGGTGAAAGAACGGAACTGGAGATGTTCGCGTCGGAGGGCCAAAGTATAGGCAAGGTGAGCGAATCGATCGGGATGGGCTCTCAGATAGGCTTGGCAATTATCCGCCACCGCTTTCAACGACTCTTTGCTTGCCGCTGAGAAGACCAGAAGCATCGTGGTGTCTACGGCGGCCAATGAGGTGTGAAGATGCTTCACTGACTTCTCCAGTGCGAAGCTAGCTGCTGATTGTAGAACGATCTGCGTGATCGGCGCTGTCAACTCCCTGGCCTACGTTGATCAAGCAGGAGAAAACTTACGTGAACATTTGTGCCGCCAACTCCGAAGCTATTGACACTGATGACTTCAGCGCGATCATCTGGCCATGCGGTGGGCTTAACGGGAACCATGAGCTTGGCATCATTGAAGGGAACTGATGAGGCTTTAGAGACGAATTGCTTCCAGCTGCAGCATTGTCTACTCACTCTTCGGGTTTGGATTCGTGAATTTGATATTAGGGAACATGATCTTGTTCTCTAGTGCAAGAACCGATTTCAGGATGCTGGTGAGGGTCGCGGCCGCTTCTCCGTGACCGAAATTAGGCTTGACCTTGAGGTTCTGTTAACTTATAAGACTTCCAAAGATCGTCCGTCATGTTCTTACAGATCCGATGAAGACACCTTTTCTGCCAAAGACGTTGGCAACAGCTTCTAACTCCAGCGGATCTCCCACGGCCGTACCTGTGCCATGGCACTCCACCATCGCCGTTCTTGCAGGGTCAAGACCAGCCCTCCCATATGCTTGTCTGATCAGTGCTTCTTGTGCTTCGGCACTTGGATTCGTGATACCCTGTGTTTTGCCATCAAAATTGCTAGCTGTGTTTCGGATGACAGCCCGAATAGGATCGCCGTCTCGCATGGCTGCATCCCACTTCTTGATGTAGATTGCACTGGCCGCTTCTGCCCGCGCGTACCCATTGGCCGAGGCGTCGAAGGTTTTGCAGGACGCATCTGCTGACAAGCCGCCTTGGTCTGTCATTGCCAGCGAGAGTGTTGGTGTCAAGATCAAGTTGACGCCAGCAACGATTGCTGCAGTGCACTCGTTCTGTGCAATCGCCTGGCACGCTAGGTGTAATGCCGTTCCAGTAGACGAGCATGCTGTCTTGATAGTCATGCTGTAGAAATGTCAACTTATCATCGACCCTCGGCCGTACAGCCATCACTCTTACCTCGGGCCCCTCAAGTCGAACTCATACGAGAGTCGGTTACTCAGGGCGAAGTCCAGATAGCCCGTGATGCGGTAGATACCACTATCAAGCGGGTCTTTGCTGTGAAGCTCTTGCCAATCTTCGCCAAAGGCACCGACATAACATCCAATGCTTTTGCCACGCCAGCCTGTCTCTCCTGCGCTTTCCAAGGCCTCACGCGCAACTTCCAATAACAATCGTTGCCGCGGGTCGAGCCTTTCAGCTTCAGAAGCCGTCATATTGAACATGGCGGTATCGAACTGCCTCAGGTCAAGATCGTCGAGCCAGTAGCCATGATTCATCGGCATAGTGCCGATACCAGAGCTTTTGTTGTAGTAGCCATTGATGTTGAAACGTTTGTCATCAGTTGGCGTGCGGGCATCTTTCCCATTCATCAGGAAATTGAACATCGACGTTGGGTCATGAATCGAGCCTGGCAACCGCAAACCCATGCCGCAGATGGCAACGGGAGTAGTATCAGTAGCTGTTCCGAGGCCAACAGTCACATCAGATGGCAACCGGGACGCATTCCGTGTATTGTGTGTAACCCCATTTGCTCCTGCATCGTGAGCATGCGTCATGTGCACACAGTCACTTATGCTGTCCGAACGCGCTTGGCTGGAAGGTGTGGAGAATTCCATCGCAGGTAGGAAAGTAGTTACGCAGCAATCGTGAGCGAAGAATGTGGGCTATTGCTTCGAGACCAGCAGTTGAACTGGCTAAGACTTGCGGCTCGCCACGCATACAGTCGAAATGTCCATGTTGACAGAATGAAAGACCACTAATCAAAGGCGCCCTGTAGAGCACAATCAGAGGTGGGGATCATAATCGCACAGATCGATAGTTCGGACTAAAGCCCTAACCCATCACTGAATGATACATCCATGTTGATCAATTTCCACAAGCCAGCAGTCTGATGTTGGAAGGTCATCTGGTATGCGCACCAACACCGATGAAGGTTCGACTGGTGATGTTGTCAGGCTTTGTAAACACCACGCTGCGCCTGACAGCATTGCATCCATGTGGAGAGTGGAAGAAAGGATGAGTTTCGATCTCTGAGCAGTCCGGCCCTGGGTTGACGAAAGGCCCGGAGTGCCTCTGATCGTTTCGACCACCTTGACAGAGTTCGCAACAGACACCTGCTGTAGCGCTACGGCCGGAATTGTGCGAAGCTCACTAATCCACAGCCTGCGAAGCTTCGGACTTGTATATTTGTACCAGAGGGATGGCTGTCGCCAAGCAAGTAGAAAAAGATGCCATAGGTTTAATCAACAGAACGACTCTCCATCCTGGTCTGACCACGGCTGCCTATGTTTAATGCTGTTATCGCAAACAGGGAATGGTGGTATTATTGGAGTGATCCATGACCAGTTCATGCGGATCTTCCAGTCCCTGTTGATCGCCTCTCGCAGAGTCCCAGTGATCGTGTTGTCGCCGTCGATGCACAGCTTGGAGTGTTGTTGTCCCTATTCATAGTGCGTGCCAACAGTGACTGCTCTGCTCCCCATGCAACAACATGCTCGTCACAGAAGAGTGGATCACGCCGGCTCTCACGCCCCAGCTCTTGTTAGCCCTCGCTGCGGTTTGCGTGTGAAGCTGAACATAAAGAGGTCGCTTTGTACATCCTGATAGCAGATAGGGCAGTCGGCGATCAATATCCGCAGCCGGAAGAAACACACAAAGCTCTCTGTAGACCACGCAAACTCGAAATCCCAGAGAATTTTGAGGAGTCCACCAGCGATAGCGATGCCCACAAGCGAGATCAAAGCTGAACAGGGCTTGAGCCAAGTAGAAATTCACGAAACGCGACTTGTAAGAGGCTACCACTCCGTCCCGCTCCTCTCTGCGCTAGAAACCTTTCGCTATAGAAACAGGCTGGGCTGATCCGTTGGCAGGTAGACTGGGATGGCATTCATGATCCAGAAAATCCTCTCAACTGGCCTTTGAAGCGGAAGTGGCTCACCTGCATCCCTATGTCTCTATTCAACTTCATAGGTGCATTCATCTCAGCAGAAGTCGCCCCCGCTTTGAGCACCATTCAAAAGGACCTTGGCGTTCGCTCGGACACTGTGCTCATCTTGTGTCTCTCCATATACTACCTGCCATATGCCATTGGACCCATGATAGCAGCACCCTTGTCAGAGACGTTTGGCAGAGTGCGAGTGCTGCAGTTGGCCAATGTGCTCTTCATCATCACACTACTCGCGTGTGCTCTTGCGCATACTCCAGCACAGCTCATTGTTTTCCGATTCTTCTCAGGTCTGGCCGGTTCTGTTCCTCAAGTGGTGAGCGAGCATATCGGGCTCTACTGCTCTGCAAGCATGCATAGCGGTGGCGTCGAGTCGGAGACCGGAGGCTGACAGCACTCACAGATTTGTAGCGGCGTTATCGGCGACATATTCACCAGAGAACAACGCGGGAAAGGTGTCGCCCTCTACACCATAATACCGATGATCGCACCGGCAATCGGCCCAATTGTAGGCGGCTTTATCGTGACGAGATGGTCCTGGCGTGTTTGCTTTTACTCTGCCGCCATCGGCAGCGGTCTGGTACAACTCTTCGGCCTATTCTTCCTGCGAGAAACATTCGGTCCAGCGATCCTGAAGCTCAAGCGCGATGCATTGCGTACGAGCACCGGCAACAACTGCTATCGTACGAAGCATGACTCTCAAAGTCTTGCGCAGAAGCTCCGAGAGAGCCACACCCGACCTTTCCGTATGCTGGCACGCCCTCTTGTGCTATGGCTCAGCATCCACGTGGCGTACATCTACGGCATAGCCATGCTTATGTTGGCCACGTTTCCTATGACGTGGAATGGCCTATACGGCCAGCCGATCTTCCTGGGCTCACTCAACTACATCTCCATAGGCGTCGGACTACTCGTGGGGATCCAGATGGGACAACCGGTGAATGCCCTCCTGTATCGCAAGCTCACGGCTAGGAATCAAGGCATCGCTCAACCGGAGTTCCGGCTCCCTCTGCTGTTCATCAGCTGCGCGTTCGTACCCATTGGCCTCTTCTGGTACGGATGGTCGGCGCAGGAGAGAGTGCACTGGATTGTGCCCAACATCGGTGCTGCCATATTCGTTGCGGGCACCGCGGGCACCTTGCAGAGCATCCAGACATACGTCATTGACGTCTACCTCAGTTACTCTTCAAGCGCGATGGCAGCGATTACGATACTGAGAAGTATTGCTGCCTGCGCGCTGCCTCTGGTCGCACCGGCTATGTAAGTGAACTAGTGCGGGCGTGTATGAACCAACAAGCCGGACTATCCAGCTGATCGCTGCCGCAGGTTTCGCAACCTTGAATGGGGATGGGGCAACAGTCTCCTGGGCTTCATAGCGCTTGGATTCGGAGTCGCCGCCGCAGTCGGCTTGTTGAGATTCGGAAAGGTTCTTAGAGAAAAGAGTATGCTCTGTGAATGCAATGCATAGCCGGAACGCGATCTGGACCCCATGAGGCTTGGTGTTCGCACAATGGTGACGTTTGGTGTGCTGAATGTGGGCTCCATACTAGAGTCCGATCGCTTCAGGCCTCAGCTCCTCGAGCAGCGTTGCTGTAGGCGTAGGTGGTTTGGCAGTACTGCTTGCGTTCGACGCCCCGCTCCGTACGTCGAGGCCAGCTGGCAGCAGAGTAGACTCTCAATAGAAGTCGTCGTCGCTCAAAGACTGGTATCGAGCCACTGCCAGGGCGCTCGCCGTCGAACGTGACTAGTTGTCTGCTCGTACGCGAAACACATTGTAGAGGATGCATCGGAAAACAACAGAAGCTGGCTTTCGTGTCGAACTACCTCCATGTTCCAGAATATCATAGCCGCGCATCGGGCCGTCGCGCGCATTCGGCACGACGGCGGCCGCGATCGCCACGATCTAATCTTATCAGCCATCAAACCCGCGTCATCGGTGGACAAATTCAACAAACAGTGCCTGCACATTGAGACACCGGAGTTGACCTCTTCACTTCTTCGCAACTCCGCGTCCTCACAGACCAAGACACTTCGTGACAGGGCGCGCATGTCGTTATTTGCCCTGTGTAATTTTTCCACTCTTCCGCGCTCCTTGCGACCATGAGCAAGCGAGGTTTCAAGTCGCAAGCCAGCAGTGGTCGGGTTGGTGGCGGCTTTGGAGGATTTGGCAGCTCTGCTTTCGCCTCTAGCCAGTCGTCGGTCCTCTCATACGTTCAAGAACCAACAGACTACTCGGCAGTATCAAACTCGAGCGTGGTGGTGGCTTACAAGAATCTGTCCAAAAAGGACAGCACGACCAAAGCAAAGGCTCTCGAAGATCTCCAGGCATCCCTGTCTGCCACGGAAGATGTCGAAGACGCGATCATTGAAGTCTGGGTCAAGCAATACCCAAGGCTCTCCATCGACGCCGCACGCCGAGTACGCCAGCTCGCTCATCAGTACACTGGCCAGCTGTCAGTGAAATGTGGCAAGCGTATAGCGAAGCAGCTGTCAACAATCACTGGACCTTGGTTAGCAGGCACTTTCGACAATGACCGATCTGTGGCAAAAACCGCAGAAGAGGCATTGGCTACTGTATTTCCAACGCCAGAAAAGATCAATGGTCTGCGCAAAACATTTCAAGAATCTATCTTGCAGTACTGTCAGGATGCTGCGCTCAACGAAACTGTCTGGACGCTGAGCGACGAGCGCTCCATCAGCGTAGATGATGCAAAAGCTACTCACGCTCGTGTGGTATCCACCGCTCTGCTGGTGATCTCAAGCCTGCTGCACAATCTTCCCTCCGAGGAGCTGGACAAGCAGAAGCATGTGTACGAAGCTTTGTTCAGCGATAAGAAGTTTTGGGAGTTTGTCAGTCATACGGATTCGAATGTACGAAGAGCTGCAAATCAACTGGTTCAACTGAGTTTGCAGAAGGAGCCAGATCTGATCGAGACGAACTTGGGTGCTGTTTCTAGCGCGTACATTTACGAGGGTCTTGCCTCCGACCAGACGGGATCATCACTAAGTTTTGTCGAGACTCTGGATGCGCTGACAACCAAGTTCCCTTCCGTGTGGACAACGGCTTACTGTAAGAAGAAGCCGGCACTCGGGCGATTGCGACAATGCCTCAAACACGGTTCATATGCTGGTCCAGCTCGGTATTGGGACAGACTGGCCGAAGTCTTGCGGAAACTACCAGAAGAAATCGTGCCACAAACGTACGATGATATTTCAGACCTGCTGCTGTCTGCGCGCGATGGTATCTGCAAGAGAGAGGAGCGCTTCAATTCTTCTTCATCGTGGCCGGTCTATTTCACTCTCGTCGACATTGTCACCCGCACAGCATCGGATGAGGATGCCACGAAGCTACTTGAAGCTTTTGCCATCCCTCCTGTCCAGCAGTACCTGCAGCCAGCTTCTTCGACTGACAAGTGGACAATCTCAGGCCCGAAGCCTGCTTCCATTGTATCCAAAGTTGGCATCATCAACAAGCTTCCACCTGTCCTGGAACAGAAATGGCTGCAACTGGCCGCAAGTCTAGTAGAGACCGCCAAATTGTCACAGCCAGAGCAATCGAAAGATTTTGAGAAAAGTCAAAAGCATGTCGCGACAACTGGGGAGCGCTGGGCAGATCTCCAGAGAGAGCTTTTCACTAATGATTATGACTTTCCCGAGTCGTTGATTGCCCGCTTCATCCAAGCCAACACGGACATATTACGCGAATGCGTGGCTCTCCTCGACAGTAGAAATGGCAAACCATGGGGAGCTGCTGCGGTCGTCGAACAGCAGCTGCGTTCTTGTGCATCTCACTTGCTTCGCGACCCGACATATCACAAGACCCTAGTCCGTTTCGTGGAGGAGACACTTCCGCGAATCATCCTAAGTCCATCGCAACGCCATCTTGTGCGCTGCCTATTTGCGCTGCAGAATGACTCCAAGTTCGCCGCACTTTTCGAGGCAGCACTGCAGAGCATTGTAGAGCGAGAGCAGAGTGGCGCAACCCCCCAGGAGAGAATGAACGCATTGCATGCGCTGTTCCCTGCAAACACTCCGTCGGCGGCGGTGACAGCAGCACATGGGAGCGGTCCTCTACAAATCTTCCTGCGAGAGCAGGCTGCTACCAATAATGCGGCCTACAGCACTATCGCAGACCTGCTTCGGCTGGATGTAGTTTCACAAGACACTTCGGAAAGCATATTGGTTGAACTCACCAAGCTACTATCTCTTGAAGATTCACAAGCACAATCTGGGCTAACAGGCATTGAGCATTTGTCGAAGACCAATGAATCTGTCGTCCGGAACTTCATGTCAACGTCCAGTGGTGAACAGTTGTTACCAGCTGTCATTCAGCTGAAGGACTCTGCCTCGGAATCTGTTGCTGAGACTGCTTCGAAGTTAGCCAATCTGCTCACCTCGTCCTTCGCAGAGGCTACGACCGAATCGAAGTATGCATTGATTACGCAGAGTCTGGAAAAGACTACGTCGTCCTCTTTGCCGATCGAGACGGTGCTGGAACTGTCGAAGAAGATTTCAGGCGGCGAGACGAATTTGCAAAATCTCAAAGAAATGCTTCCCAGCACTGAGATCTGGAAAGAGTCTATCCTTGCTGTCGCATCCACACCAAAGGCCTCCCTCGCACTGCTTAGCGCACTTGGTGGAGCAGTGCATTTGCCGTCGGCCAGACAAATCGACACGATACCTTCATACGACAGCGAAGGCCTATCGCAAGCGCTCAGAATTGCAATTTTCTTCGCTGGCATACTGAAATCCGTCTCGATTTCCACGCTTCCGGAACAGGACGCAGCGAATGTGCTAGCGCTATTGAACATTTGCGTGCTACTCGCAGAAGATGCTACGAGTATTGTGGGGGCGAATTCGCTCTGGCGAGAGGAGAACTCGCACGATCTCGAGCACGAAGTCATGACTTTCGTTGTTGATGCCAATGAGGTGCTTCGTACATACTGGACTTCCGGGAGTGACCACGCAAAGAGCAGGCATGAGGCGGAGCTGTTTGCCACCTTCGATACCTTGGTGTCGGCGCACAAGGGCTCGCCATTGGCGTACTATGCTGCACTAGCTGCAGCAAAAGCGCACGATAATGCTTTTGAACTTCACGGCTCCACGAGCGGGCAATCCAAAGCTAGCGAAGAGGAGCTTAGGTCTCAACGTGCCGGCAAAGACTCGATGTCACTGATCTCTTACCTTGTTGGCTTCGCTCAGGCGTTGACGGGGAGCCAGTTGCTGACGAGAATGTGCAATGAACTGGTTGCCGATCTCACCCAGAGTCAGCTTGATTCCCAAGAGGAGAAAGCGCTCGAGCAGCTTGTGTTCCTGAACGTGATCCTGCATACACAATCGGACATCGTTGATACAATCGCGAAGCCGAGACTGATCTTTCTCGTCAAACACATCATCCCATGGCTATCCTCTGACTCGTCACTGAGGGTCAAGGCTGAAACATGCAAGATGCTTGGCTCATTGCTGCCCGCTATGGCTGACATGTATGGCGAGCACTGGTCTCAAATTGTTGGCGTGCTGGTGTCATTCTGGCAGTCCGCGAACGCTCCGCGGGATCGGACCAGTCTAGAAGAAGTGATCCTAGTCTCCCATGGCACATTGAGATTATATGCCGCCTTGAACAAGCTGAGCAGAGAAGATGAACCCAATGACGACCTTCTTGAAGCCCTCAAAGAGAACGAGGGAGCACTTCGCACAGGATTGATCTCACTGCTCAAGGCGGGCACTGAAGTACCTGATGCACAGCACCAGCCTCTGATGATCACAAATGAACTGCTGGCCCGTCAGCTCGTACAATTGCCAGCTAAGCCGCTCGAAGACACCGAAGAGCTCTTTCCGTTGCTTTGTGCACCATCCCAAGCACTCCAAGAAGCTGCCTTTGACCTGCTTCACAACCATATCCCAACGGCACAAGAGCAAATCTCTTTGGATGCTGCGTTGGAAGACCGCAAAGCTGTCCTGCCTGACGAGCTACTATCACTAATCATGCAAGCTCCTGATCTGGATGCATTGGATGAGGATGCCTTCGAGCTGGTAGTTCCGCTTACGCTACAGGGGTATCTCTATGGGTGGCGACTGGTCTTTGACCACTTTCGCGGCTCCAGTTTCCGCGTCAAAGGCGACTATGTGGAACAGCTGAAAGAGAATGGGTACCTCAATGGACTTCTGGAGATGAGCTTCGATGTGCTACGACTAAGCAGCGGCCGACCTGTAGATGCATCAAACTTCGAACTCCAAAGCTACTCACCAGGACTGGAAGCAAACCCAGAGAAAGAGACGCAGTCACTCTTGACCCATCTCTACTACCTCTCACTGCTCCACCTCCCAAGTCTAGTGAAGAACTACCTCAACAACGAAATCAAATCCCGCCAAGCACCCAAGACAATCGAAGCCTGGACAGCCAAATACATCAGTCCCTTGATCATCGAGGAAAGCCTATCAGAAGTCTCCCAATGGAACGACAAAACCGTCAAATCCGACCCAGACTACGAAGCCATGACCGTAAAAGTCAACCCCCGAGCCAAAGAAGTCGTCGTCTCCTACCAAATCGACGAACAAACAATGGCAATGAAAATCGCTCTTCCAGAAGCCTACCCTCTCCAAGGCGCAAAACCAGAAGGCATCAACCGCGTCGCTGTCTCAGAACAAAAATGGCGAGCATGGCTTATCAACTGCCAAGGAACAATAACTTTCAGCGTAAGTCCCTCCTCCACCCTCCACACTCTCCCCAACCCCACACAGCCCACTAACATCTTTTCTTCTCCAACGCAGAACGGAAGCATAATCGACGCCCTCTCTTCCTGGCGCAAAAACGTCGCCGGCGCACTCAAAGGCCACGACGAATGTGCAATTTGCTACTCCATGGTCAACGAGCACAAAGAATTACCCAAGAAACGCTGTCCGACTTGCAAGCATACGTTCCATAATGCTTGTTTGTTCAAGTGGTTCCGGAGTAGTAATTCGAGTGCGTGTCCGTTGTGCAGACAGCCGTATCATTACAACTGAGGTTTCGGATTGCTGTCTGCTTTTTCAAAATGGGGAGGGTTGCGATGTGCGAGCAGAGCTGGGAGATGTCACTTCCTTATTAGATATATATACATGTACTGGTAACAACAGTGATTGAACATATACACTTGACATCATGATATCCGAACAGTCTTCACCAGTATCATAATATATCGGAGAAGGAATATTTGCTCACGAGTTGACAGCAGCGAACGACTTTGTTCCATAAAGCTGCTATCTCAACAACAACGACAATTTACTATTGTCTCATCACTCCTCGCTGATGCAGCCTCTCCATGCTACTTCCAAGCTCAAAAGCTTCTTCCCTCGCTTTGCAGCTCCTAATCCATTCTTCTCAATGAACAGCACCGAGAACAACTCACACCCCGAATGAACCTCATCAAAAGGTGAACAAAAATGCACAACGATATGGTATCTTCAGATCAGCAACCAACCACCCCACCAGGTACCCCAGGATGCGTTCCCGCCGCCGCCGTCGGAGGCGGAAACTGCAACTCCAATTCATTCATGAAACCAAAATTGGGATCCGTTGCTTGCCCCAGATATGACCACTCGGCATAAGTCTGGGGAATGGGACCATAAGCATAATCTTGCCATTCATCAGGTTGATCCTGGGCATCTCGATCTTCATCCGGCACGCCTTTGAGGCGGATATCATGCACTGATTCCGGGCAAGTGAGAATCGAGGGATCGAGGCCGGCCATCTCCCACGCTCTGGATTGAAGTGGAAAAGTCAGCTGTGTCATGTGTGAGGGAGGAAGGGTAAGCTTGAAGGTACGTACCTGTCTCTAGCTCGTCGGAGAAACCGCCAGGCTTGCGTTCCGCCCGGATGAAGCGGACGTGGATCGGGATTGCCGTCTTCGTGTGATACGATGCCACAGTCATCAGAGCCGATGCATTTGTAGATGGCAAGGTCGACAAGTTTCCTTGTCTCGACAGCTTCCGGGTCGTTGGGGTGGTCTTCCAAGTCGGTGATCAAAGCCATAATGCTGTGGAGAGGTTGATGTTGGCCAGGCCAACACCAGTGCCATGGTTGGAAATCGCGCCGTTCGGCCAGTCGAAGGAAACGATGAACATATTCCCTGCAATAGACAATGACGCTGTCGACAAGAGTCAGTTGAGTGGCCCGCAGGTGAAACGTGTTTGGGACAGCTTACCCAGGCTGCTTCTTTCTCAGTGCAGGTAACAAGCCCTGCCTCCGCATGGGACCATACATGACAGAATACGGCTTTGCTGCCCATAAGGCGAACAACATCTTGGCGAACTGCGCAAGTGCTGCATTGGACTCTGTCTGACGGAGTGCGCCAATGTCGCTCCCGTCGCAAGGCTCGCTAGTCGTAGTCATCTTCTCGATCAGGTGGATTTGCTCCGTTCTTGAATCCATGTCTTCCTTGATGGCTCGTGTGATCTCCAGAATGCGGTCGAGGTCCTTCTCTGACAACAAACTACTGTGCAGCAAATGCAGAATCTCGTTGCCTCTCTTGTAGAAAGCAAAGCGCCCTCCAATGAAAATACCAAGGACCGACTTGTTCGCATTGCCGTGCGACTCGAAGTCCTCTCGGATGGCAGCAGCACTGATCTCGCTCACAGGTAGTACGTTGTATAACCTGCAGTCGAGAATCGGAGGCAGACCGGAAGCGAACGCCACCTGAGCGTCAATAGACACTATGGACCACCATATTTGCCGCCTGATGTGGACATCGACGTTTGAGAAGTGGCCAAATGTGGTAGGCTCTCGATGCAAGCCTGTCAACGTCAGTCTGGGGACACATCCCGGAAATGCAAGGCAACGCACCCAACATCTGGGCCACTCGAGTCGCAACTCCGATGAATGAACAACATGTTAGCGGCTGTTCTTCTCGCAGCCATGTGGAGTCAACTATAATAAAAGCTGATAGTGACTGCAGCGAGGGCGACTGAGGAAATTCTGACAATCTGATGGCGCGCACAGCTCTTCGATATAGTCTTGATGTCAGTGTCTCACGACTGATGTTACCAAACACGGTTTGGAGGCGGAAGCGAGGGCACACTACTGATCCAGCGAAGAGCACGGCAGTGAGCAATGAAAGGAAGTGCACGCTTAGTTGGTAGTTCGGATCTCGCGTGTCGTACCTGCAAATGTGTCAACACACGAGCAAAGATTTGGCATCCAGCTGCGACAGACCAGTGTTGAAATTTCCTGACTTGGACGAGGAATGATGGGCCGTGGAATAATGATCTCTTGGCATGATAGCCACCCATATATGACCATATTAGCACTTCGCTCTGTTCCTTCGTGGGCAAGCCTGCCAAGATCTCGTCGATGGACGGAGTCTGCGATTGTAGCAGCGTGTTGTCTTGCGGGTTCCAGGCGGGGATATTCGGAAACAGGTCCCCATACAATTCTCGTTCGGGCAATTCGTGCGGGGTGCTAGCAACGGAAGAGCCATTTGAGTCAAGCTTTGTTGCAGTGAGGGGAGGCGAGGCCGGAAAGGTCTGGCCAAGATGTCCACGCATGGAATCTGGAGGGCCGCCACGAGTGTAGCCTTTTTGGTCTCGAAGGAGGTCGTTGATCGCAGCAACCTGTGGCAGAGTCAGAACTGCCCAGCTGTGAAAAATTCTGCAATGCTGATGGTGTGCCTACTTCCTGGCTGATCAAGGCAAAATGTGCACTGGATATGTAATGGCCCTTCGTGTGTGGTCCTACGTACAGATGTCCAGTGTCTCTGGTCGGCGTGGTGCCATCTCGGCATGGCGAGGGTGGCGTCGGGGCGCAGACGGGGCCGGTTTCGGTGGGCGTGCTCCGGTCGCTGCGTGTTGCTGTCCCATTCTCAGCGGCTGTCGCTCACATAGTTGTCACACTCGTCTTACTGCTGCTGGGCGGGAGGATGGGGACGTCGGCGACGGGTGCGGCGTGGGTGAGTTCGTACAGGCGGCTGGCGCGGGAGGCGAGCGATGGCGTCTCATCTGGGCGGTGTCAGGTCGTGTCGCGGGCGTGTGCATGCGTTAAGTAGACGT